GACTTACCACCACCTCCCCCCCCCCCCGACATTACCCTTCTCCACATGCTGAAGAAAACCAACCCTAACCCCAAACAGAAATCTATAGCTAACCCTAACCCCACCATCAATCCTAAACATACATCTAACCCTAACCCTAAAAGGGTGGGGTATAATTTCTCCGGGGGGGGGGGGGGATATTCGGGGGGGGGGGGGGGTAACTGACTTGGGATAATGACCTGCCCCCTTCACATTACGAAGTTTTTAAAACAACCACTGTAAACCGTACAGGTACCGTGTGGTGGAGAAAATTCACACAAAATGGCGGAAAGTAATTTTGTTAGAAGATCGATCAAAATTCGTTACAGTGGAGGTTTGATTGGCTGATCATCAAATTTGTTACAGTGGAGGTTTTATTGGCTCATCAAATTTAATACAGTGGAGGTTTGATTAGCTGATCATCAAATTTGTTACAGTGTAGGTTTCATTAGCTGATCATCAAATTTGTTACAGTGTAGGTTTCATTAGCTGATCATCAAATTTGTTACAGTGGAGGTTTGATTGGCTGATCATCAAACGGCTCCCCTCCCCCCCCCCCCCCGCTTGCATTACTGGCAGACGTGGTGACATGCAATTATTACGTCAGCGGTCCCGTCTGTTGCGTCCATCAAACGTGATCGCGTGTGACAGTAAAAAACAGGAACGGTTGGGTTGGGTTGGGTTCGTTTGATTTGTTGGCTGAAATAAATCCAAGCTTGACAGTTGCGATGGATTTCTCTGGCGGTCGGTTTAAAGTACTGAGAGAGTTTGATTGCTAAGACGTGTGTTATGCTGGTTGGTTTAAAATACAGAGTTTGTTAAGACTTGTGTTATGCTGGTTGGTTTAAAATACTGAGTTTGTTAAGACTTGTGTTATGCTGGTTGGTTTAAAATACTGAGTTTGTTAAGACTTGTGTTATGCTGGTTGGTTTAAAATACCGAGTTTGTTAAGACTTGTGTTATGCTGGTTGGTTTAAAATACTGAGTTTGTTAAGACTTGTGTTATGCTGGGATTAAGAAGTTCAAGCGGGGGTGGGGGGGGGGAAGTGTTGTCAATTATCTCACATTTGACTACCACTTATTTCATTGTATCACTTGGTCACACACACGTCATCATTTTACGTTGGTGACCAGAATCATGGGTCCATGCGTACATACATATACACATACAACATACATACACACATACGTACACACATACGTACACACACATACATACACACATAGGTACACACGTACATACACACGTACATGCTAACATTCATACACACATAAATACACACATACATACACACATACGTACACACACATACATACACACATAGGTACACACGTACATACACACGTACATAATCACATTCATACACACATAGATACACACATACATACACAAATACATACACACATACATACATACTCATATCCATACACACATTCATATACACATACATACAGACATACCTACACAAATACATACACACGTACATTAGAAACACATTCACCACTTCACAGTCGACCTCAACCCTCCCCTTTTTTTACAAAGCTGTTGACTTTGATATCTTAAATCTGCTACATAAAACTTACAAAATTTGTCTCTAATGTCCTACATAAGAATTCAGCAAGCTGTTGACTTTGATATCTTAAATCTGCTAGATAAAACTTACAAAACTTGTCTCTAATGTCCTACATAAGGATTCAGCAACCAACTGTGACCAGCGGAAACTAAAAAATCTGGACGGACGTGAACTATTTACCGTGTCATTATTTTTTTCCTGCTAGCGGAAGTTGAACCAGGTGTGGTAACGACGCAATAAACATGCTGATACAGTCACATTTTTTTTTAAAAATCTGCTTGATTTTTTGATTTTTTTTAGCGAGGACCAACGAAAAATGTTCTATTTTCAAGTCCATCCAAAGAATGTCGACTTACTTTGACATTTATTACCTACTTGAAACCCCGAGTAAAATTAAGCCCGTTATTTACATCAGCCAAACCGGCATGCGCTTATTTTTTATGTTGCCTGCTGAGAGTGAGCATCGATCCCACCCTACCTGAGTTGATTAAAGAAAATTAGAGTTTCCTGTCTCAGCTATTTTTAGACCTCGTTACTTTAATCGCAGAAAAGGGGAGTGCACCGCTGTTGCTTTAAGCTGTGTGCTTAGTAAAGGCAGAGAAAGATTTTTCACCCGTAAGCATTGAGTAGCCGCCGTCTAAACTTGGCATGAATGAAACTCGGCATCGGTTATGAATTAAAATGCTGACATTAGCTCGGTGACGTCAAATCCAAAAATAGCCTCGGCAGCGGTTAAACTGTCGTGACGTCACGAGAAGCGTGGGTTCTCCTCTGATGACATAAACGAATCCGATCGATTGGAGTTTTTCTGGTGTGTGGTGTTTGGTGTCTTGTGTGTGGTGTTTGGTGTGTGGTGTCTGGTGTGGTGGTTCCTGTCTGAGACGGGTGTCATGTCTTGGTTACAGGTCAATAGTGGCACCACTGACGGCAATAGTGGCACCACTGACGGCAATAGTGGCACCACTGTCGGCAATAGTGGCACCACTGACGGCACTAGTGGCACCACTGACGGCAATAGTAGCACCACTGACGGCAATAGTGGCACCACTGACGGCAATAGTGACACCACTGACGGCAATAGTAGCACCACTGACGGCACTAGTGGCACCACTGACGGCAATAGTAGCACCACTGACGGCAATAGTGGCACCACTGACGGCAATAGTGACACCACTGACGGCAATAGTAGCACCACTGACGGCAATAGTGGCACCACTGTCGGCAATAGTGGCACCACTGACGGCACTAGTGGCACCACTGACGGCAATAGTAGCACCACTGACGGCAATAGTGGCACCACTGACGGCAATAGTGACACCACTGACGGCAATAGTAGCACCACTGACGGCAATAGTGGCACCACTGACGGCAATAGTAGCACCACTGACGGCAATAGTAGCACCACTAACGGCAATAGTGACACCACTGACGGCAATAGTGACACCACTGACGGCAATAGTAGCACCACTGTCGTCAATAGTGACACCACTGACGGCAATAGTAGCACCACTGACGGCAATAGTGACACCACTGACGGCAATAGTGGAACCACTGTCTGCAATAGTGGCACCACTGACGGCAATAGTGGCACCACTGTCTGCAATAGTGGCACCACTGATGGCAATAGTGGCACCACTGACGGCAATAGTGGCACCACTGACGGCAATTGTACCACCACTGACGGCAATAGTGGCACCACTGACGGCAATAGTAGCACCACTGACGGCAATAGTAGCACCACTAACGGCAATAGTGACACCACTGACGGCAATAGTGACACCACTGACGGCAATAGTTGCACCACTGTCGTCAATAGTGACACCACTGACGGCAATAGTAGCACCACTGACGGCAATAGTGACACCACTGACGGCAATAGTGGAACCACTGTCTGCAATAGTGGCACCACTGACGGCAATAGTGGCACCACTGTCTGCAATAGTGGCACCACTGATGGCAATAGTGGCACCACTGACGGCAATAGTGGCACCACTGACGGCAATAGTGGCACCACTGACGGCAATAGTGGCACCACTGACGGCAATAGTGGCACCACTGACGGCAATAGTGGCACCACTGACGGCAATAGTGGCACCACTGACGGCAATAGTGGCACCACTGACGGCAATAGTGGCACCACTGACGGCAATAGTGGCACCACTGACGGCAACTAGTTAGTGGCACCACTAACGGCAACTAGTTAGTGGCACCACTGACGACAACTAGTTAGTGGCACCACTGTCGGCAACTAGTTAGTGGCACCACTGTCGGCAACTAGTGGTACCACATTATTACATACTAAAAACTTTCTATATTATTTTATAATTTCATTTTCTACCGTAACTTGGTACATTCTGCGGCAGATGAAATCAATGAGCAGCCTCTTAAGGACTAGACAGTCTTCGATTAGGATTACTCTCCATCGATTTCACCTAAACCCCTCCGTCAACATCCCCGGCCCTGCCCTTGTGGCCGTGTAACCCAACGCCCTCACCAAATGGCCGTTGTCATTTACTGAGGGTCGGGGGGGGGGGGGGTAGGGTTTCTTGCTGGTCTAGAAATGTTAATATTTGTAGACGCTATAGAAATGTTGATATTAGTAGACGCTATAAAATTGTTGATATTAGTAGACGTAATAGAAATGTTGATATTAGTAGACGCCAGAAATGATATTAGAAGACGAAGGATTATAATTAGGTGGGGTCTAACAGGTTATGATATTGTCCATCTGGTAGTGGTGTGTTCTAGCTGGTAGTTTTGTGGTGCAGCTGGTAGTTGTGTGGTGTAGCTGGTAAAGTTTTGGACGCGAAGTACTTCAGTCATATTTAATACAATACATTATATATATATATATATATATATATATATATATATATATATATATATATATATATATGTAATCGTTTTATTCTGGTTAGAAATATCTTGGAAGAAATCGCCGCTAAAACCGTGTGGAAAAAAAAACCTGAAACAATATTTGCTTTCTTAACAAAATGCTTTCTATTTAAATTACCTCCCGTTGTTGTTGTCCGGTCAGATCGCGTACAGCAGAGTTATGGTTCTTGAAACAAAATGGCGCTGGCCATCCAGGATGAGGCAGACAGACGCATGACAATGCTAAAGTGAATACCATCCCAGCGAGTGCCAAGCAATGTTAAAAAAGCGATGTCCGTTCACACAGTCGTAACTTCAATAGCCATCGACTGAAGTGGGTCATTGACCCCAGTAATTAGTGACGTAACAGAAAGATAAAGCAGCTCTAACGTGCTGTGTCAGCTGTGTGACATTGTCATCCAGTGAATGACAGCCAATCACACATACCAGACGGTGGCACTTCCGGGAGTTGACCATAAGTCACGTCATTCATGACGTCACGCTAATTCCTTTCTTTCTTTTTGTCTTTTGCAGAGGTACATGTCCAATCCACTAAACAACGTTAGGACGGCTGACGAAATATCAGGTAGGTTGTTTTTTTATTTTATTCCAAGATATGTCAGCATAATCTAGAATCACTTGAAATAATATCAACTTACAACCTAAAAATAAATTAGTATATCCTATAAATGCATCCAATAGCTTAATAAAACCTAAGTAAATAATACGTTTTAGAAACAAGCGCATTAGTGAAATACAACTTAAGTTACAACTGTGTATGCAAAACTGAGGTACAACTTAGTTATAAATTAGTGAGTGTACACGTCAACTGACAACCTCTACACACTACCACATCAACTGACAACCTCTACACACTACCACACCAACTGACAACCTCTACACACTACCACTAACAACCTCTACACACTACCACACCAATTGACAACCTCTACACACTACCACACCAACTGACAACCTCTCCAACTACCACACCAACTGACAACCTCTACACACTACCACACCAACTGACAACCTCTACACACTACCACACCAACTGACAACCTCTACACACTACCACACCAACTGACAACCTCTACACACTACCACACCAACTGACAACCTCTACACACTACCACACCAACTGACAACCTCTACACACTACCACACCAACTGACAACCTCTACACACTACCACACCAACTGACAACCTCTACACACTGCCACACCAACTGACAACCTCTACACACTACCACACCAACTGACAACCTCTACACACTACCACACCAACTGACAACCTCTACACACTACCACACCAACTGACAACCTCTACACACTACCACATCAACTGACAACCTCTACACACTTCCACACCAACTGACAACCTCTACACACTTCCACACCAACTGACAACCTCTACTACACACTACCACATCAACTGACAACCTCTACACACTACCACATCAACTGACAACCTCTACACACTACCACACCAACTGACAACCTCTACACACTACCACACCAACTGACAACCTCTACACACTACCACATCAACTGACAACCTCTACACACTACCACACCAACTGACAACCTCTACACACTACCACACCAACTGACAACCTCTACACACTACCACACCAACTGACAAGCTCTACAAACTACCACACCAACTGACAACCTCTACACACTACCACACCAACTGACAACCTCTACACACTACCACTTACAACCTCTACACACTACCACACCAACGGACAACCTCTACACACTACCACACCAACTGACAACCTCTACACACTACCACACCAACTGACAACCTCTACACACTACCACACCAACTGACAACCTCTACACACTACCACACCAACTGACAACCTCTACACACTACCACACCAACTGACAACCTCTACACACTACCACACCAACTGACAACCTCTACACACTACCACACCAACTGACAACCTCTACACACTACCACACCAACTGACAACCTCTACACACTACCACACCAACTGACAACCTCTACACACTACCACACCAACTGACAACCTCTACACACTACCACACCAACTGACAACCTCTACACACTACCACATCAACTGACAAGCTCTACACACTACCACACCAACTGACAACCTCTACACACTACCACATCAACTGACAACCTCTACACACTACCACACCAACTGACAACCTCTACACACAACCACACCAACTGACAACCTCTACATGAACTAACGGTCGCACTAAAAACCGAAAGTTTGACAAACAAGTCTGAATGTAAGGTTATGTTTAAGTATGCCATCAGCTGGTAATTGCCAGTTAGTGCTTGTATTAGGTTCAACGTTAGACGCCGGGATTTAATTGGTGGATAAAAAACATTTTAGAGCGGCATCCTGATGTTTATTGACAGACAACATTCAATGACGGGTAACAAACATTGTTGCCCAACACTTAATGTGGATATTTGACAACCCCCACCCCCCTCCATCACACACAGTTGGTAGATATGAGATCGATACTGTGTTTAATCCGTCTAGAATCAGCTGAGTCGCCAGCCCCTCATAAGAATCCATTAGTGGTACTTCCTCACAGGGAGGCGGGGAGCGAGGAGGAGGAGGAGGAGAGGGGTGACATTCAGGAGGAGACAAGAGACAGTGACAGCATGACTCAAGTCTTTATAGCCGGTTAGTGGTGTGTTGTTTGATGGTGTGTTGGTATTTAGGGGTGTGTTGTTTAGTGGTGTGTTGGTCTTTAGTGGTGTGTTGTTTAGTGGTGTGCTGTTTGATGGTGTGTTGTTTGATGGTGTGTTGGTCTTTAGTGGTGTGCTGTTTGCTGGTGTGTTGGTGTTTAGTGGTGTGTTGTTTAGTGGTGTGTTGGTGTTTAGTGGTGTGTTGTTTAGTGGTGTGTTGGTCTTTAGTGGTGTGTTGTTTGCTGGTGTGCTGTTTGCTGGTGTGTTGTTTACTGGTGTGTTGTTTAGTGGTGTGTTGTTTACTGGTGTGTTGTTTAGTGGTGTGTTGTTTACTGGTGTGTTGTTTAGTGGTGTGCTGTTTAGTGGTGTGTTGTTTAGTGTGTGCTGTTTAGTGGTGTGCTTTTTAGTGGTATGCTGTTTAGTGGTGCATTGTTTAGTGCTATCGTGTTTAGTGGTGTATTGTTTACTGGTGTGGTGTTGGTTGTTTAGTCGTTAGTCCTGTGTCGTCCTTTTAGTTGTGTGTCATTGATTATTTAGGGGTCTCGTAAGTTTCATGTGTCAACGTTAGTTGATGCTCGATGTTTCGTCGGTTAGTGATGGTATTTTATTATTATTCGTGATGTTTTTAGTTATACGTGGTGTATCTCGGGTGGTTGGTGTTGTGTTGTCGGTGTCTTGCGGTGTGTCGTCATTAGTAGTTACATAAGCAAGTCTATGTGGAATTTTAGAATAGTTGCTGGTGGTGTGTTGCTATGGTGGATGGGTGGTGTGTCGCTATGGTGGATGGGTGGTGTGTCGTTATGGTGGATGGGTGGTGTGTCGTTATGGTGGATGGGTGGTGTGTCGCTATGGTGGATGGGTGGTGTGTCGCTATGGTGGATGGGTGGTGTGTTGCTATGGTGGATGGGTGGTGTGTTGCTATGGTGGATGGGTGGTGTGTCGCTATGGTGGATGGGTGGTGTGTCGTTATGGTGGATGGGTGGTGTGTCGCTATGGTAAAAGGGTGTTGTGTCGCTATGGTGGATGGGTGGTGTGTCGCTATGTTGGATGGGTGGTGTGTCGCTATGGTGGATTGGTGGTGTGTCGCTATGGTGGATGGGTGGTGTGTCTCTATGGTAAAAGGGTGGTGTGTCGCTATGGTGGATTGGTGGTGTGTCTCTATGGTGGATGGGTGGTGCGTCGCTATGGTGGATGGGTGGTGTGTCGCTATAGTGGATGGGTGGTGTGTTGCTATGGTGGATGGGTGGTGTGTCGCTATGGTGGATGGGTGGTGTGTCGTTATGGTGGATGGGTGGTGTGTCGCTATGTTAAATGGGTGGTGTGTCGCTATGGTAAAAGGGTGTTGTGTCGCTATGGTGGATGGGTGGTGTGTCGCTATGTTGGATGGGTGGTGTGTCGCTATGGTGGATTGGTGGTGTGTCGCTATGGTGGATGGGTGGTGTGTCTCTATGATAAAAGGGTGGTGTGTCGCTATGGTGGATGGGTGGTGTGTCGCTATGGTGGATGGGTGGTGTATCGCTATGGTGGATGGGTGGTGTGTCGCTATGGTGGATGGGTGGTGTGTCGCTATGGTGGATGGGTGGTGTGTGGCTATGGTGGATGGGTGATATGTCGCAATGTTGGGTGGTGTGAAATTGTAGAACGTTTTAAACTTGCATTAGTGGAGCTCACTAAGCGCTTCTGTGTTTGAGTGTTGCTGTGGCTGTTGATGGTTTAGTTTTGTACGTCTATCATGCAACGATGTATCAGATATTTCAATTCATGTTTTATCAACGTGTTTGAGTGATGTTTTATCGAGGTACAAGAGTGATGTTTTGTCCGTCCATCAGGTGATGTTTTAGTTTTGTCAGTCCATCAGGTGATGTTTTATCGAAGTACTAGAGTGATGTTTTGTCAGTCCATCAGGTGATGTTTTATCGAAGTACTAGAGTGATGTTTTGTACGTCCATCAGGTGATGTTTTATCGAAGTACTAGAGTGATGTTTTGTACGTCCATCAGGTGATGTTTTATCGAAGTACTAGAGTGATGTTTTGTACGTCCATCAGGTGATGTTTTATCGAAGTACTAGAGTGATGTTTTGACCGTCCATCAGGTGATGTTTTAGTTTTGTCCGTCCATCAGGTGATGTTTTAGTTTTGTACGTCCATCAGGTGATGTTTTGTCCGTCCATCAGGTGATGATTTAGTTTTTTCCGTCCATCAGGTGATGTTTTAGTTTTGTCCGTCCATCAGGTGATGTTTTAGTTTTGTCCGTCCATCAGGTGATGTTTTAGTTTTGTCCGTCCATCAGGTGATGTTTTAGTTTTTTCCGTCCATCAGGTGATGATTTAGTTTTGTCCGTCCATCAGGTGATGTTTTGTCCGTCCATCAGGTGATGTTTTAGTTTTGTCCGTCCATCAGGTGATGTTTTGTCCGTCCATCAGGTGATGTTTTAGTTTTGTCCGTCCATCAGGTGATGTTTTAGTTTTGTCCGTCCATCAGGTGATGTTTTAGTTTTGTCCGTCCATCAGGTGATGTTTTAGTTTTTTCCGTCCATCAGGTGATGATTTAGTTTTGTCCGTCCATCAGGTGATGTTTTGTCCGTCCATCAGGTGATGTTTTAGTTTTGTCCGTCCATCAGGTGATGTTTTGTCCGTCCATCAGGTGATGTTTTAGTTTTGTCCGTCCATCAGGTGATGTTTTAGTTTTGTCCGTCCATCAGGTGATGATTTAGTTTTGTCCGTCCATCAGGTGATGTTTTATCCGACAACCTTGACGTCCGTCCCCGCCCCCGTCTGACGACCTCCAACAGTGGGGCTGACATCATGCTGGGGCTGGAGACAGATGACGGCAAGAGTGCTGAGGTGGAGATCGACTCACTGGAGACTGACGAGCTCCAGCCAGAAGGTGGGTAGTCGGTTGACCTCTTGTGTGTGTGTGGGGGGGGGGGGAGACAGATGACGGCAAGAGTGCTGAGGTGGAGATCGACTCACTGGAGACTGACGAGCTCCAGCCAGAAGGTGGGTAGTCGGTTGACCTCTTGTGTGGGGTGGGGGGGGGAGACAGATGACGACAAGAGTGCTGAGGTGGAGATCGACTCACTGGAGACTGACGAGCTCCAGCCAGAAGGTGGGTAGTCGGTTGACCTCTTGTGTGTTGTGTGTGTGGGGGGGGGAGACAGATGACGGCAAGAGTGCTGAGGTGGAGATCGACTCACTGGAGACTGACGAGCTACAGCCAGAAGGTGGGTAGTCGGTTGACCTCTTGTGTGGGGGGGGGGGGGGGAGACAGATGACGGCAAGAGTGCTGAGGTGGAGATCGACTCACTGGAGACTGACGAGCTACAGCCAGAAGGTGGGTAGTCGGTTGACCTCTTGTGTGTTGTGTGGGGGGGGGGGGAGACAGATGACGGCAAGAGTGCTGAGGTGGAGATCGACTCACTGGAGACTGACGAGCTCCAGCCAGAAGGTGGGTAGTCGGTTGACCTCTTGTGTGGGGTGGGGGGGGGGGAGACAGATGACGGCAAGAGTGCTGAGGTGGAGATCGACTCACTGGAGACTGACGAGCTCCAGCCAGAGGCGTAGCGACCCTTCCCGGCGCCCGAGGACAAACTTTCGATTTGCACCCCCCCCCCTCGAACTTTTAATTTGCACCCCCCCCCAAACTTTCAATTTGTTTTTCCAACCCATTTTGGCGCCCCCCCCCCAAGGTCGGCGCCCGGGGACATATGTCCCCCCCCCTGCACCGCCCCCTTCTCGCTACGCCTCTGGCTCCAGCCAGAAGGTGGGTAGTCGGTTGTGCAGGGGGATACTTTGACCTTTTGGGAGATGTCGTTTTGACCTGTTGTGGGTGTGGGGGGGGGGGGGGGGGGTCGACCGACCTGTTGGGGGGAGGGGGGGTTACTTTGACCTGGTGTAAGAGAGTTTGACACTTCTAGGGGTTTCAAAGGGAGGTGGTCAAATTTATTTGACCGGTTTGGGGGTTGTCACTTTGACCTGTTGTAATATTTTTATTTCCCCTATTTTTGTAATGAGAAGTTTTATTTGACTTGTTGTTGAAATGAGAAGTTTTTTTTTACCTATAATTATGATACATTTATTGTATCTGATAAATGATTGATTTTACTTATCCAATGTGTTAACTGTTATAATTTTGTTTGCTGGCTGTCCTTTTAAAATAAATCTCTTATATACTTCTAGATCTAGTTAGCTAATTTAGGGGTGTAGTGGGTACCCAAATGTACTATTGTTCTCAGTATAAGATTTTCTAAATCTTCTTACAGACATTCCAAAGGGCAGAGTAAGAAAGACTTCCATTGTTGAGAAATTATCAAAGTCCAAAGAATCTGAACTGATTGCATTATCTATCATGGTAAGTTCCTTCATTACTTCTGGGCGTTTCTCCAATAAATGTTGTGCTTACATTCTTTTGAGTTTATTTTTCACTAGAGGTACAGACTTCATTCATCAATCATCAGATGCTCTTATCTGAGCTTTCTGTTCTATTTCTGTGTTTTCTTCCAACCTGAGGTTTTTAGAGAATCCAGAAATTGCTTTTTGTTGTTTTTTTTTTTTTGTTTTTTGAGTAAATGTAAATAAGCAAGATTAAAACTTTGTGTGAATGTGTCATCTCCTACCTGTTTATCATCTTCCTCCTTCCCCCCCCCCCCTCATCCACCCCCTTCTTCCAAGCAATGTTTATCTACTAAGTTTTTTTAAATTTTATTTTCCAGGAGAGCGCTGGTCAGCGGCAGAGGGAGTTTGAGAAGTTGATCAGTGAACACCAAGAGCTTGTCCAAGAGATCAGTCGCACACCCAGCGCAGAGAATATTGTACAGAGCGAGACCGGGAGGGACCCGTAGGAGCTCAGTGTTTGACTCTTGTGGGTGTGTGGGTGTTCTCATGTGTGTGAGTGTGGGTGTTCTCATGTGTGTGTGTGTGTATTTGTCTGTTCTCATATGTGTATGTGTGTCTGTTATTGCGTGCATGTCAATGTCTTATCTCAAGTCTGTTATCGTGTGCACCTATCTGTTTTTATATGTGAATGTCTTTGTTCTTGTCCGGTGGGCCATAGAACACATAGTGGATCCATATGTGAATATCTTTGTTCTTGTCCTGTGGGGTGGACTAGAGAACACATAGTGGATCCATATGTGAATATCTTTCTTCTTGTCCTGTGGGGTGGGCCATAGAACACGTAGTGGATCCATATGTGAATATCTTTGTTCTTGTCCTGTGGGGTGGGCTAGAGAACACATAGTGGATCCATATGTGAATGTCTTTGTTCTTGTCCTGTGGGGTGGGCTAGAGAACACATAGTGGATCCATATGTGAATGTCTTTGTTCTTGTCCTGTGGGCCATAGAACACATAGTGGATCCATATGTGAATGTCTTTGTTCTTGTCCTGTGGGCCATAGAACACATAGTGGATCCATATGCGAATGTCTTTGTTCTTGTCCTGTGGGCCATAGAACACATAGTGGATCCATATGTGAATGTCTTTGTTCTTGTCCTGTGGGGTGGGCTAGAGAACACATAGTGGATCCATATGTGAATGTCTTTGTTCTTGTCCTGTGGGGTGGGCTAGAGAACACGTAGTGGATCCATATGTGAATATCTTTGTTCTTGTCCTGTGGGCCATAGAACACATAGTGGATCCATATGTGAATGTCTTTGTTCTTGTCCTGTGGGCCATAGAACACATAGTGGATCCATATGCGAATGTCTTTGTTCTTGTCCTGTGGGCCATAGAACACATAGTGGATCCATATGTGAATGTCTTTGTTCTTGTCCTGTGGGGTGGGCTAGAGAACACATAGTGGATCCATATGTGAATGTCTTTGTTCTTGTCCTGTGGGGTGGGCTAGAGAACACGTAGTGGATCCATATGTGAATATCTTTGTTCTTGTCCTGTGGGCCATAGAACACATAGTGGATCCATATGTGAATGTCTTTGTTCTTGTCCTGTGGGCCATAGAACACATAGTGGATCCATATGCGAATGTCTTTGTTCTTGTCCTGTGGGCCATAGAACACATAGTGGATCCATATGTGAATGTCTTTGTTCTTGTCCTGTGGGGTGGGCTAGAGAACACATAGTGGATCCATATGTGAATGTCTTTGTTCTTGTCCTGTGGGGTGGGCTAGAGAACACGTAGTGGATCCATATGTGAATGTCTTTGTTCTTGTCCTGTGGGCCATAGAACACATAGTGGATCCATATGTGAATATCTTTGTTCTTGTCCTGTGCGGTGGGCTAGAGAACACATAGTGGATCCATATGTGAATGTCTTTGTTCTTGTCCTGTGGGCCATAGAACACATAGTGGATCCATATGTGAATGTCTTTGTTCTTGTCCTGTGGGCCATAGAACACATAGTGGATCCATATGTGAATGTCTTTGTTCTTGTCCTGTGGGCCATAGAACACATAGTGGATCCATATGTGAATGTCTTTGTTCTTGTCCTGTGGGGTGGGCTAGAGAACACATAGTGGATCCATATGTGAATGTCTTTGTTCTTGTCCTGTGCGGTGGGCTAGAGAACACATAGTGGATCCATATGTGAATGTCTTTGTTCTTGTCCTGTGGGCCATAGAACACATAGTGGATCCATATGTGAATGTCTTTGTTCTTGTCCTGTGCGGTGGGCTAGAGAACACATAGTGGATCCATATGTGAATGTCTTTGTTCTTGTCCTGTGGGCCATAGAACACATAGTGGATCCATATGTGAATGTCTTTGTTCTTGTCCTGTGGGGTGGGCTAGAGAACACATAGTGGATCCATATGTGAATGTCTTTGTTCTTGTCCTGTGGGGTGGGCTAGAGAACACATAGTGGATCCATATGCGAATGTCTTTGTTCTTGTCCTGTGGGCCATAGAACACGTAGTGGATCCATATGTGAATATCTTTGTTCTTGTCCTGTGGGGTGGGTCAGAGAACACGGAGTGGATGAACCATCTTGCTGCATTCCCATTTTGGCGCTCATTGAGCTGCTGTTATCATTTCATTGTCTTTCTACGAAGTCACTTTGTGTAGTTGATGTGAGACAGATGCTGTTGTTAAACTTAGACAGATGTGATCATCATTTTATGTAACAAAAAATGTTAGATACCAATTCTGAACAAAACAGTCGCTACATATTTTTAAATTGCTTTTTAAATATAGGCTGTGATCAGTAATTTGAAGCTTTTAATTATTTTTTTTGTTGGCCATTTATTTCCATGCCTGCTATGGACCTTACATAATGGCTTACCTCCCTTGAGAACAAAAAGATTTTCAGCAAACATTTTTTAACCCCATCTTTCTATTCATCATATTACTTGTTGCGTCTTTTAAATAAATGATTGATTTTTTTGCCCTCTGCTCTTCACAAATATTTCTTTTTTATTATTTTTTTAAAAAATCCAGTAAATTAGTTTTTATAACAGGTAAATTGTATTTTTTTTCAAAATCCAGCTTTTATTATATTTCAAGAGTTTTAAAGAGGCTTTGTTGCTTTGTATTATTGTAAGTTAAAAAATAAATCTATTGTTCCATGTTGTTCATTTTTTTTTTAAAAATTTTCAGTTATTAAACACATAAATCATCAGTGTTAAACCAAATTAAAATGTGTGACTCAATACAAGTGAAATGTGAACAATTGTTTCTGAGAGTATTGGTTATGTATTGGATATAATAACAAACATATGAAGAAGTTGTAATCCTAAATTAATTTATTTTTCTTTTCTTTTTGCTCTTTTTTAAATATTACATGCATTTCTGGAGAATTTTTATTTATTTATAAAACTTTTGTTCTGTGGTCAATTTTAAAATAAACTCACACATAAATTGTTGGTATATGTTGGCTTATATAGTGGCCACTGATGATAAATCTGTCTGGTCCATGGCGTATAGTTCATGTGGCCTCTCATTCATATGGCCTCTGATGATAAATCTATCTGGTCCATGGCCTGTAGCTCATGTGGCCTCTCATTCATATGGCCTCTGATGATAAATCTATCTGGTCCATGGCCTGTAGCTCATGTGGCCTCTCATTCATATGGCCACTGATGATAAATCTATCTGGTCCATGGCCTGTAGCTCATGTGGCCTCTCATTCATATGGCCACTGATGATAAATCTGTCTGGTCCATGGCCTGTAGCTCATGTGGCCTCTCATTCATATGGCCTCTGATGATAAATCTATCTGGTCCATGGCCTGTAGCTCATGTGGCCTCTCATTCATATGGCCTCTGATGATAAATCTATCTGGTCCATGGCCTGTAGCTCATGTGGCCTCTCATTCATATGGCCTCTGATGATAAATCTATCTGGTCCATGGCCTTTAGCTCATGTGGCCTCTCATTCATATGGCCACTGATGATAAATCTATCTGGTCCATGGTCTCTAGTTTATGTGGACATTCAAAAGGTTGTCTAGTATAAAAATTAGTCCAGCTTTTTCTACAATAAGGTTTTTGTGATAAAGGAATCAGTAAGGGTTGTGTGATTAGATAAATTATTACCAAACCAATTTGTTTAAAATCAAAAATTTCATATCACAAACATTAAAAATTGTTTTTTTTTTTAAAAATAAGTTCCATTTTCTAAAATAACATTAGCTAGACCTTTTCTTCACAGACAGAATGCATTAATTAGACCTTTTCTTTTAAATTTAAACCACAGTTGTGTCACAGTCTGATACTTGTGTTAACCTGTTGATGTTACAAGCCTAACACAGCGTGTGCTTATAGAAGAAATATATATTCCATTCATTTATTGAAGTCTAAGGAAAAGATTTCAGCAACAACTTTAAAAAATCTCTAATACCAAAGCAGGAAGTTCTGTACCAGTGAGAGGCTTCGGTGCTAAACTTTACCTCATCCCATTGCCTTTAATGTTCACATGAACATCTTTCACCTAAATGAACATGTTTTACTTATAGATGCACATCATCTACAATAACATCTTTTAGATGCTTGATAAATGTGTGCTCTCATTAGCAACCATAGCTTTAATTCTCCTAGGCAGTTTCAGTGGTTTCTTTAGGTGCATGTAATTAGTGGGTTTGCATGTTACTACTCAGTTTTTGAAATCACCCATTCCATTTCTTGGTTACAGCCGAGTTTGTCTGTTCAATCTGAAGTTAGTGTTGCCCATGTAATCAGATGAATTGGTTGAGTACATTTTTATTCAAATATTTTAATGCATCTTTTTTGTGTGTAATGGACAATCAAGTAAATAAATCTTTGTGTCATTGTAAAAATATTTTAATTAAAAATGCTATTGTGCACAATTTATTTTTTTTATTTTTAGACCAAGGATTGAGTTTATCCTGTGCTGCACTTTGTTCAAACTTTGGTTTCAATTTAATGCTTATGTATAAGGAGAAACTAGGCTGACTCTGTTCATTACTGGGTGTAGATTTTACCTACCTTTTATTTTCAATTTTGTGTAGGTGGTACCTAACTTTATTTTCTCTTATTTTGAGGAGTTGCTATTTTTATTTACACCGGTTTCAACTTGGCCCAAAAACACTATAGGATGTCATCTTTAAATGTTTTCAGGCAAGTTGACTGGTAACTACAGCAGTAGAAAACTCATTTACTTCATTTTATGCTCCATCTTTTGGATTTTTGTTCCTTCTGAAACAATGTAAGAAATGTGTTAAGATAAAGTATTTTATACACTTTACAAGCTACTGCCTATTCAAATTATTTCATGAATAATTGAAAAAAGTTCAACTATTTTTCTCTCTAGTTGTATGTGAGCATAGAATGAAAAAAGCTCTTCTTTTGAAGAGTTTGTTTTTATGGAAAGAAGACTCTACATGAATTGTATAATATATGTGTATTGAAATATGTTCTATATATTTTAACTTTGTTAATGAAGACTGTGTCTTGTGATGTTGACTACAGATACATTAAATATTGTATGTTTTAACCACACAAAAAAAGACATTGTTTAGGGAGTTGTACAGCATGCAGGTTCAACAGTCACAACAAAGCAGTTTTTTTTTGTAGATTTGCAATAAAAGGTGACCACACCCTCCTGTCAGGGGCAGATAAGTTAACACACTAAAAACCACATTCATGAACTGATTCATGTTTCTATGTTTGCCAAGTTTCAGAATAAACATAAATTTATTAGAAACTAGATCTGGGTTGTCAATTTTTGAATTACGAAATACAAATTTTTAAAAGATTTCATTTTCTTGTCAATCAGCAGGTTTATGTCACAAGTGAAGACTTTATAAATAAATTAGTTGTGTGCATTTGATGTTAATTTGAATTAAATATTCTTTTTTTTTCTTATTCCAATTTTTATAGCTTATGAAAATTGTTAAAAAATTGAGCATATAAATGATATAGAACTCCAGTCCAAACTATTAGAAATCTATTACATATATATATATATATATATATATATATATATATATATATATATATATATATATATATATATATATATATATATATATATATAGACATACCTACAGAGATACCTACAGAGATTTCCCGTATTGCATTAAGATTATTAAGAACAACAATTTATGGTTTTATGACATTCAAATGTTGGTTAAATGTCAGACTCACTAATAGCTGTAACATACTTTGAAACAAATAATTTCAATAGGTATCAACTAAAGGACTATGTGATGCCTCCTATTTAAATTTAAAATATACATGGAAATGCAGAGTAATCTTTATTTTAAAAAAAAGAAAACATATTGATCACACACAGCTTGTATACATACATGTAGTATTTGCAAGCTCTGAATTAACATCAGCTTCCGACATCTACATCAATTTTTGTGTGACTTAGACAATTAGCAACCACTTCATACATCATCACTATTTGTCTGGCTGAGACAAACTCAGTTTTATTGAAGCCCCAGCATGCAACAGTTAATATTATTTTTTGCCTTGCCATAATGGCATCTGGCAAGTCAACCTCACCTAAGGGGCGGTTGTATTCTTCAAGACAATTTGGCAGCTCATGGATTTGTCACTAAGGTACCCTGGTCAATAACTCCACACAGGTTACAGGCTAGTCTAGCAAATGTGTGCCCAGTTGTAACCAGCTGAGCAGAGGCGTAGCGAGGGGGGGGGGCTGAGGACCACACCGGGTGACACCATTTAGGGTGGGTGACACCAAGGCAAAAAAAAATAGCAAAATATAAAGAGAAAAATTTGAGGGGGGGTGCAAATCAAAAGAAAGTTTGAGGGGGGTGGTGCAAATCAAAAGTCGAAAATTGAAAGTTTGTCCCTGGGAAGGGTCTCTACGCCTCTGGGGGGTGACACCCGACCTCGCTACGCCACTGCAGCTGAGTTGTATTTCTTGTTCATTGATGAGATATTAATCCTGTTCAGGTCCTTCACATATTGAAAGAAATTTCCTTCAGGATCTCTTTACATCTCTTTTAAGTTTACAATCCTACTGCAACAAAAGATGCTTGATAAGAACTAAAGTCATTCAAATTCTTACTGTCTTATTTTAGTGCATTGAAAGTCATATCTGTCTTCAACAGAGGTTTATGGACGGCCCCTAACTCTTCATCTACATGGTAGGCCTACAGTAGTCTACAGTGTTTTTATCTTTTTTTCTTTTGATTGCTGGGAGGGGAAAAAGCAATGTTTGACAGGAAGAAAATCAATACAATGAACTTGGGTAGCCTTTTAGTAGTGTTAGTCTAGTTCAAGTAGGCTTGTTGGGCCATAAAAGAAAGAAAATAAAAGAGAGGTAACGCTGGAAAAGGCTGTTGATTAATAAAGTAAAGCGTGGTAGTCTACCTTGTTTAACAAACTAAACATTTAATTAAGTTTTATAAGAATTTAGTTTTATTATTGCTAAACAACGTAATTCTCTCTTTGCCTTTTTTTACCCTATCACTTCCTTCACCATTACAAATCTTTAAAAAAATTTCAGAATCCCCACCCACCGGATCCCTCTAATAAAGTCTAATACATTGTTTTTAAATTTCCGTAAAGGGATATAACCCAGTAAGGACGATTTTACCGAAAATACTCAGTTGTTTCTCTTTGCATTGATCGTTACGAAACAAAATTGTCAATATTTAAATTTTAAAAATCCGGATCAATATTAAATCTAGATCTATAAATCTATATAAATATGCAACAATAAGAAGAAAGCAAATGATTTTAAAATAAATAGTGTTTCATTTCTAATATCTTAACAAAGAGTCATTTATTTTTATTTTTAGTGCATGTCGATTGAAGGCGCCTTCTACTTTAAGAAGTTTAGTGGGCTGTTGTCGACACCCACCACATCAGAGAAAGTCTACCGCCCCCCCCCCCCCGAACGAAATGAAATTTATATAGAATATATACTTTTAACAGTGTCCGCCCACCCCCCCCCCCCCGAAAATTTCATGTTTTCCCCCCCCCCCCCCCCCCCCGGAGAAAAAAGTCTGGAAGAAACACTGCACCCCATACAGACTATTGCTAGATTAGATTAGATTTGGCGCCCCACGCACACCTCTGGATTAGGGTCTATAACCCCTATACTAAATAGAGCTGTGGTATTCGAGGTAATAGAGGTCGAACGATAGTTTCTCAGAGTTATGTTTGATAACTAAAAATAAAAGCGTGGGTCACTTCTTGAATTCAAGTTAAGGTATTCAATAAAAAATAGAGCGACCCACGCCATTCTTTTAGTTATTTTAATAGGCTATATTTAAAGAGAATCATTTATTTTCTCCTTTTTAGTGCATTAAAGCTTGTTATTAAAAAGTTTTTTATGCATTTTTTTTAAAATAGGACCAACGTGGCTAGATCTAGGTTCACATTACAGAATCTAGTTATAGTAAATTGACATAATTAATATTCTTTAAGACCAATCACATATTTACAATTGTTTCTTCCAGATCCGTTATATTATATATCGCACTCTCTCACACTCTTGTATTTATTTGAAATAACCGGCGAATCTCTCATTATTTAAGTTTTTTAATGTCTGCTATGTGTGAATTTGATTTGTGTTAAAACTATGTGCTATATATAGCAGCAGTGGCCTACGCACAAACCACATAATAAGGTCGCACACAGGCATGTAGATCTACCAGACATGTCTATACAAATACGATCGAGGCTATAGACCAGGGGTCTCCAAACTACGGCCCGCGGGCCGGATGCGCCCCGCGAGGTCCTCTCATCCGGCCCGCGGAGATCTTTTTGTCCACGTAAAAAACCGTTTGTTGGTGATGGCTGAGGAACTTTGCCCAGAAAAATCAAAGACATTTCTGGAACTAACTGGCCCCCGAACTGAAATTTGATAGTTAATGTGGCCCTCGGGCTGAAAAGTTTGGAGACCCCTGCTATAGACTATAGAGTAAGCTACATTTCACAGATACGGTTGCTGTTGTGCCAAATACGATCGGAGCTATAGAATGTCTACACTCCATATACACGTGGGCTGTTGTGGCAACCTGGCGGGGAATACGATCGTAAACAATGCGATCAACACTAGTTGACACTACAATTTTCTGTGTTAAGCATAGAGTATGCTGATTTGCACCCCCTCCACTCCCACCCTCGCAAATATCGATGTCCATTAGTTCTAAAGTTAGCTATGCTGAATTTTTTTAAGTAAATTAACTATTTTCACTTTTAATTTATATAAATATAAAAGACATTGAATTGTTTTCTGTAGACCTAGATTATTGCAGCTATCTCGTGTGTTTATAGATTTATTAAAATTATATGGTTAGAAAATAAAATATGGTTATAAAATAAAAGCACATAAGGCGTCATAAGGCCTATCTTTGTGACAATTCAAATGAAAACACTTTGCAACTCATTTTTAACGTATTCTCCATCTACTTTCATTACCTCTAACCGTAGGCCTAAAGATTGGAATTTGACCTGGAATCTATGTAAAAAATAGACCAGGTGAACAATTTAAATTTGTGACATTCGTCTGACGCGTTTTTCAGTCGCGCAAATACAATTATACATTATTTCTTTATAAATTTATGTTTCTTAATATTATTCATTACGGGTTACTTTTTTTTTAACTTTATGATACGTAGGCTGTATATTTATTTTTTATTATTATATTTTTCTTTAGTTCTTGTTTAATTATTTATTAACAATAGACCTACAAAAGACTAGGGCCTAACTAGAAAACTGTTAGGCCTAGATTTTTTTTCGTTTACGGCGCACCGCAATGCATTATGGTCTGTGGAAAGGTAGATAGAATTCCACCCAATCAAATCTCCAAGCAGGCTTTACTAAGCAACCCGTTCCTAGTTACAGAGCTGCATAAATTTCACATTCATCCGTTAGTCCTAGTCTAAAGAAGTTAAGGGAAAACCACATTAGCTTACTTATTGAAGACGATTTCAGCACGTCTTAAATTTAAAACAAACTTCAAGTTAGCATTCATATAACCGTGAGTACTTTGTTATTGCAGAATTGTGTGTAGATCTAGGCCTTAGTTAGGCCTATTAAAATAATTTCAGGCCTAAGCCCTAATGAAATGTATTATTTTTACATTTTAGACCTAGAAATCTAATTTCTAATTAGTAATTAATAATTTAATTTTATTAGGCCAGGCCTCATAGTCAAGTAGATTCTAGGCCTATTATTTTAATTTACTGTCACTATCACTCACATTTTTATTTACTCAAATTTTCGGGAGAATGCTTAGGCCTATAATATAGATCTAGATCTATATTATATTTATATAGATCTAGATCTACCAGTATCCGAATGGAATCTTTAAAAAAAAGGGGTGTTAGGTTACCGGTAGTTAACTAAAAAATACACACATGGCTGGCTAATGTCAATGCTAATCCTGTCCCTAACCCCAACCCTGGTCCTACTCCTAGATTCTAGATCTAGCCCTAAATTGAGTAAATTCTAACCATAAAAGTGGAGATTACAATACTAGACTATTACTACTAACAACCCAACACCCCTTTTATAATTCTAGACTATAGGATAGGCTAATCATCCAAATTTTCTTAAGCGAGTAGATAATCTAGATCTCTGTAAGTTCAATGATCTAGAATATTAGTCTTATTAGATCTATTCTAGACTTCTAGGTCTAGATCTAGTCACTAAAGTAATTGAGCCTTCATTCTTGCTATCCCTTGTAACTTGTAGATTTGAGATCTAGATTTAGATTCTATTTCACTTAAGACTATTAGACAAATAATTAGCAGTAGGTCCTACTTTAACCTAGCATTTTGATAGATTTAGATCTAGAATCAGATCTAGATTTCTAGATCTACTCCAGATCTAGATTCTCATATCTAGATCTATCCTATGCATCCAAATGCTAATATACTATTATTTCTAACCCAACTTTGTCTGACATGCTACATGAATCTTATGTTGCAGAGCCTGCTTTTTTATTACAGTCATAACTAGATTTATCTATTAATATAGGCTTACTTATTTAAAATTGCAGTGGCAGCACAGATTCTAGGGGTTTTGTGCTTGCTGTCCTTTACTGATACAGACTGGAGAAAACACCACAAGATATATTACAACATATAGTCCCACCTAATTTTAGGTTCTACATGTGGTATATTTTTTTTTCTTCTTTTTTTAGAAGTAACCATGTCTGAAAGAAAAGCCGTAATCAAGAATGCTGATATGTCTGAGGATATGCAGCAAGATGCTGTGGACTGTGCTACACAAGCCTTGGAAAAATACAACATTGAAAAAGACATTGCTGCCTTCATTAAGAAAGAGTTCGATAAGAAATACAACCCAACATGGCATTGCATTGTTGGCCGCAACTTTGGCAGCTACGTAACCCATGAAACAAAACACTTCATCTATTTCTACTTGGGACAAGTTGCTATACTGCTCTTCAAATCTGGATGAAGTGTTAAAAACTATTATAGACATTTTTTATGGATTACTTCTTCTGACTGGAGTCCTAGATCTGTTCATCTCATTGAAACAAAAAATGCTGTGGCGGTGTTAAGATGAAGTGATAAAATTTATAAAGTTTGTTGAAATCAAGGACTACCTAAATTTTTTTTAATTGGAATGCCATTTGTTGAAATAAATTGATTTTCACAGTAAAGCTTCAACTATCAAAATTGCTTTTTATTATTGTGATTGCTTAACTATTTAGCAGTCTGATCAAATGGTATTTGTAAGGCTACGATGGTTTTATTGTCTGGTGTACATAGTAGACTGGGTGTACATAATAAAGAATGTTTGAATATTTTGAGAGTATGAATGCAAGTAAAAGGATTTGAATGAAATAAATGAATGTTAAGACATCCTTTGTTTGTTTTTATATTATTACATACTTCCAGTGTATGCATGTATGGTTTCTGATCATTGTGCGCACCCTGTTACAGTAGGCTGCTGGGTAGGTTATAAAATTTTAGATTCTCTGACACAGCATTTACTCAACATGCATTATCGTGACTTGAAAATAAACTTGATTGCCGCAAGTTAGTATATTTTCCTTGGGGAAAATGTTTTTTATTTAACATTAACTTGCTGAGTTTTTTTCTAGATATGAATAGTATACATGATGCAAGTGTAAATGCTGTGTAAGACTTGTATGCAGTCACTGTCTAAAAAAAAGACATGATAAGCAGACCACATTCACCCAAATTACAGATGCGTAATTTATCTATATATACCCATACCTTAGGTATTTCTTTAATTCTAAAATAGTTACATTTCAGAAATATAACAGAATGTTTGCATTCCAACCTCATCCAATGTGTACAAGAGGGTTGGTTTTTAAAATTCAAATTTATTATTATTAGGAAAGAATAGTTAGTTGTAGAGAAAAGTGAATTTTTTAAAATTCATTTTATTTACTTGAGTCATTTACTTGAGGGCAACCAACACCTCTCCAAAAAGAAAACTTTACAATTTACATTTATGATGAACTGAAACGAGTGCACAATTCTGAAATAATTAACAATGACAAAGTTCTCCATTAAAGAAAACCCTTTTTTTACCAGCACAATTTGCTGTCCCTATCTACTAAAAATATAATAGTGCCAACACAAAATGATCAAATTAATAATTAATTGAAGTGCAGCTCAACAGTCAATTTTATAATGATGCCCTTGTCTGCATAGTTTTTCATTCTAGTCAAGAGGAAAAGCACCTATTAATTTAAAAGATACAATGTTGTTAACTGTTATAAATGCTTCATGCACATTAGGGCTGATCTTAATATTTTTTTGCTTTACATTTACTAATTATTAGAATCGCTGATGAATCTACTAAAGTGCTGGAGTCCTACATGTATTTTTCTACTGTCTTAATTCAACAGACCAACAATTATTTAAAAACAAAACCACAGACTGTTGATACACTTCAGCTGATAATTTTATTCTCCAGAAACAATCGTCACAAACTGGTTATAAATTACAATTAACCAATTAAAACTAAATTTAAAGTATGAGGAACACAAATATCATAAGAAAAAGAGTATGATTAATTTTTCTGTCACATCAAATAGAAACAAAAAATTTTCAAATATACACAATGTATTTGTAACTCTACAGTGCTCTATTAGTCACACTAACAGCAGCTGAATTCACCACTGCTAATTAGTGTGAAAATAGAAGGTATATCAGTCATACAGCAGTTGAAACATAAAAGCATCCTTTTTTAATGCAAGTAATAGTATACCATAACTTTAAATATCTATTTTAGTAACTTCAGTGTTATTAAAAATTTAGTAGAAAAAAATATTTATAGCATCTGTTTGGAACACAGCTCACTTTTATTTAAGCTATACTTTTTAAGGGCATATGTTGATCTGTTGCCAAAAATATATACAAGTATGAAAAAATAAATCTTGAAACGGTGTTTCATGACTTTTTATTGCTAATGCTACTGTCATCACCAGAATCCAAAAGTACAGATCGAATTCCTACTTTTTTTAGCTCTTCAATGAGGTCTCCATTTTTGTGCATATCAAGCATGATGTCACACCCTCCAACAAATTCACCATTGAAGAAAACTTGAGGAATTGTAGGCCAATTGGTGAATTTCTTTATTCCTGAAGAAAAATACTGCACATTAGACATAAACTTAATTTTTAAATTTTAATGGGATACAAAAGCTTGATAAATGTGCAAGCTATTCTTGTAGAAAACTGAACACTCAATGAATAAGAATTAGTCCAGTCTAGTCAACTGGGTTGTAAAATGCTATAGACTTAAAAGTCTGTCTCTACAACGTTAAAAGAGTAAATAGAAAAAAATTTTAAAGTACAATTTATACAATGCAACTGCTGATGAATGCTAAAATAAATCATGATAGTTAATAAGTTAGTACTAATTGAGAAATAGAATAAAAATAAACTGTTTGAGAAATATTTTTATTATCTATTAGTAAAATAAACAACACATACTTGGGTTATTTTACCCTAAAAAAAGAAAATGTTGCAAGAAGAAGCACATTTTACTGCATTACTAAAGTACTGGATAATAGGATATTAAGACAGGAAAAAAAGTCAAAAATGTGTTTTTCCATGGAATTCGTTAATACTTCTATATTTTCAGAAAGAGCAAATCAACACAGAATTAAGTAAATATAATGGAAACATTTTAGATATGTGTGCGTAGGTTGTGTTTGTTGGGTAAAACATGTAAAAATATTTGGTCTGAAGTATGTAGGTTTTAATTTTGTTATAGAATAGAATTAAGTAGAATGTTCCAACCTACTCAGTTTTCATCATCTTTTTAAAAATATAAGCTTTGAATCAGAGTTAAATGGGAAGAAGACATAGTAACAAGATTTATTGTCCACTTGTTGCAACAATAGTTCAGCTGCCTTTAATTACAACCCAAATTTATCGCCCTAATTACATCACAAAGCCTGGGATCAAGCCAAAATAGTTACAAAGGCTTACAGTAAGAAGTCAGCAATTCAGAATGTGGACGGACAAGAGTGACATGAAAATGAAAGGCTTATGGCAAAATAAAAACACAACAATATGCCTACATTTCTTTTATAGTCAATTTTTCTACCAGGTATTTAAATAAATGATATTTAAATTATCTTATAAATAGCATTTTCACTTATTGCGAAGATTTAAGTCAGATCATTATTAAAAACCAAAATACTTTCACAGTTTATTGATGTTACTAAAAATACCATCCATATTTATAAACACCCAAAGTTTTACAATTCTCAACAAGTAAATTAAAATATCTCTTAATACACATTTGCGACTTTTTTCTGTCACATTTTTTCATTCACCAAAGTATTAACCAGGGTCTTTTCCCATTAGCTAGAATGTAATTTGTTACTTTAATTAGCACAAAATAGAATTTATAGGGCCTAGGCCTATATATTTAATTTAGTTACCTATTGATGATACAATAATACTTGAGGTTTTTTTTTTACATTGATTTGAACAATGTATTTTAGTTTACTTTTTGCCTTCTTAATTAATTTCTACTGAAGGAATTACCATTAAATAGAAATGGTGTGGTCAAGGACAAGATGAAAAATTGCCATGGGTCATCTACAAATGATCTCATACTCCTAGAGAAAATGGGGGAGATCTGACATCTAAAATAATGTGCGTAATTGAAAGGTTATGAAAGTGTGTCATCACATTTTTAAAAGTATTTGTGTAAACTGAATTTTTGCCTAGCAATTCTTTTAGCATTTTAAAATTAAGGAGTAAGCATATGTGAGATTTTATTTTAGGGAGAGTGTGGATCAATAAAAAAAGCAACATGAGATCAATTGCGGACAATTTCCTAGATTCACAGTAAAATATTTTTCATTTGAGTCCACCCAATAAGGCAAAAAATTTAAGGTAATCTATCGTTTTGGGTACGTAAAATCGCCCGCGGCTTTTAATGTACGAAAACGTTACCTCATTGTCAAGGCTGTAATAGAAGTATATTGTGATATGTTTGTTGTGTCAAATATTATAGATAAATGAATAATAAACCTAAATCAATGGCTAAATATATCAAAATAGGCCAGAAATTAACTTTAAACAGCAGTGTCTGCAAGCAAGATTTGCTATATAAACAGCAGCCATTTGTAAAATAGAGTGACTTCCGTCTGAATCTCGCGCTATAAGTCTATAAAAATAAAACTTTAACAAGATGGCTGCTATAGTAAATGAGCATGGTTGCATCTGTTGGAAACATCGCTGGTGTTCACTTATTACTGAAAAGTTTTAATTCAATTGTTTAAAAACAGGTACATAAATGAAACAAGGAAACATTTTTGTATTTTTCAAAACATAAATCTTCCTCAAAATGTGAAATAATTATTAAAATGTAAGGAGTCACCTGTTTTTCACATTACTAGTCGCGGGCGATTTTACGTACCTAAAACGATAGATTACCAAATTTAAATATGGTGGTAACTCTGCATTTAGTCATTTAGCCTCTAGTTACAGTAAACTCTAGTTACTAATATTATACTAATATTACTATATATATACTAATACTTCACAAATGACAAATAGACTACCTTCTCGTAATTCATCATCAGAGAGAACGTCAAAAGATTCAAATTTATTGACACCATGAAATTTTAATATTTGACAAACAGCATTACTAAATCCGCATCGAGGAGCTTCAGGTGTGCCCTTCATAAACACAACAATTTTTTTTCCTTTGACAAGTTCATCAAAGTCGTACTTTTTTTGTTGGGAAAAAACACGAACAAAATTAAATCTGCAAGCTGACTGTATATTTTTGTTGAAGATATATGCTCCAAATTTATTCATTTTTAAAGACCTTGCTTATTTTTAATTTTTAAGTCATAAAATTAGTAGTAGATCTAGATCTAGATCTGTCTTGAAATGAAAAACGAAAGTAGGCCTTTACTCAACTTTAATCGGATCGTACGTACAGGCTAACTTACGTTAAGCCACAAAAAGCAGAAAAAAAACACCCAAACACGCATGAAATAAACGGCTGTAATGATGCATGTAAGTATTTCGCTGTTATAACATCTTCTATAGTTCTATACCTTTTTTGCGAATTAATCTCGGTTGAATACAAAACAATGAATTACATTCTCAAGTTGTGTTTAGAGCGGCTGCTGCATATATTTATTAAACCTGCCCCCCCCCCCCCCCCCCACGTTTTCCAACTGCGTTTCATTGTTAAAATTGTAACCGCCTAACGAGAATACCAGACCTTTTATAGTTCACCATGTTTAATGAAAAATGTATCTGAATGTAGACCTATTTTTACTGCAACTTTAAATCTAGTCCTATCTCTATCAATCATTAACCATTAACACATCATCTTAAACATGGTTATAGGGGTCATCCATAAATGACGTCACGTTTTTTTTGACAATTTTTACCTCCCCCTCCCCTCCGTCACACATCGTCACAAAAAGCCAGACCCCCCCTAAAATGACGTCATACCTCAGTCTACAACCCCCCGCCCTCAAAATTGCAGTTGAATTTTCCTTAAAACATCGACAGAGGCGTAGCGAGGGGGGGGGCGGGGGGGGGGACATATGTCCCCGGGCGCCGACCTTAGGGGGGGCGCCAAATTGAAAGTTTGAGGGGGGGTGCAAATGAAAAGTTCGAGGGGGGGTGCAAATCGAAAGTTTGAGTCGGGGGGTGCAAATGAAAAGTTCGAGGGGGGGGGTGCAAATCGAAAGTTTGAGGGGGGGGGTGCAAATGAAAAGTTCGAGGGGGGGGGGTGCAAATCGAAAATTTGCTCCCGAGGGGGGCGCCAAATTGAAAGTATGTCCCCGGGCGCCGGGAAGGGTCGCTACGCCTCTGAACATCGATATGTTTCCAAAATCTTGTCTGAACTCTCTCAACATAGAGTATTTTAATAAATTCCTAATACAATTTATTAAAACAGTCTTCTAAAACGCAAAATAACGGCTAGAATTTGTTTTCTAACATTGCTGTTTTATAATGCAAAAGTGTGACTTCCCACCATCAGACCCCCTCCCCCCTTTTTGTCACGATGTGTGACGGAAGGGAAGGGGGAGGTAAAAATCGTTCCAAAAAAGCGTGACGTCATTTATGGATGACCCCCTACAGTGTTTCTTCCAGACTTTTTTCTCCGGGGGGGCACTTGAAATCTTCGGGGGGGCGGTAGACTTTCTTCGGGGGGGCGGACAGTGTTAAAAGTATATATTTTCTATATAAATTATATAAATTTCATTTCGTTCGGGGGGGCGGTAAAAATTTTTTGGGGGGGCTTTGCCCCCCCCGAAGAGATGCCTGGAAGAAACTCTGCCCTTGGACTTAATTTTATTTAGGCCGTATTGGTTTATTTTTCATCTTTCACTACGCTTAAAGTAAAACAAATAGATTCTAAGATCTAGATCTAGCCCTAGGCATATTATAATACTATTATAATAATTATATTATTCGTTTGATTTTTAGTTGTATGATTTGGTTATTTTGTAGTTGAATGATAAATGAATGTATGTTTCCAAATGTGATTTTAAACTGGCAAATGAAAGTTAGGAAGGGAGACTACTAGAATCTAGATCTAGATCTAGAGGTAATAAAAATCCTAAGCATTTTTTTTTAGATTTTATCAGAATCATACGAAATACAGATCTAAATCTAGATTTAGAATCTAGGTTTTAAAATAAAGTTAGTTAATTTAGTTTTACTTAAGTCTAGGCCTAAATTAGTAAATTTTTAAAAATATTGTAAAAAAAAATGAGTCTAACTCTAAAACTAAAGCCTAAAACTTAAGTTTTACTAGTTACTAGATTCTAGAATCTACTAAAAAAAACAATTTTTGGTAGGCCCCTAATCTTTAGACTTTAATCTATCGTTTTAGTTTTAGGTGCGTAAAATCGGCCGAAGCTAGTAATGTGAGAAATAATTAATAGTTGCCTCATTGTTAAGGCTTTAGTTTTTAATAGAAGGGTAATCTTAGCATCTATCGTTTTAGGTACGTAAAATCGCCCTGGGCTATAATCATGTATAATACTAATGTATAATGTAAAAAACAGGTGACTCCTTAAATTAAATTTTAATAATTTCACATTTTGAGGAGGATTTATGTTTTGAAAAATGTTTCCTTGGTTCATTTATGTACCTGTTTTTAAACAATCGAATTATAACTGTAAGTTTGAGTGGTTTCCCCTGAATCTCTATAATTTTACAAAAAAAAAAACAACTTAAACAAGATGGCTGACTGCTTAAGTCGCCTTAAGTGAATGAGCTTGGTTGCTGCTGATGAAAGCATCGCTAGTCTTTATTTTTTTACTGAAAAGTTTTAATACAAATGTTTAAAAACAGGTACATTAATGATTATTAATGAAACTGAAACATTTTTGTAACTTTAAATCGTCTTGAAAATATGAAGTAATTACTAAAAAAATTGAATGAGTCACCTTTTTTTCACATTACTAGCTAGTCTCAGATGATTTTACGTAGGCCCTACCTAAAACGATAGATTACCCAATTTTTATACTAGTGTCAGATAATAGAATCTTCTTTAAAAAGGGGGTGTTAGGTTAACTGGTAGTTAACTAAACACACACATTGCTAGCTAATGTCAATGCTAACCCTGTCCCTAACCCCAACCCACCCTAGGGTCCTAGTCCAACCATATGCCTAACCCTAATTTCTAACCATGAAATTAGTCGAGATTACAGTTAAAAACCCAACACACCTATTTTATGGAAGAGTCTATTATCGGACATCAGTATATAAAATCATCCATAAAAACTTCTAGATCTAGACTCCAGTTCAGTGAGTCAAGTCCAGTGTGTCACTGACTGAATGCAGTCAAGTGTAGCGTAGTCTATGTAGGCCTACTCAATAATTAATAATTAATTACTAATTATTAGGCCTAATTACTATAAATTAATTAGGCCTAATAGTAGGAATACTAAATAATACTAGATCTAGAATAGGTTCTAGATCCAATTCTAGTAGTTAGATTTAGTTAAATTTACTCATAGATTGAAATTTTGAGTTGATGATTCAATTCTATTCATCTACACTATATTGGTATAAGCCTACATTACATTTATAGTACATTTCAAGATGTCCCTTGAGTGTCTCATAGCGTCAGCCGCCAACCAAACAAATGCATGCTTTCGCAGCATGTTGTTTGGCGACGGATGTCATGCAATGTGTAAACACAACATTTTGTTTAGCAAAAAAGGACTGAAAAAGCCAGTGAATTTTTTTCTCAGTACTACCTATTATTGTTTTATTCATTCTAAACCAGAAGTTTTTAAATTACCTTTTGGATTCCTATGTTGAAAGTAATTTATACTTATATTAATCAAGAACTTTTCTTTAAAGCAGAAATGGCGTTCATCACTCCAGAGCTCAAAATAGATGAAATAGAGGACTGGTTTAAAATTGGACTAGAGTCAACTAAAAAAAAAATAAAACCATTGGCAGCCTCGTATCTTGGGGGTCATATTTTCAACCCAGAAACTGGAGGAGTGTATGAATTTGACAAGCAGCGGGATTTAGATTCAAAACTCCCCAAATACAAAAGGTAATTTTTGTGTGCATGCATATGAATGTGTGTCTGTGTGTATAAATGTGTTTATATGCATATACTTATACACACTCAAATAATTTATTTTTTACAAATGTGTTTACTTTTGTTTTCCAGAAGCAACTATGTATCTAACAGACAACAATATGTTGAAGAATTTGTTCAGAAAGAGCAGGAAGAATTATTTTCTAAGACATATGTTAGTAATTATATGTTTATGTTTTTAAGATATTAATGTGAATTAACATTAAGCTAATAAGTCTGTAAGTTGTAATTGCACCTCTTATTCTTAGAAATTATAGAAATCTTGTTCTCTCATGCTAAACCTTTTGAAACAGTATGTATCTGACATTTTTAAATAATTTGTATAGTAATTTTTTTTTTGTATAATTTAAATTATGTTGGTATTTAAAACCAAATATGTAGAAAGAAAGCAATCTATGCCTATTGTATATTTGTCTTGTCAGGGTGCTGACGGTAGGAATGTTCCAGACTCTTTAGCAAATGAGCTTGAGGCTCTAGAGCTTGACAGCACAGCTTGCAGTGGCTTGCCCAGTGATCACATCCCAGAGGGAGCCACAGATGTTTATAACAACTATTCCTTCCAGCAGAAGTATGTGGAGTTACCTGTCTTGAGTTCTAAGGAGGAGGTGAATATTTTTATTTCTTGTATGAACTATAAAATCTATTTTTTTTTCTTCTGAAGACAGCTTTTTAAAATCACCATTTAAAAATATTGTTGCTGTTTAAAAGATGATTTTTGCTCTTTAATTCTCATTTCTTTTTCATAATTCCATAAGTAAAGTGTTTCCAGTGAGAAAACTAAAAAAATCCTGATTTACTTTGTTTAATATCAGGATTGACACATTAAGAGAAATCTATAAGTAATAATAACTGCAAAGATTTATTTTGTTTATGTGGTATTTACATATGAAGGAATTGGATGGTCACTTGACACTCAACTGTCTTTTCTTATAAATTATTTTTAGTGTGAAAGCTTTTTTTAAAATCTTTTTAATTACATATTAATAATAGCTAAATACATGTAACATATAAATGCTAGATTCCTGTAATTGTGTGTAAATTGTGTGTGCATTATTCCAACAGATTGTTGCAACAATTGAGAGCAACCAAGTCACAATAGTTCAGGGGCCCACAGGATCAGGAAAGACAACTCAAGTTCCTCAGTTTATTCTTGATCACTATGCCACAGAGTCCAAGTATTGTAACATAGTGGTCACACAGCCCCGTAAAATAGCAGCCATTTCCATAGCACAGAGAGTGAGTGATGAACGTGGCTGCTCTGTCGGATCTCTGTGTGGCTATCAGGTAAAACAATTTTTTATCTTATCAGGTTTGTACTTAATATTTTTGGATTTTAAGGTTTGCCGAATGATTATAAAAATAAGCAATAATTATTGTTTCAAGATGTAAATAATTGAACCTTTCAGATCGGGCTTGAACGCAAAGTCAGTGCAGATACGCGGATACTATACTGTACCACTGGGATCTTGAAAGAAAAACTTATCTTGAAGAAAAATATGCATGAATTTACTCATGTGATTTTGGATGAGGTTGGTTGATAAAACAATTTTTAATCCTTTTCACAGCTTAGGTAAATCCCCTTAGAGCAACTAATTCCCAACAACAGTGTGAAATTAAATGCTGTTGGTTTGTCTGAGCCTGAGTCTTACTTTGATTCTAAATAGGTAATGCTAAAAAGGTGAGGAGTCCCACATGCAGAAATGTTTGAGTGTAGTTGAAATGGCAGGAATTATTAAATAACTTTCACTGTGTAATAACAAAAATGTTTCCAACCCACAATTTAACCAAATGCCAGATAAAAAAATATTCAATTTTAATAGCCATCAGAGTTAAACAAAGTTTTAGAGGTTTTAAAGTCTACTTGTTTAACAAAAATTTTGGAGATTTAATTTTTTGAGCTTAATGTTTTTGAAATAAATGAACTTGTGTAATTCTGTATCAACTATTAAGGTGCATGAAAGAGACATTGAAACAGACTTTGTGCTCTTAATAATAAAGAAATTATTGAGAACAAACTCAGGTCATGTAAAAGTAAGTATTTTATCACCTCAGTTTTTTAAATTACTCTTTGTTGTGTAATTAATTGTAAATGTAAAGGGGCATAATGCAGAGGCAAAAAAGACACAGAATATTTCTACTTTATCTGCCATATTCATGGTCAGGCCTGAAAAGTTTCTTGTACTTCATGGTCTTACTGGGCATAGTGCTGACCACATTATCCCTTTATATGCCGAGGTCAAGAAACTCCACTTCATCTGCCAAATGGATCGTTAGGTCTAAAGAGGAATCTTTACTTTTTCTATTGTCTTACAGTCCTTATATATTCTGCTTCAACCCCCACCAATAAGACTCATGAAGTTTTCTAGCTATGATGACATAGCAATATTCTTCATCAGGTTGATATGAGCTAGAGCTGGGGAGCTGGTTAGACTTTAGCTGTCCTACAGAACACAACCAAATCCACATTCCTTACCTGGATTAGAACCTGAACCAGGGGTCGGCATGGTCGAGTTGGTAAAGCTCATGGTTGCTAAATCGAAAAGTCTCGAGTTTGAAACCTCGGGCAGATGAGGCTTGTTAGCTGGGGACAGCCACGCTTCTAGGAGAGACAACTCCAAAATTAAACAACTGCTGCCTCGTAGTTTGTTCTTGGTTGGACAAAGGCTATGGAAACAAATTTAAAAAGAAAAGCAGGCTGAAATCTGAGTCAATGGCCTCAATGGCGCATAACCAGTTAACATGTATACTTAATTGTGTTGGAGGCGTGGTAGAGTCAGCAAAGCTCATGGTTGTTAAATTTTTAATAAGTCTTTAGTTCAAGCCCTCTGGCAGATAAGGCATGATCCCTTCCAACACTATAATTAAGAACGAAGAAGAAGAACCTGGAACCTGTAGTTGAATTAGAACCTGGGCCATGTTCTTGGATTAGAATTTTAAACTAACTTTTGAGTTAACAGTTATAATTCTACCTGTTGTTCACTAAATAATCGCTTGTATGAAAACATTTGATAATTGAATATTTGTCAAGAGCTCCTTGTTCAAGACTGTTTTTATTCCAGGTTATTCTCATGTCTGCAACATTTGACACTCAGATTTTTGCCAATTACTTTGCCATACCACTCCGCAACAAGCTGGAACCTGCTCCAATCGTGACTATTGGGGCTGGACACCATCGAGTCTCAGAGTTTTTTGCAGATGATTTATCAGCAAGGCTTGGAGAGGTGAAGGCTGACTTTTCTGCTTTTGATTTATATTTTTTGCGCAAAGGAATATAATGCTTTATCTCAAAATTTAAAAAAATAAGAAAAAAAAAATCAGAGCTAATGTATATTTATATAGTATAATAAAACATGGACTGGATAGATAGTTCCTTCAATAAAACATTGGGCCTGATGTACAACATTTGCAGCTGTCCATATTTCTGTTTCTGTTGTCTGACCTCAGTTTCCTCCTGTTGATGAAAGCAAACCTGAAATTCACCCTGCACTGTATGACATAGTTATTGGACTTGTTAAAGAATTTGATCTACTAGAAGAAAAAGAACAAGGGTAACTTTTCAGTTTATTACAGAACAAAAATTTGCATGTATATTTTATTTTGAAAAGTGCTGATGTTATACAATTTTATGACACTTCAGCATTGACCAGAGAACAGGTTTTGCTCCAGTACGAGGAACTGTTCTAATGTTTCTTCCAGGTATGTCCAACTTTTCTTACAACTTATTTTTTATTTTAATTGTAAAAAAAATATTTCATAAATTATATCTACCTTAAAATATTTAAGTAAAAAATTGGCATCAATGGAGGTTATATAGAAGATCACTATGCATAAGAATTTATTATATTCAGTTAAAATTTAATAATTAAATTTCTTACAATAATAACAATATGTCAATGTTGGCAATAAGGAAAATTTGGTATAACTATTTTCTTAAGTCAGTCTAGTTGTTTAACTTTGATTATATTATATGAAATATAAATTATAAAGTTTTTAAGTGACTATTAAGTTTTGAACCAACATATTTATTAAAACTTTTGTTCATAAATATTACTAAATCATAAAATAATTATGTTACTAGGATATTATGAAATAACTAAAATCCTGGACAAAATCAGACAACTGGAAGATACACACTTGTAAGCATAATTTACCTGTATTTACATCTACTTCATACTTGGTTTATACTTTGATCAACCATCTGGTTTCTAGCCTCAAGTTTTTTTTCTTTCCCTAAAGTTTTTTAAGGGCTCATTGCTAGATTGGTTGTAAAATCCTCAGTCTTATGTTTAAAATAACTTCATTACAAGTTTCCAAATGATATAGAATGCCGATATTATATCCACAAACTAACAGATTTAGTTCTCATTATTTCAGTATCCTCCCAATTCCACTTCATTCTTCTATAACCTTAGATGAACAGAGTAAAGCATTTATAAAGCCTGCAAAAGGTTACAGAAAGGTAGCTGATAGCACTTTAATTAAAGATATAATATGGTTTTATCATCATTTCTATTCATAACCATTTAAACATGAAAAAATTGCCAATTATATAATGGGACTTACTTAAAGTTTTCAATATTTAGTTTAATACATTTTTATTAGTTGATGTTTTCATTGCTTTGAGCATATGTATTATTTTAAAGCTAATTAAGCTTTCAATACTTTTTCAGGTTATCATTTCAACCAATATTGCTGAGAGCTCCATTACAGTTCCAGATATTAAGTATGGTAGGTAAAACATTAGTTATGAGAACAGTGAGGTGAAAGCTACTACAAGAGATAATTTCTTTTATCCTTTTTGTCTAGAAGTTATTGTTTCTTTTTAATATTCTTACGATCCGACCCGCAGCGTCATATGCCGCTATATAGTTGTTTTATTTTCTACTTTTCAGTAATTCATAATTTGCGAATTCAGCAGTACCAATGCTGCCACTGAATATATTTGCTTTAAAACACTGTCAGTAGCTCGTTAAGGACGATAACCCCCCCCCCCCTCCTTTCCCCAACCTCTACCCCCCCCCCCCCGTGAAAGCAGCCTCCTCTTAGTTACCTCCCCTAAGTTTAAAATCGTTTCAAACTAAATTATCTGCCCCTAATAGCCGTCACTAAACCCGGCTCTACGATTGTAAACATTTAACGTGGACCACAGCTCACCAGACCATGTAGGGTTGGGACGGTAGGGAGCGCGCTTACAGGGTCTCCAAGAAGAGAATTATATATATAGATGTTGATTCTTTATATTTTATTAAAAACTGCACTTGAGAATCTGGTTGTGTTTTAAGACAGTAAATAAATTCTCCTGCAGTCATAGATTTCTGCTTGACCAAATATTTCAAGTCTGTAAATAATTTCTCCTGCAGTCATAGATTTCTGCTTGACCAAGAACCTGTGCTGTGATCCAGACACCAATTACACCCAGCTACAACTTGAGTGGGCTTCCAAGGCTAATGCTAAACAGCGAAAAGGTTGGTGTTATACACAGTACAAGGGAAGCAACCATAAAAAAAACATTGTAGGTTATTACCAGCTAACAATTGTGTCACTTGCAGGTCGTGCTGGGCGAGTTTCAAATGGTCGTGTGTATTACTTGGTACCTCGATGGTTCTTTGAAAGAGTTCTTCCAGATTTTGGCACTCCGGAAATGCAGGTTTGTTATGTGATACCATTTGTACTTGAGGTGTAACATTGGTATTTGATGTGTTAACATTGGTACTTGAGGTGTAACATTGGTACTTGAGGTGTTACATTGTAACATTGGTACTTGAGGTGTAACTTTGGTATTTGATTTGTTCATTCATTTTTTTCTTTAAAGCTCTCATGGCCAGTGGAAGTGAAATATGGAGATGATGTAGGGGGGGGGGGGGGTTTAGTATATCTATTTGAGTCTACATCCATGCCATATTAATAAACCTTGGTGGTCCCACATCCTATTTCCTAATAATTAGACCAAAAATAAAATGTATTAACATTTTTAGAAACAAAATTTTATCTTAACCTGGCATTGCTGATATTTTACTTCTTTAACTTGCTGACTTTGTGGCATTGTTACAGCGTGCTCCATTAGAAAACTTGATACTCAAGACAAAAATCTTCAACATGGGAGAACCTAAAGCTATCCTGGCTTTAGCCCTGTCCCCACCCAACCTGGATGATATTGAGAGGACAATCCTCAGTCTCAAAGAGGTGTTTTATTGTTTTACATGTTTATCCACTCTCTGAATTTTGTTCACTAATTTTTTCGCCAAGTTTAGCATTCATAAATTCAGGTACATTTGAAACATTTTATAGTAACAGATGGTGTTTAAAAAAATTCAAAACTTAAGAGCATTACTAGATCTAGCTTAGCTTAAAAATGTATCTCATAAATAAATAACTGTGGCAGTAAGCGAAACCACTAATTTACTCTACAGGTTGGTGCTCTAAGTTCTACAACTGGAATAAGTAGCAACCCACACGATGGAGACCTAACCTTTATTGGGAAGGTGTTGGCTGACCTGCCTGTGGATATAAGAATTGGAAAACTCTTCATACTGGGACATGTTTTTGGTGTCTTGGAGGAATGCCTTATTATTGGTGAGAAACAGTTCTTCTGTCAGTTGTACCACCTCTTTGTACAATGTTCACTGTACTGTCTAGAATTTGATGAGATGTTACATTCCTGTTTGTAAATCTTCTTCCAATTAAAAAATAATATTTGGTAAGGCATAGAATTATTTAAAAGAAAAATTCCTCAGATAACATTATATTTGAACCTAAATAAAATCTAATCTGAGACAAATTCTCTTCTAGGTGCTGCGTTGTCCCTAAAAAGTATTTTTGCCACACCCATGCAAGCTAGACTGGAGGCTTACAAGTAAGGCACTATTTTAAAACATTTTGATTTAAAAAATTAAAAGTCATTATGTTTGTTTTTATAATCCTTATAATTTTAAAAGTTTTCATTACCATCTGTTGCATTTATTTTGTGTTTTAGAACTAAACTTAGCTGGTCAGACAATTCACTCAGTGACTGCATTGCAATACTTAATGCCTACAAGGTAAATTCTTGCTTTTCAAAACTCCTTTTCTTAGATATAAAATACTAATTTTACCTAAAGAAACAAACAACATTTGACAAGATTGTAAGGATATACTACACAACCTGTGTTGTCTACCCTAACGGCCAGATAACGGGAGGAAGACAGAATCTTGTGTTTTAATTTTCTCAGTACATTTTATATTCTTCAATATTCCTTTCTATTACAGTAATTATTAGAATTGTTGTTGAGGTTTTAGTGGTGTAGAAAAAAGACAGATAATCATGCATGCTTGTTGTATTGTGTGCTGTAAAGAACCCTAAAAAATACATTTATAATGAGAAGAAATTTCTGTTGGCAAGGTTTGGGAGAACAGGGTGAAGATGAAGGAATTCAGCAGGGCAGGAGCTACAGAGAAACAGTGGGGGGCCAAGAATTTTATTCAAATCAGAGCCATCAAAGAGGTCAGTTTTCAAGCCTGCGCGTGTCAGAAAACAAAGTAAAATAGAGCTGTTGCTTGATTCTTATTAACTTATTAAACACTGTCGTCAGGTGCAAAAACTGATTGAAGAACTGGAGTCCAGACTTCTCAAGTTCAACATTTCAAGTCCACAAGTTCGTCCCAGCTTTAAAGGCAACCATACTAGTGCAGTGGAGCGGATTATTTTAAAGGTAAAATGACAAAACAAATAACCTTTGACCTCTCAATGATTTTTTTATTTGGCTGCTATTGAATGATGATGTAAATATGAAACAGAGCATCATGTGCATCACATATGTACATTATGTATTTTATGAAACCTTAATTTTTTACTTTCCTAACTTCCAAGTAGACATCATCTCTGATCATTTCTATCTGTTACAGTTGGTATTATGTGGAGCCTTCTATCCAAATTACGCTGTCAAAGAAGAAACAGATGAGCATGAGGCAGTCAAAACCCTTTCAAACAATGATCCTTTAAAGACAGTCATGGTGAAAGCATCATTTTATCATAACCTGGTTTTTTTTGTTTACAAAACCAAAAGAGCTAAAATAACATATTTCAATAAAGTTGTTTTAGCTCTTGTGATATTAACACTTCTTTATATTCTAAAAATATATTTTTCATATAAATATTGCAGGTCAAAGGTCTTCCTATAAACCAAGGAATTTTGTACCAAACAGAAATAAGAGAAATTTTCAAAAGTTGTTGGAAAGATCCGCCACCTCTAATAAGTTTTGAGCAGACAAGAGCCTATATAGAGTTTCCATGGAAACAAGGGACTATGTCAGAAGGGAGAGTTCATCCAGGTGTATATATAGCCATTAAAATCAGGTAATTATAAAAAGCATGTTTTTTTTGTTTACCATCTTTTTATTTATCTTAAGATATTTTTTCTGTTATAATCTCTGTGTATTATGTACATTAAATCTCTTGTAAGCTTCCTATCTGTGTATTTTGTTCTTTTGCAAGCCCCCAATTTACAATTTTCGTCTTTAGGAAATAATTTTTGTCCTTACAACAAGAAACCAAGAACGGTTCTCTTTTAGTTTTCGAGATTATGGTTCATTAGACTGTTGAGTTCATTAGATTTTTTGGAATTGTTCATACTTTTAGAGGTGTGTGGCTGTAGTGATCTAGGCACTGCTGTGTAAGGATCTACTCCCTACCACTTGACCCTTGGATTTATGTTAATTAATAGGTCAAATTATTTTCTAATCAGACAGTTGGGAGTGAAAATGGGTCTTAGTATGTATGACAAGGAGGAAACACAAAAGCGCTTAAAAAATGTTCAGGAGGCTACAGCCAGTCAGAGATCTACCAGTGACCTGCGCACAAACAGGTATTTTTCTTACGTTGTTTGACTTTTGTATGTTAAGTTAGCTTTTTATAATAAAAGTACATATCTTTTGTAAATGTCAATTGTTGTTGTTCTTTTTTTTTTTTTTGTTATTACAGCTTATATAGATGTTGTGTATACATCATGTGTTTGGGATATGTTTTCATCCTGTCATAATGTTCAGAATAAATTTTGTTCCACAGAATGAAAGCTGACAACATTGTTGGTGAGAAACAGTCTTCATACACCGTCACCATTGATCCAAATATCTCGACACTTTTACTTAGTGTTACAGAGGTTCGTAGTGCATTTAAAAAATTGTCCGTCTATTAGCTTGTTAGGAAATATTTTGATACAACATATATATTTTAGTATCACAAAAGTTTCTTAAAATGTTTTGTTTTTAGCTCATTTAGAAATAGCTTGATATCAATTTTTTTCTACAGGTAATGGAGTGTGGCCATTTTTGGGCACAGTGTGATGATGTAAACACACAGAAATATCTTACAGAAGTCCAGCTTGCCCTAAACAGTCCAAAAACAATTCTAAAGGTTAGGCAGGTTTTAGCCACAATGTTGCTGTACAATGTCGATATTAGTAAATAACAAGCAATTATTGGTTCCATTCTGTTAACTCTTTTTATTGCCTTTTCAGCCTTTTGAGCATTCTTTGCAACAAGGCATGCTTGTCGCAGCACCTTATGCAGATGGTACAGTGCAATACTACAGAGCTAGAATAGAGGAATTCACTACACAGAAAGTCACTGTTGCTGGGGGAACCTACAGATCTGTGCTATCTGCTGTGGTAGGTCGTATGGATGAATGAAGTTATTTTTTTTTAAATTCTAATTACATCTTCAGTTTACGAATAGTTTAATGAAACCTTTGCTCACTTGCAGGTTTTCTATGTTGATTATGGCAATACTGAAGTAATAGATGTCAGCCAGCTAAAACAGTTGCCACCCAACTGTCTCACGCAGCCTTTTTTGGTAAGTCTTGGTTAGTTGTTTTATCACAATCTTTGTTGGAGGATAACCATTCATCATTTATTTACATTGATCATTACAAAAAATAGTTTACTACTTTTGTAAAAAAAAAAATTATTTTTAGATGTAGAATAAACGTTGATTAAAAAGAAAGATGTTACTACCCCAAGTATAGGTTTTGAGTAAGAAGAAAGCTGTTGTTACCCTAAAGATATTTTTATTACAGGCTGTAGAGTTTTACCTGAAAGGAATCCGTCCCTCAAGTGTCCGCTGTACAGATGGTGTGTGGAGCAAACAAGCTAACGAGCTGTTCAAGACCTGGACATTGAACAAAACTTTGTATGCCCAGGTAATTGTTCCTTTTAACAATGATGAGATGGCATTTGTTATCTTACTGCTACACAGAGTTCTAGCTTATTAGTTTTCAAGTTATTTTTTATAAAAATAGTACTTCTAAATGGTTGTTATACTGAAAATTATACTTAAAACCTGAAATTGTAGACTTACACTAATGCAATTATTTTGTGTACATATTTCATGTAAAATATTTTTATTTCTGATAAAAAACTGGGTTTTTTCTTTCATCAGTCTACACACACCTTACCACCCTTTTAACCTTCTATACTTCTGTTATATACACTTGTCTCAAAAAGATTGAAAATTAGCCCTATATTCTTTAAATTGTAGGTTTACTCAATCGTGAACAACACGGTGCGTGTGAGCCTTGTGACCAGATACCCAAATGGCCAAGAGATTTGTGTCAATGATGAGCTCATCCAGCAAGAATTTGCTGTCCAAGCAGAGGAAACTTTCTTATCTCAGGTCAGATTTAACAATCTTGTGAACGGAAACTTTGATTTCTGTAGGTCAGATTTAACAATCTTGTGATTGGAAACTGATTTCTGTAGGTCAGATTTAACAATCTTGTGATTGGAAACTGATTTCTGTAGGTCAGATTTAACAATCTTGTGAATGGAAACTGATTTCTGTTAGAATTTTCTTATCTCAGGTCAGATTTAACAATCTTGTGAATGGAAACTTTAATTTCTGTAGGTCAGATTTAACAATCTTGTGACCTGAAACTTTGATTTCTGTTAGAATGTTCTTATCTCAGGTCAGATTTAACAATCTTGTGAATGGAAACTGATTTCTGTTAGAATTTTCTTATCTCAGGTCAGATTTAACAATCTTGTGAATGGAAACTTTAATTTCTGTAGGTCAGATTTAACAATCTTGTGACCTGAAACTTTGATTTCTGTTAGAATGTTCTTATCTCAGGTCAGATTTAACAATCTTGTGAATGGAAACTGATTTCTGTTAGAATTTTCTTATCTCAGGTCAGATTTAACAATCTTGTGAATGGAAACTTTAATTTCTGTAGGTCAGATTTAACAATCTTGTGACCTGAAACTTTGATTTCTGTTAGAATGTTCTTATCCCAGGTCAGATTTAACAATCTTGTGAATGTTAACTCAGCTTTCTGTCAATACTGTCATCAAGATTGGAGTCTCATGATTTATGTTTGCACCTGCAGCAAAACCATGAATGGAGAGAGAGCCTTAAAACAGGGGAGAGCAGTCAGGTGCAGCCAGACTCTTGGCTACAAGTCAGTGTCCCGGATAACACCAGGCCGTCAGATGTCAGGAGCAGAGGGAAGAAGGTACATTGTTTTCTTTTATCCAGTCCTTGAATCATTTACTTTTGTTTTAGTTATAAGAAATTCTATTTTCATTTATCAAATTGACTTACATATAATCTCGCCTATCTGGAAAAAGTTTAAATGAAACTTATTGTGTATGGTCATGATAATGACAAACTTGCATATGATGAAGGAAGCTGTGAAAATAAACCTTTATCTTCACAATTATTTACTTACACACCAGGTCATTTTTTTGTATGCTTTGTTTGGCATTTTTTCAAGGGTTATCTAAATTTATCTTTATTGTTTCAAGATTTTCTTGGTTGGCCCTTACAACCCATTGGAGATGACCTTTAGCTGTTTAACAAGCGGGGGAAGACAACTGTAATTGTTTTTTCTTATCATGTAGCATTAAATTTAAAAGCTTAAAAAAATTATTTTTTTTTACATTTTTAAAAATCATTCTAAATCTGATTTATTTTGTTAATCCTCAGAACTTTTTAAAATTAAGCATTTTTATTATTTAAGAACATTTCGTTTCCAGATCTGTAAAAATAGATCCAGAAAGTGTCAATTCTGTAGCTATTGATGATGACCCACAAAACAAATATTCACGATTGATGGTATCCAGCTTTATTGGACTGAACCAATCTGGGAATAGTATGGTAGCCAGGAACACGACCATCCTACCACAGATACCTGGCTTGCCAGCTTTAGTCACTCTTGTATTTGCCCCATTTGTGGAATACAGGTAACCTAAGAAATAAGGCTCACTTCTTTCCTTTACTCAGAACATTATCTTTGTTAAACTGATAGATTAGATGTATTCAATTATTTGTGCACACATATCATAAATTTTTTTTTTTAATATTCTAATTTGATTCAAAAGTAGCTGTAATGTTTTTGAACTAAGCAATTTATGAGGTAGTTTAATAAGTAGCATATAGTCCACAGCACCAAAAAAAAACTATTGTCTCTGTATTATTGTATCATGTTGTGAAATCCTTGCACAGAACTGATCCCAAGTGTGAACGTTACATTGGTGCCTTGTGTGGACTTGGCTATGATGAAGACAATCTACCCATACTTCCAGACCATGACATAGCTCTTACTTTTGAAACTAATTTTGGGACAGATGATATTGTTATGGTTGGTTTTTAATATTTCATTATACATTTTGAAAAATGCTAATGTATTTGACAGCTGGAATGGCTTGACTTAAATGGTTATATTTTGTGTTTAGATTAACCAAGTGCGAATGGCCATTAACGTTGCCCTTGGCACAGAAGATGCAGTAGTTTGCTGGGGCCAGGATATCCTGACCAGGATACAGGAAACTGCTAGGGATAAGTTGTTGACGTAAGTTCTAGGCCACATAAATAACGTGTACTTCTAGAGTTAATTTACTATTCAATTTGTATACATCTGTTAACCAAAGAGAGTGTTAAGTCAATTTAAAAGATTTATTAAAGAAATAAGATAACAAGCCTGAGAAGTTCTGAAGGCTATGTAACATATAGCTGCATGTGCTTGTTACATATACATTTAATGTATTAAGTTTAATCAGTTATGAATAGTTAGACGTTACACAAGTTACAAGTGGATAGATTTTACTGCTTTGATGTCTTCTTCTTCGTTCTTAGCTGCTTTGATGTAATATTTGAAATTGTTGTCCCTTTATGCTGGCAGGTTGCTGAAGAAGAAGAGAGAACCTGTCACACCACAGAACTTCCTCAGGCCTTATGACTGGAATCTGGTATGCTGGATCAGCACAACATTTTTCTTCACTATATTTCTTTCTTTTTTTATATTACCAAACAAATCATATAAAGGTTGACTGGTGCTTGTGTTCATGTAAAGGTTGACCCTAATCTGGTGCTTGTGTTCATGTAAAGGTTGATCCTAATCTGGTACTTGTGTTCATGTAAAGGTTGACCCTAATCTGGTGCTTGTGTTCATGTAAAGGTTGACCCTAATCTGGTACTTCAACACAACCTCACTGACACTGAAGCTGACTCAGATCATCTACTGCCTCTACACAATGCCATAGCTTTGGGCTGTGAGCAGGAGAAAGAATCCACAGAGCAGACCAAACCAAGTAAAGAATATTACATCAAGCACTTGAAAATGTTGAAGAAAATTGCAGAAAGGTCAGTTAGTGTATTTAACTATTATGTTACTAGTAGCCTACTTTGGCTTGATGAGGTGTAATTAGGTGTAATTGTAACATGATGATAGTTTTACTAAATGAGGTCAGACTAGATCAAACATTACATCAAGCACTTACAGAAAAGTCTGAAGTTTTAATTACCACTTTTGCTTAATAGTGAAATTTTTAAAATACAGAGATAGACACACTGCTAACATAAGTTCATTACAACTTAAAATATTTATTACTGATACGATACTGTTGATGTTAAATTAGTTTCAGTTCTGAATTTATTTTTTACTTCTCTAGTTCTCAGCGTCAACCTGTACGTTGTGAAGTGTGTAAGCTAACTGTAGCATCTTCACACATCCTTGCCATCCATCTGCTGACTGAGAGACACTGTCACAATGAAGCTTTAGTTTATGAAGGAAAGTTTCCTCGTGAGAAGTCTTAGTTTACAGTAGTAATTGCATTGAAGTATTGTTTTAATGTCTTTCAAAGGATATATTACAATGGTTTTTAAGAATTATTATTTGAGCTTACCTTTGCAACAATCAAATGTGTTTTAATTTTTTAATGATTTTTATTTCTTGTTTAGTTAAGTATCAGTAAAGCCATATGTACCAAAAGATCTGATGTGACATTTATAAGAATGTAAATTATATCAATTGATATAAAATAGGACATTTTACCTTAATGATCAATTACTATCCAAAAACATGTCAACAGTGGTTCACAGGGCAAGTTTTAACCAATGCCGCATGATATTAAGCCTTATTCCGCAGACTATTGGAAGCCTGGGGCAAAGCACTGGACACACACTACTAGATGCCAATCACTGTCCATGTTTTTATACACTTTAAAGCAAAATGTCTATTTAAAACACATTCCAATTGAATGCCTTCGAAGAAGCCATCAACTCAAGACAAGCCACTCCAAAATGAGCACACAAGTCGTTTATTTCCCAGGCCATTTCTGTACTGCCACAGTTCAAAAGAAAAGAAGCTCCCTTAGACTGAACCACAAAAAGTGGAGTATTGTTTGAATATCAAATAAAATAAATACTTGAATCAGTTCCGTTGGATAGAGTCATGTACATGTAAATACTGTTGTCCCAAAAACTCTGAGTGGTCAGTTTTCTGTCCTCTGAACCAACCAAGGCATGGAGTAGCAGATTTGAACAACCGCAAATGTATGTCACAGGTTTCCAAAGCAATTCTGATGTGATAGTCAATAACAAGTTTGTTCACATTTTTAGTTGAGATGTTTTTAATTCTCTTCCTTGTTAAGATTTAACACATCTGGCATCAGTTTTTAAAATTTGAAATCATTTGTTGATTTTCTTAACATCTGAAATTATCTATAAAAGATTCCTTATTAGATTGTTTACATCAATTTCTTGTATAAAAGTTTATGTTCTCAGCACAAATGCCACACCCCACTTGAAGATTTTAAGCCTGTTGTCCTTTTAATTTACTGCTTGAGCCAAAGCTTCCCATTATTTCAACTTTGTGTGTGTGTAAATATTTAAATTATCTTACATATTGAGTCAGTAAGTATAATTTTCTTGGGCAATATTTTATGTTGTGACACCTGGAGTATTTTTTGTATCTAAATGACTGCAATAAAACAGTTAAAACAACTCAATGAACCACTTCAGTTTTTTCTATGTTGGATTTTTTGTTGTTGCTATAAATGATAGTAACAGTGTGAATTAGTAACAGCTGGTGTTGGTTGGTATTAGAGTGAAGATTTCTGCATCAGTAACAGTAGATATCAGGCAATAAAATACATTGAATTTATTCACCTTAAATTCTAATACCTATTGCTCAAACTAGTCAAACAAAACTTCATGAATAGCTGTTATTAATGTAACAAAAGATATATATATATATATATATATATATATATATATGACAAACCAATAGACTACATTCCATGTAGAATGTGTCAGATACAAAATTTGCTTAAGGTCTTTACATTCTCAAATTATTCACACATTTTCTATAATACTAGTGTACCCATCGCACATTTCTGTGCGCAACATTTTAAGAGGATTTCGTCAATGTTCTACCGACCTTGTTTTCAAAATCTGAGTTATTTCAATCAAATTAAATGTAAGCAATTGTGGTACTATATTTCAGAATTTTATTTCTTGGATCTCAGTTGTTGGGGTGCGCGTTTGTCCACACTAGTGCCCCAGAATGTATGAAAAACTTGAGTGTACATTGATCACCCTCGGCAACTTTGAGGTAGAACACCCCTTAGGGGAATCAAGTGTAATAGCCCACTGTAGCTACATGTATTAAAGTTCTCATATGGGGAGCCAGGTGCTGCTCTGTTGCAGTCTGAGTAATGATTCGAGTTGTAGACTTGACCCCTGAGCAGGACTTACGAATGAGCACTTGAAATTTTTGCGTGGGGGGGGGGGGCGGACACTGGTAAAAGCATATATTTTCTATATAAATTCTAATTCGTTCGTGGGGGGGGGGGTGGCTCCCCCGAAGAGATGCCTGGAAGAAACACTGGTTTCAATACATCCTGCCTTTAACTTACTTACTTTAAGTTAAGATATTATTTTTTTTTTTTAAAGAAAATACAAAATCCATGTCACATCTTTGCCTCCTTGCCTAAGCCAAGGTCCATCCACGTAGGTCATTGTAACAATCCCCTTAAGTGCAACTCTATCTTGGGTTTATTAAATATTATTATTAAATACCATTTAATTATAAAGAGGTATTCTATAAAATAACAGTAAAAACAGCCTTCACCAGATTAAAAATAAAATGTCTTATATTAAATTTTGTTTTCTATTACGGTCGTGATGAAATTCTTTTTAAGTGAACTTCCGTTTTATCCACTTTTACTTTCGTTTTTGGCAGGGATAAAGATGTCTTGCTTTGACTTTGAGAAATGAAAATAAACAAAAACAATTAACTTTAAAAAAAAGTGGTGTGAGTGTGATTATAGAATCTAATTACGAAGTGTTCATATTTATTTTGTGGGCCTATTTCAAATTTTTCATTTACTTATGTTAAGATCAAGATCTGTATAAAATTTTAGATAGAATTTTCGAATTTTCATAGCTAACCCAGAGTAACCTAACCTGTGTAGGTGTAGTGACCTGTAGTTTAGTAGTATTCCTAACTATAACAGATAACTAATTAATTAGTATTAGGCCTAGTAATAATAAATATTAGGCCTAATAAGTAGGGGCCTAATTAGATTAGTGTCATTAGTTATTATATGTGTATAGTATAGTATTAGTTATAATTAAATTAGTAGTAAGTAGGCCTATACTATACTCTTTTACTCATGGTAATCTATCGCTTTGTATGTAAAATCCGCCGAGGTTAGTAATGTGAAAAGAAGGTGCCTCATTAAATTTTAATAATTATTTCACATTTTAAAGAAGATTTATGTTTTGAAAAGTACAAACATGTTTCAAAGTTTCATTCATGTACCTGTTTTTAAACAATTCTAATAGAATTTCTATTAAAACTTTTCAGTTATAAATAAAGACTAGATCTAGCTATGTTTTCATCAGATGCAACAAAGCTGTTTACTTCAGCAGCCATCTTGTTTAAGTTTTTTTGGTAAACTTATAGCGGGAGATTCAGGGGAAGCCACTCTATTTTACAAATGGCTGCTGTTTATATAGCAAATATTGCTAGCAAACACTGCTGTTTTAAGTTAATTTCTGGCCTATATTGAAATATTTAGCCTTGATTTTGGTTTATTATTCAATTATCTATAATATTTGACACAAATATATCACAATATACTTCTATTAAAGCCTTAACAATGAGGCATCTTTGTCACACATTACTAGCCTCTGCTGATTTTACTTACCTAAAACGATAGATAGGGGAATGAGTGGTCTAGCGGTAGAGAGCTGGACTGCTAACCCGTAAGTCTCGAGTTCGAATCCAGGTTCAAGTCAGTAGACCGTCCCTGAGTCCACCCAACTCTGATGGGTACCTAACTCATGTTAGGGAAAGTAAAGGCAGCTGGGCATAGTACTGATCACACTATCTCTTCATATGCCGAGGTCACAGAAACAAGTGAACTCTACTTCACTTGCCCTATAGACCATCAGGTTTGAAAAGGGAACTTTACTTTACGAGTTAGACTAATTTCTAAGTTATTTTTTAATGATTTATAAACTAAAGTCAGTACAGTCTGTGCTGCACATTATACCAAGGCTGCTTGCTTGTATGATTATGCCCATAATTTTATGATTTTGACACACAGGATACGAGTAATTACTTCTTCTCATTTAAAACTAGTTTTATCATTAACATTAAACTGAGCATAATAAAAAAAATTTTCAAAGATTTGGTGGTTGTTATTTTTGCTAACAAAGCAGCTACAGTAAGGGAGGGACTGAAACCAAGATGATAGCAGCTCAAATTATGTAGTCTTAAATTTATATTAGTATTATCTTATTAAAAGTTTAATTTGTACGTGTTTCACATTTTGTAGGATGGTCAACTTTGTCAAACTCTGGAGGAACAAGGTTAACAATTTCTGGCAATAGAATGAGTAAACTTTTGACCAAAGCCGCTGTGGCATGCTCGAGGTTGTTACAGACTGGCAGTCTTGGCTCTGGTTTTACAGATGCTCTTGTTGTCAGATGTTTAAACACGCAACAAGAGGTGCTGATGAATGTTTTTGACAGAAAGGCTAAGCTGCTGCAGAGAGAGAGAGCTGCTCAAGGCATTAATGGAGAAGATGTCAGTGTTTACGATTATGTGAAAGATGAGGTATGTTTTGTACAATTATACTTTTAGTTGATGAAAACAAATCTAAACATTTAAATAATATTTATTCAAACATGCTTGCTATTTTCATGCTTTATGAAAGCAATAATATAATTTTATGGAACCAATTCCTGAAAAGTTTGACCTGTATATAAATGTAATTCTACCAAAATTTACTTAATTGATTTTAGTGTAAAAATAATTTAATATTTAAATTAGCATTTTAAAGCTTAACCATATGTTACTGAAATGATGGTTTACTTACTTTCAATACAGATTTTCTTTTTAAAGTGTCTTTAACATTTTCTTCACAGTTTGGCTATAGGACTGCTGAAAGAATATGGGACATTAAAAGGTAGTAAAGAAGTGTAGAAGTGAGCTAGAAATGGTTGTAAAATTGTTTCATAGCCAATTTACATTTTGGAGAGTTTTTATAACTATTCTCTTATATCCACAAATAAATTATTTAATAAATAATTGTATAATGTAAAGTGAACCCATTCCTCTTAAATAAAAGATACAACATTTAGTTCCTTGTGATTTAATCACATTTTAAAATAGTGTTTAAAATTTCCTCCAAATAATATTAAGTAGACCTATTCTAACACCAGTGCACTCAGTATGTTAGTACATCACTAACAGTCATTGAACTCGACCGTATACTATATTTTTCAAATAAGAAACTGCTATGGTTCTGTTAAACATTTTACATTAGAATTTGTTTGTGTAAAAATTTCGAATTAGTTTAATCTGAGACAGACTTTTTTTTTACATTAATTGAGGTTTGGTGTTGTTGATTTGATTTCATCTGAGACAGACTTTGCATTACAGGAGGTTTAGTGTTGTTGAATTGATTTAATCTGCATTACAGGAGGTTTGGTGTAGTTGTTGATTTGGGCAGTGGCAGAGGACATGTTACAAAACACATTTGTAAAGATAGTGTTGACCTGATATATCAGTGTGAGTTCTCTCCCTCATTGCTGGTGAGTTCCAAGTTTAGTAGCATTAAAATAAAATTGTTGGCTTCTGATAATGTATTAGTTCTATTATTATCTATATATATATAATTCTCTTCTTGGAGACGTTAGAAAACAAGCTGTAAGCGCGCCTTGCAGTCCCCTCTCTTCCTCTCTAGGAAGTCTGGTGAGCTGTGGTTCACGCTAAATGTTTACAATCATAGAGCCGGGTTTAGTGACGGCTATTAGGGGCAGATAATGTAGTTCGAAACGATTTTAAACTTAGGGGAGGTAACGAAGAGGAGTTTGCTTTCAAGGGGGGGGGGGTGGGTATCGTCCTTAATGACCATCTGATAGTGTTTTAAAGCAAATATTTTCAGTGGCAGCATTGGTACTGTCGAATTCACAAATTATGAATTACTGAAAAGTAGAAAATAAAACATCTAAATAGCGGCGTATGATACGCCGCGGGTCGGCTCGAATTAGATAAAAATTTAAAGCCTAAATTTTTACATGCTGTATTTTAAGCTGTGTTTTCAGTTATTTTGTTAAGTGCTATTTATAAATATTAAAAATGTAAACATTAGCAACTATGAAAGTGCTCACACAACAATAATAACACTATTACAGCACTGTGATACCATCATATAAGCATTTAGTCTAAGCATTATCATTAAGTTGTTTCATGAGATCTCGTAAGAAATTTATTGTTAAAATGCTTATTAATATTTTTTAATAAATTGAACTGTACAAAATGTGTAAAAAAAAGTTGGGCATCGAAATATAAATAAATTTGCTGTAGTGAAAGAAATTAAAAAGACAATTAATTCTACCTAATCTGCATATTTGACCATTGGGTCCAATGAGTATATCACTGCTTATTTTACACTCTATTGGTAAAATATTTATTTTTTATTTTGAAGGATCAAGCTGCAGTTTCTCCTGAAGTCACAACTAAAAAAATGGTGGTTGATGAAGAAAATCTGCCATTTGAAGAAAATTCCATTGACATGTTCATTAGCAGTTTGAGGTGAGTTGGTTCTAGATAGAAAATAAACTACCTGCTTTATATTAACACATTTTTAGAACTTGGAGCAACTAAAACTGTTTATTCTGTATGCATTGTGTAAACATTTTTTTAGACGTTGTTTGTAAACTGGTTATCTTTATTTCAGTCTCCATTGGGTGAATGACCTCCCAGGGTGCTTAAGTCAGGTAGGAGCTATTTATAGCGCTACTTTGTTAAATGACCTGAGATGTATTTTTAAGTTTTCTTAACAAGAATATTTCACTCAAGGCAATTTTTTTATTTTATTGTGACTTTTAAAAATATTTCTGCAAATATTAATGAAATGATGAGTTTATAATACTAGTCATTCATCTATTTCAAAACATGATTAAAGTCAATTTTTCCCTTTTATACCATCTTTAAACCCTAACTTTTGTCTAGATCCTCAGGGCTCTGAAGAATGTTATTAAACCCTAACTTTTGTCTAGATCCTCAGGGCTCTGAAGAATGACTGTTGTATAATTGGCTGCATGTTTGGAGGTGACACACTGTACCAGCTGAGAGTGTCCCTGCAGCTTGCTGAGATAGAGAGGGAGGGGGTGAGTAGTTTAGTGGCCCCATTATGTTGTGTGGCTCTTGTCCTGTTGTCACTTTATGTTGTATGTGGCCCATGTCCTATTGTCATATTATATTGTATAGCCCATGTCCTATTGTCACATTATATTGTATAGCCCATGTCCTGTTGTCATATTATATTGTATAACCAATGTCCTGTTGTCATATTATATTGTATAGCCCATGTCCTATTGTCACATTATATTGTATGGCGTATGTCCTGTTGTCACATTATGTTGTATGGCCCATGTTTTAAAATCTCCTGCAGGGTTTTGCCCCCCACATCTCCCCCTTCACCACAGCAAATGACCTTGGAAGTTTGCTCACAAGAACTGGATTTACCTTGCTAACTATTGTGAGTTGTTTTCAGTGTTACTGTATTCTGTTTATTCCCATACCAGTTTATATTGCAGTTATTTTTCTTTTCTTCTAAAAACTTGTATCTCTATAAGTTTAAAAGGCCTATTTATTAACTATATTTCAGGATATGGATGAGATGACAATTACGTATCCTTCTATATTTGAACTCATGTATGACCTTAAAGGTAGGGTTTATAAAAATTAACAAACAATTATTTACTGGCTGTAAAAACTTATACAAAAAAATAGAATTGATTATAGAGCACCATAAAATAAGATAAAGTTGTATACAAATAATTTAACCAATCTATTTGCTAGGTATGGGAGAGAACAACTGCACATGGAGGAGGAAACCCCAGCTCCACCGTGACACCATGCTCGCTGCAGCTTCTATTTACAAAGGTGACTTGTTTTGGTTTTTTAGATAATATCAAAAGCACATAATACAAGTTTTTAAAAAATGGTTTATTGATCTTTTTTTTCTTCTTCGTTCTTAATTTTAGTGTTGAAAGGGATTCCCTCCAACTCAATTAAGTATAAGTGTCAACTGGATATGCGCTATTTAGGCCGTTGACTCCGTTCTGAGCCTTCGTTGTTTTGTTTTTTATTTGCTTCCACAGCCTTTGTCCAACCAAGTACAAACTACAAGGCAGCAGTTGTTTGATTTTGGAGTTGTCTCTCCTAGAAAAGTTGCTGTCCCCAACTATCGAGCCTCATCAGCCCAAGGGTTCGAACTTGAGACCTTTCGGTTTAGCAGCCATGAGCTTATACCGACTCGACTACGCCGAGCCCTAATTGTGTATTATTATTTAAAATCTGATTTTTAAATTAGTTTTTTTTTTCTCTGGCATAATAATTTTTTAAATGATTCTAATTTATTTAAATCCTTCAGAAATGTATGGCAATGATAAAGGTATCCCAGCAACCTTTCAAGTCATCAACTTCATTGCTTGGAAGCCTGACCCAAGCCAGGTTAGTAAAACAAAATTAAAAGCCTAGAAAAAACATAAACAAATTTACAAGAAAACATGAGCTGCCAAAAAAAAAATGCTGAAAAATAGATTGTTTATATAAATAATGTAATTGTAAAGGCTAAAAAAGCAATGTTTATTTTTTGTTTACACGTGTAGGCCTACTGTTTTTATAAGCACAGGTTGACAGTAATTCTGTGTTGAGATTGTTTGAAAACATTTGTGGATTGATTACATTTTTAGAACAAAATCATTGCACCATTTCTCTTTTCTAAGGTCATTTATAAAACAAAATTTAATAAGTTTTACTATTTAGGTTCATTATAACATTAAATGAATATTTCTGCCACGAATTAAATTAAATGATTATTTCTATCACGAATTACATTAAATGAATATTTATGCCATGAGTTATATTAAAAGAATAGTTTTGCAATAAATTAAACTACATGCTCATTTTTTTCAATGAATAACAAAGAATAATTTTTTAATGAATAAAACAAATTTTCCAGCCAAAACCAGCCAAGCGTGGATCAGGTCAAGTTTCTCTAAAAGATTTGGACAAGGTCAGTTTTTATCACACAATTTTATCAATGTACAAAGCCTTGAAGTTAGCCCATCAATGTTAGGTTTTTGGCATGATTTCTCTGCCATTTCTTATACATTTTTAATTGTTTTATCTGATATCTAGATCTAAAATTTTTACCTCACATTTTTATTTTACATTCATGTATCTCAAATTTTTATCTCACACTTTTATTTTACATTCATATATCTCATATTTTTATCTCACCCTTTTATCTCATATTTTTATCTGCCATTTTTCAGCTGGATCAGTTGGCCAAGCAAATGACAATGAAGCAAGCTGAAATCGATGGTGTCAAAGTTGTAAAACTAGAAGCAGGGGAACATGATGAAACAAAACATGATGACACAGATCCAAGCAAAGGAAAAGGGCAATAATAATTAGTTAAATTTAGGGGTGTGAATGTTCAAATGTAAATATTGGTAAAACGAGTAATTGTAATGTCTATTGGCTGATAGTTTTTATGTGAGTGAGATTGTACATGTTTGGATTTATTTTAGCTTGTTAGTCCTTAATTAATTAAAAATTTTCTAGGTAATTTTTAATACTTTTAAAAACAATTATAAAAGGTAATTACTGTTTTTAACATATTCAATACATTATTGTTTTTATAAAGAGAAAAATTATTTGTGGGCTTTTATTATGTTTTTTGTTTACATTATTTCATGTCATCTGAAAATATTAGAAAAAGTGTCCATTTCTGTTAGACATGCAGTAAGTCAAGTCGTGTACACTATAGATAAATAAATATTACAATACATTTTTGTGTTTGTCTATCACTCATTTTAACAATAAGTCACTGGTGCATTTGAGCTCCTAAACATGTTTTAAAAAACTAACAACTAATTCCCTAAAATGGTTGCAAATCATGTGCATGCCTGAGATGTCCATTCCAAATTTTCTGGCTAGCACGAAGATTCAGTTTTGTACAGGTAATTTTACTGACATGGATTAGAAGATGGCAAAATATAAAAAGCGTGTAATAACTAAGATTACAGTGGCCAGATTTAGGGAAGTGAGAAACTGGCCGCAAAAGTGTGTTTATTTTCAATTTCAGCAAATGATGTATTTCAGTAGACAATTTTTAGCATCTTCAAAAAATTCGAGCTATTTCAGGGGATGTAACTATGATAAATGTACACTGATTATCGTCCTTAGTTTGGATAAGCTCACGACAGTTTGTTGGGGAAAGGTGTTTACCACAACATAGGCGATCATTTCAAAACCCAAACGCCATTGGTTCGCCCTCTCAGACCTCGCATCCGCTAATTTTTAGTGTAGGTAGTGTTTGGTTTTTAAACTGCTACATTAGGTCGTCATGGTGACGTGTGTAGCTCAACGAATGGACGCAATTCACAACTGACATGAACAGCACTGGTACACGTGAACAGAATAACAAAAGCTCATTAACGGCGGTAGTCTTGTACAGCTAATAGTGTTACACATCTTAACATGCTCTACATCTAGTGTTTTTTCTGACATTTTTCTCCGAGGGGGGCGGAGGGCCGGGGCACTTGTAGAGGAGTGGGAAAAGGAGAGCGGACACTATATAAAGTATACGAGCCGACCCGCGGCATAGCATACGCCGCTATTTAGTTGTTTTATTTTCTACTTTTCAGTAATTCATAATTTGTGAATTCGACAGCACCAATGCTGGCACTGAAAATATTTGCTTTAAAACACTATCAGTAGGTCGTTAAGGATGATACTACCCATACCCTCCTCTTAGTTATCTCCCCTAAGTTTAAAATCGTTTCAAACTAAATTATCTGCCCCTAATAGCCGTCACTAAACCCAGCTCCACGAATGTAAACATTAGCGTGAACCACAGCTCATCAGACCATGTAGGGGTGGGGTGGTAGGGAGCGCGCTTACAGCTTGTTTTCTAGCGTCTTCCAGAAGAGAATTATATATATATATATAGATATTTTCTATATAAACTGCATGTTTCTATTTCTTTCCAGGAGGGGGGGGGGGTGCTTTGAAAGTGCCATTTAAAAAAAGCACAGGATCATATTCCGGACAGTTGGCGAGTGTCATTGTTAAAATTGACAGTAATAAAAGGACCAAGAAAATAACGTGAAAATATCATCAGTCGTCTGTAGCCATTTCCTTTAGACTATCAACCAATCAGCTGACCTCTTGATGGTCACTTTTAGTGTTTTAGTGCGTCTGTTTTACTAAGGGGGTCGTCCATAAATGACGTCACACTCGTAGGGGGAGGGGGGTCCGCAATTTTGTGACGGTGTGTGATGAGGGGGGGGGGGGGGGTTCAGATGGTGCGACGTCACACTTTTGCATTATAAAAAAGCAATGTTAGAAAACGAATTTTAGACGTTATTTTGCGTTTTAGAAAGCTGTTTTAATAAATTGCAATAATAATTTATTAAAATACTTTATTTTGACAGAGTTCAGACACGATTTTGGAAAAAAAATAGCTGTTTAAAATAATTCAACTGCAATTTTGAGGGGGGGGGGGGTTGTAGGCTGAGGTGTGACGTCATTTTAGGGGGGGGTCTAGCTTTTTGTGACGATGTGTAACGGAGGGGAGGGGGGAGGTGAAAATCGTCCAAAAAAGCGTGACGTCATTTATTGATGACCCCTAAGTCCAGTAAAAGTTTTGAGCTTTTTTAAAAAAAAGTAGATGTAGGCCTAATTTACATATCACTTTATCGGTCGTTAAGTGTGTTAACTGCGCATGCTCAGAACAAAACGGCTGCAGTGTCTAATGTCTTTGGCGAGCGTAAAGACACATGTTGGCAGAGGTGTAAAATAATTCGCAACCATATTTCTGTTCGTGGTGGAGAGGGTAGACAATGCACGTGGGGTGGGGGTGGGGGGATGCGTGTGCACCGTCATGGGAATTACTGCTGTCATTATATGTTTGGGTGGGTGGGGCGGCTTCTTGTTAGGGCTGACAAGATCTGTGTAGGCAACATCACTAATGATCACTTGTCATCGCTTCCTTCTTGGACTTTTAAAAAACATTAAATATATCTCTTAGTTTAAAGGGGGAGGCTGGTAGGGCTGCTGCCGGGGGCCCCCGAATTTTCTCTTACAAATCATAGTAAACAAATTGTTTTTCTTTACTATAAAAACCAATGCATTAATATTTGCACTACACGCTTATTGCCTTTGTAAAAAATATCAAACACGGGCAAACACTTAAGTATAAATGTCAGCTGTCATCACCTCCTACCCAGACATTGTTTATATAAAGAGGACGCTTCCTAAAATAACATTGTCCTGACCAGCTTTCGTTTATGACAATAAAATTAGTTGATTTTAAAGTTTAAAATACATAAACAACAACCGAATTCTGACAAATGAGTTGAGGCAAACTATTGACCCCCCCCCCCCATCTATTTTAAACAGAAACCAGCAATTAAACTTTATTTCATCAGATAGCGCAACACGGTGGTACACAAACATAAAATAAAAATAATGCTATTGTTCTGAATGAGCTATCATTTACAATCATTCAGACCAGCAGAATTAAAGACTAACCCTTGCAATGAATGAAAAAATGCTAGACCGTCTTTGCTCACCAGCTACATTACTAAGAAACGTATGGAAATATGCTTTACATATCTGTTATTAGAATTAAGGTTTCGGATAGTCATAGTTTTTAGGTGTAGGTTATCTAGATCTAGTTACTTTGGATTAAAACTTCCTAGATGCATCGTTTAAGATATTTGTCTTTCTTATTTGCCTCTTCGAGCCTGGCGATCATAGGGCAGACAATGGCGGATTGGAGGGGGGGGGGGGGGGGGGGGCGGGTGAGAGGCCCTGATTTTTTAGGTCTTCAAATTGGCTCTTAGAATGTAAATTTTAAGTGGTCTGATCACACATACAAACGTAATACAAAGCGACATATCTATTATGACCCTGCGCCTTCCATTTGATCCCGACAAGCAGCACTATAACCCTAACAAGGTTACAACAGTAGGCTTATTTAGAAAGGTATGGAGAGATGTTTTCAAATTTTGTGATCTAAATCAAAATTTTGTATAGTTATGCTTTTTTAAAGATAAATTACAACATATGGGTCTAATCAAGCACGATTTGAAAGGCACTGTAGTTGCAATATCAGGGGTGTAATTAGGTTATCCTGTATTTATTTTCCTGTATGTTTTACCATTTAATCCCAATATCTTTTCATCGAATTTTAAACACACCCGACCTAAACATGTTTGTGTATCAGGAAACGATTACACAGCTGTGTCGCTAGACTAATTGAGCTTTTGTCAGTCAACACGATCTACTGCTTGTGTTTAAATATCCTGTAAATCTTTAATTTCTTTTATCATTTGTCGGCCACACAGGACTTTTCAAAAAGTCATTTTTCGCCTGTTCTAATGACATGTGTTATAAAGATTTATTCCTTTCTTCGTTCCTTGATGGATGCGAACCCGTATATTTTTTGTGTGTATATCTAACCTCCAGTGGTATGAAAAATAACGAAAAAAACATGTGACACAAGAGCTAAGCATGTATTAACTATCTAGCTAAAATAACGTAAGTTTACATAATATTTTCCATCTCGGAATTTTTCACTAGCATTTGTTTACTTATTGTTAAACTATTTTTATTTAACACACACACATACACACGCACACACACACACACACACACATATATATATATATATATATATATATATATATATATATATATATATATATATATATATATATATATATATATATATATATATATTTATATATATATATATATATATATATTTATATATGTATATGGAGGGGGGGGGCAAACATTTTCAGCCGAGGGCCCGCTCAAGCTAAATACGCACCCCCACCCCCTGCTATCTCTGCTATAGTTTATTTCTGACCGAAGCCTTGTGATTATAACTGATCGGGCCAATCACTAACAAAAATTGGCCATCTGTTGATGGTCAAAGGTCAGTTAAGTTCAGGACCCCCGGATCTTAGTGGCTTCCAAATATTCTTTTATCAACGATAGAAAATGTACTACTGTTATTACATGCAAATACCACATACAAACGCTCTGTTTGAATATTACTTTCAAGTGCGTTTTGCCAGCTTCTATTATCTTATGTTTCTAATGTAGACTATATTTTAATACATCTAACCACTATGTGTGCATGTACACACGATAGGACAGCAAATTAAGCTACCGGTTTACCAGAATAGAGTAGAATCGAGTAGTAATGTTGATATCCTTTCTGTTCATTGTTCACCAGAATGGAGCTGAGTGAAGTAGTAATGTTGATATCCTTTCTGTTCATTGTTCACCAGAATGGAGCTGAGTGAAGTAGTAATGTTGATATCCTTTCTGTTCATTGTTCACCAGAATGGAGCTGAATGGAGTAGTAACATGTGACTGTTGATCTCCTTCCTGTTCATTTCGGTCTGATGAACCGATATCTATGAACCTTGTGGGATTCCGTTGAGCAACAGGAACTGGTTGATGACACAACTACACTCCTATCTCTCACAACTAGCGGTAGATGCAGGCGTAAAATGTGTCGTATTAGAAAAGGTTGAGCGTCCACAGAAAGAAAAGACTCCATCAATACAGAATGAAAATGTTTTCTAATGGAATCGGCTGCTGAGAACGTCTAACAATAGCAAGGAATACGAGGAGTATGTACACGCGCTTCAGAGGAATGACACGCGCTACAGAGGAATGACACGCGCTACAGAGGAATGACACGCGCTACAGAGGAATGACACGCGCTCCAGAGGAATGACAATGTGGAAAAAAAGGCGCTTAGGGCTTCGATGCTGCTGCCTGATGCTCCAAAATGCATCGTGTTGTCAAACAAGAATTAATTTTTAAGTTTTTTTTTTTTTAATTTTAATATTCATAACCATAATTTATAATTCTACTTGTAAGCCTACTATAAAACATTAAGTTACCATGTCATAGGTCAATAGGTATAATGAAGTAGAGTGACCTCGGCATACGAAGGAAAATAGTGAGTTCAGTTTTTTTATAGTCGCCTCTGAATTTTAAAAAGTACAAAATATTACAGGGGCCCCCAAAATCTCCAGCCAGCGCCCCGTTCAATCCTCCCCTGTTTAATGCCGGTACTAATACATAGTCCTACAAAAGTAAACTAAACCCAGCCCCCCCCCCCCCACCCCCAACGCCAGCCTGTACTGGTGAATAGAAACTTGGAAAGGTCAAGGTCTCTATCTTGTTTATAAGATAATAGCTGAATTTGTTCCGACTTACTTCACGGTTGCTAATTTCCATCTCAGAAGTAACTTTTTACCACTGACTACTACTAGGTAGGTCTCTACGAAATATAAAATATCCCCATAGAAAAAAAATCACTAACAAACAATCGACTATTGTGGTAAGCTGTTTTTTTAAACAGCCACTAACATAATCAGCTAATAAAAGCAGAGCTGAAATGCGCGGTTAATTGTATGAGAATCCAAATTAAACACCCGCATCTTCTGCTGATCCAACATCTGCTTTAGCCTGGCCCCAGCACACGACAAGCTCACTGCTACAGAAGATCTGCTTCCATCAGAAGGTTCGTCCAAGTGTGGGAATGGCACTGGTCGAGGGGATAGCCACTTCAAGTGTACTTGTGTTTTACGTGAACGGGGTCAAGGTAAGAAGTGTTACTTCATTTCGTCTTAACTGTGGTCATTTTAACAACTTCTAGAAATTCATTTATAAACATGTATCTACAAATATTTACTGAAAGTAGCAAAAGCAAATTGTCAACTCCAGCTAAAGCAAAATTTCTAGCTCTAGGGTCACTAAAGTTAGCTCTAGGGTAACCAAAGTTAGCTTTTGGGTCATCAAAGTTTGATCTTGGGTCACCAAAGTTAGATCTAGGGTCACCAAAGGTAGCTCTAGGGTCTCCAAAGTTAGCTCTAGGGTCACCAAAGTTAGCTCTTGGGTCACCAAAATTTCCCGTATGTTTACCAAAGTTTACATTGGACTGAGAGTGTTGCTAATCTCCCCCCCCCCTCTTCAAGATCGCCGTAGACTGGAGCTATCGAGCCTCATCTACCCGGCACACATAACCAATACACTAAAATTGAGAGGACTGAACAATTGACCCCTAATGTGCAGGGTTTCCACTGTGGGTGATAACCAGTGTTTCTTCCAGACTTTTTTCTCCGAGGAGGGGGGGGGGCACTTGAAATTCTCGGGGGGAGGGCGGACACTGTTAAAAGTATATATTTTCTATATAATTTTCGTTTCGTTGGGGGGGGGGGGGGGGGGAGGGGGCGGTAGACTTTCTTCTGGGTGCTCCACCCCCCCTCCCCCAAATAAACCAAACAATACATGACAAAGAAACTCGATGCTGACACAGGCTACTCTTGCAATCAGCTTGAGAGAACACCAAAAGGCAGTTAAAAAATAAATGTGGAGTTGTCAGCCCATTTCTATGTGAAAGTTGGTGACACATAGTTTCACATACTAACAACGTAACACCTGTTTTATCTACTGCTGATGTCTTTCCCTAGATTAAAGTTGGCGACACATGCTAAAGCAACGTAACACCTGTTTTAACTATTGCTCATCTCTTTCCCGAGATGAAAGTTGGCGACACATACTAACAACATAGCGTTAACCTATTGCTCATGTTTTTCCCTAGGTGGAAGATGGTAACGTGGACCCCGAGATGACGCTCCTGACCTACCTCCGCACCAAACGTATCCTTGACCTTGTCCCCGTTAGGGGGCGCTAACATTAATCAGAGTTTTTTCCAGGCATCTCTTCGTAACAGTGTCCGCCCCCCCCCCCCCCCCGAAGAAAGTCTACCGCCCCCCCCCCCCCCCGGAGAAAAAGTCTGGAAGAAACACTGACATTAATACAAGTGGTTCCGGCCTGGTTGTAAATATTGTGCTTGGTTAAGGTTTTGTTTAGTGATGGTAAACAATGCAAGCTATTTATAGTATGAGACAAAGTTTAGGACAGTGTTCCATAAGTCGCCAAACGGAAACACAACATCAACACAACTTAACGAGATAATGTTAGTAGTTGTAATCTTAGCAGAACAGAATTAGTTGAATCACTAGACAGAGTTAACGTTTAAAAATATGACGTAGCGTTGGCCTTGACCTTGAGTACAGTCCGACTGACCGGAAGTAAACTCGGCTGTGGAGAAGGCGGATGTGGTGCCTGCACAGTCATGGTGTCTGAATATGAGCCTGAGAAGAATCAAATCAAATATCCTTTTGGTTACGGTGTAGCGTGCATACATATGTACATACAACTTTACACACTTGTTTATAGGCCTACACGTGGATATGTAATCAAATTGTACATGTACAAACACCTTTATGTATCTTACAACAAAGTACAAGTACACACACAAATATGTACACACGTCATTACATGGTCTAAAAAGTTCACAGAGCGCATTATTTCCCTTGACTTCCTTACACACTATAGCATCAACGCCTGTCTGGCTCCCGTCTGCTCCATGCACGGACTGGCTGTGACCACAGTGGAGGGGATAGGGAACCTCAGCAACATACACCCCGTACAGGTAGCCAACATACGTCCAGTACAGGTAGCCAACATACACCCAGTACAGGTAGCCAACATACACCCAGTACAGGTAGCCAACATACAGTACAGGTAGCCAACATACGCCCAGTACAGGTAGCCAACATACAGTACAGGTAGCCAACATACAGTACAGGTAGACAACATACGCCCAGTACAGGTAGCCAACATACACCCAGTACAGGTAGCTGACATACACCCAGTACAGGTAGCCAACATACAGTACAGGTAGCCAACATACGCCCAGTACAGGTAGCCAACATACAGTACAGGTAGCCAACATACAGTACAGGTAGACAACATACGCCCAGTACAGGTAGCCAACATACACCCAGTACAGGTAGCTGACATACACCCAGTACAGGTAGCTGACATACACCCAGTAGATGTTGAAATGTTTAAACCTCCATGTCTGATGATGTTGTTATGTTCTAACACCTCCATGTATGATGATGTTGGTATGTTCTATCACCTCCATGTCGAATGATGTTGTTATGTTCTCACACCACCATGTATGATGATGTTGTTATGCTGTACCACCGCCATGTATGATGATGATGTTATGCTGTACCACCACCAGGAGAGGATCGCTAGGTTCCACGGGTCACAGTGTGGTTTCTGCACCCCCGGCATTGTGATGAGCATGTACACGCTACTGAGGAACAACAACAACCCAACCACCAGGGAGATGGAAGAATACTTTGATGGTTTGTTTCATATCTAGCCCAATTTTGGGATTTTTGTTTCATAAATTCTGATTCTAGTTTTTAAATGATTTATAATTAACATGGTTTACGCCCACAGCCCAGCTTTTTCAACAAGGAATCGTGCACGTTAAAACACACACAAAATGTAAACATTGGTTCCCACCCCTACCTCGTGTTATGTAACATTGCCACACACCATCTAACATTTTTAGAAACTACAACCTCTTACCCCACTAAAAACCGTCTTCCATAACTATTTTAAATGTTCCAGGGAATCTATGTCGCTGTACAGGTTACAGGGCCATCTTAGACGGATTTAGAACTTTTACTAAGGTATTTTTTTGGGACCGATTCTGAACCTTTACTAAGGTTTATTTTTATTTTTTATTTTTTTTTTAACCGATTTTGAACTTGTACCTTGGTTATTTACATTGAAAGATTCTGGATCCTTTCAAATAAATTTTAATTGCAATGAAGAAATTTACTTCTCTCTTATTTGCTTGGTATCACGTCACCTTTGACCTTGATGGCCTCTAGAATGCTAACCGGACGATGAACACATCTGTGTTATCCAAATTTACCAGTGAACCCATTTGTTAACTTTAATTCACTTTCGTCTTCAGGAGTTCAAATGTGCCATGGGCGAGAACTGCTGCCAAAATAAAAGTTCGAATCAGATCGTAGCTAATGGTAGTGCCAGCAACGGTCACGTGAATGGCAGCGTCACTAACGGTGGTGATGACGTCACAGACTGTGCTACACGCCACAGATTGGAGGTAACAAAATGATTCGCTAGCCTGAGCTCACGTGATAGGTCACAGACTATACATCGATCTATGATGTAGATCCCTCGCAACTGTTATTTATTATATCCCGGCCTGTATTCTTAATCTATGTTGGAGAAATAAAATAGTTCCGTCTCATCACGTTTAAGTTTTGCACCTGTATTTTGTATTTTGGCATCGGTAACATATCGTAACTAGAAATCTATAACCTCGCGAGAACTTATCAAAATTGCGGCAAAATTATTTTGAAAAAAATGTGCGCACTTTAACTACAGCCTGGTGATAGGGGTGAGTGATAAAGTACAGTGACGGTGTGCGGGTGGCTTTTTTTGTTTTGAGCCTTTGAAAAATACATCAGATTAACTCTACTTCATCTGCCCTAAAAGATACCATTTGTTTATAAAGCGGGTGATGAATTTTTCACAGAAGCCTGCATTCTAACGCTGTTTTGATAGAGATACATATAGAGTCATTCACCTGTTGTTGTCTTGTGTGCATGATTATGTAATCAACATGAATCAACATCCTACAGATCATTGGACCAAAGATAGATAACCTAAAGCCTTATAATCCTAACCAAGAGCCGATATTTCCACCTGACCTAAAGGTAAGCGGACCATGAGTCTTGTTCTCATACCTTGTCCGTGTTTTGTACCATTCAAATATGGACGCGTGCGAGAAAATAAAGGTGGGGTTGATACCAATAGACGTGTTATGTTTTGAGTCAGTTTTGACTCGCTTTTTATGAAGCGATATCTTTCACTCGATCATTTGGGTTCTTGTTATGTTCAAATCTAGACAACTCCATCATGTATGTTGCTGGATCCCATTAACAGCTGTAAGGGAATTCAATGTTATTTTGCTGGTTTAAGCAATTTTGCCATAACAAAACTAAATGCCTACCCCAGAGGCCTTGCGAGGCAGGGGCGGGGGTACGGGCCGCACCGGATGACACCGTGTAGGGGTGGGGTGACACCAAGACAAAAATTTGCAAAACCTATAGAAGAAATATGCTTTTTTTTGTCATTTCTTGACGATTCAGACAAGGGGCGTGGAAGGGAGGGGGGGGAGACACCATTATATAAACCTGCTAATTACAGGTAAAACAGTGTTACATCGAGCTGTATTAATAACCACCTATAGACAAACATCTTTACTATTAACTGTGAACACTTTAAAGCTATCACCCCAAGGGGGGGGGTTGATTCCAACTGCAAAATTTACAGAGGAGAGAAACGTTTAGTTAAAATATTTTCAATAACTTATTAGTCAATGAATGACCGGGGTGGGATGACACTACATTTAATAATTTACAACGAAAACTTTGTTTTTTTCCCGTTTGAATTAAATGGTGGATTAAAATTATGTGTGCAAAAATTCTCGCCATTTTGGTAAAATGGCTGGGGTATACACCAAAGGCATATATATATATATATATATATATATATATATATATATATATATATATATATATATATATATATATATATTCCTTTTGGTGGGGAGGGGGGTGACACCATGAGGTACCGCGCCGGGTGACACCCGACCTAGCGACGCCACTTGCCTACCCTAATATATACAGAGGCTCGAGATTTCTGCCCTGACTGTAACGATCCACTCAGTCCATCACCCTACGCTAGTTTTGGTCCGTCAATTCATTCATACAGGCGATTCATACGGGTGATTATAATCATAGAGGCGCGTTACTGTTCATTAGAATGTCGTCAATGGTTTTTTACTAGCATGTATTAAAAGTTGTTTGCCTCCCTTGGAAAGATGGGAGCAGTGGTGTAACTAGGGGAGGGCGGGTGGGGCGGCCGCCCAGGGCGCCGACCCCAAGGGGCGCCAAAAGGGGTAGAAACATTAAATTTTATAGCTCATTTTAAGCCGAAGTATCGAAATATCAAAGTTACCAAAATAAACCGACTACAAGGTTTTTTACACACTGATTTAACTGTTTTCTATATCAATTTTGTGACAAGGAAATAGAAAATGTTACGGGATAGTAACTAGTAAGTAGCACCATAATCCTTTCCAGCTGGTAGGGGGGGGGGTGTGCATTTTCACAGACAGGAATAACTATATATAGAAATGGGAGGGAGAGGGCGAAAAATTGATAGTCCGCCCCGGGCGCCGGAATAGGTCTCTACGCCTCTTGATGGGGAGGGGGTCAAAGAAACATGTAAACGGTGCTCTGGTCGTATACGGTTTAATCCAGACCCAACATAGAACCAGCTAATTTTGGGCTGGCATAGATTTTATACAGTTGCATTTAACATGCTTTAGTGAACAGCTCAAAGACCTGTTGACCTTTCAACTGTTTCTTGTATATACTCAGGTGAACTACCAGAAATACCACAGAGACTCGCTTCACTTCTCTAACGGAAATGTCGCCTGGGTACAGCCCCAGACATTAGAACAACTTCTCAACCTGAAGGCTAAATATCCTAAGGCTAAAATTATGGTCGGAAATACGGAAATAGGTAAGATAATTATGGCTGGCAATACGGAAGTAGGTAAAATACAATCGTATACATGAAAATAAAAATTGTTACAACGTAAGATAACCCCTCGATTTAGGATGAAAAACTCTTGTACTTTCATAGTCGCCTCCCCCTCTCCCGCCATAAGATTCCCACTCACCACAGGACGAAATTAATGTACACCACAGAGTGTACAGCGTCTCCCAAAAATCCATCCTCAGTTTTAAGCTTTTCTTTATAAAAAAATATGTCACTGATAACTGATCACTGATCAGACATGTCGGAGCCGGGATTATCGTGTAACAACGTGTTTAAACCGTCAGGATTGCGGCTCTGAAGTCTTTTAATAAAAACCCATTAAAAGTGCACTAACTGTATCCGATCCTTTTATTGATTGAATATTCAACCATACTATGGTCTAAGGTAAAAACTTTATTCTTGTGCTCCATAGGGATCGAGACAAAGTTCAAGAACATGAAGTACCCAGTCCTAGTGTCAGCCACGCAGGTCAAAGAACTGCTCACCCTGTCGCACGTGCCAGATGGTCTGAGGGTCGGGGCCTCGGTCACACTCTCACAGCTACACGAGGAACTTCTGAGGTCAATCAACTCTCTACCTGGTAATTCTACGCCTGTGCACTCCAACCCCCCTACCCTTAAATAAACGCCATTAGATCTAAATTAGCCTTCCTTTGGGGAAAAATCTGGCCAGCTCTTGTCATTGTTAAGATAAACACAATCATGAGATTTTTCATTTTACATTTCTTGCATTACAGCTGTCAAGTCTTAGACCTAAGTGCCATTAAATTAAAATGCTTAGCTCCTCCCCCCCAATAGTAAAGTTTTTTAGTGCCAGTATTCCAATATTTATGTGTTTTGGATTTCCATATGTGTGTGAGGGTGGGGGAAAGAGGGATTGTAGTTAACTTGTTGTTAGTCTGATATTGTTAATGTTAGTGTGTCTGACAGTCTGCTATTTGTGTACATAAAAAATTTAAAATAGCAAATTTTAGCAGATGTTTTAGACAACACTGCTAAGGTCCCCACCCCCACACCACTCAACAAAAATATGCTTTTCGTCGTGTATAAAAAAAAACAGGTAATTTAGCCTACACTCACACTGTCAACTTTCTCTAATGTTTCTGTCAAACTCGTGTAATGAAGTATTCTGTAGTTCCACCTAAAGTCTTGAAATAAATACACGTGCAACAATGTTTAACAAGAATGTGTTTACAGAGTATCAAGTGGGCGTTTTTGTGGCTATGGCTGAGATGTTGAAATGGTTTGCCAGTCACCAGATCAGGAATGTAGCTGTGAGTTATTTTTTTTAAAAAGGGTTCTGTTTAAACACATTTAATTCTATGACCGTATGGGCAAATATTTACTCTCTGGTACACCAAACAAATTTTACGCAGAAATTATATTTAAGAGGATTAAACATTAGTAAAATTATAACATTTTAAATTGAATGAATTTAAAGTCAGTTGCTGGGAATATAATGACTGCAAGTCCAATATCAGACCTAAACCCCCTGTTTTTGGCCTCTGGGACTTCAGCTGTGGTCCAATCTAAAGGTGAGTAAATTGTTTATTATTTTCCCCTGAAATGTGTTTTGTTTGGGCAAAGATAATCATTAATTTTTTTCTTAAATCCTAAGTTTTAATGTAAGCAAGACTACTTTTAGGATGTTTGAACTACAAGTTTTAAAAATTAAATATTAGGACCTAAATTTGTATTTTAATGTATGCTTTTTCTCAAGATAATTTTAAAAAGTCCTTACTGGAGTTCTTGTTCTTTCCTGGAACAGAAAGAGGTCGCAGAGTTTTAAAAATAGACAAGAACTTCTTCTGTGGCTACAGACAAACATCAGTGGCAGAAGATGAGATCTTGGTGTCAATCACAATACCCTACACCAAGAAGGTGAAATATTTAAGTCACAATTCCCTATACCAAGAAGGTGAAATATTTAAATCACAATTCCCTATACCAAGAAGGTGAAATATTTAAATCACAATTCTCTATACCAAGAAGGTGATATTTAAATCACAATTCCCTATTCCAAGAAGGTGAAATATTTAAATCACAATTCTCTATACCAAGAAGGTGATATTTAAATCACAATTCCCTATACCAAGAAGGTGAAATATTTAAATCACAATTCTCTATACCAAGAAGGTGATATTTAAATCACAATTCCCTATACCAAGAAGGTGAAATATTTAAATCACAATTCCCTATACCAAGAAGGGGTAATATTTAAATCACAATTCCCTATACCAAGAAGGTAAAATATTTAAATCACAATTCTCTATACCAAGAAAGTGATATTTAAATCACAATTCCCTATACCAAGAAGGTGAAATATTTAAATCACAATACCCTATACCAAGAAGGTGAAATATTTAAATCACAATTCCCTATACCAAGAAGGTAAAATATTTAAATCACAATTCCCTATACCAAGAAGGTGATATTTAAATCACAATTCCCTATACCAAGAAGGTGAAATATTTAAATCACAATTCCCTATACCAAGAAGGTGAAATATTTAAATCACAATTCTCTATACCAAGAATGTAAAAAATTTACGTCTCAATTCCCTATACCAAGAAGGTAAAATATTTAAATCATAATTCCTTATACCAAGAAGGTAAAACATTTAAGTCTTAATTCCTAATACCAATAATTATTTCAACATTATAATGACTTACAACCAATTTACAATCAATGTTTCAGGGCCAGTTTTTTAACGGTTACAAACAGGCCAATCGGAAGGATGATGACATATCCCTAGTTAATGCAGGTATGATGGTGACCATATCAGAGGCTAACAAGATCACAGGCTTGACACTGGCTTATGGAGGGATGGGGATCAAAACTCTACTTGCAAGCAAGGCAATGGAAAGTGTTATAGGAGAGTAGGTTGACATGGGCTGTCAAGGGTTGTGTGCTTGAGTCTGTTAGGTCGCTGATGGTTAGCAGTATGTGTTTGCAAAAACGCAAGTCAAATTATACAGATAAAAAGTGAAGAAAATAAATCGCCCCACAGTAGATAGACATAGATGATTAAGTGGAAATTGATATTATCTTCTCATGTTCTTTGAAGTTGGGTAAGGAAAATAAACTGTTCTCTCAGATCATACTTAGCTGTGTACAAAATAGACATTAAAATAAAATGTTAAACACATAATTGGATACTTACCTCCCTTGCATCCTCTTTGGACATTGAATTCCAATTTTTTAACTATCTTGATTTTTTCAAAAAAAGAAAATATAAATATGTGTTACTGTTTTGACTAGTGAATGGAATGACAAGTTGGTGACTAAAGTTTGTGACTGTATATTGTGTCACTGTTTTGACTAGTGAATGGAATGACAAATTGGTGACTAAAGTTTGTGACTATATTGTGTCACTGTTTTAACTAGTGAATGGAATGACAAGCTGGTGACTAAAGTTTGTGACTTGTTGTCTGCTGACCTGCCACTGACACCAGGGGCACCTGGTGGTGTTGTAGAATACAGACGGGCATTGACCATGAGTTTTTTCTTCAAGTTTTATGTCTACGTCTACGAGAAAATACACAGAACCCGTGTGAGTAATTTTTAATCATTATTCTTCTGTAACAAAATTGATGATGCACTGACTATACTAAATATAATTCCGATTATTATTGAATTGACATGCTATTTCATGCAATACAAGTTTTAACTTTTTTTTAAAAAGAATTTCCTAGACCTGAGTTCAATTCAGCCATTGGAAGCTTCAACAAGTACCTCGATGCAGGTGGTGGGAGGAACAGATTCTAGAGAATCATTAGAGTGTGTTGGGAAATCCAATGTCCATTTGTCAGCTTTACAGCAGAGCACTGGAGAGGCTGTCTATATTGATGATATGGCACCAGAGGAGGGTTAGTTCAAAACATTGAACATTTCACACACTGTTTTTATATGAAGACATGAAACAATTATGGTTATCATGGGTTATTTTTTTAAATGTTTGATTTGTCAAATAAAGCATTAACTCAACCAGTATAATTTTAAGTTAAACTTAGTTCATTTGTGTTGAGTTTTAACTGTATTTTATTATTTTGACAATAAAATATGTCATTAACCGTATTATAAATGTACCTCAATAAACAGGAGAACTCTTCATGTCGCTTGTGACCAGTACCAAAGCTTATGCTAAGATACTCAGCATTGACCCCTCTGCTGCTCTGAATGCCCCAGGTGTTGTAGATTTTGTGTCTGCCAAGGATGTCCCAGGTGCTAACCACTTGGGGATAGTCATGCCTAAGATCTTTGAAGACACTGAGGTTAGAATATTGTTCCTGTAGTTGTAGAATTCCTTTTTTAATAAACTGTCTATGCTATTAACATATTGATTGTTTTTAGGTGACCTGTCAGGGGCAGATAATTGGTGCCATTGTTGCTGATACCCATGATCATGCTAGAAGTGCAGCTAAACTTGTGAAGGTGGAATATGAGGAGAAAAGACCTCTGATCATCACCATGAATGTTGGTTTCATTGTAGTATAAAATTTACATCAGTTTCATTAAAGTAGCAGACTAAAATTGTAACAATTTTAAGTCATATTAAATTGTAATGTAGTTAACAGCAAAGTATTAAAAATTGCAGATATGAACATTTTAAAAATGTCCTTAAATAAATAACAATAGAATTGTAACACACTTTTTTTTAATTTAAAAAATACAGGATGCTATCAAACACAAGTCATTTTTCAATCCTGAAAAAACTTTGACCATTGGTAATGTTGAAGAGGGATTTAAATCCTGTGATCACACCCTAGAGGGGAGTGTTAGAATCAATGGACAGAATCATTTCTACCTGGAAACTATGTCCACCAGAGTTTTCCCTAGAGAAGATAAGGAAGTGGAGGTGTTTACATCTACCCAGAATCCCTCAGAAGTACAGGTTGGTTATTTTTAAAAATTTATAACTGCTTGAAAGAGTTAACATTACTTACGATTTTGTATGTAGTAGCTATTTATTTATTCTCTAATTTTTTTAAGAATAAATTATTACACAATTGTGGTTTAAATCATGCACTAAAAAAGCATAATTATTAAATGATTATCAGCTACCAGCTCAAAATTTAAATCTGCATGAGTCTAATTTTATCAGACCTAAATTTTGCATGTGCTTTACTGAACAGGTTTCTGTTGTGCTTAAGTAAAATAATCTTTGTGTCATGATTTTACAATGTATTAACATTTATGTCAATTTGTAGGCACAGATTTCAGAGGCTTTAGGTGTGCCTTTAAATAAAGTTGTCATACGAGTAAAAAGGATTGGTAAGTTATGGTTATTGATTTTTTATCTACTTAATTTTTTAATTTATTTAATATTTCTCTATGTTTAAGATTTATGTGTGTTTGGGTGGTTCTAGGGCTAGGTTTTGACAGAAAGGAAAATTTTGAACATTGTTTTGTTAATTCAGGTGGTGGTTTTGGTGGGAAAGAAAGCCAGGGAGCTTTGTGTGCTGTGCCCACAGCTGTAGCTGCAAGAAAGTGAGTATTTCTCTAACATCCACAAGATTCAATTCTCTCTAGTATTTCTCTAACATCCAACAAGATTCAATTCTCTCTAGTATTTCTCTAACATCCACAAGATTCAATTCTCTCTAGTATTTCTCTAACATCCACAAGATTCAATTCTCTCTAGTATTTCTCTAACATCCACAAGATTCAATTCTCTCTAGTATTTCTCTAACATCCAACAAGATTCAATTCTCTCTAGTATTTCTCTAACATCCACAAGATTCAATTCTCTCTAGTATTTCTCTAACATCCACAAGATTCAATTCTCTCTAGTATTTCTCTAACATCCACAAGATTCAATTCTCTCTAGTATTTCTCTAACATCCACAAGATTCAATTCTCTCTAGTATTTCTCTAACATCCACAAGATTCAATTCTCTCTAGTATTTCTCTAACATCCACAAGATTCAATTCTCTCTAGTATTTCTCTAACATCCACAAGATTCAATTCTCTCTAGTATTTCTCTAACATCCACAAGATTCAATTCTCTCTAGTATTTCTCTAACATCCACAAGATTCAATTCTCTCTAGTATTTCTCTAACATCCACAAGATTCAATTCTCTCTAGTATTTCTCTAACATCCAACAAGATTCAATTCTCTCTAGTATTTCTCTAACATCTAACAAAATTCAATTCTCTCTAGTATTTCTCTAACATCCACAAGATTCAATTCTCTCTAGTATTTCTCTAACATCCACAAGATTCAATTCTCTCTAGTATTTCTCTAACATCCTTCAAGATTCAATTCTCTCTAGCATTTCTCTAACATCCACAAGATTCAATTCTCTCTAGTATTTCTCTAACATCTAACAAAATTCAATTCTCTCTAGTATTTCTCTAACATCCTTCAAGATTCAATTCTCTCTAGTATTTCTCTAACATCTAACTAAATTCAATTATCTCTGTTGATTTCTTTTCAGAAATACATTTTTATGCTTACTCTTTATTTTACAAAATTTAAACCTTTTTGAGCCAATAGTTCATTTAAAAATTAGGCCTATCATTTACCTAAATTATTTTTTAGATTAGGAAAACCAGTGCGCTGCATATTTGAAAGAGATGAAGATATGGTAGCCACAGGAAATAGACATCCTTTTATGGGAGTGTATAAGGTTAGTATACTTTTAAGAGTTCTCTCAAACAAGGTTTTAAGTTTAGATGTTTATAAAGTAACTGACATTGTCCTCCAAATTAATTTGCTAGGAAACTGATTCATTAAAATGAACTTAACTACCACTAGTTTAAAGAAATTAATCACTTATAAATCAAAACTGCTCAGGTTGGCTTCACATCAAATGGAAAGATTATGGCCCTTGATTTAGAGCTATACAACAATGGTGGAAACAGTGTTGATCTTTCCCTTGCAGTAAGTTTTTAGGCTCTAAGTTTATTTGGCTTGTAATTTTCTTTCAATAAAATTTCAATCAGTAAAATGTTAGATTCAAATAATAAGTAGTTACAGTAGTATTGTTTTTCTTTTCTAATGTAGGTATTAGAAAAAGCAGTTCTTGAAACTGATTCCTCCTATCGCTTTGAAAACTTGCGAGTTATTGGGAGAAGCTGTAAAACAAATATTATGTCCAACACAGCTTTCAGAGGATTTGGTGGAGTCCAGGCTAATTTTATACTTGAATCTGTAATGGATGATATTGCTGCTTTTCTGAAAGAGGACCCTGTTCAGGTTTTTCAAAAATGTTGTTTCTTTAGATTTCCCAAATCAAATAATTTTGGGGAAAAAATGTCAGTTATATCTGTGCATGTGTAAACTTAGAAATTTTTTATTGTTAATGAAATTTAAAAAATAGTTTTAATACTTTTAGGTTCGACAAAAAAACTTTTTCCAACCTAAAGATGTATCACACTTTAACATATCAGCTGGTGGAGACTGCATCAGGAGATGTTGGGACATGTGTATGAGTAAAAGTGATTACATTCATAGAAGGAAGGAAGTTGATGATTACAATGAGTAAATATTTTTAGATTATTGTTTGGAAACTACTCAAATATTTGTAAAATATACATATATATCTTTCATAACATTAATAAAGTTACTTTCACATGTATGTTCTAGCATTAAATGGAATGTGCACATTTTATATGATGCAAACATAAAAGGGTGGCTAGAGCAAAGATAAAATCATTGACTTACCTTTTCTCTATTTGTATTTTTTCTTCCTTGTAATCCAATGTAAGACTTTACAATAGTTAATAATGATGATACAACAAGAAGTTTTCTCAAAAAATTGATTCAGACATGTATTTTAAGTCCACAAAACTTTTGATGTACTAAATTGTGTCAGTTTATTGGAGGAGCAGTGTTTCTTCCAGACTTTTTTTCTCTGGGGGGGCACTTGAAATTTTTGGGGGGGGGGGGGGGGCGGTAGACTTTCTTCGGGGGGGGGGGGGGGGGGGCGGACACTGTTAAAAGTATATATTTTCTATATAAATTATATAAATTTCATTTCGTTCGGGGGGCGGTAAAAAATTTTTTGGGGGAGGGCTTTGCCCCCCCCCTCAAAGAGATGCCTGGAAGAAACTCTGTGGAGGAGGGGGGCATTTCCTATAAATGATACATAATATAAGTGAGTTTGGTCTAAGTAAATGTTATATAATGTCATTATATGTGGTGACTTATATGTTATAATATGTGCACTATTTAATCTGTTTATTTTTAGAAAAAATCGTTGGAAAAAGAAAGGAATTGCTGTTACTCCGCTAAAATTTGGAATTTCTTTTGCTCTTAAACATATGAATCAGGTTAGTTTTTTTTTACTTAAGTATGTAGATAGCAACAAATATGGTTTTAACTTAAGCATTCTGAAAATATTTTTATCTTCAACATTTTTCAGGCTGGTGCCTTAGTGCACATTTATAAAGATGGTTCAGTTCTAATAGCACATTCTGGTATTGAGATGGGCCAGGGGCTACATATTAAAGTTATGCAGGTGAGAAATCATATTTTATCAACAAAGAACTTTCTTGTGATGAAAACATATTTCTAGACTTTCTAAAACTGTTAATGTGTTTAGGCCTAAGTAAAGTTTATAATTCATGAAAAAGGGAGAAAACAACAAACATTCTGTATATTTTTTAGCTTCATTAGATTTATTTATACATTTTTTTAGCTTTTATTTATACATTTTTTTAGCTTTAATAATGTATTTTCATATGAGTTTGTTTTAGTTGTGATCAACAATGTTTCATTTTCTAATGAATAAAATAGAAAATACACTGAATTCTTTTACAGTAACATACAAAACATCAGTTAATAATCAAGTATTTTTTATTCAAACATTATACAAGTCATATTTTGTCTGTTTAATGACAATTTTCTATGAAAGATTTTTTTTTTTAAATAGTTAATTTTAAATAATAAAAAAAAATTAATAGAAATATTTTAGGAGCAAAAAACATTAATGGAAGCATGTTTTCTGATTGTCTTAGATCGCTAGTGAGGTTTTTGGGTTACCTCTGTCCAGAATTCATATCCAAGAAACATCTACAAGCACCGTACCAAATACGTTTCAAACAGCAGCCAGTGTTAGCACTGATCTAAATGGAATGGCAGTCAAGGTTTGGCAATTTATATGTTATTCATAGGCTATCACAGAGTAAATAAAATGTATGTAGCTTAGATAGTGCTAGTTACCACACAACTTAAGGATAATTACAGTGGAGGTCTTCTTCAGCACATAACAACATGATCAAAATCTTACATAATAAAAGAAAATAAGAGGCTAAATTTTGCATTCATGTAATCATATACTAAGATGACCTTAGTTATTTATTTATTTAAATAAAAGTTACTGTTTATGCTCATCTCCAATCTTCACTGTACCAAATTATTTTTTATAGTATGCTTGTGAGACATTGAAAGACAGACTATCACCTTATATAAAAGCCAAGCCAAAAGCCAGCTGGGATGAATGGGTATGTTACTTAAATGCAGTTACAAGTGCATGTTTTATAAACAATGTGTAGAATTAAAGCCATTACAACATTAAAACTTGGAACACTTAAAATGTAATCACAGTGTGAAGTTAAACTGACACCATTAAATGAGGGTAAGTGATGAAAAAAATCAACACAATCACTACAGTAGTTGTGTTTGACAGCACATGTGCACATCTAAGTGACATAGCTTTGATGTAGTTCATTATTCTTTTTGAGTTTTCTAAACTATTAAAAAAAGATGTTTCTGCTGATTAATGTTAGCTTGGTTATAGGTAAAAGATGCCTTCTTGGACAGGGTGAGCTTGTCATCCACAGGATTCTATGGGTAAGTTTGACTTGTACAGAGTTTGTTGAAGTAGCAAGATTGGATCAGTTTAATGTTAGCTTTACATTCTACTTTGTTTTGACTATAATAATTATAGCTAACAATCTTTGTATGACTTTCTGCTAGAACCCCAGATGTAGGTTATGACATAGAAACCCATACTGGAAAGCCCTTTGCCTACTATACTTTTGGGGCAGCTTGTACGGAGGTGCAGATTGATTGCTTGACTGGAGACCACAAGGTCATTTTTTAACAATATATTTTTGATATATATTTGTAAAAATTGCTAAATAACTTTCTTAAAAGTTTTGTTGAAAACAAAATTTAGAAATTTTTAGTTGTCCAAACAAAAAAATAGAGCCCCCACCTGCTTATAATTCTTTATAGAGTCTATTATATAACTATCTAAAACTGTTATCAATTTACAGCTACTACGAACTGATATTGTAATGGACATAGGCCAAAGCATTAACCCAGCCATCGATGTCGGACAAATAGAAGGAGCATTTACACAGGTACAAGATTTACCATGGAAACTTCTTATTTAACCTTAAATTTGTAGAATCATCATAATGATTGTATAAAAGCTGTAGAAAGTAAAACTACCCAGATGACCATAATGATTGTATAAAAGCTGTAGAAAGTAAAACTACCCAGGTGACCATAATGATTGTATAAAAGCTGTAGAAAGTAAAACTACCCAGGTGACCATAATGATTGTATAAAAGCTGTAGAAAGTAAAACTACCCAGGTGACCATAATGATTGTATAAAAGCTGTAGAAAGTAAAACTACCCAGGTGACCATAATGATTGTATAAAAGCTGTAGAAAGTAAAACTACCCAGATGACCATAATGATTGTATCACTGAAACAGGGCTGCGGACTCATGCTGTTGGAAGACATCAAAGTGACTCCTGATGGAACTCACCTAACCAGAGGCCCAGGAAACTATAAAATTCCTTCATTTGGAAATATCCCTGCCAAATTTAATGTCTATTTTGTACCAGACAGTCCAAATCCTAAAGCTGTATTCTCATCTAGGGTAAGATAATTTAGCATATTTTATATAGACAGAACTCAAGTTGTGTGCCTGTCCATTTACAGATACCAGCTTTAAAGAGTTATACAGTAATTTAAAACACCTTATGTTTTAGGTGCATGGTAATAACTAGATCCAGGTGCACCAAAATGTTGCCATATGGCTATAAGTAGACCCAGGGGCACAAGTAGTTGTAATATCATCACAGGAACCCTGTAAATTATCAACCATTGATCTTGTTGGGAGCATGTTGTTCTAGTGTCATTAAGACTACTGGTACCCTAACTTGTTATCTATGTCATTAATTCAAGACTGCTGGAATACAAACTAATGAAAACATTCAAAACTTTTAATCCATAGGGCATAGGAGAACCCCCTCTACTTCTTGCATCCTCTGCATTATTTGCTATCAAGGATGCTATAAGAGCAGCAAGGAAAGATGCAGGAGAGTCAAATAGGTTTACTCTACACAGTCCTGCATTGCCAGCAAACATACGCATGGCTTGTGCAGACTCGTTTAGCTCTTTAAGCCAGGTAAATACATGGTTTGTCCAGCCTCGTTTAGCTCTTTAAGCCAGGTAAATACATGGTTTGTGCAGACTCGTTTCGCTCTTTAAGCCAGGTAAATACATGGTTTGTGCAGACTAGTTTAGCTCTTTAAGCCAGGTAAATACATGGTTTGTGCAGACTCGTTTCGCTCTTTAAGCCAGGTAAATACATGGTTTGTGCAGACTAGTTTAGCTCTTTAAGCCAGGTAAATACATGGTTTGTGCAGACTCGTTTCGCTCTTTAAGCCAGGTAAATACATGGTTTGTGCAGACTAGTTTAGCTCTTTAAGCCAGGTAAATACATGGTTTGTGCAGACTCGTTTCGCTCTTTAAGCCAGGTAAATACATGGTTTGTGCAGACTAGTTTAGCTCTTTAAGCCAGGTAAATACACGGTTTGTGCAGACTCGTTTAGCTCTTTAAGCCAGGTAAATACATGGTTTGTGCAGACTCGTTTAGCTCTTTAAGCCAGGTAAATACATGGTTTGTCCAGCCTCGTTTAGCTCTTTAAGCCAGGTAAATACATGGTTTGTGCAGACTCGTTTCGCTCTTTAAGCCAGGTAAATACATGGTTTGTGCAGACTAGTTTAGCTCTTTAAGCCAGGTAAATACACGGTTTGTGCAGACTCGTTTAGCTCTTTAAGCCAGGTAAATACACAGTTTGTGCAGACTAGTTTAGCTCTTTAAGCCAGGTAAATACATGGTTTGTGCAGACTCGTTTAGCTCTTTAAGCCAGGTAAATACATGGTTTGTGCAGACTAGTTTAGCTCTTTAAGCCAGGTAAATACACGGTTTGTGCAGACTAGTTTAGCTCTTTAAGCCAGGTAAATACACAGTTTGTGCAGACTAGTTTAGCTCTTTAAGCCAGGTAAATACATGGTTTGTGCAGACTAGTTTAGCTCTTTAAGCCAGGTAAATACATGGTTTGTGCAGACTAGTTTAGCTCTTTAAGCCAGGTAAATACATGGTTTGTGCAGACTAGTTTAGCTCTTTAAGCCAGGTAAATACATGGCTTGTGCAGACTAGTTTAGCTCTTTAAGCCAGGTAAATACATGGTTTGTGCAGACTAGTTTAGCTCTTTAAGCCAGGTAAATACATGACTTGTGCAGACTCATTTAGCTCTTTAAGCCAGGTAAATACATGGCTTGTGCAGACTTGTTTAGCTCTTTAAGCCAGATAAATACATGGCTTGTGCAGACTCATTTAGCTCTTTAAGCCAGGTAAGTACATGGTTTGTCCAGCCTCGTTTAGCTCTTTAAGCCAGGTAAATACATGGTTTGTGCAGACTAGTTTAGCTCTTTAAGCCAGGTAAGAGTATGGGTGGTATAAATTCTTTAGGCCCTTCAAACCACAGATTTATTTAGATCTTTAAGCCAGGTAAAAAGCATTATCATTGTAATTACAAAATATGCTATACAGAAACCTACAATCAATTTAAAATAATAATTTATCTGTATTTTGCTCTTATAAACCTCTTGTTCAAAACTAGGAGCTAATCTCATCATACAATGAATATCACCATAAAAAATTTAAATTTAGGTCAAATATTTATCTGCCTCATCAATCATCATACATGTGTTTTATTAATTGTTTAGTTTCCTGATTATCATGGATCATTATTTTTTATTTTATCAATCGTTTAGTTTCCTGAAATTAATGAAGATTCTTATCAACCTTGGACTGTGGATTTGTAATGTTCAAGAACAAAAATGGACACAGAAGTAAAAAAAAATGTATTGTTAATTAATCAGAAATGTTTACAAATTCATTAATTGATAACATTTAAATAATAAAGACGCATAATCAGCTTTAATTTTGCCACCAGCTGTAAGAGTGTAAGCAGTTTGAATTGATGTAATTAACTGATAATTTTTGTGTCATTCTTTGAGAACACATTCTCTACACCAACAACAGGAGACAGTGTTTAATTATCTCACAACTGGAGAGATTTCCTGTCTGAATAAAATGTAATTGTTTGCATGTTAAGTTAATTTATGTTTTATAATGGAAAGTTAAACTCTGTGTAGATCACACATTTATTATGGATGTATTAAACTCGGTGACCAGAATGCAACCATTACACTAGTTTCATTCAATTTTTTTAAATGTAATGGAATTCGTACTACAATAAAATTAAGTTAATTTTTATTTTATGTATATTATATTATGATTCTTAAAACTGTTTTTTGTATTAGTTAATACATGTTAGATAGTGCTAGGGAAAGTAAATGTGGCTGGGAATAGTGAGGATCACATTATGCCTCCATATGCCTAAGTCAAGAAACATGCACTCTACTTCATGTGCCAGTAGATTGCTAAGTCTAAAGTGTAATTTGTTTTTACAGAAAGATAAACCATTGGGTGTAGTCTGTCAAAACTTGGGTTTTCTATCTTGCAAGTCAAAAATGTATTAACCTTTATGATTTTCCCAAAAATGGACCCCCCAAGTATAAATATATGATGAGAGCTAGTTTTATTTTCCATTTGAACTGAAAATTAATGTATGGGCTATTTTATAATATATGGGAGGTTTTTAAAGTATTTTGTATGTAGGTCATACAATGTCTTTAAAAGCTACATTGGTTTCATTACCTTTTCTCCCTAATCACATAGGTAAGGATTTTACAACTATAGATTAAGACACCTTGATTTTATTACTTGTTGAGCTTCACAACTATAGATTAAGACACCTTGATTTTATTACTTGTTGAGCTATGTCTTTTTAAACCAAAAGTTTAGCAGTAGTCTGTTTGCAGGTTTGATATTTGTCTTTGAGGACATATATGGATGACCTTTAAATTTTGTTAGATTTAAATCACATAAGACATTCTAATTATTGGCTCCCTCCCTGCTCATTTCATAGCTAAATAATTTTTATTTTTTTAGTGCTTATGGAAACTTTACCTTAAAAAAAACAGAACTACTAACCATTTTATTTTAAGTGATACTTGAAAGGTAACAAAGCAATTCTTAAAAAAATTATTTATGTACTAATAATTTTGTTAATTGTATTATGGAATGTCTAAATCACGGAAGTAATTTTTGTATGGTTACTTTGTTAATTGTGGATATACAATTTACAAACAACTTGTAATAAAACTGTACTGATAATAGTGATTTTTGTTTTTTAAATGAGTCAAGTGCTGACTATCTCTTTAAAAATGTATGCAGAAGTTCCAGTTTATATGAACTAGATCTGAGACTGTTGCTTATATTCAACAACTTTATTGGGTAGATTTTTTTTAAATAGAAAAACTACAGAGAGTAAAGGTCAATGTCATATTATATTAAAGTAAAAACCATCAAATTCACATTTAGACTCCAAACAAAATACAATTACACATTTTTTTTTAAAGAAAAAAAATAAAATGAAGAATTTATTTTACAAACTATGTACATTTATTAATAAACTTCCACTGGTTTTACATCTTTGGAGCACCATAAGCATCAGGTAACCTCTCAATAGAAAATCTGAGGACAAAATGGATAATCCTTGCTTTAGGCTACACCATTCAATATACTACTAAGCTATTTTTTATAAACACAATCTGCTAAATAAAACTACAAACGAGTAAAAACAACTTACCTGTGTTGAGTTATATACATGATTGGTACACCAGGTATTTTTCTGATTCTCTTCTTCAAATCTTTATCATTGGTGGCAACAATGTAGCATTTACTCTAAAGAAAAACACATTCAGGTTTACTTTCAATTTAAATATACTTAAAATATAAAAATAATTACTTTTACAATTTTAATTTACTGTCTGAATAAAAAGAAAAAATATGCCTATTTCACTGACTTCAGTAACTCTTTTTACAATGCAGTCATCAGCATATGTGCCTTTATGTATGCACGTTAACCGATGAAATCTGGAATCTTTAGCAATCCTAAAATATAAATTTAGGTGGTTTTTTTACAATCTTCTGAGGTTGGCATAAATTTAATAACTATAAAAATCCAACATAAAGACAAGGAACATTCTCAATACATAGAACATTTATCTTTTACAATAAATAATGTCAACAGAATTACTTCAAGAAATTTTTCAAAAACAAAACTTTCTAGTCTTTAAAAACAGAAAAAATTCTAAAACAGTTTCATATATAATAAATGACTTATTAAGTCTTAAAAAAAAGAATAGGTATTAAAATGTTTTACAGAATATATAAAAAAGTTCTACTTTTAATCTAATCCCTTTCTAAATAACCCAAAGCATCTCATAAACAAGGACTTACTTGAGGGCAATTCTGTACTTTCTACCAAGCTTTTCTAACTCGGCCATAACACAATCAGTAATGTAAGGTATGCCTGATTTATGGAAAAATAGAAATTACATATTAAACTTATGGGGATCTAGTTTTACCAAACTATTAATGTGTCACATGTCAATCCACTCAGAATAAATTAAGATAAGTATTTAAAATTATATTCTCCTTCTAATTTATAAAGTAAATTTCCAAACATATTTTTTATAATTACAGAAACAATGTTGAACATTTTATGTGATGTTAGAAACTTGAAAAGAACTAACTGAATAATTCAATTAGCAAGTGTGCCAATGGGACTAAATAGTTTAATTTATTACATATGAGTATACTTACATTTAGCATAAAGGCAATCCATCATGCTGGTAACTATATCCAATTTATTCTTAATAGAGAAATTAATGAAATTTGTATCCAGGATAATGTGGAAGGGAGGCCCAAGTTGTGTGTTGTAGTTAAAATACATTGCTGAGGATGACTGGGGCCTGGTAAAGTTGATTATATTGGAGAATTAGTTAGTAAATATTAGCCATTGTATCATTTACAAAATGAATATTAAGTGATTGATATCACAATACATACTTAAAACAAAATAAATGGCATTTAAAAGAAAACTGAGATAGTCATTTAACACAAAAAATTATAATATAAAACTCACAAATCTCGAATAGAAATATTTTCTGGGTTTGCCTTCTTTTTCTTTTTCTTTATGCGGTCTTTTGCCTTCCTGAAACAGGCACAAGTTTCATAGATTATAAGCAAAGGAAATTTGGTTAAAAAAAATCAAACTCTACTGTTTTTAGGTTAACTGATATTATTGTTCATAAACTCACTACTTACAATCGTGCATCTTTCAGGCTAAGTAATCTTTTAACTTGAGCAAATTTTTTAGTTCTTTTGTCTTTAGCCTGAAATTTTAAAAAATAGTATTAGGCCTAACTGCTGGCGTAAATTATTAAGTTTGTCAAACTAATAAGTAGATATTCCAAATCTATGACAAAATTAAATAAAATTTCGATTTTTCAAAAATAATTTCATATAGGCCTATATATTATAACTTTAGACTTTAAAATGTTCATGTTACCAAACATTTTTAAAAGGCTTATGCAATGCAAAAAGTTATGCATTTTATTCTCCCAATAAAATTCAAATATTTAGGCTTCCACACTTCCAGGAAGTGTACTGTAAAGCACACAGATATTTCTCCTACTGATTTATGAGTCAATTAAAGTTAAAGTTTGGATTTAAAATGGATTGGCCACAAAAATTAACAGTGATTTACTGTAAATTGGCCAATATAAGAATGTAACCTAACAAAGAGAAATTTAAAAAGACCTTCAAACTAGTAGAAAGCTTGATGGAAATGGGGGGAAAATAGCTATGCTACTGATGTTGTAAAAGCCCAATGCCCACTGTGGCAGAAGAATTTTTAGTAGCAAAACAATGTTTGAAACAAAACCAAATCTTCTGTTATCATTGTTTTAAAAAATGTATTTTATAAAAAATTTGGCCTCTGGAAATTTATGCCTACTGAGAATGAATGCAAAAGTACTGAAATTTAATTTTAAGAAGTTCAATTCTAACACCAAAAGATTTTTTTAATGGAAGGAAAGTGCATGCTAGAGCACAAATGTAACTGGACTAAAGAGTTACAATTTGATGTTAAAAAAAAAAAAAAACAGAAACATGTAAGGCCCTATTTTCAAGATTTTTGCATTGCTCATTTTTTGTATAAAAAATGCACCTATTTATTTTACACTCACGAGGCACAAATTTTCAAAAACATGTCCAGGTTTTATCTATGTTGACAATAAAGTTGGAAAGATTTTTGTCAACTCATTGATGTCCACTACATTGGCAACAGTTGCACTGAGAAAGTGATGGTAAATTGCAAGATGGGTATATTACTATTACTTCCGATTTTTCAATGGCTAGACATGCTTTTGTGTGGAACACCGAAGCACCGAATATATAGCCTTTGAACGCTACCATGCTCGAAGCCGCTGTCGCCACAAGATATGCTGAATTGTTGCAAAGAAATAGTGTATTTTTACCGCCACCTATGATTTATTTTTTCATCATATAAATATATGTTAATTTTTAAAAATGTTTATAATTAAAATTACTCAAGCCCCTAATACAAGATAAATTACACTTTTTAAATTGTTTATTTATACTTCCACAAGTACAAGAAAACTAAGTGTTAATAAGGTATTAGCAGTACATTAACAATGTGGCTGAATATTTCTCTAGCTACAGCTCACAAGATTATATGAGCATGTTAGTCATATTGCTATTGTTCAGGCTATGACCTATGTTTTTGCATGCACTGACTGTGACCCCTCAAATGGCAGTATTTTTCTCGCGATGACAAGAAAACGTGAGCTGACATGAAGCAGGTGACAATGTTTAGAATTTCCAATGTGGCCTCTAGATCTAGATGTAGTTTAAAAATGTGTTCCAAAATAAATTCTCTTTATTAACTCACAGTAGCCTAACCCATTGAACAAATGGGATTTTTCTTCTGCTGACCAGTAAACATGAATGAGCGATCATAGGAGCTACGATGTTAAGATATTTTAATATTTTAAAAAATCTAAACTAGATCAAGAAAAATTTGGAATGATTAGATACCGGTCTCCGATAATAGACTCTTCCATAAAATAGGTGTGTTGGGTTGTTAGTAGTAGTAGTATTGTAATCTCGACTAATTATATGGTTAGAAATTAGGGTTAGGCATATGGCAGGACCAGGCTTGGGGTTACTGTTAGGAACAGGGTTAGCATTACCATTGGCCAGCCATGTGTGTATTTTGTTAACAACCAGTAACCTAACACCCCTTTTTTAAAGAAGATTCCATTATCAGACACCGGTGTAAATATTCTCCCAAAATTTGTGTTAGGCCTAGATCTATATCTATCTAGCTAGATCTTCTCGCACATCTGGTGAAAAAAACCCCCACCAAAAGCATGAAAAAAAAAGCCTTGAAAATTGTATAGTAATTACCCATGAATTAGTGGGTAGATATATGTCTCGCATATTCTTTTCGCAATTTACCAACCCCCATTCAATTCAGTCATTTCAGTGTCACGAGTGTTAATCTAGATTAGTAGAAGATTAAAAGATTTAGTAGTGTTAATCTAAAGACCGATTCTAGCCGGAAAAAGATATGCATGCGCGCAATGGAGAGAAACTACGACTTGCTTTCGTGGCCATGTTTGCTATGGTACTGTGCATCTGTGTGTTTACAACCGCAGAACCCTAGCTCTAACAACACACTAACCCCTACCCATAACCCTAGCTCAGCTATTAAGGTCACTGCGCATGTGCAGAACTATCTTTTGATTACCAAGTGGAGACGCTGGGGCGAAAAATCTTTTTTTCTGAGTAGTCACTTCGGACTTTGTAATCTAAATTTGGTAGATCATACTACCTAATCACCTAATCTAGATAAGTCCTTAGATTCTAGATCTAATCTAGATCTATATCTGTACTTAAGTTGTAATTGTAAGCTAGATCTACTAAGTAAATAAACTAAGGTAGATCTAGATCCAAGACTTTTTTTTTTACTTAATTAATTGTAAAGATCTCAGTCGAGTTGAGAACGAGGACGAGGAGTCGGACAGAGCCCGCGTTGAATGAATGTTCATGAATGATTTGTGATAAACTCAGAATCTGGATTATAAGGAGAATATTATTTTAATTTTTATAGAGATAATTTTAACCATAAAGAATCTTCAATACCATGACGGGATAGATCTAAGTGTCGGTGTTTTCTTGATCTAGTCTAATGTTTTGTTCCTTCAAACACGTTGATTGTGCCCGTGTGTGTACTCTAGTTTACAAATTTACAAGGGGTATAACTCTATTCGACTAGGCTAACCTTTGAACTTTAAACTCTACGTGTAAAAAGTTAAAGTGTTCTGATGATGTTTGCAAGTGGTAGGGCCTAGCCTAGTAGTAAGTAAACTACTAACTAAACTAAGTAAGTAGTAAGAAGTAAGGTATGCCTAACTTTAATAGATCTAGATCTAGATTAAAGTGGATTCTAAGAGAAATTAATATAATATGGCCATAAATCTAGTGATTGTGCTTTAACAAAAATAAACTAGAAATTTTGGCTTTTTTTGGTCCATTCTTTTTACTAACTTTTTAGTTTAAAAAATAGTAAAATAGTACAGTGTTTTTTATGAAGCCAGTCATCAACTCAATAATCCCAAGTCAGGTGGGAGATAATCTACCAACATCAACCGTAGACTCTTTTATAACACCTTTGGCCAACCGACCCTCCTCATCCCAATTGCTTCCTTTTTAAAATAGCAATATAATAACTCACTGGTAAAGTTTAATTTTAAAGATTGTTTTAAATTTTAAGTTTTAACTTAAGTTCTAAACATGCAAAATACAACATCATTTTTTAACATATTTATTATGATTTCAGATTTATAATTATTTAAATCGATTGCCAGCATGTATCTTGAGGGCTGTGAGAAGGCGGAACAGCAGACTTTGATTACAGCATTCAAAGATATATCAGAAAACATCAGGCAGATCTTAAAACAAGCTCATGAAGATGTGGAAGGTTTTCACTCTATCAACAATATTTTTGTTATCACTAGTAGTAGTACTACTACTACACTGTTAAAAAAAATTTGGCTTTTATTGTTTTTTTTTCTTAAAGCTTGTTGTACAAAAGTGTCATATGAATGTTTTCAAATTCTAACCAAATGAAAATGGAAGAAGTAATTTATTTAGAATAATGAAGTTGACTTGAAATTTTAAGGTTTTAAAATACATATTTATTGTCCTTTATTTTGAAAAAAGTAATTTGATTAACATTTATTTAAAAAATTAAATAGCAGATGAAAGTAGAATTGTTATTCTTTTGGTATCCCTATTTATTCTTTTGGTACTTTTTTATTCATATATCTATGTTGTAAGCAGAAGACAACAACTGCACTGATATTAAGTTATTTATAAATTATTTATATACATCCCAGTTTAAGAAATTTTAAAAAATAATTAATAATAACTGGACATTTTTCTATAGAAAGTGTGGAGGACTTTGCTTCAAAAAAGATCAGCAAACTTTTTCGGATTGTTGGCATTTACAGAAAAGCATTTGAACAGTTAGTTTGTATATGTTGCCTATTTTAAAAATCTTTTTTAAAACTTAGTAATATAAGATACAGCTGTTTCATTACAGTTTTTGCAATCTTCTTCAGTATTAAATTTATAGCTGATCAGACTATTCAACAGTGTATGATAATTATTTCTCAATATATTTATAATTTGTAATCTTGCAATTAAAAAACCAGTTTTTGCAATCTTCTTCAGTATTAAATTTATAGCTGATCAGACTATTCAACAGTGTATGATAATTATTTCTCAATATATTTATAATTTGTAATCTTGCAATTAAAAAACCAGCAAATAATTTTCATATGTAAATACATCAACCATAAAATTTTTTATTGCATCTAGTTTTTCTTAATGCAGTATTTTAATGTGTATTAGTGTATGTGTGATGTAAATCAGCTCAATAGAAAATGAATTGATTTATTTTTATTTTATTTAATGCTTGGATAAAATACTGATTAACTTCATTGGCACAACTTAAATTATGTGTCCACTATTTTTCAGCATAGTATTTTTTTTCAGAGATCAGTGTATTTTTTGTAATGTTTTGTATTCTTCTCATATTTTAAATAGATTGAATGTAAAAACAAAATCAGAGTTTGAAAGACAAGCTGAGCATGTTTTTAGGTAACTAAGGTATTTTATTTGTTCATTATTTTATTTTAGTTTAAGATGTGAATTAACATTGATGTGATTTTCCATTCTCCTCTGGTATTGCTTCACTAAATATAACCCAAAAAGTGAGACACATAAACGTTCCATAGTATTAAATAAGATTTGAAATGAAACAATATTTTATTTTTCTTCAAGCGATCAAACTGTTAGAGAAGAATTTGATGAGTTGTTGCAGAATGAGGTAGGATTTTATTCAATTAAAAACTAATTTAGGCAAAGTCCCAAGCTCAATAAAAAGTTTTTCACCCATACTATTTTAATGTAAGTCTTTTGAAAATCAAAATTTAATTTAAAAAATCCTTTTGAAAGAAAATATGCTAGTTGGATTTGTTAGTTTAGAGTAACCATATTGATTTTGAGAGATAATCAGTAGTTTGCATTTTTATTGAGCACTTAACTTTGTTATTTAAGGAGAACGATTGGCACAAAAAATAATATCATCTAATTAAAAATATATTACCAGTTAATGACTTCCTTTATTAGAGAATTGAAATAAAATGATTTCCTGGTTTCCCATCTGACAGTGCATACAACATATACATTTCAGAGAGAATGGGACATTTTTTTGGAAGAAATAGACACAGCATTGTCTTCATCTCATGAGGATGTTTACAAAGAAGGAGATACTTTCCCACTGTCCCAAGAGGTTGTAAATGCCAGAACTAATGAACGATGTAGCTTAGAAACTTTTGCTCAGGACCAGCCATTCCTTGTTTTGATTTTACTCAGGCACTTCGCATGATTACCTTGACGAGACCATTTGAATGAAATATCAGCTAGAGAGGTCAGAGTTAACAAAACTAAAAATCAGTAGTGTTTGTGTTTAGACAGTTTTATTATTCATTATGAATTGTTTAAAACAGTAATAAAATCACAACTTTTCTCAATCAACTGTTTTTATGATTATCAATTAAATTAAAATTTTTAATTGTGATGTAGGAAGAAATAATTCGTGCTGGTGGGAAAATATTAATTGTTTCATTTGGAGAGGAGATTGGTGCTAAAAACTGGCTGAAAGAAACAGGATGTCCTTATGATATGGTATTAGATTCTGAGAGAAAAGTAAGTCTTTCATTGTTGATTTTTCCAGTATCATGTATAGTGTATTTTACACACAAAATATGCAGAAGAATTAGGCGATTGCATTAAATATGCTGTTATTTTCACAGATATATCATTCCTTTGGCTTATACAGGTCTGTATTAAAGGTTAGTAATTCTTAATGTATTTCAATATTGTCCTAAACTTTCCGTTTTACTTTTCATGTCATCTATTTGAACAATATTCTTTCCCTGAGATATTTTAAATGTAATGTTCTAAGCCAGATAAATCAAGCTTACCTCCCTTGATGTTTTCCCCAGGTATGGAATACAGCGTGCATGGTTTATTATGCTGAACAATTAGCACTTGGAAGACAGCTACCTAAACCATTGGCTAATATTCACGATGACCCACAGCAGGTTTAGTAATCAAATATTTCCAAAACTAAAACAAAATATTATTTTAAAACTTCTGTTTTTGTAAAAACAAAAATCACAGGTCAACTCATTTTTTTTTTCCTTGTAGATGGGTGGAGATTTTATTCTAACCAAAGATGGTGTTGTGAAAATGGCTTACTGTAGTCAAGTAGCCAGTGACAGACCAAGTGTGGATCATTTACTATCAAAACTCAAACAAGAAACATCAATAGAACGTAAAGCACACAAGTCTTTTCTCTAAAGCAGATATTTCATTTGACCCCTGGACTTAACAATGACTCTTTTATAAATGAAAGAAACAGATCAAACCAGTCAAACCTGGCATTTGTTTCTGGACCAATACCAAAAGAGTAAAACACCAGTCCCACTTCTTATGGGCATAATTAAAATTCTCGCACAAATAAAATTCCAAACTGTACATAGTTAATTAAATTATTTTCTTTGTTGATTTTCACAGCGGTCCCACTTTTTATGGGCATATTAAAATTCTCGCACAAATTAAATCCCAAACTGTACATAATTAATTAGAATTTTCTTTATTGATTTCACATATGTCCCCCTTCTTATCGGTTTTATAATAAATTCTAACACAACAATCTCAAAACGGTACAAAGAAATTAATTGCAATTTTTAAATTGATTTTCATATTTTTACACAACATGCAAGTATCATCCTTTTTTTCTTCTTAAAACAATTTTTTTTAATAATAAAGATTTTTAATTTAAATAATTTAAAAGTTTATCATTTTAAGTATAAATAATTTTGTATTTTAGCCAAACAGTTTAGTTGTTTAGAACTTTAAGGCTCTAATTTTGTTGTAGCATGATTATTGATTGTTTACGGCCATCAACAGTATTAGTAGTCATCAAGCTGTAGAGCTTGAATGGTCATATGAATGTGATCTTACTGCAACATGTTATAAAAGTGGATTTTTTTTACAAAGTTTTTATTACTTCACATTTTGAAAAAACATGATTGAATTTAAAATAAAAATAGTTAAAAAACGTTTTAGCAATGGCTACTTAGTATGCAGATTGTTGCTTTAGCATGGTTTCTCTGCGGCTTTTTTTCTGTTATCAGAACCTGAATATGGCATTTTTATTTATTTTGTCACTAATACATTCCTCATTAAAATTCCTTTTATTCAGAGGTTAAAATGTGTTTGAAAATATTCTGTGTATTTTGGGTTGAAGATTATTTACAGTGGAGGACAAATGCAGTTAGAGCAGATACATTTTGTGTGACACTATGGTTGAGATGAGATAGCAAGAAAGTGCCATAAGATGATACAATGATATGACACAAAGTATCAGATGTTGTGCCAAGATGTCTTAATGTGTTGTCTAAGGACACAGTTGAAAGTTTCTGTGTGAGTAGCTTAGCTGTACATATCTTAATAAAGTCACTAAAGCACCATGCTTTCTTCAGTGTGTCATAATTGTTGTGATGTAATTTGTGTGAACAACAGAATGCAAACCAAAATAAACCACTGCAGGTTTGGACATAGGTGAATGATGCACACCAAACAATTTGGGTGACACAGTGAGAGATTATCTTATTCATTATTTTTGCTACATGGCAATTATTGCTTATAGGCAGGCAGAGGATGATTACTGCTCTCAATGCCCTAGCTTTAGTATACCTAGATCAGAGTTACTGTTATGATTTTGTTTGTTGGGTCTATATGGTATATTAGGTTTTGTAATCTTGTGTAAATACACAGAAGGATGTGAAATTTTGTTGCAGTGGGAAGAAGTAGGCTATAAATAAAATTAGGTTAGATTAGTTATTGGCCCTTTCTAGATGTGATTATCATGTCTCGATGTGTCAGATGATGAGATCTGAATTCTAGTTCTGTTTAATGGTTAGTTTGGTCATTTCATGAATCATTAGGTCTGAAAGGTAACTATTTTACTAAGGCTAAAAACATTTCTAACCAGATGTGAGAAACAAACATTTTTTAACCAATTTAGTTTAAGCTCCAGCTTTTGTTACTGTAACAAATTTCAACAAGATTTGAGTCTAAGTTGAAAGAATACAAAAGACTGCCATGCTGTTCACAGATTTATTATGAAACTTTTTATTTTAATTTTTAACAGTAGACACAAGATAGGTACAGAGAAGGTCATTAGTAGCAACACACAAAATATTGCAAGCAAAACTGCTGTTTTGTCATAAAGTTAGAAATTAAATTACATTATGTTGATACAAAAAATAAAAAAAAAATACCATAAATGGCAAACCAATTAGTTACATTGCAAAATGCATTAAAAGAACTAAAACATTAATTTACTATGCCACTACCAATAAATATTTATTGCAAAGGTGAAAACAATTTACTTTAAGGAAGTTTATGAAAAAAGAAAAAACAAATCACAACAAACTAAGTTATGAGACATTGTCAATATCTAATGGTATTGATAAGATTTATATCTGAATATAAATGTTTAGTTCTGCTGAGTTGTGGATTTTTGTAAAAGTACTTTTCAACAAGTAAACATTTTTCATAAAAGCCCTTTTTAAAAAAAAATTAGTCATATATATGTAACATAAGCTAAAAAAAATGTACCAATAATGAACTGAGTTAACTCATAACCTTAGAGTATCAGCCATGGTATTGCTCTAATAACAACACAAAAATGTATAACTGTGCACATATTAATCATGATAACATAGAAATTTAAATACAAAAAGTAAATGACTAGCTAAATGCATGATAAAATTGTGAATGGCTATCCACAGATGATATCCCTCAAAAAGACATATCAAACAAAGGAAACAGATTTGTTCACATAGCGTGGCTGGTCATCTTTTTCATAAAATAATTATGTTGGTATAAAGTTTAATTGAACTTTTGATCTGTCTTAACCTTCAATTTGTGAAAACAGCCACCATATAATACAACCATTGGGACAGTTAGCTAACTTGCCAACAAGAATAAACTATTTAATTCATAGAAACCTGGTTACATATCTTTAAAAACCATTTTATGTATCTTCAGACCTGAGGCTTTAGTAAGGTAAGATAACTTCCGGTAAACAATAAGACTAATGATGATTTAGTGAGAAGATAATTGACTGAACAATGTGGAGAGCCCAAGAGTACAATGAAACAACATGCAAGTAAACATAGCACCAGAGTTGAGTATTAGTGAGGGGGGAGTAATACCTTCTCAGCTTAAATTATAATTATTTTTATATATCTTACAAATACCATAGTCTGTAAAACATTTATTCAATTTTTATTTTTAAAATAACGAAAACTTTCACTGATAAGAATAAACAACATGTAACAGAGTGCTGCTCCTGCAGTAGCCTTCTCTTATGTATATAGATAAATACATTGGTATCAAAAACTTCATATCAGCACAAGCAATTCATAGTTAAAACTATAAGAATTTATAATTGTTCAAAGCTCTAAGGCTTTCTGTTTTGATTGATTACAATTTAAAAACACTAATATTGGAGACTTGTTAACAACACCTATTAAATTAAAAATGCATTTCAAATATGTACAGATAAATTTTTGTTATGTTAAAAAAAAAAAGAAATATGGCACAAAAAACTCCTCTTCATATTTTCAATTTTACTTTGATAAACAAAGTCCACATTGTTTTTAGCACTAAAAACTGGAAGAAGAACTGTTACCAAAATACAGCTGTAAAAATCAACTTTAAAATGCAAACATGACAACCTCTCTTCAATACTGGCCGTGTAAAGTCACTAGTTACTGTGTAGTTTATACACTTGAGTAAAACAACTTCTTACAATCCTGTAGTCCTCCTCACAACTTTAAAGTGACCACTTGGATCAGGGATAAAATACTTCTCCCAAAGATCACTGTGCTGAGCTGTTCTACCCCATGGCTTAAATGGGCCATTCCAATGTAATAATTTAGCTTTTTTCACAAAAGATTTGCTGTAGGATGTACCTGCACTAGCACCTACAATTTAAAAAAAAAACAGAATTATAATAGCCCTCACTGTCAAGAATAGAAGAAACAGGAGATTTTACAACTTTCTAAAACCCTGAGCAGCCTACAAGTATATACATATATACCTTGATATATTTGAAAACACTCACCCAAATGACGAACGTGCCACAGTGGATCAATGCGAGAAAACTTGTTATAGAAGACAATCATCATTGGGGGCTGAGATCCTCCACCTCCCCTTTCATTACCATAAACTTCTTCTCTGTGGAGGCAATTGTTTGAAATGGATGTAAATAATGGCTTGCTATTTTTTTATTTACTGCAAATAGCAAATTTGACTTCAAAAGCAATTTTTTAAAATTAATTTATTATGCCAAAAAGATTCTGGGAATAGTATAATCGAAAACTCCCAAGCTTTTGATATGCCAGTAAAAAAAACAATGTACTTAGTGTTGAGTTCCATCCAGTATTCCAGCTGGCTGGTAATATTCTGTGAATGCCAGTCTGACAAGTTGCTGACAAACACGCCAGTGTTAAAAGAACAGGCTGTAGGTTTAATGTGCATCTGCTGGATGTGCTCATTTTTAAAGTCCAGAAACTCAGCATAGATATTCTAGAAAATAAAGTTTTTAAGTTTTAACTTTAACTGTATGCAATAATTAGAAGGAAGTTAACTCACTCTAAATTTTTGTAACAAAAATATAAAAGAGAAGAATTTCTAAAATAAAAAAATGATACATAGGGCTGATAATGAGAGATTATACACACGTTTAGTCTACTTAATCTTTTGTTCTGCCCTTGACAGTCCTCAGAGAAAGCTGCAATGTGCCCTTTTTCTAATGGTGTTTTATAAAGTTCTTCTATATCTCCTGTTCAGATATAAATTAAGAGCAACATAGTTAATGATTTGTAGCTTCAGCAAAGTATAGCTTCATTAACTCTTAACACATTTTTTTTTTCAAAATACACAAAATGATCTGATAAACTATAAAATGTATTATTTTGTTTAAATACAATATTCTCATGTTCTTAAATGCATAGTAGAAAAAATACTTTAAAAAGCATACTATTCAGGTAATTGAATTGTATTTAGTTATAGCAATATAGGCCTAAATCATAGCATTACGGGCAAGTTATTATTTTATTTTTAAAAACATTTCTAAATAACCAACTCAAACTAATTAATATATTACAAGTGTGTGTGTATTACCTTGAACTATACAATCATCATCAATGAATATGATTTTCTCTTTTAAAAGGGGGAACAGCTTAGGCAGATAATACCGTGCATAGTTAAGCTGTAAGTAAAGAATTGATTACACTACATCAAGATACAAGTTTTTATTTAACAAGCAACATTTATATTGCTAAAGGTTTTTATCTAGTTAGATCAGGCATTAGAAGAACACCAAAGCAGGAAAAAAAAACTTACTGGACTTCCAAGCTCTTTTCTACCTCCTCTGATTTTAATTCTTCCATCAACCCATTTAGCTGGGAATGCTTTTAGTTCATAATCAATGTTTTTTAATTTTGATGTTTTTATCCAAATACTGTAAAATGCAATAGATTTATTTTATTAGAGGGTTAATTCATGCACATCTAGTAGTAACTACCTATGTAACACAGACAATGAAGTAATGCCTGAAAATTGTAATTCCTAGTAATCTATATTGGTTTGAACATTAGCTAAATTACTTCAATTATATTAAGTAACATAAAGGCTTAACGCCATCTCAAATGATAAATTACACGGAGAGATGGAAATGGAAGCAGTTTCCAAATTAATTGAGAAAAGAAGATGGCGATGGATAAGGCACGTACTAAGAATGAATCCAGAAGACATCGCAGGAATGGCGCTAAATTGGACGCCTCAAGGTAAAAGAAATCAAGGAAGGCCAATGGAGATGTGGAGGCGCACAGCTGGGAAGCAGCTGGCAGAGGCAGTGCTGTCATGGGGGACTGTCAAGTAAATTGACCAAGAAAATTGACAGTGACTGACAAAAGTGGAGGGAGCTTTCTGTGGTGGACCCATGTGTCTTGGGCACAAAAAAGAAAAGATGATGATATTAAGTGAGAAAAAGTATTTATATAGTACCAGTGTAGTTGTATCATTGTATGGTTGTAAGTGTAACACAAACCTGACATGATCCATGCTGTTTTCGTCCACAACAAGGTGAAACTTGACAGGGGACTTGGTGTTGGAAATAATACTGTTAATTAAAGCAATCATGCCTCCTGAAAGGATAATAAATTGTGTTCTTTCTTTACTGTTCTCTAATACTATCATACATATGAAGCAAAAGAAGATCCAAGTAAATAATTACATTTTAAAAGTGATTTTAAATAGACAAGTATACCCCTCACAACCACAATAAATCATTTGTTGAAATAGCTCAATTCTCTTCTCTAAATTCAAACTTATGAATATAAAGACTATTATACTGACCCAAAGTTTTTTCATCAGATGTAATACAAACATGTAATGCTTGTTTGTGTACATCATCAAAATTGCTGAGTGAAGTTGTATTTGCCAAATGTGATCTCATATCATAAGAAGATTTATCACTCTCTGAAGTCAAGAAAAAAATCCATTTTAAAAGAAATAGAAAATAATATTTTTTTAAATTTCAAAACATAACTAAAATGAATTAATTATTTTTAAGCCAACAAACATGCTGACTTACTCTTGGGTTCTGATTTTGTTCTTAAATTTAAAAAATCTGGGATGTGATCTGGAAGCCAGATGTAGCACAGTGTACCTATCCAAAACACTGCCAGCAAGGCACCCACTGTAATTGTAAGGACATGCATAATTCATTCAGAAATTTAAAAAAAAAAGGCTTAGTAAGGGTAATGAGCCATAGATGTAGAGATCTTTACGGTAAACATATAAATATAACTCACCCTTCCTTGCGGAGAGAATTCCCATTTCAAATATCATTCAAATTTTCTGTAAAAAAAAAATTATTTTGTCAATCTAACGCTGGTATGGCATTTTTGTAGGAGCCATTTTGTCAAAGTCAAAGTCAGTGCCCGATTCACTGCAGTCTTTTAGCCACAGGCCTTATTTGCAGGAATGATGTGTTGGGGACTTTTTGTCATACATCTCAAGATAGCAGGTTTGCAGTAATTATGATTGTTTCTTCCTACCAAGGTATACATTTTCACTAATGTTTAATTTTCATTATAATAATAATATATATATATATAATTCACCACCACGTACGCTCACTAGGCATGTCGCTACCACCCCACCTGTCTGGTGAGCTGTGGTTCACAACAAATGTTTACTTTACCTTACTACATTTGCTTTATCTTTTAAGAGCTTAAAACGATCGTCCTAAATCTAGCTAAATCAAACGGCTCTTTAGTAAATTGTTTTTTTAATGCTGGCTGTCTAGCATGCAGGATATGTGAACTTAAAAAAAAAATTACCAGAAGTAGCGAAGTAGGTCTGTTTTTCAATTGGCTTGAAGAATAGGGGGGGGGGGGGGGGAGAGAAAAAGTGAAGACACTGACAATCTCGTGTACGCGTGTTAATTCTATGTCGTGTACTATAGGCCTGCTGAACTCAGAGTGACGATGTTTGGAGATTTTATTTAAAAATTTTTAAAAGTTCACACGTTATGTTTTCAATATGAAAAAAAAATGAAATGTAAAAAAAAGACTCTGAGCTCCACGTCTATGAACTTCAGCTTCCACACTGTTGACTCAATATAATGTGAATTGAGTTAAAATGTATTTGTATTTATAGACTATCATAACTATCATATTATTTTAAGCATGTTTAAAATTAGAATTTGAAATAAAAATATTTATTATGGCAGCATTTAAAAACTTGTGTACACAAGTTCACGACGTCCTGTTATGCCGGCTGAGGAGCAAGAACGTGGATTTGGCTTTCATTTTCCATTCTAGGATAATTTTAAAATTCTCTCTTTTCTCAGCCACTGAGTAAGCTAGATATTTAAATGTGGTGTCAAATGTTCTCTTAAGGGGTAAGGAACTTAACAGTGTATTTGAAATAACAGAATATTTTAATTTTAAAAATCCATAATTCAATGTATAGGCCTAATACTAATGACAGAATATTTTAATTTAAAAAATCCATAATAATTATATAATTCAATCTAGATCTACTATTTAGGCCCTAAATTAATATTAATATTATTTAATAGTTTTAATATAATAATAGGCCTAATACTGTAATACTAGATCTCTATTTATTATAGATCTAGATCTGTATAAAATTTGGTAAAACTCCATTTTAGCGTATTTTATTCTCAGCTTCTTGTACCTCCAGTTGAGCGTATTTTATTATATTAACCGGGGGCGTATTTTATTATATTAACCGAAACACACCAAAACATTAGGAAAACACGATTTATTTATTTGTATTGTATTTTTGTTTTAACAAATGAATAAAAATGAATTTAAAAAAAACAAAGAGACTAGATTCTAACTTTGTTTTAGATTTTGATAATTTACTTTTGTCAAAACTTGAGAAAAATCCAAATTTAGAATATTGAATGTGCTATGTTCCTGTGTCAGTTAGAATTTTCATGGCAATGGGTGAAGTACGTAAACGTAACTCACAATTGGTAGTTAAGTTTGTATTGTTACAACTACAAGTATCTCCCAGACATGATACTATAAAATAAATAAACATTTATAATTTATGAACTTACAATAACCTCAAAACTGAAGCCAACACAATTTCAAACAGCTATTGCCCGAGCTATGATGACGTATGCTGATAATTAAAGCCAATATCAATGTGAACTCACAGTGAACCCTTGACCGTGTAGCCGTGTAAGGATTTTTCTCCTGCTGACGATCACACGCTATGTAATTGGAACAGTTCTAATTAAAATTTGAATTTCTAATGCTTTTTTACCTTTTCTAATTAATTAAAAACTTAGGTAATCTATCGTTTTGGGTACGTAAAATCGCCCGTGGCTATTTATGTACGAAAACGTTACCTCATTGTCAAGGCTTTAATAGAAGTATATTGTCATACTTTTGTGTCAAATATTATAGATAAATGAATAATAAACCTAAATCAATGGCTAAATATATCGATATAGGCCAGAAATTAACTTTAAACAGCAGTGTCTGAGAGCAAGATTTGCTATATAAACAGCAGCCATTTGTAAAATAGAGTGGCTTCCCCCTGAATCTGGCGCTAAAAGCTTATAAAAATAAAACTTAAACAAGATGGCTGTTATAGTAAATGAGCATGGTTGCATCTGTTGGAAACATCGCTAGAGCAAATTACATTGTCCGAACACTACGTGGGACCGAACACTTCGTCGGTTTTTGGCTCATAGAAACTTTAATTAGCATGTCTCATGCGAAACCACGGCGCCTGCACGTAAACTGTTCATTTATGAACACTTCCGTGTCAAGTACTTCCGTTTCCTCTCTCAAGAATTATTTTTAGAAAATTTTTAACGTTGCATGGTACGCACATTTCTATTTTTACACCAGCCAGATGAAGTGACCTAGGGTTGGACTTAGGGGCAAAACTTGAACCAATCAACGCTTAGCTAAAAGGTTACACTATAAATAGCTTCTATATATGTATGGAACATCGTAAATGTCAAGGTTAATGGGTTATTTTGTGCTTGAACAATAAAAAAGGGGTGTTCGCTAACTTTTTTGACCTTACATGGGACCGGACAGCAACACAAAAATATTATTAAATAAGAATTTAGAGCATAAAAGGGGCTGGTTATTGAAGGGAAAGGGTCAAAATAAGGTCAAGAAGGCAGTGGAATGCGAAAGAGGAGGGGGAATCATGTGACCTGGCTGGCTTAGCAGCGTACTGCGCGAGCCGCAATGGCTGAATGGGATGAACTTTGGGAGTGTGGGAAAAAGGTTTTATACTATTAAAATTACCTCACAAACAATCAATAACACAATATAAATGCATATAATATATGTTTTTATTCATTAAATTGACTTTAAATTATTCTAAATGAACAAAAAGTGCTTTGTCCGATGACGGGTAAAGGTGTCCGAACACATTTGAAATTGTATTACATGTGTTCGAACACACGTTAAGACCCCCCAGTCACTATAACAAGAATAGCTTAAGTTCTATGCGTATGAATACAAAATGACACACACATTATTAAAGTAGAATGATTGCGGATAGATATGATACTTTTTTTTCCTTCCTATGTTAAGCGGTTACTGAATGAGACCGAATGGAAGTTTTAAGTTGCGTTTTTTCGCGGTGTGTGTCCGGACAGTGTAATTTGCTCTAGTCTTCATTTATTACGGAAAAGTTTTAATTCAATTGTTTAAAAACAGGTACATAAATGAATCAAGGAAACATTTTTGAATTTTTTAAAACATAAATCCTCCTCAAAATGTGAAATAATTATTAAAATTTAAGGAGTCACCTGTTTTTCACATTACAAATCGCGGGCGATTTTACGTACCCAAAACGATAGATTACCAAAACTTAAATCACATTCATTAAAAAATAAGTAGATCTAGAATCTAGATCTAGTGTTTTCCTAACGTTTTTGTGTGTTTCAATTGTTTTTATTATAATATTAATAAAATACGCTCAACTGGAGGTGAATCATATGAATGTGAAGCGGGGAATAAAATACGCTAAAATGGAGTTTAACCTAAATTAAAATTTATAGGCCTAGGCTTACTATTACTATAAAATAATCTATTAATCTAGACTCTCTAGATCTAGTAGCTCATGATGACGTTCGAGTCAATCTATTTTTACGTCATTCAATAAAAAAGCTTACTTTCACTAATCACTATTAAATCTAGTATTATTGTTGATGAAGTTGACTTCCACGTAAACATAAACAAATGCGTAATGTTTTACATGTAGGCAGACATTTTGGAAATACCCGTATGAATTCAACTTTTTTTTTAAATAACCGAAATAAATAATTATTTTTGCAATGTAGATCTAGATTCTAGAACTGGAATCTAGATCTATTGTTTGACCCAAAATATATTACCAGCATATTAATAATTTGTTAGGCCTGTATTATGCATGGAATAAACACTTTTAGTCGCCCTTTTCGCTCAAAAAGCTTATCCTAAACTTTATTACATATTTTTTCAGATTATTCAATTTATTCTGAATGTTGGAATAGATCTATCTATTCTATATTCAAGAAGATGGAAAGAATTAAGTCACTTTTTTTTTGGGGGGGGGGGGGGGGGGAAGAGTTTAAAAAATTATTGCATGTTATTTTGTACATGAGGTATATAAACGCTGAAATAAATATCAACATACATTCACTTTTGATGTGCAAAACCAGCCAACATTTTAAACCACAAACCAACATAACTTGGTGAATGGTCTACGCGTCTGTTCTTGTGTTAATGGTGCTGTTAATGGTACTATTCACATCAGTTAGGGGGGATGTGGGGGTGTACAGTTATGTGCTTGGGCAAGATAATGATACTTGCATGATGACTGGCCACAGTAATTAATACACAAGGCAGCACAAATGTTTGATTTTGTAAAAGTATAACAAACATGTCAAGTTTCATCATTTTTTATTATTTCAAAAATGAGTCATATTAAGTGAACATTATGTACAGGTTTCATATGAATTATGAATGTATTTTAAATATGATTTTTACAATAGATGAGTTTATATCAAACAGCTCCCCAGTAACATGACAGAACTGAGTATTTACATAACCAAAATGTACCTGAGAAATGATTACTTCAAAAATATTGGCTGTAGTGTACACATAAAAATCAAATTTTACAAGGCACATAAATATAAAATGGTATAAAAATTATCAAATGATAATAAAAAGGAAATATGAACAAAAGTAATCAGCAGGTTTCATGACTTGTAACATAAATCATCAATACATCATAGAATTTCTAAGAGCTTGTTAGATAAAAACAATTATAGCAAGTAAAATTCTTCAGTAAATCTCTCTGATCTACAATTTTGATAGGAAAAAGAAAAGTAATTTATTTTAAATACAGTACTTGGATTGTTGACAATTTTTCATGTAATTGGCTATCTGAAAAAAACCCACCCATTGTTAATATATTTTATTCGAAGTTATTTTATTTTCATTCTACACATCTCATCGCAACTTCTATATAAAACCAATTGCACATGTGCAGTTTTTCTAAATGCATCATAAATATTGTAAAAAATTCTATACCATTGAAATGTACAGATTTAATTTATCTAAGCAGTATTAAGTATCAGTGTAGCTGAATCCTACAGTAGTGATAACATTACCATAAACATAGGACTTATTACTGTAATAATATCTCTTGATAACATGCTTTATTTATTTCAAATACTTTCATAACACTTCTATTTACATAAAGATTTACACTAAGTAGAAAATCTTATCTCTGTAGTTTATTTGTCTAATAACTCTATAACTGTTATATAAAGAATATAATTTAGCTAAATGTTATGTAACTTATAAATACAAATCATACTGATATGAAAATTTCATTCATGAGCTTTTTTTCATTAGGGAAAAAATATATAATGTCAAAGCCTTTGCAAACTGTTTTCTTTTTTGCTTTTAAAATACCAAGTAAATTTCCAGTTATAAAAATTAAGTGTAACACATACTTTGAAAAAGTAAATACATATAAATAAACAAAAAATAATTTATTGCGTGGGACAATTAGGTGGCCCTTCATCTGCCTCATCTTTGACTTTGAGCGACCTCTTCTCTGGAGATTTCAAGCGAAGGAACCCCTTTGGTCTGTGGTTATCTTTTAAAGTTTGTACTGTCTTCTTAGGACTGTTAGTTATGGTAGCTAAAGGGTTGCTGCTAGGCTGTGAAAATTAAGACAAGAATTAATTTTGTTTCACTTAAAGATTATTTATGTTGGTGTATTGGAAACAAAAGATAAGGTCTCTAAATGTTATAGGATAAATAACAGATGATGGAATATCTTTTAAAAAAGTTTAAACTTAATTTTATTGAATCCTTAGTTTTTTAAAATTATAATAGAGAAAAAAGCAATAACACAGATAAGTTTTGAAGCATAATGAAATTTATTGCAGCATGATAAAATATAAAATGCAAGACAAAAATATCTCTCACCAAAACATCTTTCTTTCCTCTAGTTAACATGGCTCTAGGTAAACCAGATGGAAGATTTGATTTGGCTCCTGGTCTCTGCTTGATGCCAATTTTACTCTCACAGTTTGTTGCTTTTTCTTCAATAGTCTCTGCAATGTTAACATAATTTACTTTAATCACAATGACTCACCATTCGTCTGCACTTAGAATAAAACAATTCATAAACAAGTTATAATCAATGAGTGCTAGAACAGAACTGAATTAGGGATTAATTTAAAGTTGAAGCAAAGCAGTTTAAAACAAAACTTACCATCAACTGCAAACTTAGACTTTTTTCCACCTGCCTGTGATTGTTCAGTAGATCTTCTTTTAAGTAAAGACATTCTTCTAGTTATTCTTGGAGAGAGGCTGACATTTGTCTCCTCAATTTTCTTTCTTGACAGAGAATTGACAGGTATCCTCTTGGGTCCATTGAAATCATGTAGTGTACCAGTGGCAGCGTTTAAGTCAGCAGGAGGCTCAGGTGTTTGTGTGTGGGGGGCTGGCATGGAAGATGACACACTTTGTGTGGCATGTTCTAAAGGTTTTTGAGCTGACACTTGTGTTACAGGTTTCACCAAAGATTGCGGTTTTTGCTTTGGTGTTGCCAGTTTGGAAATAAACTGCTGTTGTTTGGGTTGCTGCTGTTGTGGATTTTCTTGTGGAGTTGATTTTTTCACACTGGCATAGGGGTGAGAGTTAGCTTTTAGAACTGGTGTAGATAGCTTGGACGGAACTGAGATTGTAGCAGACTTGATGTTTGGTGAACGTAGTCTTAATCGAGGAGATGAACGATTGGATGCAGTCTCCACTTGAGCAGGAGTTACATTAGGTGTAGATGGCACTTCAGCAATGTGTCTATCTGTTGCAGCTGGAGCTTCAGGAGGTCTGTCTAGCACAGCACAAGTAAAGACACTGGGTTCACCTGCTTTCTTTGTTGTTGAAATTGTGTGCTTTATTCCTTTTGTGCTACAAGTGTCCAGTGAAGGTTTGTTGAATTGTATAACTGGTTTTTTATCCTTATTTTCAGACTGATTATCCTCAGGTTTAGTATGAGATATGGACTGAGCTGGTAGGTTAAAAAACATTAAATTACTAGCTGGAGGTGCTTTAGATTCTGTTTCACCGTTAGGTTTTGTCTTCTCTTTTTGTAACAAATCATCTGAAAAACATGAATGAAAATAAAATTAAACAAGGTTTAAAAGTAACTGGGTGGATAGATATTGACTGTCCAGTATTTAACAAATATTAAAAGAAAAATGTTCAACTGGTTTTATTTTTTAGCATTTAAAAAAATATAATAAGTAAGAAAATGTGATGACTAACATAATAATCTATTCTTTGTATTTAGTCTCTCATTCAGTAGTTGGAGTTTCTTGACTTTTTCAACATCTTTCTCCCCATCTTCGATAATTTTTAAGAACTTTTCTTTATATGAATCTCTTTCTTCTTGCATTTCAGCTAGCTCTTCTTGAAGTGCCTTAAAGGAAATAAAGCAACAGATTTGTATATTTCAAACCATACAACTAATGCATAATAGGGGATATCCAAAATGGAAAGGATGAATTCTAAATATTATATATTTATTTATATACACACACACACACACATATATATATATATATATATATATATATATATATATATATATATATATATATATATATATATATATATATATATATACACACACACACATTACAGACACTGTAAGAATATATTTGTTTATAGATATACATTTAATATTCAAAGTATAAATAAAACAAAAACTAATTTATAATTGTTTAACAGATGAACTTTGTCTAAAAAAAAACCAATAAATAAATAAAAGTTTCTACCTTAAGTTCAGACTGGCTGTTTGGGCCTGGATCTTTTGAACTTTTCTCTAATTGCTCTGTGAGACACTGAATTTTTTGGTGCTTCAGCTTCAGCTGGTTGTTTAGCTCTGTACATCTCAGCTCCCATTTTCTCAAAATCTAAACCAAAGTTTGCAAGTTCAAAGATCAATTTCAAGATTTATTTTAGCAGAACTGGGAAGCTTTAACACTTGTTACCAAACTATCCAAAAAAAAAAGATAACACATATTTAGCTAAATTTTGTTTTATGTAAGTTACTTACCTCTTTTTGGCTTTCTTCATTGGCTGAACTTTTCTTAACTTTCTCTATTAGTTCAGCTTTCTCATTCTGCAATAAAAAAAAATAAAATTAAATCACTATAGAACAAATATAATAATTTTAAGTTTATCTGAAAGTTAATGACAGGAGATGATAATTTTTTCTTCTTCAGATATTGTTATTTAGAGATGATATTTTAATGAGGAATAAAGTAAAACTTAACTGATCATGTGAGGTTTATAAGAAAAGTTTAAGATATACCTGTAATAAATGGTGCTGCTCTTCTAGGGACTTGACTGTCTTTTCAAATTGTTCAATCTTTTCTTCCAGTTCACACCTGGTTTTTAATGCCAGATGCTCATTCTCGCTGTTTTGAACTGAACTGTTGGTCACTATCTCTTTTATTTTCTCTTCTAACTGACATTTTGCAGTCTCTGACCTCTCAAGTTCTGAGACCTTTTCATTATAAACTTCCTTTTGTTTAGCAATGGTCAGTTCCATTTCATCAATTTTTTGCTTTAATTCCAATTGATAAGCTAAAGTTTTTTCAAGTTCCTTTACTTTTTCTGCTAATTCATTTTTTTCACGACACAATTCATTCAAGTTTGTTACTTTCTCCTGCAGGGTTTTATTTTCAGCTTCCACTTGTTGATAAGTTTTAATCATGCATTTTAATTCATTCCTTTCTTTTACAACAATGTCAATGTTTTTAACTTTCTCCTCTAGCTGTGAGTTCATCATCAACATTTCTTCAACTTTATCATCTAGAGCTTTTTTCTCAGCTTGTGTCAAATCCATTTTTTGACTGTATTCCTCTATCATGAGACGTTTTTCTTCCTCTAACTCTTCTAATTTTTTATGTGACTTATCATATTCCTCTTTTAGCTGATCCAGTTCCATATTTTTACTGTCTACTTCATTTTGCAGGGTAAGAACAAGATAATCCAGTTCAGACACTTTTAACAAAAGATCTTTCTCAAACTCTTGGGCTTTAGAAAGTTCTGTTTTGGCTGTCTCCATTCTTTTAAGAGCATGCTCATGATCAGTTTCCAATACTTGTAGTTTAGACTGCAGTCCTTGAATGAGATCACTTTTTTCTTCAAGGAGTTGATTTAAAGAAAGGATCTGTTGCTTTAGCTCTGTTATTTCCTTGGCCGAAGTCTCTCCACTTGTTCTCAGATCTCTGATCTCACTACTTAAAGCATCAATCCTTGTTAGTAGCCCAGAATTTTGTTGCTCTAGCTGTTCAATGTCTTCACCTTGCCTTTGTGCAGCCTCTTGATTGTTCTTGATATTTTCAAGCTCTGTGGACAATGTGGCAACTCTGTCACAAAGATCCTTGACTTCTGTTTTTAGACTGCTGTTATCTGTCACCAGAGACAACTTCTCCTCCTCAGCTGCTGAAAGTTCAAAGTTTAAAGACTCCAGAGCATCTTGCAATGTTCCTATGGTGGAGTTTGACTCTTTCAACTCTTTCTTCATTACAGAGATCTTCTCAGTGAGCTCTTGAATGTCTTTCTCTTTTTCTTCTACACTTTCTTGCAACTTGTTCAACTCCTCATCTTTTTTAGCACACTCATTTATCCTCTGGACAATGTCTTTCTTTTTATCCTCCACATTTTTGTTGAGGGATTGAATAACATCTTGCAGCTGCACCAGTTGCTCCCTGACAGTGGATGTGTCACAGGAGAAGTCACTGATCTGAGCTTCTAGCTCACAGTTCCTGGAGGACATGCTGCGGTAGTTTTCTTCAAGCTCATCTTTCTCTTGTTGTACAATCTCCAACTGTGTCACACAGGATGCATGTTGTTTTGTGAGGTTGTCCACTGCAAGCTTCAAATCAGAAATAATGTCATCTTTCCTTATTATGTCATCTTGTAGTTTCTTCAGCTCCTGGTCCAATAACTGAGCACCATCTACTTGGGACTGAGCATCGAAAAGCTCAGCATTCAAGTCTTTTATTTTCTGCTCTAATTCATCCTTCTCTCTCAAAACACAGCGTAACTTATTCTGAGCATCAAACCTTTGAACTGAAACAGACTCAAAAGACTCTTTAGTGTTTTCTATCTCTCCCTCTAGGTCAGCTATTTTCAGTTCCAAATCATGAATGTCTTGCTTGTACCTCTCTTCCTGTAACACCCATTCACTCTTCTCTGTCCTCAGACTATCATTCTCCTGACTTGCATTCTCCAGCTCCTCTCTGAGCACAGTCATGGTTGAATTCTTCTCTTGTAAATCACATGAAGCTTCATCAAACAGCCTTTTAACTTCAGTCAACTGTTCTGATATTGCTGTATTCTCAGTCTGAAGTTCAGCTAGTTTTGAATTGGTTTTTACCATAGACCTATTCATATTTTCAATCAGCGTCTTCAGTGTTGCCAGTTCTTTTGTTGTGGACTCTAGCTCTTCCCTCAGCTCTTCTAATTTAAGCTCAGCTTTCTCCTTTTCTCGAAGTACCTCTTGGAAATGACTGGTACTTTCTAGCTTGCTACCTTTCAGTTCTCTCTCTAAAGCTTGTTTACAGGCTTGTAGGTGGTCTACCTCACTGGACAGCTGGCCAACCTGGCGACTAAAATCTTCACAGCTCACCAGACTTTCACTGAGCTGCTGCTCCAGGCTCAGTACTTGTTGCTCTTTAGACTGCAGGGATGAAGTGAGTTGAGCTATTTTGTTGTCAGAGGTGTTGGATAAGGCCTTGAAATGGTTCAGCTCTGAGGTCAAGTTTTTATGCTCCACTGACAACTCCTCATGCGAGGCACACATCTTGACATGCTCTATCTCTAGCTTCTCTGATGTAGCTTTCAGCTGGTCTCTCTCAGTGGTCATCACAGTCAAGGCTGACCTCAAGTTTTCTCTTTCATTTGTTGCTGACTCCAGCGCCTTGTTAGCTTTGCTGAGATCTTCTTGCATCAAATCCATTTTAGATGCAAGTGCTTTCATCTCTTCATCATATTGGGCACCGCTGTCTGACTTTGATTTCAACAAGTTTTCATACTTCATCTTCAGGTCTGACAATTGACACTGCACTTCTTCAAACTGACAAGATTTGTGCCTGAGGTTTTCAGTACTTTCATTCAGTAATCTTTGTAATTCATCCATTTCTTTATTTGTAGTAGTCTCTAATGCTTTCTTTGCATCTTCTACTTGCGTCAGCTTGGAGACAACTTCCTCTACCTTTACATTCAAGGTACAGATTAAATTCAATTGTTTTTCTATCTGACCTCTAGCCTCCACCAGTTCATCCCCAAGTTTAGCACACTGACTAGAGAGCTCCTCCACCTCCTGTGATTTGGTCCTCACAAGCTCAGACTGCTGAGACAATTTTTCCTCAAGATCTACAATGTGCGTCTTCTGTCTTTCATTAGTCTGGTTGTGTGTGACACTATCTTCCAGCAGGCTGGAGACTGATGCCTGTGCTTGCTCATACTTGCTCTGTGTTTCTCTCAGCTCAGCTTCTTGCTCGGCTAGCCTTGCTTTAACATCAGCCAGAGATTGTTGTAAACTTTCTGCAGTGTCCTGCCACCTTTCTGCCTCCTTTTGTAAGTCTTCATTCAATTTGTTCTTTGAATCACAATCCATTTTCAACTGAGTTATTTCTTGTTCAGTAAGATCTGATGTAGTTTTTAAGCTATTCCTTTCTTCTGTCATTTTGTCGAGCAAAACATTAACATTAGAAAAGTCTATTGAAAGAGTTTGTATAGTGTTTGATTTTTCCATCAGTTCTTTCTGTAACAATTCTAATTGAGATGCTAGTGAAGTTATCTCCTCTTGATGTTGGCTGCCTTCCACACTAGTCTTGCTGCAAACATGAGCTAATTTGTTTCTCAAGTCTTCACAACAATTTTCCAGTTCCTCTACTTTAGAAACTTTCTGGGCCAAAGCTTCAGTCTTATCATGAAGCTGTTGTGCAAGTTTTTCTATCTCTTCACTGGTGTTTTGTTCAAACAAAATTTTACCTTCTTCTAAATGTTTGATTTTATTTATCATCTCGGATAAACTAGTTTCATGACTCAAAACCTCTTCACATTTTTGACTAAGTTTAGCTTTGGTTTCATCAAGTTCTTCTGTGACCAACACATATTTTTCCATGACGGTTTTGGCTTCTGAATCTCTAGAAATGCTTGCCTCTCTTTCTGAAGCCAATAAAGACTGTATTTCACTGAGCCTGGTATTGAGCATGTCATTTTCTTGATGTGCAGAGTTCAGCTTTTCTCTGTATTCTCCCAGTGTTTGTTCATTGTTATCACAACTTGACTCAAGATCATCAACAAGTTTTTCTTTCTCCTGTAAATTAGACTTGAGCTGAGTTATAGTCTCTTCCAGGTTTTTTATTCTGTCCCTGGAAACCTCAAGTTCATTAACCATTTGATCAAGAGTTGTTTTCTCTTGACACATTTCCTCCCTCAGTTTGGCCAGATCTCTCTCTGTTTGCTCACAAATTTCTTTGAGACGGTCCCTTTCCTGAGTTGTGCTTTCCATCAAGAAATTAGCATTAGATAGCTTTGTATTTAGATCTTGAATAATTTCATCTTTGTCATCTACATCCATTTGCAACAAATCTAATTTAGACTTTAAAACAGTGGCCTCCTGCCCAAGAGATGATTCTTCTTCTAATCTCCTGGCTAGAGCATCTGTTAGTTTAGCCCTCAGATCCTCTGTTGTGTTCTCCAGTTGTTCTAGTCTAGATGTCTTCACACTCAGCTCAGCTTCCTTTTCCCTGACCTGCCCATGTATTTTTTCCAGCTCTGTGTTCAATGTTTCCTCAGTGGATAACTTCTCTTGTTCCAGCTCCTTCAGTCTCATTTCCAACTGCTGTAAACTGTCACACTGAGTTTTATTTTCTTCAACTTTTGATTTGAGACTTTCTTCAAGGCTTTCAACTTGATCTGTCAGTTGAGCACAGTTCTCCCTCAAGGTATTCATCTCTGTCTGTGCACCATGCAGTGCATCTTGTTCAGCATGTAAAGATTTATTTAAAACTTCTAATTCTCTTAAAAGAGTTTCAATGTGGCATTGTTTGTCTTTCAACTCTAGTTCTGTTGTGTGCAAGGTTTCTGCAAGAGTTTCACACTGTGAGTTAGCTCCTTGCAGAGTCAAATCTTTCTGCTGTATAACATTGTTGAGGTCCTCAAAAACTGATTCAAGGTTTTGTATTCTGTTATTAGACACCTCAGCTTCACTTGTTAATTTAACAATGGTGTCCTTATCACTATCCATTTTGGCTTTCATATCCTCAATGCAAGAGTCAGCAGTGGACAAACTACTGCGTAAATTGTCCCTGTCATTAGTTGCATTTATCAACTGCAAGTTTAAGTTGCTTACTTGAGTTTGTAGATCCTGTATGCTACTTTCTTTATCCTCTATGTCCATCTGTAGCAGTTCTACCTTACTTTTGAATGCAGACAGCTGTTCATCAAGCTCAGAACTCTCAAGAGAGTGTTCTTTCACTTTGTCAGAGAGTTTAGCTCTGAGATCTTCAATGTTGTCTTCTAGCACTTTAATACAAGAGTTCTTTTGTTTCAAGTCCTCTTCAGTAGACGACAACTGTTCCTTTAATAATCCTAGAGTGCTACTCAAGTTCTCTTCATGTTGAAGTTTTTCTTCTTCTAATTCTCTGAGCTTCTGTTCCAACAGTTGAAAATTCTGAGATTTAAGGTTCAACTCTTCAACTTTCTCTGCAAGTTCAGACTGGCATTTTTCTAGCACTTCTGAGATCTTAGCACACTGGGATTGCAAATCCTCCACTTCTGATGTTCTGCTCACTGCCACATCTCTCTCAGCAGACAAGCAGTTCTGTAGATCTGACAATCTATCTGACAGTTTTTCTTTTTCATCATGAAGATCTTTTAAGGATTTCTCATATTCTTGAATCTTCTGGTTATAATGTTCACAATTCATTTCCATTTCCTGCATAGTACCATTCTTGCTATCAAGTGCAGTCTGAAGATCTGCAAGTGTAGCCTCTAGGTTGCTATTTCTGAGTGTCATTTTTTCTAACTCTTCTCGGCTAATATCCAGTTTTTCTTTCTCCGAATCCAACATAGCCTTCAGTTGCATCATTTCATTTTCTTTCAGCGAGTTAGTTTCACTTGCTTGATCTTTTTCCTGTGCCAGATTTTCTAGCTGTATGTTTAGATTAGAGAGCTGAGTCTTGAGGTCCTGGATCATTGAGTCTCTGTCCTCCATGTCCATCTCCACCATCTCTAGCTTAGACTTGAGTGTGCTGACTTCTACCTCGTGCTGACCAGCTTCCTCACATTTCTCTTTCAATGTTGCAGCAAGCTTTTCTTTTAAATCTGATGTGTAATTTTCATTGCTTTCCAGAGCCAATGTCATCTGGTGTAGTTCTTCCTGTTTAATATTATATTGTGCTTGAAGACTTTCGAGTTCTTTACCAGAGTTACTCTCTAATAATGCTTTCTCTTCTGCCAGAATCTGGTTATTTGCCTGCAGCTGTTTCAGGTTATCAGAGAGACAACTAAGCTGGGCCAAACTTTCACTGAGTTGAGTTTTTGTTTTTTCCAGTTCCTCTGTAAGACTGGCACATTGCTGGGATAAACTTTCAAGCTCCTGGCACTTTAAAAGCAAGACTTCTTGCTTCGAGGCTAAAGATTGTTCAAGGTCATTAATACCCTGAGAAAATCTTTCTTTTTCCTGATGTAAACCTTTCATTTCTTCATTACATTCCTCAACCCTCTTGTTTGAGTCCCCTAGAATGATGTGTAATTCCTCTAATGCTGCTTCTTTATGTCTAAGGGAAGCCTGAACTTCACTCATTACATTTTCTAAATTAATGTTTCTGTCCTTTAGTTTATTTTCATTTTCTCTGCTGTCTGCAAGTGATTCCTTTGTTTTTTCTAACAAGTCTTTAAGTTCTATCAATTCCTCATCTTTTTGTTGTATTGTGTCTTTCAGCATTTTGATCTCCTGGTTTAAGTTCTCATGTTGGGAATCAAGATTAGCCACCTGTGTCTGCAAGTTTTTAATGGTGCCGTCTTTATCCTCGTTATCCATCTCCAGCATGTCAAGTTGCAGTAAAAGTTTCTCTGTTTCTTGCTTGTGGATGTTTTCACCTTCAATCTTCTGTTGCTCTAAGCTGGACAACTTTCCTAACATGTCAGTATTGGAACACTCTAATTCTTTTATCCTTGCACATTTCTCATTCAGATCTTCTGCCTGTTGATGGGCCAATTGTTGGAGCCTTTCTAGCTCTTGGTGATTGGAAGATTCCAATAAGTCTTTATGATTTTCAGATTCTTTCAGTTTGCTTTCTAGTTGAAGAATATTACTCTCATGTACTGCAATAGTGTTACACTTTTCTGACAATGTGTTTTGTAATGCCTGTAATTCATCAGCAAGAGAAGCACATGTTTGCTCTAAAGATGTAACGGTTGTACTTTTGGCAGCCAGTTCTGTTTTAAAAGAGCCAACACTGCCTTCTAAACTTGAATTGTTATCTTCCAGGTGTTGAATTTTACTCTCAAGTTCCCTAACTAAGTCTTCTCTCTTGTCTAAACTTCCCTTGGCCTGCCTCAAATCTTGCTGTGTAGCCAGCAGTTCCTCCTCCAACTGGTGCACTGCCTGCTGGTGGTTACTCTCAGACTCAGCCTTCCAAGCTTCCAGACAGTTCACCTTGTCAGACAGCTGGTTCTTGGATTCTTTCTCTAAACTCAGCAGCTCAGAAAGCTGGGCACATTTTTCTTCCAGTTCTTTAGAGCCCTGAGATTTATCTTCTAGATCTTTTTTCAAAGAGATTATTTTCTTCTCAAAATCTCCACAGCTATCCTGTAGTTTCAAGATTTCACTTTGAAGACTGGCAATGAAGGTTAGATCAGCATTGTTTTTATCTTGCAGAGATTCAGATTCTTTCTTAGCAGCAGCTAGCTCTGCCTGCAAACTCTGGATCTCAGCTTGTAGTGATTCTTGGCACTGTTTCCCAGACTCATTTTGTAGCTTGATGTCTTTAAGTTCACTCCAAAGAGTTCCATTTTCTAGATCCACTTGTTCAAATTTATCCCCAATGGTAGTGAGCTCTGCCATGGTCACCTCCAGTTTCCTTTCTGTTGCCAGTAAATTGGCAGACAGATCACTGATCCTCTGCTCTTGCTGCTCCAGTCTCACAGACAACAGCTGGTTCTCATCAGACTTTTCTTTCATTTCTTTTTTCTGCTTCTCCATTTCACAGCAATGTTCTTTCAAATTACTTTCTTTTACCTCTAACTGAGCTTTTAGAGAAATTATTTCCTCATTAAGATTAGTTATGAGTTGCTGACCCTTTTCACATTTCTCTTTACTGAGGTTCAATTCTTCTTCAAGTTTACACTTTATGCTCTGCAAGTTTTGCAAGTCATTTTGTTGCTTTGTTTTTTCATCACTATTGGTAGTCAGGAATTGTTTTAATTCTTCACTTTTGTTATGTAAAGCGTTCTCTGCCTGGGATATCTTCCCTTGATACAAACTTTCTTTATTGGTCAGTTCTCTTTTCAAAGCTTCAACTTGTTCTGAGAGTGAACCACACTGTTTTTGAAACTCAGATATATCTTTGTTTTTGTGAGCTAATTCTGAGTTTGTGACATTCAGTTTTTTACCAAGATCACTGCACTGGTTAGAGAGTTCTAGAATTTCTTTTTCTTTGCTGGCTGCTTTAGTCTCTATTACTGATTTGGCATCACCAAGCTCTGAGAGTTGTTTTTCAATTTTTGACAGTTCAAGTTGGGATTTCTTTTCTAAATCATTCCATTTACTTTGGCATTCTAAGAAAACAAAAAAAACCAATGTAAATCATAAACATATTTTAGTGTTTAAAACTTTAAAAAGCTATGTATCATAAGCTAAATTTTTAAACAATAAAACACTGTTTAGATTTTGAAAGCTGCACAGACAGGAGTATTTTAGAACTATACCACAACTTGCAATAAGTATTGTAGATATATTATTTAAAAACTGAGCAAGGAAAAGTAAAACTAAAAAACTAAAATATAATTGCCTTTGAAATTCTTCTCTTTATCTGTCAGCTGTTGCTGTAAATCTTTAGCTTGAGATGTAACTCTTGTCAGTTCTTCCTGCTGTTTGTGTAATTTTTTATTGAGCTCATCAATTTGTTGTTGCATAGCTCTGGAATTTAAAAAATCATATTTATTTACTTTAAAGTTTGTGTAATGCATTAATATACATTTTTACCATTCAAAATTTTTCTTATAACTATACATAACCAAAAGCAAAGAAATATTAGACTAAATATTTTCTGCTAAAAAATACTTTCTATCACATCCAGCTAAATATTAATCTTATGTTATCGCAACGTGAAAATTTGATAAGTTTACAGTAGAAGATTGAATACAATATCAATAACAACCACCTTTTAAAATTTAACATTACCTTAGAATTATTTTGGAAAAACAGCTTCAGATAAGTAAAATTGAGTGGGTTTTTTTTTGTCTCTTTAATTGTTTAATCAATATTTATTTACCCAATGTTAATCGGAATATTAAACTACAAAAAGAAAAACCTACTCTTTTCCACTAAGTAATTGGTGTGAAGAACTTGTCAGCTGTTTCACTGCATCATCAGCTTTTTCTTTCTGTTTCTGAAGATCCTAGAAGTAAAATAAATATAAACATTGTATAACAGCTGCAATATTTCTTTCTTAATATGAAATAGATTTACTTTACACTGAATGTAGGATAGGAAAACAAACTGTATTAAAAAAATGTTTCTCATTCAAATAATAATCAATCACAGGTATCAAGAATCAGTCTGAACATACCAACATCTGATTCTCATGTTGTAAAAGTTTTTGTGAGACTCTAGAAACTTCCGCTTTTGATGCTTCCAATTCTAGATCTTTATCCATAATCTGGGCTCTAAGTGCATCATTGGACTGTTCCTTGAGGGTGACATCATGTTTTATTTTCTTAATTTCAGCCTCCAATGCTTGAACTTGCCTGTCTTTAGCATCTAGCTCTGCAGCTAGTTTGTTCTGGAGTAAAACAATATGAACACAATTATTTTAAAATCTTTTAACTAGAAAACACAGTTACAAATTAATACTTTAATGAAGGGAAAAATATAAAACAAGCATTCACAGTAATACAGCATTGTGTACATAGACAATGTCAATTACATTCCCTTGGCTTTGACAGTGTCTACTAAGTCTAGATATTAATCAATTTATATCAAGGTAGAAAACATGTACAGATTTTTGCTTTATGAAGTCTTCAACCATAGATAGCCTACTTTGGACATTTATTTAGCCCATATAGTGGACAATGAGATCAACATGAATAGCTGAAATTAGATAAAACCTATTTTAAAAATAATTTGAAGTACATTAATGAACATAAAGAAGGGAAATAGTCAATTCACTTTAAAGAATGCACTTTTTAACTTTTGAAAATAGTGGAGAATCCTTGAATGGAAATTAAAATATGATGGCACATCTAGAATTCCACCTACATTTTGAAAGTTTTTAGCTAAATTATATGATAATCTCCCAACATGGTTGATGGCCTTCATAATGTTTGTATTCATGTAAATCAAACATTTTATTTGTATTAGAATCAAAGAGCAGACAATTTGACTTTCAATAACTCAACTGATAATGGACTCACCTTTTCTGCTTCTATTGCAGCTCTTTTTTTGTCCATTTCTGCAATGTTGGCACTATTTGTTTTTAATATATCTTCTGCAGCACTAACTTTCTTTGAGATTTCTTGCTTTTCTTTAATTAACTGAGACTTTTCATTTTCAGCTTTCTCTAAGAGACCTTTAACTTTATTTTGTTCTGCTTGGGCCTAAAACAAATTATAGAATAAAACACAAATAAATATAAATGATCACCAGAGCTCTGTATATTTTCTTAAACAAAGTAAAGTTCATAAACTATGTTACAGCAATGGCTATATAAATGTGTTGTCAAATTTTTTTTGGTAAAAAATTAGTATCTTTTATGAAATAAGTTTACTGTAATAATTTACTCACACTTGTGTCATTAAGTTAAAACAGTTTTTCCTACTGGTTTTTACAAATGATTGTTTTATCCTGTATAGACCTGTTACTTTTAACACTTACGGAATTAATCTCCTGTTGCCACTTAGTCTTTGATTCTAGTAAAACCCGGTCAGCAGTCTTGGCAGCCTCCAAGGTTTGAGCCATTTCTCTATTCAGTTCTCTTTCTCTTTCTTTCATTTTTAATTCTAAATGTTGTCTAGCTGCCTCAGCATTGTGACGCATACACTCAGCATCCTGTATTAGCTTTTTGTTTTTTAATTCCAATTCATGCACCTGAGAAAAAATGTTCATGGAATATAAAATGTTTTAAGACTAGCTCACTTTTTAAAATTAAGGTTAATAAATATGTTAACACATTAATGAAATAATACTAACATTTATAGAATTAGGTGATAACAATTATGTTATAATAATACTCAAATATTTAAATAAAATACCAACCAAAGATTGCAATGAAATCATATCTTGCTGAGTCTTGCGTAGCTCATCAGTTTCAGATAACAGTCTAGATGGTTTAGCAGAGTCTTCACCTTTGTAAAAAATAAATATTTAATATCACATTTTTATTGAAAATATAATATGACTATAAACTATACTTCAACTTCCTTTAAATTGAAAGAATATCTTTTAAAAATGTTGTTGTGATAAGAGTATGGCTACTTCTTGACCTCTATGACAATTGTATAATACAACATATAAATGTTGAGTTAACACTATACAGTGGTACCTCGACATGTGAGTGTCCTGATAAACAAGCTTTTGAGTGGGCAATGTTTTGCTTTAAAATACTAGCCAAGTTTGCTATACAAGGAACTGCATTGGTAGATAAGGTTTCACAGTTTGTGATTTTAAAAAGTAACAAAATTTTACAGAAGAATTTAAGTTCCTTTATGTTCATTGAATTATAGTTTTAAGTTAAGAGAAAAGTGTAGAATTACAAGTGTAAAGAGTACGGGAATTAAAGTAACCAAAATAGTTAAGCATTAACAGTGTGGTAATTAAACAAAATGAAGGTTTTCTGATTATCTCCTACACTTTCGCCAGCATCTTCCATATGCTCAGGTTGGCTGATATATGCATTTTACAAAAAAGGTTACGGAGCAAATTCTTTTCTTGAGGTACCACTGTACTGGCTTTTACTATAATTAAAATACACTCCAGTAGACTACTTTTTAACTTCTATTATTATAAATCCCTAATACATTTGTTATCACTGACTAAAAATGCAGTAAACAGATAACTAACTTAAGTTTTTTCCTTTAGAGACTGACGGTAGGTTATTTTTTTCTTCCAACTGTTGTCGCAGCTTGGTGATCTCATCTTCAAGAGCTTTTAGCTGATCAGCATGCTGTTGCACACCAGTTTGGGAGACATCATTATTCTTGGAGTCACAGAAAATCATAAGTTATTACATCTATAATAATAGTTTCGCTGTCTGTCTGACAAGAACGCTCTGTCTGACAAGAACGCTCTGTCTATAATAATAGTTTCGCTGTCTGTCTGACAAGAACGCTCTGTCTGACAAGAACGCTCTGTCTATAATAATAGTTTCGCTGTCTGTCTGACAAGAACGCTCTGTCTGACAAGAACGCTCTGTCTGACAAGAACGCTCTAGAGAAAACACAAGCAATTTAAAAACATGCACAGTAATTCGAAAAACGAAATATGACGTCGACACATTTAGCGTAGCGTAGAACATAATCTCAAACCAGAGAGTGCGCACAGTAATGTAATGACGTCATTGATTCTCGCGTAAACATTGAAAAAAAGGAAATGTTGTCTAATCTAAATGGTTTGCGTGAAGAGTTTCTTGCATACAATTCTTCGGGTAGGGGCGAAGCCCCACCCCCCGCGTAAGAACGTCTGAGCCCCCCCCTCCCCAACTCAAAAGAAATTTCCTCATCGATACTCTATAATAAAATTACCGCCTAATTAATGTGTCTAATCTAAAAAGTGGTTTTCTTGCAATGGGACGGTAGACATGTTTTTTTGGGGGAGGGGGGAGGGGGGGGGGTGGTGGTGTGTGGGGGGGGGGGGGGGGGGGGGTGTGGGCTGATTTCAGTGTTGTTTCTTTCAGACTTTTTCCTCCCCGGAGAGGGGTGGGGGTACTTGAAATTTTCGGGGGCGGGGGTAGAATTTTCTGGGAGGGGGCGGACACTGGAAAAAGTATATAATTATATTTCGTTGAATGGGACGGTAGACATGTTTTTTTTGGGGGTGGGGGGTGGTGGAGTGGTGTGGGGGGGGTGGTGTGTGTGGGGGGGGGTGGTGTGTGGGGGGGTGGGTTGGTTTCAGTGTTTCTTTCAGACTTTTTCCTCCCCGGAGAGGGGTGGGGGGTACTTGAAATTTTCGGGGGCGGGGGTAGAATTTTCTGGGAGGGGGCGGACACTGGAAAAAGTATATAATTATATTTCGTTGAATGGGACGGTAGACATGTTTTTTTTGGGGGTGGGGGGTGGTGGAGTGGTGTGGGGGGGTGGTGTGTGTGTGGGGGGGGGTGGGGGGTGGTGTGGGTTGGTTTCAGTGTTTCTTTCAGACTTTTTCCTCCCCGGAGAGGGGTGGGGGGTACTTGAAATTTTCGGGGGCGGGGGTAGAATTTTCTGGGAGGGGGCGGACACTGGAAAAAGTATATAATTATATTTCGTTGAATGGGACGGTAGACATGTTTTTTTTGGGGGTGGGGGGTGGTGGAGTGGTGTGGGGGGTGGTGTGTGTGGGGGGGGGGGGTGGGGGGTGGTGTGGGTTGGTTTCAGTGTTTCTTTCAGACTTTTTCCTCCCCGGAGAGGGGTGGGGGTACTTGAAATTTTCGGGGGCGGGGGTAGAATTTTCTGGGAGGGGGCGGACACTGGAAAAAGTATATAATTATATTTCGTTGAATGGGACGGTAGACATGTTTTTTTTTGGGGGGGGGGGGGGGTGTGTGGGGGGGGGGGCGGTGTGTGGAGGGGGTGGTGTGTGGGGGTGAGGGGTGGGGGTGGTGTGTGGTGGGGGGTGGGGTGGTGTGTGGGGGTGGGGTGGGGGTGGTGGGTTGGTTTTAGTTTAGAGAAAAGAGACAGCACTATCAGCCTAGCGCCCGTTGTACCCTTCCTCAACGGGCCATTTTTCTCGTTGTAAATAAATACATAATAAACATGATTGTAATTGTTTCAAAACTCTTTTAAAACTTTTTAAAATAAAAATTAGCCGTCAAAATAGATAACTTGTTTACAAGCAACACTGACATTACTGATATTCACAACTTGGCCACAGTACACATTCATTAATTGATCTATACATAGTAAATACCTTTGCAGGTTCTTGAACACCTAAACATTTTGCTAATCTCTGTTCTAAACAAGTGACTTGATTCTCTTTCACCATTAAATCATTTGCCAACTTTTGCTTTTTCTTCTCCAGCTCTTTACATGTTTCTGAAAGGGTTTGGTTCTCTCTCTTTAACTCTCCAATCTCAGACTTTTCATTGCCTCCTTTACGTTTCTGAACTTCAAGAGCCTTTACACAACAATTATGAAAAAAAGTGCATTTAGTTTTTTTGAATAATCTTATTTTTATCTTATACTATTGCATTGTATATTTATGTTCACTACAAATTTCATTAATCAGTAAAATGAGAGATACAAGTGACTTAATAGAATAAAAATGTAACCTGTTCTAGGCTCTCCAATTGAAACTGTTTTTGATCTTTTTCTTTCTTAAGTCGCTCTAGCTGTGTTTCAATTTGGTTAATTTTCATCAAAGCTTTCTGAGGTAAGCCATCCTTCCACTCATCTGATGCCCAACTCATTTTGCTAATTGAAAATCCTTTAAATTTAAAAAAAAAACATTAGGCTTATAATTAGTTATAAAATAGTATCACTGTATCAGAAAACAACCACAAAAAATTAATGTAAAATAAAAAAACCTTTTGCAACCTTTAAATGTATGCTACATTGATAAGTGAATTATTTTACATGATTTGTCAGAAGCCTAAAAGTAGTCTTATAGACCACATTCATCTGACCTGCAGTTCCAGTTGTTTTTTTATTAGCTGGCTAAATTAAAAATCCTTACTTTTAACCATCAAATACCTAATGTAATGGATGCCATTTTTACAAGACTACCAACAACAAAGGTAGATTAATATAAACAATGAAATACAAAGATGATGAAACAAACCGATGTGTATATTGTAATGTATTTTTCTATATTTTCTTGCTCTCAGTTACAGACGATTAAAAATGAAGAACAAGTATAAGTCGTCTGTAAATCTTTATTTGACTATGTGCACACCTAAGAAGACTATTATAGCGCCAACACGTGTGCTGCATAAATTAGTGGTTAAGGCCATCGTTTCTCCATCCCCTCTAAGGCTAAGCCGGCGGTTTATAATAATATTTACCCCACCCCCAACGTTTCAGATGAAACCCTGCTTTCTGCACGAATTCTAGCGCTTACCTGTGAAATTTTTCATCTTGCCCTACACAATTGACTCATTCCTAACAAATTCACAACAGTCGTGAATCAGGACAGTGAAAAAACATCAAAGTTAACAAATCCAAAATTAGAAATTAAGATCTAGATTCTAAGTAGGCCTATCTGGTAACCAATACTCACTCAAATCTACTAATAAGACTACAGACACAGTACTGATAGTACATATTCATTCATTATTTGAGATCTCTAGATCTAGAACTAATTGTAATTATAGTAATTAGACTCTAAAATAGTAAACGAGAAATAAATCTAGACATAGATAAGTAGATCTAGATAGAATGATTCTAGATCTAGATATAATGATGATCTAAACTTAACACAACTAACTAGATCTAGGCCTAATAAAAACTTGTAGATCTAGATTCTTATCTGAATTCCGATTCGGATGATACCTGTGTCCGATAATCGTCAGACTCTTCCTCAATATACAAAAAAATAGGTGTGTTGGGTTGTTAGTAGTTTTGTAATCTCGACTAATTTTATGATTAGAAATTTCAAATTAGGGTTAGGTGTATGGTAGGACCAGGGTAGGGGTTAGGCCCGTTAGAGACAGGGTGTCACATTACATTAGCCAGTAGATGTTCTAGCTAGATCTAGATTCTAGATCTAGATCTAGGTCAGGAATTTAGAATTAGAATTATTAGGGGTAATTTGAATTACACTACTTGAAAATTATTATATTAATAAATTATTATTAATATTATTAAGACTAATGATTTAATGACTAATGCAACCATCAGCTAACGTACAGAGTACAGCTATTATTTCGACACAGGACTTTCACTTTGAGTTTGTAACTTTGTTGTTTCCCACTCCCAGTTTCTGATTCTAAACATCTCACCCGAGTATTACTCAAATAAGTTTAAATCCATGTCTAGAACCTTGATCTATATTAATATTAAGTAGACCTACAAATAGTATGTTCAAAATGTACTTAAATCCTTGGTGTTCAAATGCATACCTTAATTTATTTTGTAAACATGTCAGTTTATGGATGAATATGTTCCGTCTCTACTCCATCAACGATTCAAATTTCGCACTTTAGCATTGCCAGGTAACTTGTGCCTTTAAAAAGATACTATGCCAAAACTCCTAGATCTAGATCTTAGACTAGATCTAGTGATAATTCGATTCAAGTGAAATAGTGATCAGAATGTAAGTTTTGTTGTTTTCACTAGTTGCAATAAATTAAATAAATACATTGTGTACATTGTAATTGAATTTCAGAATTATACTTGAATCACAGAGCCAAATGACAAATGACTTTAATTCTTTTTACAAGTGGCGTCACTTGTTCGTGTGTCACCCAGGTGCAGTAACTCAGTTGCGGATTTGTCCACTCTACAACACTGACGCCCCAGGTGTAAGTTGCAGATTTGTCCAAACTACTTCACTGACGCCCCGAGTGGAAGTGGCGTCACGGAGCGCTCTCGGGAGTCACCGGTGTCACACAACCACAGGAGCGCCTGGTGTAACCCATGGCTCGGGCCTATCCCACAGTGTCCCTTGTGTAGTGCTCATTGAAAACGAACGTATACGTCGTACTGCTCACATTTAGGTGGGGGCTAATCAATTTACCCGACCACCGGTAGACGCAACTGATTCGGTTTAGTCATCTAATATAGTAGCCCATGATAGCCGTAGTGTATGGTGCTCTTTAAGACAATTGTCTATGCGTCATAATGGTCCGACAATGTTGATTGTTGTGAGGCCACTTTTGATACTAGTAAGTTATCCCCCGACCTTAAATCAGACAGGCCGTAATCTGATAAAAAGACATTAGTGTCATACGAAGTTGCATGTGTGCATTATAGAGAAGTACCGTCGCTTGGTATTTGACTTCAGGTGACGGGTGACTTAACCTGGGATGTTAATTTGGGAAAACACGTAATGAAACTTTTTTTTTGGGCAGGCGGGATGGTTGTAGTAGACACCCGGTGCGGTAACTGAAAGTGTCAACCAACCCCATACCCTCCAATATTTTTGCATCTTTTTTTTTGCATTTTTGTTATTTTTAAGTAGGTAAAACATTGATTTTTCGTCGTGGTGTTATCCCCCTCCCAAAATAGTGTCACCCGGTGCGGACCGCACCCCTCAAACCTACTTGGGGACATCACTAGCCCCACCGTACATGTTTAAGACACCAATGAAAAAACTCAGACCCCCGCGTGGATGGTTGGCCCTAGGACCGCGTATTTATAACGCCGGCTCCAGGCATCTATAATAATAGTTTCGCTGTCTCTCTATCTATCTATCTGTCTGACAAGAACGCTCTAGAGAAAAGACAAGCAATTTAAAAACATGCACAGTAATTCGAAAAACGAAGTATGACGTCGACACATTTAGCGCACAGAGTAGAAAATAATCTCAAACCCAGAGAGTGCACACAGTTATATGACGTCATTGATTATCGAGTAAACATATTCAATACAAAGGCAATTTGGTCTAATCTAAGTGGTTTGCGTGAAGAGTTTCTTGCATACAATTCTTCGGGTAGGGGCGAAGCCCCACCCCCCGCGTAAGAACGTCTGAGCCCCTCCCCCTCCCCAACTCAAAAGAAATTTCCTCATCGATACTCTATAATAAAATTAATGTGTCTAATCTAAAAAGTGGTTTTCTTGCAATGGGACGGTAGACATGTTTTTTTTTGGGGGGGGGGGGGGGTGGAGGGGTGGGTGGGGGGTGTGTGGAGGGGTGGGGGGGTGTGTGGGGGGGGGGGGGTGGAGGGGTGGGTGGGGGGTGTGTGGAGGGGTGGGGGGGGGTGTGTGGGGGGTGGGGGTGGTGTGTGGGGGGTGGGTTGGTTTCAGTGTTTCTTTCAGACTTTTTCCTCCCCGGAGAGGGGTGGGGGGTACTTGAAATTTTCGGGGGCGGGGGTAGAATTTTCTGGGAGGGGGCGGACACTGGAAAAAGTATATAATTATATTTCGTTGAATGGGACGGTAGACATGGTTTTTTTTTTGGGGGGGGGGGGGGGGCGGTGGAGGGGGGGGGTTGGAGGGGTGGGGGGTGGGGGTGGGGGGGGCGGTGTGTGGAGGGGGTGGTGTGTGTGGGGGGTGGGGGTGGGGGGTGGGGATGGTGTGTGGGGGTGGGGGTGGTGTGTGGGGGGTGGGTTGGTTTCAGTGTTTCTTTCAGACTTTTTCCTCCCCGGAGAGGGGTGGGGGTACTTGAAATTTTCGGGGGCGGGGGTAGAATTTTCTGGGAGGGGGCGGACACTGGAAAAAGTATATAATTATATTTCGTTGAATGGGACGGTAGACATGGTTTTTTTTTTGGGGGGGGGGGGGGGGGGCGGTGGAGAGGGGGGGTTGGAGGGGTGGGGGGGTGGGGGTGGGGGGGCGGTGTGTGGAGGGGGTGGTGTGTGTGGGGGGTGGGGTTGGGGGGTGGGGATGGTGTGTGGGGGTGGGGGTGGGGGTGGTGTGTGGTGGGGGTGGGGGTGGTGTCTGGGGGTCGGGGGGGTGGGGGTGGGGGTGGTGTGTGGGGGTCGGGGGGGGTGGGGGTGGGGGTGGTGTGTGGGGGGGTGGGTTGGTTTTAGTTTAGAGAAAAGAGACAGCACTATCAGCCTAGCGCCCGTTGTACCCTTCCTCAACGGGCCATTTATCTAGTATACTCTATATTTTTAGGCCTAACTCTAACGTAAAAATAAAAATTCGAAGGAATTATATAATTTTTTAAATACTATACGAAACTATACAAATCTTAGCACTTCCTGTTTAGGCCTAAACATAAAACAATAAGCTAAACATACACAATACACAATCAATACACAATACTATAATACTAATATTATAATAATATTATTATTAATATTATTATGAACACATTTTGGTAATCTATCGTTTTAGGTAGATCTAGATCTACGTAAAATCAGCCGATACTAGATCTAGTAATGTGAAAAAAGGTGACTCATTAAATAAAATTTTAGTAACTTTCACGATTTGTTTTGAAAGTTACAAAAATCATGTTTTAAAAGGCCTAAACTAAAAGTTAGGGCCTAGGCCTAAAAATGGACACCAGCGAGTTGACGAGATTCCTTCCATAATGTTGTTGACATGGAATAAAAACATGCTTTTTAGATTTAGACCGTAAAAAAAAAATAAAAAAAAAACTTAAGCCTAAACCTAAAATTAATTTAGAAATTTTACATTTTTAGAATAAATGCTAAATAATTAAATATTATATATAGATCTAGGCCTAACAATATATATGGTAATCTATCGTTTTAGGTTCTTATTCACTTGCTACATGTCATTAATGTAGGGTATGTGCAAGTAGAAAAAAATTATGTTATATCAAATTGCTTATGTTTGTCAGTTTTTATTAACTTTTTATCTTTAAATAAATACTAGAGCTTGAAAAACAAAACTGAAAATAACGGCTTGAACAAGATGTTGGCCAGTTAGCCAAGCCCCTCCCTCTCTCTCACTCATGTATTTTAACAGGGCGAAATCTAGTTGCCATCACACTTAATTTAATCAGTTACTGCTCATCTTGATATAAAAAACAAGCAAGAGAGGCGAGCCTTAAATTACAAAAGAACAGAGGTTTTACATGCTCACCAGTGATTAAGTTCAAAATTCCATGTGACACCCTACTGAAAGTTGTCCTATATATGTTCTATGTCATACTATATATCCTTGATCTAAACAATATGCCTATTATATTACTTACTCTTTTCTTTTTTTACATAGTTTTTTTGAACAGAAAGATTAGAGATGGGTTCAGAAAATGTTAATAATATGCCTTCATCAAGTCCATGGAGAAGGGCTTTAAAAACCTCTGTTGCTGCACTCCTGGTAGAATGTGGGTATCAGTGTGCTGAAAATTTAGCTTTGGAGACACTTATAGAGATGACTCAAGCATGTAAGCTTGATTTTCTGTATTAATTAATTAAAGTATTGTTTATGGATTACAGATTTCTAAATTGTTTAGTAAAATCTGATAAGTCCTTTAAAAAAATCAATTTTTGGTTTATCATTGTTATGTTTTGATGCACTGAATTTACAAGAACCTAAAGAACTAAGTTGTGATAAAAATAACAATTCAAATTATAAGTAAAATACAGGTTTTTAAAATGTAGTTACTTTTTCAAACCTGGTGGTCCATGGGCAAAATAAGAAGAGTTTAAATGTTTCTGTGACCTTGGCATATGAAGTAAAATTGTGGTCAGCACTATGCCCAACTACCTTTACTTTCCAAAGAAGAGTCATGTACCCATCAAGAATCTGAACCTGTGTCTGTTTAGTTAGCAGTCATGTAAACTACCATATGACCAGGCTGTCCAATGCTTTTGAAATGATAAGAGTTATAGCCTTGCTATAAATTTACTTAAATTAACCCTTTACTGCTGTTAGTGATATCACACAACTTTAAAAAAAAATCAAAATACATTTTAATGTTTTGAAACAACTAAGAAACACATAATATCATTATGAACATTAGTATCCACATTATCTATATATATAAAACAGACATTTGGGAAGCTGGGCGAAGCTCAAGTGCATTTGCTGAACTAGCAGGCCGGACACATGTTATGCCAAGTGATGTTGTTTTAGCCCTTGTTGAAATGGGTAAATCATTTTTTTCAAATTAAACAGAATTTGTAATTATGAATAATTGTAATTCAATCAATTTATAATTACCATTTATTTTAACAGGTCTTGACTTTACAGCCATTCCAGCACATGCAAAACGTGAAAATAAAACTGTTTATCTTCCTCGTAAGTACTGTGAACTAAATTTACATTCTTCAAAGTAAATTAAAAACAGTATGAAAATTGTTACTGTAGCATAATTTAGAAATAAGTAATGAATTTTTGTGCATTATTAATCTATTGCAGCTGTACCTGCGCAAGCACCTGCACCCTCAAAAATTCTGCAAGTTGGTGAGAAGAGAAAACATCCCATACACATACCAGAACATTTACCCTCTTTTCCAGATCCTCATACCTACATTAAAACACCAGTAAGTTGATTAATAATAAGAGGTCAGGTGAAAAAGTTAATTTATCAGGACCTGACGTTAAGCATTGTATTGGTAATATCCAAAACACATCACACACACACACCCCCCCCCCATCCCTAAAAAAAAAAAAGTCCAAGGGAGACAACCGATAAGCTTATTACATTAAAAGGGAAGTAACTATTACTATATTTAAAACATACCAATCATTGAATATTTTAAAAAACTAAATGCACTATCTTTAAGTTCTTATTTCTTTTTATTTCAGTGCATATTGTTTCTTAAAATATTCCATTTAGGTTGATATATTGCTTAAAATTTATTATTTTATTTTGAAAATATTTTAAACATATTCAATTTTGTGAAAACCATTGAAAATAGGAACGAGATTTTTTTGTAGTATATATTGATTTCAATGTTACAGTAATTTGTGTTGTAAGAAAGGAGAGAAGGTTAGCACTCCCCTTGACAAGGACGGATGAGACCCTTGTGGTCTAACAACACACAAAGGCATGTCTCTCTACTTTGGAGACAAACCATTTTTTTTCTTGTAAATGTAGAGAATCTCTGAATTATTTTTTTGCTACAAATACAAATGTAACTATTTGTGGAGCAAATTATTTTCATTTTTACAATATCAACATCACTGTTAGATCCATAGGCTAGTTATAAATAATCCTTAATTAACCAGTCTTAAAAAGAAAATATGTAAAAACAGTATTTAAATCTAATTGCTTTGAAAAAATTATCAAGTAAATCAGAATGTGATTTATAAATATGAAAACCAGAAAAGAATTAGCTAAAACATTCAAGGGTTTAGGATTAGCTTAAAACCAAAAACCTACAATGAAATCTAACATTAATTCTATATCTAGGAACAAAAATCTTAGGCAAATATATACCCCACAACTCACTCACTATACCATTTTTAAGGAGTAAATTTATTGTTTTTTGTTCATTGTATAATGTTTCCTATTACCAGTTTCACATGTATTGTAAATCAGTCCTGAGATATTTAAGGATCATAAGCAATATTTCATCTTCAGTGCTTTAAGCAACCTGCTAATGAATACCAGCTGGTTAGGGAGAAGGCTGCATCTCAAAAGCGTGATGTTGAAGTAGCTCTGACACGTTTTATTGCAAAAACTGGAGCAACACACTCTTTGTTCAAAGATGATAAATCTGCTTTTCCATGTGAGGTTTTTTTTTTTTATTTGTAAAATGCCTTTAGTCATTTATTTATTGACTATTTGTGAATATAGAAATATTACAGTAACATTATGAAAAACTTACCTATACTAGATTCTTGCTTTTGAAAAATGTTTTAAATATTTAGTTATGCCAGTTTTAGAATTGAATGAGCGAGTATTTAGTGCTTCTGTCTTATCACCCACATATTTTATTAGCATTTACTCAACTATTTCACAGTAAATAAAAGTAGCCTATCTTAGACTTACAGAAAAATCAGGCAGTAATTGTGTACTGTACATATGTCAAAGGACAGGCCTGGCTACTCGTTAGAGTCTTTGTTGTTGGGACTGTTAAGAAAGCTTCATAGTTAATTATCTGATTGGTTGAAGCAGAAAAATGTCCGCTGCCAGTTATGATTTTTCATGCATATTTGTATTAAGTATTTAATTGTAAAAAAATCCTGAAATATTGCTCTTTTAACACACAATTGTTAAAGCTGTTAAAATAATTTATTTCAGTAATTGCTTGTAAGCCATCACCGTTGCCCTATTTGTCTGCTTTGTTGCCTATGGATAGCGAAACTTCATCTCAGGAGAACTCAGATCAAGAAACAAATCCTACATTGCACCAAACCAACCATAATGATGCTAGTAACGATGCTAACATAGATGTGCCATCTGAAAATGAGACAATTGACAATCCTTATCTCATGCCTGCTAAACTTGCCAAAAAGAAATGGAGATAGTATTGGAATACAAGTACAAAACTAATCCACTGATAATCGTTTGATTTTTTTTATGACCATGCTCGTTTCTACATTTTAATATCATTCATAAAAATATATTAAAATTTAAAAAATAATAATTGGATATCAGTGTTATGGATTTTATTTATTTTAACTGCAAAAAAATATTACACATAATGATGAAACTAACAACATATGGAATGATTTTACAAGTAAATAGACTACAGAAAAATTATATAAACAAAAATTCTCTGGAAATCATCTACAGTGGATAATTCTGTTAGAACATTTTTCTTATAAACATAGGAGGTAAATAAATTCCTGAAAGATAAATATTCTTAACTAATGTAAGTAAATAAATATTAGTAACATTATTACAATATCACTTATTAGAAAAATATAAATCACATTTAGTTGTTCTGTCACATTTGGACCATACCTGAGTATATTTGGGGGAAAGTGATTATCACTAACTAGATCTATACATGGTCAAAATATTCAACCACTCTTTAAGAATTATTTATGCTGGAGTAAAACTCATGGTTTCCTTTATTTAAACTTCCTCATGCAAGATACTTGGTTTAAAGAAGTTCACCATATGTCTTGACTTGGGTGAGGAATTATATTCACTTTATCTTGATTCTGGTGTAATCTCTCTAGATGTTGGTGAAGACTTGGTTAAGGTCATCATAATTGGATAGTGAAGATTTATGTTGTACGTTTCTGGAACCTCTTCTTGCATCTAAAAGAAAAGAACAATCCTTACTTGAAGATTGTAAAAAAAAAATATTAAAGAGGCCTTTAACAAGAAGTTAACATTAACACAAGAACATGTTCATAGTAACAAATCTTTCATTATTAACAGTAAGAAAGTCAAAAATAAATAAACCAAGAAGATATAACATGTCTATTATGATGTATCAAATCGATACTAAAACATCAAGTGAAAACCAGCAGATTTACACATTTGATACTCTCAGCATTTGACCTACCTTACAGTGCAAGTCCCATACACGCTTGTCATACTTGGATTCAATAACTACTTGGAAAAGACCTGAGGCAATGTCAGCAAATTTTTGGAATGTATTGTTTCTAGATGGTGCAAAAACCAATGCAAGTCCCTTTAAAAAAATGTTTTTTTTTTTTGTTAGAAAATTTTTAAAATACAACAGATCATAGGATTTATGATTGGTTAAAATAATATTACTCACTCCAGGTTTAAGTATATCAAAAATCAATTGTGCAAGTTCCTCTCTCCCTTCATCAAAAAATAAACTGTAATAAAAGTAAAAACACTTAAAACAATTCAGTTTTTCATACCAACAACTGTTTTAAAACCTCTCAGCAAAGTGGTAAATATGAACTATCAGATACTAAATAACAAACATTTTCCATTCTTTGACATAACCAACAATTTCATTGAAATAATTGGCACTAATGGTACATTTCTTGCCATTTCTTAATTTGTATTTAATTTATTCCACACTGCACTAAAATAGACTGTTACCACTGAGCCAGTTTTTATTTTGAATAACTGACCAAATCATGTAAAGTTTTAAAAATTACTATCTATATTAGATTTTTACCATTTGACCCTAATAAATTGCAGATAATTAAAAATGTGCAAATCAATTATCATATGAATTTACCAATCAGCACATAGTACATAATCAAATGTGGAAAGAAGTTTCTCATCAACTTTTTCAGAGTTCCATCTGAGAAGTCTGCAATAAAAAAAGAGTGTCAATGTAGTACTGAGTACTGGACATAGATAAACATTAAGTTTTATTTCTTTTTAATTATGGTAATCATAGGCATACATAGCTTACCTAGTGTCAACTAATGTCTCTCCAAAATTATTATTTTCAAGAATTCTCTGTAAATCTTGATATAAAAAAAAATGCAAATAAACATTTTAAATGTGAAGGAAAAATACATCTGGATTTGTAATAAGATGAGAGATCATCTTTATTGCCTTTAAAAAAAATTTATTAAATCAGTTTATAAATCAAATTAATCTTTAAAGAGTTGTCTATACTTAAAATACAATACTATGACAATTACTATGCAAACTTACTCTGGACAGAATCTTCATTACCATCTGTAAGTTCTACATGACTTGCCTCAGAGCACACACCTAGCTAAATAAAATTGGTCAATATAACTGGCAATTTGCATGAAACAATACTTTATCTAATCTGATACAGTGTTAAATACTTGGGGTTAAAAGAAAGATCTTACAGCGACACCTGCTAAACAAGTCATTCCTCCCCCGACCTCACAAATATTCATTCCTCTGAAAAAGATTTGTTATGCAGCTGATACACATTTGTTGAGGAAATAATATGTACAATCACCTAAAATACAAAAGCAATTACTTTTTTACATTGATGGTCTGCGTACAGGTAGACTCAAACAATGTCATGACACAACAAATTTATTCTAGCAAACATGCTGGAAGCTTTACAATAATAAAACAATTGTTTGTTAAACTTAGCCTTTAATTTCGTATGAAGCAATGTTGCAAATACTTTTGTTCAAAAAGCAAAGCCAATTTTAAAATGTTTTATGAAGTTATGAAACCGAACCAATCTAATGTTTGCAATAGCTGGTACAAGAGCACCTCAGCCCTTCTCAGATGAAATATAATTTTTTTTTCTTGCATACATCATTATTCTCAAGGATCATTAGTTTAACAATTTGATATCTTATTTATTTTATAGTGGCTGTTAAAGACTTCAGAGTGTCAATCAGAAAGTTTCAAAACTGTGCTCTGTAACAACTTGAAACCATTTCTATATTTTCCATGTATTAGAAAACAGTGAAATATTCATGTTCTTTACAAAAGTATACCTATAGTTACCAATGTGCAAGATGATCCTTAAAAGTTAAGTTTATCAAAGGATGAATGCAAGATCATAGTAAAATGCAGTGCAAGTTAAAGTGGCACAAAAAATACTTGTCACAAATAATTATGACAATAAAAAATTAATCACAACATGTTCAAACCAACTTGAAGCCTTGTACATGCTGCATGCAATAATATGTCATGACCTCTTCAGACGGCCACACACCTGGAAGAACAATAACAACTTTAAGTGTTAAGAAACATCGAGGGTTAGTAGCAAAATCAAATCAGTATGTGCATACCCTATCCAAAATGTAAATAAAAAATAACTATGATTAAATGCTTAAGTTATCCCACACTAAAAGATTAACCTTATATTTAACCTAAAAAAAACTGTAAGTAGGTAGTGTCGTTGCTGCTTGTATTGCACATTTTTACTTTCGTGTATACGAAGTGTAGAGGAAGTATTGTAATGATAGTTTTGCAATTTTGTCCGTATGTCTGTGTGTGTCTGTGAACACAATAACTTGAGTACCGTTACAGCTAGGTTGATGAAATTTTATGTATAAGTATTATATCAAATTTGTAGTTCTATATCAGCTTATCAGCGATTTCCGATCACCGGCAGTGGAACTTATTCTATTTTAGTTTTTCAAAAGCCTATAACTTGAGTACTGTTTCAGATAGATAAATGAAATTTCACATGTAAGTTAAAGATATAATTCTTCGCCTTCATTTCAAAGAGAAAATGAATTATAATTTTGAAAATAGATAATAAATTACTCATCAATACTCACCAAAAACAAAATAATTTTTTAAAACAATTTAACCATAATTTAACAAACTTGGAGAAACTTCAAAAGATACAGGCTGTTTAGGTTAGAATTATAAAGGTGCTTATGTTAAAATGTATAACTTTATATATTACAAATTGAAAGTATTTTTTAATAGTAATATTAATAATAGTTATCCAGGATTATTACAATAACCAGCTTGCAATGCAAAATAAACATGAAATTTTCAAATGCTGAAAATAATCATTAGCTGCAGCACTGCAGCTTTAGATAATTATTTAAATAATAAACTAAAAAGTAGCTACAACTACAGCTGAACAACTTACAAACATTGCCAGTGTTGTTAAACCCATTTAATCTTTCAGCAGATATTTCACCAGAAAGTTGCCTAAAGTTACAAAAAAAAAGAAATGTTTTAATAATACATAATAAAACAATAGAAGCCTACATGTGTATACATGTATGTACATATTAGGTCTAACCCAGTTAATAAGACAATCAGCCTGTTAATTGGAAGATCATTAACTTGTTCAGGTCACAATTCTGTCTAATCATATTGCGGAACATGGAACCAAAAGCAAATTACCAAAGTCAATAATGAGCTGAAAAGCTGTAATGAAGCTAAAGAATAATATGAACAAAAAAAGTTGTGGAAATTGCATAGAGCAAATAAAAGGACAAGAATGTAAAAAAAAACATGCCTCTAAACAGTTGGTTGGATGACAAAGAATGTTAGTTTAACCAATACTTTTGTCCATTCTATCTTTGCGCATTGGAAATCCAAGCATAATGCCTGGGAAGTAACATGAGAGGGACCAGATGTTGCCCATATATCAGGCCCCCCCTCCCCCCGGCAGTATTGCAGGCGCTGGAAAAGTGAAACCAGAGGTGGTAAGGGGCTCCAATCTTGTTTGATTTTGGAGTTTTCTCCCCTAGAATGGTTTGCTGCCCCTATCTAACAAGCCTCATATACCAGAGGGTTCGAACACAAAACTTTTGAACTAGCAACCTTGTTTTTACCCGCTTGACCACTCACACACAAAAAAGGGTCTAATCAACGTGTTTTATAAATATGTGGCGCTGCCCATAAGGACTTGATGATATATCCCATCATTCCAATCATGTATTCAGACTAGATGGGCATTAGGATTGAAATTATCGTGCATGATGTTGTCTTATTAGCCAAAATCTAACATACAATCTTCATATATTGTCAGTTCATGTACATATATATATATATATATATATATATATATATATATATATATATATATATATATATATATACACATATATATATATGTACATATATATAGAGAGAGAGTACTATGTGGCAGACATAATATGACTGACTTTTACCTGATGTTCATGGAAAATCCAGGAATGTCTGGACAATAGTACAAATACCAATTACATCCCTGATTTTTTTCCTCAGCATCATTATCTACAAGTTCTGATTGTAACAATCCAAATGACTGGAAACGTCTGACAGACACTAAGTTATCAGCTGTTTTTGCACAATTACCTCCATTCAAAACCTGTGCAAAAAAATCAATTTATATTCTGTATAATGTTGGTTAAAAACCTTAGGTGTTTGTATCTTATTCTCATCATATTCACAATATGCAATATATTTAATTATTTAATATTTAGATTCTAGCTAGACTATATTCTTTTTTCAAAACAAATTTAGGCCTACAGGTTACAAAAGTGAAACTCGTATTGAACATATTACATGTGAATGAAATGTAGATCTAGAACAAAAATTTATTTAAAAAACTACCCTACTCAAGTAGGCCTTAGAATCTAGATTCTAGTTTTAGATCTGCTATCTAACTATTCTAACTAACTTACTAATCTAGAATCTAACGGTCCCGAAGCAATGATCGCAGGCACCCCCCCCCCCCGAACGAAAATGAAATTTATATTATTTATATAGAAAATATATACTTTTAACAGTGTCCGCCCCCCCCCCCCCCCCCCGGAGAAAAAAGTCTGGAAGAAATACTGATCGAATCATAATCAATTCAATCACAAAACATGAATCAAGTCCAAGTTCTGTCTTTTTTTGTGTGTCAATCAAATTCAAAATCAGGTCAATGTAGCCTAATTATTATTGATTTACCTCAGCAAGCATTCGCCATCTGTATTTTGCTATTTTGCTTCGTTCGTTTGGTACTGAAGTTTCAGTAGACATTGTTCCTCATTTTGTTGCTAAAAAACAAAACAATTCGCCCTCTTCGATAACCTACTCGCTCACCTACTTCAGGCAGCTCTTCATCTACTGGAGGTAACAGAACACATTGCATATCAAGATTCAAGCTAGGACTAGTAAAAGATGCCCTAGCCGCCTAGTGAGTAAGAATCTAGACCTAGTCTAGATTCTAGATCTAGAATCTAGTTATTTTTTAGAAAGAATGGGACTTTTCTTAAAACATAGATCTATAAGAATCTAGATCTACCGACCCCCCCCCCCCTTAACGAAATGGATTTTATATAGAAAATATATACTTTTAAGTAAGTGTCCTCATCCCCCTACCCCCACACACCCCCGAATATTTCAAGTGCCTCGCCCCGGAGAAAAATGTCTGCAAGAAACACTTGTAGATGGAGGGGTAGGAGGTGACACCAACTAAACGTTGCAAAATTGGTCTGAGGAAAAAGATTGTGTTGATAATTGTAAAAACTGACACGCCAATCCACGTCCGTGGTGGGGGGGGGGGGGGGCAAATTGAACAATTTACTGCAAATCAGTGGCGTAGCGAGGTCGGGTGTCACCCGGTGCGGCACTTAATGGTGTCACCCCCAAGAGGCGTAGCGACCCCCCCCCCCCTCAAACTTTCGATTTGCACACCCCCCCCCCCCCTCAAACTTTCGATTTGCGCCCCCCTCAAGTTTTTCTCTATATATTTTGCTATTGTTTGCCTTGGTGTCACCATCTAAGTGGTGTCACCCGGTCAGAGTTTCTTCCAGGCATCTCTTCGGGGGGGCTTCGCCCCCCCGTAAAATTTTTACCGCCCCCCCCCCCCCGAACGAAATGAAATTTATATAATTTATATAGAAAATATATACTTTTAACAGTGTCCGCCCCCCCGAAGAAAGTCTACCGCCCCCCCCCCCGAAAATTTCAAGTGCCCCCCCGGAGAAAAAAGTCTGGAAGAAACACTGCACCCGGTGCGGTCCGCAACCCCCGCCCCCCCCCCCCCCCCTCGCTACGCCTCTGCTGCAAATACAATGATTTTTCTAGTTGAATTAATATAACTGTTAGAGTTACGAATCTACATATTTGACGAAGCAAATTATTATACAACATCCTACGAGTGCGTGTGTGTATGTAAGTGTGGAGGAGGATTTGATTCTGCTTTTAAGTAGTTGATTTGTTATCTATGATGTGTGATATGTTTATTAATGTTTAATGGGTTATATTTCTATTCCCGTTAAAAGTTGTGTGATATGCGGCTAAAATCAATATTTTTATTTTCACGAATTTATGTCGTTGTCATAAATATTTTTCAATATTTAATAAGTTAAATGTAAGCATTTTGTTTTTCAATTACTATTTTAAAAGTGCGAGTTGCGAAATAACACAACTTTTAAAATGTAGGCCTAATTAATTCATTGTAAATAAATTAAGTTAAATAAACTTGAGAGACAAAAATGGAAACATAAGCAATAAAAAGCGAGCAACAAATAAATGGAACTGGTTAGCTTGCACCATTGACACAATTTGACGCTTTTCGTCGGCCGAATGTTTAGAAAAGTTAATTCACGACTTTAATAAGTTTGATCATTAAATTTTGTTTATTTTGCAGTGGAATATGTTAAATTATAATAATTTGATGACAAATTTAGTATACAAATACGAGGTAAAGAGCATCTTGCGGATTCAAACGCTGTAAAAAGTAATTGGTCGCCATGTTAGGCTACTCATTTTCCTATACATTAAAAAAAAAAAGAGGACGAAGTTCAGCCCAAAATGCGTAGCTTTAAAAAAAATTAAATACATCCAGAAATAAAATATATTTAAATACATTTACACGTGCTTATACACATACTTACAAGTGTATGTGGCATACATATATATATATATATATAATAAGCGGGCTGTGTCTGTCCTTCCTTCCTTCCTTCCTTCCTTCCTTCCGTCATCGCTATAGATTTTGGAACCATAAAAGTAAACATTCGCACCACGCAGTGCTTTTCAGTGCACCGCAGTGTCTTATTATAAGTATTAGAGTAGGGTTTGTTTATATAGTGGCATAGAGCTATTTTATAATTTCCACTGTTTGTACAATTTTGCATAACGTAAAGAGAATATTAAATACACGCACATTGCTAAAACGTATTAAAAGGATCAATGTCAAATATAGTTTTCGTTAATATTCCTAGAAAAAGTGGATAGATTTTAATAACATAATAACTGTAGGTTAGAAAAATCTAATCAAACTGTTTAGTATTTTGCCAACGGAGGTATTTTAAAAATAAATTAAACTCACGCTAAAAATGTGAAGACGGAATAATTGTTGGAATAATATAATTAGCAAAATGTGAATGCCAATTATGCAGACGTGTAAGAGTATTGTTGGAATATTATAATTAGCATTGATTGATAAAAGGCTATCTTTTATTTATTTTATTCACTGAATGTACTGTTTACTAATTATAATTTTTAATAAACTATTCTCCATTATTATATTAATTATCACGTTCATTAGGTGCGCAATGGTTTTAGTCATGAAACTTCATTGTAAATTTTAAAAAGTACTGAAAAAATGCATGAATTTATAATGTGCAATATGGTCTGTAAAACACGGATATTCTAAATAATGCCTTTAATTTATTTTATACACTGAACGTATTATTTACTAATTATTATTCTATCTTTCGGTTTGCGGACAAGCTAGGGGTTTTATAGCAGAGGGGTTGCAAGGAGGGGGGGGGGGCATATGTCCCCTGGCGCCGACCTTAGGGGGCGCCAAAATGGGTTGGAAAAACAAATTGAAAATTTGCGGGGGGGGGGGGGGGGTGGGGTGCAAAGCTAAAGTTTAAGGGAGTGGGGTGGAAATTGAAAGTTTGAGGGGAAGGGGTGCAAATCAAAAGTTTGAGGGGGGGGGGGGGGTTAGCAAATCGAAAGTTTGTCCCCGGGCGCCGGGAAGGGTCGCTACGCCTCATTAACTGTGTCAGACGCGTCCGCCGGCGCTCGGAAAGGGCGCGATTTGGCGCTACGGGCTAGACTGTGAGCAATATGCCTTTATGATTGCATTTAAGATGTGTTTATGTTATGAGTGTTGTGTTTTGTTTTTTCGTTTGTGTTTTTTCTTGCGTTCGTTTGTGTTGTGTTTAGTTTTGTTCTATTCCCAAGTTGGTACATTTTAAAAAGATTTACCGTGGCGGAGCACGGGATGCAGCTAGTATATGTATACCCACGCTTCGCTACGGTGTGGATATATAGATATTACCTCAGAGTCCCCGCATTGGGGCGGATATTTTTTAGCGCACCGCGCTGCGCGCGGGTGTCTGTCTCCTCAGAGCTTACCGCGCTGCGCGCTTCGCTACGGTGTGGATAATATGTATATTACTCAGAGTCAGAGTTTCTTCCAGGCATCTTTTCGGGGGGGGGGGGGCTTAGCCCCCCCCCCCCCCGAACGAAATTAAATGTATAGAATTTATAGAGAAAATATATATACCCCCCCCCCCCCCCCCGAAAATTTCAAGTGCCCCCCCCCACCCCCCGGAGAAAAAAGTCTGGAAGAAACACTGCTCAGAGTTTACCGCGTGGATGAGGTTCCCCTCATTGGGGCGGATATTCACGAACGTCCGCCCAGACATCTCTCCTCTCCGAACTCGCGGCGTCATCTAAAACGCCGCCGAACGACACGTTTACCCGGGCGTCCGCGCCCAGGGAGAGACTTACAAAATCTATAGCGATGATGGAAGGAAGAACTGACACACAACCACCAGCCTTATATTATAGATATAATTCTCTACCACACCACCACACACGCCGAATCTCTAACCCTCCTACCGCCCCTCCCTCGCTCTCCATGCATGCACAACAGACCATATCTCTATCGCCACCATCAATCTAGTGAGCTGTGGTTCACGCTGAATGTTTACAATGGTAGAGCCGGCTCTACATTTCTTACCTAAGAAATTTTAATTCTTTAAAAATTAATTAGGCATTCAATTAACTCAAATTTGATTACATTATCATCAGCTCTTGACCCACTTGCCAAGTTTCAGAGAAATTAGTTGGTTATAAGCGATAGAAATTTTGCTCGCCATTTTTTATCGACGACAGACAAAAGCGCGTAGAAGCAAGTTAAATAAAAGTTTGTAAAAAAAAAATGCATGAAAAGGTTTTAATAACACGCTTGTATGCAATTATACACTAAAAAGAAGGAAATATATGACTTTCTTTAAATATATATTAGTTAACTACTATTTAAATAGCTACAGCGCCTAAAGAAAAACCTGGGTCACTAAGTAATATAGGCCTATTATCAATATTTAGGAAGAGGCCCACGCTTTTCTTTATAGCTTGTAAAAAGGTGATGTGAAACTTGTACTTTTAGATTTAATTACAGAGGGTGAAATTGGGACTTGTCAATAATAATTTTCATATAAAGGTCTGTACATTTTGATACATTTAACCATAACCCTAATCAAAAGCCCTCGGCATATAAAGAGATAGTGTGGTCAACACTATGCCCAGCCGCCTTTTACTTTCCCTAACGTGAGTTAGGTACCCATCAGAGTTGGGTGGACTCAGGAACGGTCTACTGACTTGAACCTGGATTCGAACTCGAGACTTAGGAGTCAAGCTCTCTATCGCTAGACCACTCCGTCCCTTCATATGCCGAGGTCACAGAAACAAGTGAACTCTACTTCACTTGCCCAATAGACCGTCAGGTTTAAAAGGGAAACTTTACTTTAACCAAAAGAGGGGGATAAGAAATTGTTTTTATGGCGTGTGTTTAAATATTCAAATGCCTAGAAATCAGAATTGTAAATAGGTAATAAATAGCGGGGGCTTAACTTTTCTCCCTTGGACAAGATCCCCGTGGGGGACAAAATTAATTTCTTCTACGTAGACAATTTGAATTAATTTATATTAAATTATGCCAACCTATAGCTACATGCATATGTTGTATTTAATCATGTTGGCTGAGCTAACTCTGCAGTGCATTGATAACTACTGGAAAGTCATGTTGAATGGGGCTGTTTCGTCTGGAGCCTTATGAGTCTTTATTATTGACGGTCGTCTTTTTGTCGGTAGGGTTAATGAGAGGAGCCCTTTTATTGGGAGCCTAAATGACAGAACTTAAGTTGGAGCTGATTATATGCTTAGTTTATCAATAACATTTGTAAACTAGAATCTATAGAATATATCTGCTTAAGAATTATATTGAATATGATGTAAACCTAGATCATTTTTTATCTACCTTTCGCCTCACCAAGTTTAAAAATAGCTTTACCCATTTTCTATAAATAATTTAGGTACACACAAACTCTTGACGTCAGTATGCGAAAATGGCGGAACCGGAGTTGAATGTTGACAATCTCATAAATCGTTTGCTTGAAGGTTGTTTCTTTATTTATAATAATGAACTAATAACATCATTAGTGTACTCACATTTTAAAATACATTTATTTCATGGTTCTTGTTCCTTTTAGCCAGGTTTCGAAACTAAAATAGATAATGACAAAAGTTAAAAAGTGCACTAGATCTAACTAGATTTCTAGATCTCTAGATCCAACTTCCAACAAATAACAAAACTCTACAGCTCTACGGCAATCTACGGTAGAGTGGTACACACTGTATTCAAACTATGACTTAAAACTAAAATATTAGGTAATATGCCTGTAGCTAGAGTGTGGGCTCTAAAACTAGAAGTTTAGAACATTCAACACACAGTACTGATCTGTCACTAAAATCTGGATTGATGATGATTGATTGATAATGAATTATTTTATTAATGATAGAACTAGACCTAGATAAATAGAAAAGTAGAACAAACTAAGTCTTACTAAGTCTTAGTCTAAGAATCTTAATTTTAAATTAATTTAGAATCTAGAAATCTAGAAAAAAAGTGAGGTAATTTTTATGGCCGATGCTAGCCGGAATAAGATACGCATGCGCAATGGAGAGAAACACCAACCTCTAATCCTATCCCGCCTAACCCTAGCCCTAATCCCTAATCCTATCCCTAATTCTAACCCTAGCCATAGGTCACTGTGCATGCACAGAGCTATCTTTTGCTGACTAAGTGGAGACATTGGGGAGACATTAAAAACCATAGGTCTAATGCTTTTAAAGTTTATAAGTATACTACTAAAAAAAACCATTCACATTTATAAACACCCAAAATGTTACAATCTTCAACAAGTAAAACAAATATTTCTTAGAACATTTTTATGACTTTTTTCTCATAAAATTTTTTCTTTTTGCCTTTTTTTCTGTGACTTTTATCTGATTTTTCTGTCCTTTACTGTCTTTCTCTCGAGTACTAATGAACTAGATCTAAATAATAGTTGATTATAGTAGTAATTAGTAATTATTTATTAGGCTTAGATGTAGTTCATTAGTTAGTAACGCTATAAAGAGAGCCAGTAGTTGAAGTAGAATGAAGACTAGAATGTAGACAGAAACTATGAGAGACATTAGAGCAGCCTTGACTAGTTTTGATCTTATTCAAGAATCTAGATTTAAATCTAGAAGGGAAATACAATTAAATATCAGTTTAAAAATTCTTCCATCATCTAGAATTATTTAAATCTAGTTAGAACAAAAATAAGATTAGGGTAGTCAAGTCTTACACCAAATACAAGTGAGAATCTAGATCTAGAGTCTAGTATATCTATCTACCACTTATCAATATTATCACTAACTTCAGAATAGATTTCTAAGTCACTTGTTCTGTTAATTCTTCTATGTCTTTCCAGGATACTCATGCTAATAAAATAAAAACTAAACATAAAGTTTATTAGCTTAACTCAAGCTAGTTGCCATAGAAACCATGAAATGGTGTGAAAATTAACCGCTTTGTTTAAACCATTGTCAAAACTCATTGCAAAAAGCTTATATACTATATTTTCTTTTTATGAACAGTCAGAGGATGCCGGCCAGGAAAAACAGTGCAGATGACAGAAGCTGAAGTTAGAGGCCTTTGTTTGAAATCAAGGGAAATCTTTTTAAGTCAACCAATTCTTCTAGAGTTGGAAGCACCTCTTAAGATTTGTGGTAACAGTTTTATTCTTTCATCATGTAGATCTAGCAGTAATAGTGTTATGAAAGTGTTTTTTTTTTCAGTTTTGGAAAAAAAATACCTTTTTTTAAACATTCATAGATTGGGATAACAAATTTTTAAAATTATTTATCAACATAATGTGTAGTTATGTGAAATTGAAAAAGACAACAGTTTAAATTTTTAGCGCAATTTCCATTCTGGAGAATTGCGTTTATTAACCCGTCATTTCTGGATGGATGGATGGATGAATGTATGAATGTGTGTCCGCAGCTTTAAGTCGTATCTCCTCCTCAACGAAGCAATATCGAGGACTAGTTCTAAAAGCAATTATGTTAAGCAAGTTACGAGGATGAGCATAGGCCATAAAAATTCCGGGTTTCTTTCATGGTTTTCCCGGAAAAGCCAAAAAAACCTCGAAAAAATGCAGTTTTCGGCCCATATCTCGGCAACCAGACCACTTAGCGACTTGAAACATTTACTAATCGATTCCTGTCATAATTTAGAACAATATTGCTGAAGAAAGTTTTCAAAAATATCCTTTCATTCGGTCACAAAAATTTTTTTGAATTAATTAAAATTTGGACCGAATTAGTAGGCATGTTTATCCAACCACACCACACGCGTCATCACGTTCAATAGCTGCGCCATCACGTTCAATGGCTGCGTCATCACGTTCAGTAGCTAGGCGCGCAATGGTTTTTAGTCATGTAACTCTATTGTAAATAAAACATGTATTTTAACCAATGGTCTTACTAACCCTGCTGTTGATTTACGCTACGACAGAGCTATTTTTAGATAACATAAGGAAATTGCGCTTAAATGTCACTAGACTTTTTAATTAACTTGTTTTTTTAGTATCTTTAAAATTTGATTTTCTTTTATTTAAGCCACAAGTAGCACATACCATATGAATGATATTGTTTTAAAAATCCAAACAGGTGATATACATGGACAGTACACAGATTTGTTAAGGCTATTTGAGTATGGTGGCTTTCCGCCAGAATCAAACTACTTATTTTTGGGTGACTATGTGGATAGAGGCAAGCAGTCGCTAGAGACTATTTGCCTTCTACTAGCCTATAAAATAAAATATCCCGAGAACTTCTTTTTGCTTCGAGGTAATCATGAATGTGCCAGTATCAACAGAATTTATGGATTCTACGATGAGTGTAAGTATATGTAGAATTTCTTACTCCAGTTAAACTTAAACCCATCTCTTATAAAATAAAAAAATAAATGACAACACAAATTGAACTTTAAAAAAAAAAACTTTTTATAAAAAGGAAAAAAAAAAAACTTAAAATATTTTACATTTTAGTTTTTTTTATTACCGCTTTACTTTAAAGGATGCATTTAGTTACATGTGTAGGGAAACATTTGTAGTGGATATTTTAAGAAGTTATATTAAATGGTGCTTAAGACAAAACCTTAACTTAGTAATGTAAAATATTTGTTTTAAAATCCTTTATACCTAATATTTAGAGATAGCTTGTTTTTAATATATATTTATAGTAGAACTTTTTAACAAGATTTGCAAAGTTGATACTTTGTCTAAATTTATTTCTTTTGTTTTAAGGTAAAAGGAGATTTAATGTACGTCTTTGGAAGACCTTTACAGATTGCTTTAATTGTCTGCCCATTGCTGCAATTATTGATGAGAAAATATTTTGTTGTCATGGAGGTACAAATTCTTTCATAATAAATTAAACTTTTTTTATTGGTAATTTTTAAAAAGGTGTGATATAGCTATTTAAATTTTCTGTTGACATTAGAATAGTGTATGATTTTTATTTAAAATATATGTTTCCTTGTAGGCTTGTCTCCGGATCTCCAAACAATGGAACAAATTAGACGTATAATGAGGCCAACAGATGTTCCTGATACTGGTACTCTTTTGATACCTCTCTTTGTTTAGCTTAAAAGAAATAATATGACAATCAATATTGATAAAAGCCACATTTTTCTATGTACATTAGTGCTTTTTTATATGTTCAACATTTGTAGATTTGTAACTATTTTAAATGCAATTAATGTGTCTTTAGGATTGTTGTGTGATCTGCTGTGGTCAGATCCTGATAAAGATGTCCAAGGTTGGGGTGAAAATGATCGAGGTGTGTCCTTTACTTTTGGAGCTGATGTTGTAAGCAAGTTTCTCAACAGACACGATCTTGATTTGATTTGTAGAGCACATCAGGTAACTTACAGTTTGTCAGGTATACATAGCTGATTAAGACATAAATAACTATTTGATCTTTATCATATTATTATAACTACCCAATTAAAAGAGCAAACATAATTGTTTATCTTTTTAGGTTGTTGAAGATGGCTATGAATTTTTTGCGAAACGCCAACTTGTCACACTGTTCTCTGCACCTAATTATTGTGGTGAATTTGATAATGCTGGAGGAATGATGTCTGTAGATGACTCATTAATGTGTTCATTTCAGGTATTTTTATTAAAGAAATCCATTGAAAAAAATTGCAAGCTAGTTTCTTAACATCAGGAAATTGTGGGATGGCATGGTTGGATGGTGGGGGATTAGATTGCTTAGCAGAAAATTTCAAGTTCAGAATCTAGACTTGAGCCCACCCAGCTCTGAATGGTACTTGAATTGTATTGGGGAAAACTTGGGTGGCTGGACATAGTGCAGAAACAGATGAACTCCATGTGTCTTGGGCACAAACAGGAAAAGATGATCATTTATCTAAGCATTTACACTTTAAATTGTATGTTTTTAAAAAACCTATTTGTAAGTAATGAAGATGTTATTACAATTTCAAATTAATCTTTTAAGAAAGTTTTTTTTTATTAAAATTAATAAGTTTAAAATGATATCACCAGATTCTAAAGCCTTCAGAAAAGAAGGCCAAATACCAGTATGGAGGATTGAATTCGGGCAGACCTCAAACGCCACCCAAAGGACCACAACAGCAAAATAAGAGCAAAAACAACAAGAATTAATTGTTCATACTGACCTAGTGCCTTTCATTTAATGGCAGAGATAGATATTTTTTTCAATCAGTGGAAGAGGAAATGAAGCATCAAGAGTATTTCAGACTGAATTTTTTTTCTGAATCATATTATCTGTACTATATTTAATATTTATTTCAATAAAACATGTAATACTTTATTTTCTAAAGAAAGGGTATCATAACATGATTGAAAAAAATATTTTTCTCATTGATACGTGGGAAATTAATATACTAGAAGTGATGCACTGCTAATGCAGTTTTAATGAAAAGTCAAGTATTTCATTATAGCTTACATCATAATTAAAAAAAAATATGTATAAAGCATTTACTGGCATTTCCTGTTATTTGCTGTATCTGCTTTTATTCTGCTGTTTAGCATATTGCATTATTGTCTTTCATAAATAAAATCTAAATTCATTTACTGTGTTTAGGAGACAATTGGTTTTCAAGATATCATCTTAAGTTTGTCAAGTATAAATAATTTGAAGTAGTATTGATTTATAGAAACTGCCTATTGTTTTAATGTAAATTTATCAGATATATATTGCTACTCTATCTAGCAGCGTAGTACTCTTGTCTAGGTACCCATGAAAAGGTGATAACTTGTTCAGGGTTTATCAGCTTGTCACCTTTATTGTACCACTGGATTCAATTGAGTTTTGAGAAGCTAATGTTTAAATTATGCTTTCAATATTAACAATACATTAAATAGTATCTTTGATTTTTGTCATCATTAAAATCCTTAATAATACTAGTAGATAGAATATTTTTTTTTAATGATCGAACAGGGTTAAGCTGATTAATAACTTTTTTATTGAAATAAAAATTGCAATTTTGATGTGTTTTATTTCATTCAGTAAAATATTCTTTATTTGTATTTAAAGGTCATGAGTAAGTTAAATACTTGATTTTTATAGTCTATATGTTCCTAAAAAACCCAAGTTTTTTTTTTAATATTAGTGAAATACATAGTTTTTAAAGTGGTTTTATTACAGAAAAAATATAAAATGATCAAAAAATGTGTGTATATGAATGTATATTTGACTCTGATTGAGATCTGAGATGTATGCTGTTGATTGCAACACTAATAGTTGTATATGTCTAGTGTAAAATTACATTGGTTTATATGAGCTTGAATGAGACTAAAAACACTACAATTAATTATATTTTCTTCTCTCTTTAGTATAGTACTTAAGTACCAGCAATTTTAAGAGGCTTTGTTTTACAAGTGTAGTAAAGCTTAATCTGAAAATTTGTCACTAATTGAAGCTTCTCATTAATTAAATGCTGTGATATGTTAAAAAAACAACTAAATGCTTATCATGTTTAAAATGTGTTAAGAAGTGAAAATTGTCTGAACATCTCTTTAAGGGATTAACAAATCGTTATGTATGTATAACTATGTTTGCACAATGTTTTACCATTATTTTAAAATCTGGAATTTAAAAAAAAAAATATGTTTAAATTCTTGATACACAGATCAAAGGCACATTGTCACTAAAATTTAGCTTCAAATTTCAAAAGTATAAGGGGTTTCCTTACAGTGAAATATTTAGTCAAGATTTAAGCTTTTAAAATTTCTTTTAATTCTTTATCTGTTAATCAATAGAAATAATGCCAATTTTAAATTCCTAAACAGATGCTTCATTATTATCACTAACTATGCAATTTCATTCTGTGTTTATTGTTTGAAATATTAAAGTTCTGAATCTTTGAACATAGGACACATAACTTTTTCAAGTATATAATGCACCATTACAATTTGTTTCAAATCTGATAATCTAGTTGTAGTAAAAATCAAACTAAATGTCATTTAAAATGTTTTGATGTCATATTCTTCTCAAGCAGAATTGTGTTTTTGTATTCCCTTTTAAGTTACAACTTAAAATCCAGATCACTAGTGGTTTGTTTTTAAGTTGTAAGTATTGTTTTATGTTTAAGCAATAACTACCCATTTGTTTGCTGACAAGCCTTATAACATGTCCATTCATATAAAAGTGCACCTAAAATTGTTGGTCAAATATTCTGAGAGACATGGCAAATGAAAATTTTAGGTCAAGCTAAGTTTGAGATTTCAGGGTGCTTCATTTTAAATGTTTGTAAATGCATGACCTATGCAATGATAATTTCTAGTGTTGAATATTCTTTCAGTAGTTTATATACTAAGCTCTAATTTTTTATGGTTTTTAATACTTGAAATTTAGATTATTTAATATGTATTTGTATATGTGTATGTCTAAAGATAAACATTATAAGTGAATGGAAAAAAAAAGCAATAAACACTAAAAAAATATTATTAGATTACCTTTTATCTAATTGCTGTTTTTTAAATGGTATGATCATATTTTCAATAATTAATAAAGATGTTTAGTAATGTAAATTTTTAACCTTAAGAAAATCATTCATTTGCATGACATTCTATCAATCATTTATCATTATAACCAAATGATACACTTGCTTTCCTAACACTTTGCCCCTTTATGAGACTGTTGTAGAGTATTTGAGTGACTGTGTACTGCTATATGACAATTAGCTAATGTGTGATTTTCTCAACCCTGCTCCTTCTACAAACCTGCCCAACTCACAGCTATTGCCATATAGAACTAAGTGGGTCTTAAACAGACTTGTCCTATTTCACATTTACTACTGTAGTGTTTTGAAAAAACTTTTTTTTGGCTGTACAGTAAATGAAAAAAAACTTCTACAAGTTTTATATTTTTGGTGTGATTCTTACCTCAGGAGCCAGTTGCTTCGAGGTGTCAAATTTTTACTGGAGCTTAATTTCTGTAAAGATGCATCAGTGACTGTTGGGCAGGTATAGGCTGTTAATGTTTTCTAAATAAATATAGAGCATGTACATGAATTCTTTTTTACCTAAGTTGTTGCAGTTATTTAAATTTAGGTTTGTTTTCAGTTGGTTTTCCATTTTAAGTCACTGGCAGAAAAAAATAAATCATTTTGATGTTAGATTATTGTATCAACAGTAATTTTAAATTTGTATTAAACAATTAAACATTTGTATGTATTACAAACATTTGTTTATTTATTGTCTATTGTGTCAGTATTGAAGTGTTTTTTGTTTGTAATTATTTACCTTATAGTTAGTATTTGCAAGATATATTTTGATGAAGCTGGTCATAGAAATCTTAAAATACACTTATAAAATTACATTTGAAACTAAAAACTGCAGTAGCTTAGTAAAAATATGTAAGAATACTGCATTAAATCAGTCTAATCAGTAAAAATGTGTTTATCATCTATATATATAATTCTCTTCTTGGAGACGCTAGAAAACACCTAACTGTAAGCGCGCTCCCTACAACCCCACCCCTACATGGTCTGGTGAGCTGTGGTTCACGCTAAATGTTTACAATCATAGAGCCGGGTTTAGTGACGGCTATTAGGGGCAGATAATTTACATTGAAGCGATTTTAAGCCTAGGGGAGGTAACTAAGAGGAGGCTGCTTTCACAGAGGGGGGGGGGGGGGGGTGTAGAGTAAGGGGTTGGGGTAAGGAGGGTGGGGGTAGTATCGTCCTTCACGACCTACTGATAGTGTTATAAAGCAGCATTAGTACTGTCGAATTCACAAATTATGAATTACTGAAAAGTAGAAAATAAAACAACTAAATAGAGGCATATGATATGCTGCGGGTCGGTTCGTGTATCAAAATAGGTAAAATAAATATATGCATCATAGTTGTAGCCCTCTGGTGAAGGTTACCTGCCAGAATAGGAAATGTTGAATGGGAGGGGAGGTAAACCTGGATAGGTTAATCACAAAATCCTTACACATGCCATAACTTTGTAATGTTATGTTATTTGCTGATAGAAACCTGCTTGAAATGTTAATATTGTGTTTCACCTATAATTTGCCAACAGTACTGATGGCTATGAATGTTTATATTGTGTTTAACCCATTATTTTCTGACAAGATTGCTGGCTAGACATGTTGATATTCTGTATTTTATGTAAATTAATCAGAGTTAATTCCACTAAAAAAAAACATTTATAATTCACAGCACACCATGATAAGCTTCTAGCCTCAGCATTAAATAATTGAAAAGCAAAGATGAAATATAAATAATTTATTCTCTTATAAAATCAGAGTAAATAAAATTATCACAAATGTATTCCCACTGTAGTTATATGACTAACAATTTATTTTTAAAGCAATAACAATTAATGTAAAATATATAGGAATTATAATACTAAGTAGAAAGCTCTAAAATAATCACAACTTAAGTACAGTAATTTAAAAACTAAAATCAACAGTAAATACATCCTTGTCTTAAATAGGTAACAGTAATGAATTATGTAGTATAAGGAATGCTGGTACAGCTGTGTGTTCAAAAAATTAACATGGTACAACAGTGCTCATTTAAGTATACGACATGTAGAATTAGTGCTTAGTAGTGTATACATTTTATCAAAATCAAAGCTGAACTCCAATAGCTAAAATAGTGTTTTTAAAAACAAAAAGTTTTTCTCCTTGGATTCACATTTTTAACTAGTCTTATCTAAGTAGTTCAGTCAAAATATGATAAGTAGTGAAAAGTTTTTAAAAACCTAAACTTGATTGTAATACACTGTACAGATACCTTTCATATAACAATCTATGATGTGAAGCTTCCCATTTTAGGCTGTGAACTGAAGGTTGTAGAACTCTGGCTCAAAGAAGTTGCAGTCTCCCTTTAACATAATGTGGCTGATGTGGTCAGGTTGGATTCTGTAGGGGAAACTTGTATAGTACTTCCCATTTACATATACCTGGTGGGGAAACAGATAAAAATATGTAGAGATACATACTATAACATGTAGAGATACACACTATAACACATAGCCAAGTTTTTAAAAGTACGTTTCTAATTAGCAACTAATTTAAGAAATTATTCAAGGTACTTGAGAATCTTAAGAACTTTAATATTTTATACTTACTTTAAAGACATCAGAGGTTAACAGGATGTTGACCTCAAATTTATCTTCTGCTACAAAAGGAAAATGAGATTTTTCTTTATGCTTTTTCCCCCAATCACCATCTTTCAAATCTTTCGTGAGAGCTTTCTGCTTTTTAAAGCGGATGTTAAAGTGAAAGGCTACATCACAGCTGTAGTTGCTGTCATCCCCACACTGAAGGTTTATGTCAAATTCTTTTGCATCTTTCTTTGGTGTGCCACATACTGTGACCCATGTGCCTTGCTGAAATTTCCCAGGAATGTTGTCCACAAATGGGTTCTCCTTGATAAGAGAAAAAGATTTTTTTTTAGTCTAAAAAAGTTCAAGTATGCGATAAATGTAAAATTTTTATGAAGCTAGTGTTAAATGAATATTTACACTTCAATCGATTAAAAAGCATAAGCTTTGTGAAAGACGAGAAGAAGAAAAATATTTAGATAAAAATAAGAAAGTTGTGTTTTCCAATGTCTTACCACTCTCCTTAAAAGTTTAACCTCATAGATATGGGCCTCACCACCAACATTGATACTTTTAATGTCCTCTACTTTGCCTCTGGCTTGAAAATCAGCAAACTGTTTCCCATTGACATAAATCTGTGAGTGAAGGATGATTAAATTAATCTGCATAGTTCAAGTTACAGATGACAATGTGATTGCTTACGCCTGAGGAATTAATTTAGCAGAGAACACTTTGTAAACATTTGACCTTTGAAACAATTTATCATTTCATTATAGATACCAACTTTAGATATAATATAATACAAGCAGTACTTAATATAGCTGCCATTAGTTCCTAGTTTAACAAAAAAATTTAAAATGCAGCCTTTTTACACATATTAAGAATCAATTTTCACAAATATTTGACATATAATTCCATATTACCTTAAATTTATTACTTTTATTCACAAATTCCACTTCAAATGGCAGTAATTCTGTAAATGGGTTTGGAAGTTTATGCCTTTCTTCAGCCCCCCAGCCACCATTTTGCCTGTTATTCAGTACCACCTCCCCTTGGTCACGTCTAGGATTGAAGTGGAGAGCTATGTCATCATTCACAGAGGTGCCATAGTGTAGGTTGACTGAAAACCTGAAACAGAATTAATTTAAAGTAGGTCAAACGCCAACTGTAATTGTCTTTAAATTGTGAAATTAATAACACAAATTGTTATTTATTAATATAACATGAGCAAAGAAAATTATGTTCATTTGGTTAAATAATTAGATTTTAAAATAAGAAGATAGCAGTACTCTTAAAACATATTTTTTTAAAGTTAAAAATAGATGTAGGCCTACATAGGGCTCAATTAAAAACATTTCAATAAGTAATTATATTCTTAAAAGAGTTATAAAAAAACTATAATTTAAAACCATGAGTTTAAATTTATATCTTAGTACCTCTTTCCTTCTGGGTAAAAAAATCCTTTAGTAATAACGAGATCACTTTGTTCAAGGCCTGAAGGGATAGTTTTTATGTAATCAGCTGGCTGTGAAATATAAATTATTTAAATTTTAAAAAAAATTTATATCATATGGTAAAAACTAATTTATTATTTATTTTTGTGTTGTAGATTTAGTAAAAAGGCATTTTTTAACTCTAGGTAACACAATTACCAGAGGTTTGTCAAACTCCACATCCAAGAGAGTGGTATCTCCATTAATGCTGATAAACTTGATATCATCAGCAGGAACACGAAACTTGTATGAGGTGTAGAATGACTCATTCACATAGATCTAAATAAAATATTGTTTTAAAATATGGGTATACATGTTAAGTTAAAAACACAATAATAATTTTATAAAATGATTTAAAAAAAAAAAACTATTCACAAATTGACTGAAGTGCATAATTCTCAAATTCCATTTAACTATCATTAAAGTATAGGATCAACAGATGACTTTAAAAAAAGAATTAACAGTTATAAAAAAAGTCACTAACATTAAACAATCCATCCCAAGCAATAAACAGAACATCGTAGAAGTGACCTCTTTTAAAGGGAAATGATTCTTTCCCCCTTTCTTCTGCCTGCCAGTCCCCAACTTTGGTGTTGAGCACAACATCCTCTTCATCTTGTCTAGGGTTAAATAAAACTCCAACAGTATGTCCATCTGGATCTGTGTTAAAGTTGATCTCAAATCTGTGTTACAAAAAAATGTAGGCAATCACAATTGAACAGCTTTTAGAATCAAGCAACAAAGGTGAGACAACTAAGAAAAACACAGGTAAACAACTAAATAACAAAACATAAACAATTGCAATACAAGTAAGAAAACAAAAAAATAATGTAAGCAACAAATAATAAAGCAACATGAACTAAGAGACAGAAAAAAAATCACCTGTTAGCATTGTCATTGACACATCCCCTCACTCTTATTGCTTTACCTGGCTTTAAACCACCAGGTATCTCGCCTCGATAAGGCAGGTGCTTTTTAGATTATATAAGATATATATTTTGTTAAAACATAATCACTAGAAAGTCTTAGATTTTATCTGAAGATTATATAAGATATACATTTTGTTAAAACATAATCACTAGGAAGTCTTAGATTTTATCTGAAGATTATATAAGAAATACATTTTGTTAAAACCTAATCACTATGAAGTCTTAGATTTTATCTGTTTATTACTTGTACTAATACAACATGAACCAATCATTTAACCTATAACTTATATCATGAATGTTTCTTTTGATTATATTACAGCCTGCTAAATTTTCATGCACAAAGCAATTATCATTACCATACATATTTTGAAAACTACATACAGAGGTATTCTGGATGGTAGCCTCGTAATACTCAGCATGCTCATTTAGCCTCAAGTAGTTGACCTCCTGGTGTGGTAGTCGATGTTTGTATTGGATGAAAAACTGACCGTTCACCATAATGTCATATGCATTGGGCCCCACATTAATTCTAAGGGTAAACTTGGAGCCACCGGTAAATGGGAATGAAGGAGTGTCTCGCTCCTCCCCCTGCCAGCCGCCATGATATGTGTTTCTTACTACAGTTTTCACTGCTAATCTGGGGTTGAAATGAAGTGCAATGTCACAGCCATCTTTGTTTTCCTTCTGCAGGTTGATTGAAAATCTGAAACAAATTTTTTTTGTCCATATCAAAACCTTATACATGTATAAAAATTTCAAATGAATCATACAAAATGGCTGCATAGAATAATGAACAAAATGGAATGCTGGTTTGAATTTTAAAATGATTTAATGTTTAAATCATAAAACCGAGTAACTTAGTTGTTTCCTAATACTACTATATTATCAATCAATGTTTTTTAAGCCAAAATAATGGTTTCAATATGGCAGGAAACAGATTGGTACCGCAAAATGCATATTCGGTCTTCGCCGTTCATAAACTTTCTAACCAGACATCGTTCGGGGATTTTGTTTATACTGATAAATAGAGCAAGGTTTTTACAAGCTTCGTTAGCAACATTTTTGTGGAATTCGTTTTTTATGACATTTTGTGCCGCGGCGAAGGATGCGAAGTATGCAAATCTAGACGGAATGGATCTACTTGGAAAGTACGTGTACTGCACTAATGAGGTAAGAAATAATATTTTGTAAAAATAACTATTATTTTTTTATGGATTTTTCATTAGAAATGATTGCTGTAAATTATGAAAGTAAAAAAAAGTATATTTGAATGCGTTTTTTACTTTAATTTGAACAAAATGACTGCCGAAAATTACGACACATCGGCGTCGCTGAAAGCGGGAATTTCAGTTAATTTTTTACGGATATAAAATTGTATTTTTTTACTCCGAAGCATGTATTTAAATAACAGTTAAGTTAAATCTATTTAATTCTGTAAAATATAATTATTATTTTGCCGTAGATACTTTTTTTTATATTTTTAATGATTTTCTGTCGCGGAAAATCGGTATTCGCACCATGCACGCACACGTAGTAAAACTAGACTTATCTTTAAAACACGAGAATCTTGAGTACACTGCGAATAACAAAGTTTTTAAATTTCAGTTTACTTTTGACTTTAAGCCATTTGTTTTAAATCGAAATTAATTGATAATGTAATTATTTCAAAGTAAAAATTTTCCGTCGCAAATTGGGTTCTAATCTTCGCCCACTGAACCAGCCTACGCACGACATTCGCGCGAGTCTGTTTCTTCGCAATAGTCTGTATAGTGTCGAGGGCTAATTCTAAAAAGAATCGAGTCCTTACTAATCCAATGTTTATTAAAATTAGGTACAATTGTTGGAACGCATGAGAAATAACAAATTAATATTTCTTTAAATCTATAGCCAAAAGAAAGTAGAACTTTATAACTCTGTAAATTATGAATCGAGTGACGGCTGTCGTGAAAACGGGAGCCATTTTACTCTTTTTTTTAGGGTGACCTACTTTTATTATATAATTTTAAAATTCATCGATTTGATAAGCAGCTGAGTAGCTGACTACGCATGCGATATGGCTGGCACGTTTTGGGATAGGGATCGAGTACACCATAGAATTTTTTTTCTTAGAACTAAGCGTATTTTTTTTTTAAATCAAAAGATACTTACATATCAGTTGTTGATTTCAATTTCATTATAGATCTAATCACTAACTTCAGTTTTTAAAAGTGATTTTGCTTCTAGAACTAGCGTATTTTCAAAATTACGTAGATTCTAAATCTAGATCTATTCACTTACTATTTGACAACCGTGTCAGTAAAATGAGGTCACCGCTTCCAGATTCTTAGGTTTTAATTATGTTTGTCATTTTGATCTATTATAAGTAGCATTAAAACAACTGCATCTATTATCAACATTGTTTTTATATGCCAGTTCTAAATATACATTCTGTTCATTACCAATTCTAATGAAATCGTATCAGGCCCTAACACCCTGTTCACGTACACTGACACTACACTTGAATGACGCCACAGACAGTCGTAACTTTAAATTAATGTTCAAAGTACTAAACAATTATAATTAGCCATGTAAATGCTGCAACTATATTAAAAATTGGCATATAGACATATTTTATTAATTATGTTTTTATATAGACCTTCTATATTTAACTCTGTTATTTTTTTTCTTCCCCAGAGTGTTTCTAAAAGCCAGAATTTTAAAGGGGAGGGCGGTCGTTTTTTTTCTCAAGAATAATTATAGAAATAAGCTATAAACTGGTATATTTTGTCAAGTTTGACATAATTACAAATAAATGTATGCCTAAGTGACATTTCTGTGTAATTATATCGTTAATTTTGTGAATTTCGTGGATTTTTGGACCTCACTACATTTAGATGTAAAAAAAAATCTCAGTTGAGTGAGTGTGGTTAATCTACATTTTGAACGTGATGTAAATGTCTAGTGCTATTAATTTTTATATTTTTGAATTCCTCGATTGTTAAGCAACAAAATTGATATATAATATGTCAATATTTGTTACTTTGAAAATTGGCGAAAATCGACCCTAAAAGTAGATGCTTGAGGGTTGAATCTGTTTCCTGCCATATTTTCTTTCAATTGTACACACAGCTAGAAGTTTGTGTTGTCATAATTTTTAAAAAGAGTCCATGGTTTACCCATCTGAACCTTCTGGAACTCTGCCTCGAACGAGAATATTGGCCCCCACATGCAGTCCACCGGGTATGTAGCTGTAATCTGGATTGTTCTAGAACAGCATGAAGATATTAAAAACAGCTGCTTAAATGAATAATAAACAGTAATTTAATGATTAATTTTTGTTTGAGACTCAATAATAAACAAATAATGTTTGTAAAAGGAGTTTAGCATTAAAAAAGAACCTTTTTATAATAGGGATTATATAACAAATTAACAATTCTAGGAACTACCCCCATCCAGCCCACAACACACAACATCCATAAATGATATCACACTTCCTTGGGGAGGGGGGGAGGTTCCAACATGAGATAATATGTGAATGAGCGGGGGAGGGGGTAATTTAATAATTGTAAATTAATAATTTAAAAAAGTATGGTGTCTTTTGAAAGAAAGAATTCAAGGCCAGCTAGAGATGTGTACAAAGTTAGGATTTAAAAAAATCAACAGACAGTGTTACTAGAACACTCCCATACACAGAAAAAATAAGCCCCCTCCCACTACACATTAAAGCAATGTACTGTGTATTATCAATTGAAGGTATTTATTCAAGTAGGGCCAACTGTGCAAGGCTCAGTCAACCATTACTTTACTAATACTGTTTGTTGAAAAGGTGAAATGGGCCATTTATTTTACTTAGCTGTGTCATCGTTTTTGGGTTGTTTGCAGGTAACATTCCTGACCCAGTATTCACAATACACAAGCACCTGTGTGCTGGTTAGGCAGTAATGTGAGAAGTCTGCCTATATAGGCTTATGGCCTATATTATTCAACACTTGTGTAACTGTGATTTTTTTTATTGTTAACCTCAAAATTGGGCTATTTTTGTTTTCCATATATACTGCATTCATTAAGCACATGTATAGGTTTTTCTACTTGCCTAGCCTATAGTATAAATTATAAAATATAAAGTATGAAGCCACTGTCTGTGATAAAAAAAAAACTTTTAACTTACAAATTTGGTTTTTCTAAGCACCATCCTTTGGAAGACTTGATTCAGATTAGATGATATGAAAGCTAAATTACACTTTCAATCCTGCTAATTTTAATTAATAAATATACATTAAACTCTCTTCATCAAATAAATAGCTAATAGGTGTTTGGTAATACACTTAGTATTAATAAAATGAGTACTGGCAGTTGGCCATTGAGATTATGGGGGGGGGGGGGGGAGAGAGAAAAAGTCAGCAGTAATAAAGTGATGTATGAATGTACCAATCCAACTTTAATTACTATAATAGGCCCACTACATGTCATGATGTTGATGTAGACCTTTACTATATCTAATAGGTCTATATAAAACTAGATAATTATAATAATGTAATAGTAAGTATAGGGGGAGGCTTAACATAAATAATTTTTTAAAATTGTAACATTAATTTATACAATTATATAGGATAATATTATTAAAAATTGGCTATTATTTAATGACTAACAAGTGAAAATAATTTTAGCACAACTATCTAGACCTAGTTAGATCTACATGAGGATGAAGACCTAAGGCAAAGCTGCTTTAAGTACTATTGAGTATTGTTTTATTATTAGCAAAGCTTCAATAGCAATCTCATCTTAAACAACAGTTGTGAGATGCTTGCCTAACTGGCACATATAATTGTCCGTGGTATCAGCCTACAAACATCATGGAAGTGCAGTGTTGTTTTATCACATCAATATTGCCAGAGAAATCAACATGTTATACTTCAGCAGCAATTTTTAGAATATAATCATATTTTATGTTTATTGTTTTATAAATAGTAAAAGTTAATGTGAAATACTAACGTTCTATACAAAAGTATTTTAGTTGGTATTTTACTTAATTAATTAGATTATGTTGTGACCAGCACAAAAAAAGAATGTTACTATTTAGTATTATTATACTATAGGCCTATATGCAATTATTAAAATTAACTAGAGTCTAATTAAATTATGTGTGTAACGTGAGGCATGAGCGCCTTTATTTTATTTTGATTAAGAAAATATTCTTATATAATATATAACTAGGTCTATATGCGTAAATGAATTTACCTGTAAGTCCAATGTTTCTAATGTTTGAAGAAACAGAACACAAGTCTAGATAATCTCCTCTACCGAACTCCACAAAATTCACAAATCGCTTGAACCAGCTTGTCTCCCTTTAATATAGGATACCGAAGTTTTTCTTAACAAATGGCCATGACCCTTAATGTCAATACAGTGGCAAGGGGAGGGGTGTGTTACTACCGGCTACGAAGGTTTGGTTTGGAAAATCCATTGTTATAGATTTCGTATAGAAAAATACTTAAAATATTGTCTTTAAAAGGTTTGAAAGACTAGAGAATTTTATTTTTTTGAAAATTCTAACACACTTGCTCTAAATAGCATTATTAAATCACTTATCTATAATAATAGTTTCGCTGTCTCTCTATCTATCTATCTGTCTGACAAGAACGCTCTAGAGAAAACACAAGGAATTTAAAAACCTGCACAGTAATTCGAAAAACGAAATATGACGTCGACACATTTAGCGTAGAGTAGAACATAATCTCAAACCAGAGAGTGCACACAGTAATGTAATGACGTCATTGAAACATTGAAAAAAAGGAAATGTTGTCTAATCTAAATGGTTTGCGTGAAGAGTTTCTTGCATACAATTCTTCGGGTAGGGGCGAAGCCCCACCCCCGCGTAAGAACGTCTGAGGGGGGTGGGGGTGGGGGGGGGTTGAGTGGGGGGGTGGTTTTAATTTAGACTTTTTCCTCCCCGGAGAGGGGTGGGGGTACTTGAAATTTTCGGGGGCGGGGGTAGAATTTTCGGGGAGGGGCGGACACTGGAAAAAGTATATAATTATATTTCGTTGAATGGGACGGTAGACATGTTTTTTTAGGGGGGGGGGGGGGTTGTGGGTGGGGGGTGGGGGGAGGGGGGGGGGATGGGGGGTGAGTGGGGGGGGGTGGTTTTAATTTAGACTTTTTCCTCCCCGGAGAGGGGTGGGGGTACTTGAAATTTTCGGGGGCGGGGGTAGAATTTTCGGGGAGGGGGCGGACACTGGAAAAAGTATATAATTATATTTTGTTGAATGGGACGGTAGACATGCTTTTTTTGGGGGGGGGGGGGGGTGGGTGGGGGGTGGGGGGGGTGGTGTGTGTGTGGGGGGGGGGGGTGGGGGTGAGTGGGGGGTGGTTTTAATTTAGACTTTTTACTCCCCGGAGAGGGGTGAGGGTACTTGAAATTTTCGGGGGCGGGTGTAGAATTTTCGGGGAGGGGGCGGACACTGGAAAAAGTATATAATTATATTTCGTTGAATGGGACGGTAGACATGTTTTTTTTTGGGGGGGGGGGGGGGGGTGGGGGTGGGGGGTGGTGTGTGTGGGGGGTGGTGTGTGTAGGGGTGGGGGTGGGGGGGTGGTGTGGGGGGGGTTGGGGTGGTGTGGGTGTGGGTGGGGGTGGGGGTGGTGTGTGTGTGGGGGGGGGGTGGTTTTTGTTTAGAGAAAAGAGACAGCACTATCAACCTAGCGCCCGGTGTATCCTTCCTCAACGGGCCATTTTTCTCGTCTATAATAATAGTTTCGCTGTCTCTCTATCTATCTATCTGTCTGACAAGAACGCTCTAGAGAAAACACAAGGAATTTAAAAACCTGCACAGTAATTCGAAAAACGAAATATGACGTCGACACATTTAGCGTAGAGTAGAACATAATCTCAAACCAGAGAGTGCACACAGTAATGTAATGACGTCATTGAAACATTGACAAAAAGGAAATGTTGTCTAATCTAAATGGTTTGCGTGAAGAGTTTCTTGCATAGAATTCTTCGAGTAGGGGCGAAGCCCCACCCCCCGCGTAAGAACGTCTGAGCCCCCCCCCCCCCCTCCCCAACTCAAAAGAAATTTCCTCATCGATACTCTATAATAAAATTACCGCCTAATTAATGTGTCTAATCTAAAAAGTGGTTTTCTCGCAATTTCTTTAATGCAATTCTTCGCGTAGTGGCTAAGCGCGACACCAGTGTTTCTTTCAGACTTTTTCCTCCCCGGAGAGGGGTGGGGGTACTTGAAATTTTCGGGGGCGGGTGTAGAATTTTCGGGGAGGGGGCGGACACTGGAAAAAGTATATAATTATATTTCGTTGAATGGGACGGTAGACATGTTTTTTTAGGGGGGGGGGGTAGGGGGGTGAGTGGGGGGGGGGGGGTGGTTTTAATTTAGACTTTTTCCTCCCCGGAGAGTGGTGGGGGTACTTGAAATTTTCGGGGGTGGGGGTAGAATTTTCGGGGAGGGGGCGGACACTGGAAAAAGTATATAATTATATTTCGTTGAATGGGACGGTAGACATGTTTTTTGGGGGGTGGGGGTGGGGTGGGGGTGGGTGGGGTGGGGGGGGGGGGCTGGTGTGTGGGGTGGGTGTGGGGGTGGGGTGGGGGTGGGGGGGTGTGTGTGTGGGGGGGGGTGGGTTGGTTTTAGTTTAGAGAAAAGAGACAGCACTATCAACCTAGCGCCCGGTGTATCCTTCCTCAACGGGCCATTTTTCTCGTCTATAATAATAGTTTCGCTGTCTCTCTATCTATCTATCTATCTATCTATCTATCTATCTATCTGTCTGACAAGAACGCTCTAGAGAAAACACAAGGAATTTAAAAACCTGCACAGTAATTCGAAAAACGAAATATGACGTCGACACATTTAGCGTAGAGTAGAACATAATCTCAAACCAGAGAGTGCACACAGTAATGTAATGACGTCATTGAAACATTGAAAAAAAGGAAATGTCTAATCTAAATGGTTTGCGTGAAGAGTTTCTTGCATAGAATTCTTCGAGTAGGGGCGAAGCCCCACCCCCCGCGTAAGAACGTCTGAGCCCCCCCCCCTCCCCAACTCAAAAGAAATTTCCTCATCGATACTCTATAATAAAATTACCGCCTAATTAATGTGTCTAATCTAAAAAGTGGTTTTCTCGCAATTTCTTTAATGCAATTCTTCGCGTAGTGGCTAAGCGGGACACCAGTGTTTCTTTCAGACTTTTTCCTCCCCGGAGAGGGGTGGGGGGTACTTGAAATTTTCGGGGGCGGGGGTAGAATTTTCGGGGAGGGGGCGGACACTGGAAAAAGTATATAATTATATTTCGTTGAATGGGACGGTAGACATGTTTTTTTAGAGGGGGGGGGGTGGGGGGGGGGTAGGGGGGTGAGTGGGGGGGGGGGGGTTAATTTAGACTTTTTCCTCCCCGGAGAGTGGTGGGGGTACTTGAAATTTTCGGGGGTGGGGGTAGAATTTTCGGGGAGGGGGCGGACACTGGAAAAAGTATATAATTATATTTCGTTGAATGGGACGGTATACAGGTTTTTCGGGGGGTGGGGGGTGTGGGGGGGGGGGTGGGGGTGGTGTGGGGGGGTGGTGTGGGGGGGGGGGGTGGGGTGGGTGGGGTGTGTGGGGGGGTGGTGGTGTGTGTGTGGGGGGGGGCTGGGGTGGTTTTAGTTTAGAGAAAAGAGACAGCACTATCAGCCTAGCGCCCGGTGTATCCTTCCTCAACGGGCCATTTTTCTCGTGTCTAGAAGACTGACACAAACACCGTTGGGATTTATTTATTTATTTATGTATTTAAAAATGCTACTACTAATTTAATATAATATTGACTATATGCTCAAGTTTTTCTATGCTTGTCAAAAAAAATCAAATCTTCGAATTAAAGTAAATAAATAAGCCTTTACACACTAAACGGTTAACCAATTGTAGGCCTCCAATAGATACTAACAGATACGACGTATAGATTGAGTAGAAAATAGACAGTGGCGTAGCCAAAATTTGTCATGATTAGGGGCATATATTTTTATTTCCATATAGGTAGGCCTATAGGACATTAGGGTATTTACATTATATTTATATATATGTATATGTGTATATATATATATATATATATATATATATATATATATATATATATATATATATATATATATATATATATATATATATATATATATATATATATATATATATATATAGCGTATGTTTGTGTTTGTCATATGCAAAGCTAAATAGCCGGTTTACAATGTGATAAATCCCAGCCGAAAAGTACAAAAATAGTGTACAGTAGAACACAAGCCTTTTTCTTGTTGGAGGCAGTGTTTCTTCCAGACTTTTATTATCTCCGGGGGGGGGGGCACTTGATATTTTCGGGGGGGGGGGGGCGCAGTCTAAATTTTCCGTGGGGGGTGGCAGGGCGGACACTAGTAAAAGTATGTTTACTATATAAATTCCATCTCCATCGGGGGGGGGGGGGGGGGCGCCGCCCCCGAAGAGATGCCTGGAAGAAACTCTGGTTGGAGTTAGGCCTATATATTTTTTATTCTGTCTTAGAGTCTTAGAGGTACACATACACACCCTTTTAATACAACTGGCACATATATGTGCCAAGTTAAACGCTAAACGTGATAGCAGTATTATAGCTGGGATTTTTCCTCTTCATGTTAGGTCCCTATGTAGTCTACATTTTTCTTTGACTAAGCTTTCTATGGCGCTGGCCTTTTTAAACGTCAATTACTTATTAAAATTGTTCAATAACTCTTGTCTTTTTACCCAACGATTCAAACAAACAGGACAAATGTTCATGATAGTTCAGAATGAGTTGAATGTATCCAGTCTACAGAAGTGGGTGGGACCAGTCCTTCAGGACCAGATATCGACCGATCTCGTAGGTCACGTCCTAACCAAACTACGCCCACGCAGCTCGACTGAGTCATGTAGAAATATTTGATCTATCCGGTTTCTTGAAGATCAGCAGATTTGTGTGTGTGTGTCGGGTTCTCCCAAATCAGCAGAGTTCATCTGTGTGTACGTGCGTATGTGTGTGTGTGTGTGTGGTATTACTATTGTGTCGTGCCTTCTAACTATGTAGGCCTATGTGTCTGTCACTAAAGCGATTAAGCCAATAAATCAAGACACAAGATAAGACTTTAAACCCCCTCGGCTAGCCCAAATTGGCCCTAAATCTGCCAAACGTTATAAAAAAAAACCCCAGCATTTGCAGCTTTGAGAAAAACTAACGAGTTTATAGACCTAAACTTACAATGGTTGTAAAGATAGGTGTATATAATATGTTAGTTGTTTGACGAATAACAGACTAATTTATTTACCAACTTGGCCTATATGAACCAAACATTTCATTATAAATACACAAAATATTTTGAACATTTAACGCCCATTTTTATAACTTCCCCTGAAGATCTTAACTATAACGCAGATACTTATCATCCTGTTTATCCTAACTTCTAAAATGTCCGTTTTACCAATCTCTTTACCCCCATCACCACCAGTTTCAGTCTCGCTTCAGTGATCACCAACGCGGCTTCTGTCATGGTGACTAGCGCCTAGATCTACTGCCTACAGTACTGATGTCATCACGTGCTGTGCTCATTGATACAATTCTATCAAACACATGGTAAGACAACTGATATAGGTTATAAATTTAATGTCTTAAATTTTGTTACAGATATCGTTTAAAAAAATAAATCATCATGAATAATATGCAAATTGATTGTTGTAGATAGTATCAAAATATAAGATGCCAAATTAGCACAATGGCAGTAACAACATATTTGTTTACATGTATACACTGGATTTGTTTCTTAACATTGGTCTATAACTCTGAACAAATTCATATCTTATAACAGCATGTTATAAAACAAAATTGCAGTAAAAATATTGATAGCCTATAATAAATAATAGTAATAATAGGTCTTTAATACTTATACAGTTCACATGACGGTATGGATCTTATGCAATAAATCTACATTTACATATAAAAATAAATTAATTAAAGCTTCTCCCCTTAAATTGGCGACTTGTGTTTGTTGAAATGAAGGCGTGATGGTGTCAATCTTTGGTGTGTGTAGTAAAACAAACACAGCAGACTTGTGAAAACTTAGTAAAACTCAGGCTCAAAGAAATTGCAGTCTCCGTTCAACATAATGTGGCAGATACGGCCGGGGTCAATCCTGTGGGCGTAGTCGATGTAGGTCTGACGGTTGACAAACACCTGCAATACAGGACACGTTTAGAGGTGGATGAGCAGGTGTGGACTAGGGTAGAAATGACGAGAAAACTATGGAGATTTTCATTAAACACAGTCTGATCTAACCGGAAGTTATGCTTTTTTTTTGTACCGCCAAATTAGCAGTGACTGTTTTAAATTTCACAGAGAATCAAAGACACGGGAGATTTCATTGTTAAATACCTTTTTTTTTTTAAAAAAAAAAATACATTACTCAATCTTAGGTTAATTATGGAGACCAAAACTTACAAGAGTTTTGGTCCAAAAATAAACTTACCCTGAAGATGTCTGACAGTCGCAGGATGTTGATCTCAAACCTGTCTTCAGGCTCGAAAGGGAAGTTGGGCTGTTCCTTCTCCTCCTCGCCCCACGAGCCGTTCTCCATGGTGTTCCTGACAGAGTCCTCCCCACTGAACCTGGGGTTGAAGTGGAACGCTACGTCATTGCCGTAGTCGGGGTCGTCGCCACACTGCAGGTTGATGGCGAAACTGTCCGCCTTCTTCTTGGGGGTGCCGATGACGGAAACCCATGACCCGACCTCCAGGGGCCCGGGGAGTTTGTCGACGAATGGCTTCTCCTGCAAAAATAAATGTTGGCGTCAATGTTAGAATCTGGTGGAATGGCTTCTCCTGCAAAAATAAATGTTGGCGTCAATGTTAAAATCTGGTAGGGGCGTCTGATGATGTCACGCAAGTTTTTATCCTCATGTCTTTATGGTCACTGCTAATATTCCCTCTAAGGAGGAAAAGCTAGTGTGCAATCTGTATTTTCTGTGCACGCTGTTGTAAAAGTCTTATGCAAGAATATATTTATTTTACAAAATCACTGCGCGGTAGCTCAAAACCACTGCGCGGCCGCGCAACCGTTCAGCTTAGTGGGAACATTGGTCACTGCACATCACATTAAATCAACTCTTTCTCAATACCATCTCAGAGTGAAATCCCGCCCCCTCCCACACACACCAGCAAAACTCTTAACGTAAATATGATTTGGTAATTTTTATTTTGATATTTTTATTTAACAAAAAAATACCCAAAAATATGAAAACCATTTTCTTAACACTCCCTCCCACATAATTTCCTTCCCACAGCTGGTAGAACGTCATTAAAAGACTAATAGATACTCTAAGAAGGTTTTTGTCTAAAACTCAACAATACTTTCAGATTTATAGAAGGTCTAGATGTTTTAAAAGAGACTAAGCTAATTTTCTATTTTAATTACAAAAAATAAATTTAAAAATCAAGTTATTGCAAGTTACGTTTACTCCCCCCCCCCCCCACTCTGTTGATGTCTAACAAAACCTTGAATCAGTTATGAAACGATGAGAAATATGAGTGAAAAAGCAGTTACCACCTACCACTCTTCTCAGCAGCTTGACTTCATAGATGTAAGCCTCGCCGCTGACGTTGATGCCTTTGATGTTCTCAACGTCCCCTCTAGCCTTGAAGCTGGTGAACTTTTTACCGTTGATGTAAATCTGGCACAAACAATACAATTGTTATGTATAATTGTTAGGCGGTGTTAACCTGACTTGCCAGATTGGATGATAGATACATCGAGTGGGAACATTTACCTTAAACTTTTTGCTCTTGTTGACAATTTCAACTTGGAAGGGCAACATTTCAACCATAGGGTAGGGCAACGCGTGTCTCTCCTCCTCCTCCCAGCTGCCACCCTCCCTGCTGTTGAGGACAACCTCTCCCTGGTCACGTCGGGGGTTGAAGTGGAGGGCAATGTCGTCATCAAGCGAGGTCCCGTACAGGAGGTTGATGGCGAACCTGTGGGAGGGCAACAGTTGGCTGGTTATCTAAACACGTTAGATGGTCCTATTGACCTAACCCACACATAATGGGTGGTCACATACTTAGACCTAACCCACACGTTAGATTGTCACATTGACCTAACCCATACGTTAGATGGTCACATTGACCTAACCCACACACAATGGGTGGTCACATACTTAGACCTAACCCACACGTTAGATGGTCACATTGACCTAACCCACACGTTAGATGGTCACATTGACCTAACCCACACGTTAGATGGTCACATTGACCTAACCCACACGTTAGATGGTCACATTGACCTAACCCACACGTTAGATGGTCACATTGACCTAACCCACACGTTAGATGGTCACATTGACCTAATCCACACGTTAGATGGTCACATTGACCTAACCCATACGTTAGATGAGATAGATGAGATAGCCGACACACAACGTAGAACAATGACGTACATTTATATTCATGCTGTAACATGATGCAAGGAACGTAATGCCGCTCTTGTACTTTTTCTTTTAAATAATCATCGATTACAATTTAATATTGATATTATTTGAGGTGTCGCCCCACCCACCGCACACCACCCATAGTGCCCGACAAGGCATTATCTATATTATGCTTATGTCAAACAATGGAGTTTTTACACAAAGAGCACACCCCCACAGAGCACACCCACACACGGAGCACCCACACTGAGCACACACACAGAACGCATACACACACTGAGCACCCATACACAGAGCACATCCCCACACAGGGCACGCCCACATTTAACCACGCCCACACAGAGCACCCACACACAGGGCACATAAACACAGAGCTGCAGAAAAACGACCAAAATGTACAAGAGCGGTCATTAGGTTTAACCCATGTATTTAACCACTGATTATCCTGTCTATGTTGTATGATGTTCCACTAAACTCTGACAACACCGACCCACCTGGAGCCCGTGGGGTAGAAGAAACCTTTGACGACGATCAGATCACTTTTCTCCAGGCCTGAGGGAATGTGCTTGATGTAGTCGTCTGGCTGTGGGAGAAACAGACAGTCGTGTTGGGGTACAAGGGGGGGGGGGGCTTGGCAATACTTTTAACACACAGAGTGGATCCTTAATGTCCTAAACTATATTGCTCAATGGACTTGCTTTAGCTAGACAACACAACTGACCGGACTAAAATGATCAAGTCATTTCCATGTTATCGTTAGGTCACATTAGTTCCCTTAGATCACATTAGTTCCTATAATTAACTTAGTCGTCAGTTCCCCTAGGTCATGTCTGTTTCGTAAGGTCAGTGCCATTAAGGAAGTAGTAGACAGTTACTGTCACATGTAGCGTGGTAGTCACGTGACTTCTAGGAAATTCTAGAGACCACTGGAGTTGTATGTAAGTACTCCCAGATAAGATTTGCTGCGTACATCAGCAAATATTTAGTTTGTCGCATAATTGAGGCCATTGATCTGGCAACCTGATGACATTGCCAGATATAAATTGTCTCCATTAGAACTTACCAAGGGATCAGTGAACTCTACGTCCATCAGCGTGACGTCACCGTCTATGTCCAGGTAGTTGATGTCCTCAGGTGGGATACGGAATGTGTAGGACGTGAAGAATTTCTCATTGACGTAAATCTGCAGACGATAAACATCTTTGGTTACCTGGCTCTAGGGTCAACTTCACCAAGGTTCTAACTAGTGCTTCATCTAATCGCAGTTAAAACTCGTACCCAGCCGGATCTTTGTTACTTACGTTGAACCTTCCGTCCCAGGAAATGAAGAGCACATCAAAGAACTGACCCCTCTGGAAGGGGAACCAGCCTTGACCCCGCTCCTCCTCCTGCCAGCCCCCCACCTTGGAGTTAAGGACCACGTCCTCTTGGTCCTGGCGTGGGTTGAAGTGGATGCCCACAGTCTCGCCCTCGATGTCGGCGTTAAAGTTGATGGCAAACCTGCACAGGATGAGGTAAAAACCTGAATGTGGTAAACCTGCAGGGTGAGGTAAAACCTGAATGATGGCAAACCTGCACAGGATGAGGTAAAAACCTGAATGATGGCAAACCTGCACAGGATGAGGTAAAAACCTGAATGATGGCAAACCTGCAGGGTGAGGTAAAAACCTGAATGTGGCAAACCTGCAGGGTGAGGTAAAAACCTGAATGTGGCAAACCTGCAGGGTGAGGTAAAAACCTGAATGTGGTAAACCTGCACAGGGTGAGGTAAAAACCTAAATGGTAAACCTGCACAGGGTGAGGTAAAAACCTAAATGTGCATGATAACCAACAAAGACTTTGCGAACATTAAATTTATAGTTCCAGAAATGAAAACTTTCTAATGCTGAGCTCTATTTTACCTTTCAGCGTTGTCGTTGACAAAGCCACGAACCCTGAGAGCCTTCCCCATCCTCAGCCCGCCGGGAAACACACCTTTGTACGGCACATTCTGGAAGGTTCGAGATGGTGGAGGAATATTAGACACATTAGAGATACATCTATGGAAGGTTCTAGATGGTGGTGGAATAGTAGACAAATTAGAGATGGGAACAGGGCATTTCCCCCTGTCAATCACACCCCCCGGATATCCCCCCCCCCGACATTACCCCCCCCCCCCCAGAGTAATTACCCCCCTGTCAATTACCCCCCGCCCAGTAGGACATTACCCCCCCCCCCCCCCCCCCGGACAGGGTTAGAGTTAGGGTTAGGGCTAGGTTTAGGGTTAGGTTTAGGGCTAGGGTTAGGGCTAGGGTTAGGGTTAGGGTTAGGGTTAAGATTAGGGTTAGGGTTAGAGCTAGTGTTAGGGTTAGGGTTGTGTCTAGCTTTGGTTTTGGTTTTGTGTGAAGTTTTAGGCTAATGTGGATGCTTAGGTTTTGGTCTATTTCTTAAGGTTTGGATTAAAGTAGTATATAGTATATAGGTATAAAATTCTAGTTAGAGTTAGGATTTTAACTTGAGAGGGGGTAATTCCCCCCCCCCGGGGGGGGGGGGGTAATTGACAGGGGGGTAATTGCTCCGGGGGGTAAATACGGGGGGGAAATGTCCGGGGGGGGGGAAATATCCAGGGGGTAATGTCCTGTAGCCATTAGAGATACATCTGTGGAAGTAGGCTAGTCGTTGACAACTGTTATTCTGCTATATTAATATTATTTTTAAAAAAATTCATTTTAGTTAATTTAGTAAATTTCATTCTTAGACTTGACATCTACGCATTGTCCATCAGTCTCGACTTACGTCTGGTACTAATTTGTGTTGCGTGTTCATAGAGACGTCACATGGATTGTTTAATAAGTACGGGACTCAACAATCTTACCGGCGGCTCTATTCATTTACGTTTTATGGGGCGTGTATTATGTCATTTTCCTTAACCGTCTTCATACAACATTCGTATGGCAGTATGTTTCAAGACACTCGTCATGTCGTGTCTTGTACTGCTGTTATCTTCAGACAACCAAGACATGGAACAGGGGAGGTAATAAATCATGAGCAACAGATTAAAAGCTTTTGGTTGGATTACCACTTGAGCCTAGTCGATCATAGGTCTACTTTCTAGAGAACTAACAACCCACAATTTGACAGAGGCGCCTTAGTAAATAAATAAATGAGAAAATAACGAATTATAATTTTTTTTTAAATGTTCAAGTAGATTCACTGATACAAGCTATTGTTGAGTAATGTCCCCACTGACAGAGTGATCTCCCTGTTTAGCAGGTTATAGGTGGGGGGTCAACACAATTTCAGTGGATTCTAACTTGACGGGAAGTCAATGTACTGCCATCTTTGTTGGCTACACTAGCCTACCTTAACCAAGAGTTTTACATTTGGAGAGGGGTCGGTGTAACACTTAGACTTGTACATAGAGCCTCACCCAACCCTCAATAACACAATAGCTCTATTGTAAAGTACTACCCCCCCCCCCCACTCACACAAGAGTTCTATCGAACACTAACCCACTTACACACGAGTTCTATACACTTCCATATTTAAACAAGAGTTCTATCGAACACTACCCCACTCACACAAGAGTTCTATCGAACACTACCCCACTCACACAAGAGTTCTATCGAACACTACCCCACTCACACAAGAGTTCTATCGAACACTATCCCACTCACAACAGTTCTATAGAACACTACTTACACAACAGTTCTATAGAACACTACTTACACAAGAGTTCTGTATTGTAGACTCGTAGAACTCGGCGCCCTCACTGAGCTTCATGTACCTGACGTCTTGGTACGACAGCCGGTGGTTGTACTGCAGGAAGTAGCGTCCGTTGACCAGCACCACGTAGTAGTCCAGCCCCACGTAGATCCTGATGGTGAACTTTGACCCGTGGGAGAAGGGGAAGTAGGGGGTGTCCACCTCCTCCCCCTGCCACCCTCCCTGGTAGGAGTTGCGGACTACCGTCTGGGAGTCGGTTCGCGGGTTGAAGTGGAACGCTACGTCACATCCGTCTTCTTGCTCGGTTTGGAGATTGATGTGAAACCTGAGGAGTTTGTTGGGTAAAATATTTTGTTTAGGTGGAAAGACAAAGAAATATTCTCCTAATATAATTCTATCTTAACAAAATGTCTAATGATTTGATAGCCTACCTGCCCTCCCCCCCCCCCCCTTAACAAAATGTCTAATGATTTGATAGTCTACCTGTCCTCCCCCCTTAACAAAATGTCTAATGATTTGATAGTCTACCTGTCCTCTCCCCTTAACAAAATGTCTAATGATTTGATAGTCTACCTGTCCCCCCCCCCTTAACAAAATGTCTAATGATTTGATAGTCTACCTGTCCTCCCCCCTTAACAAAATGTCTAATGATTTGATAGTCTACCTGTCCTCCCCCCCCCCTTAACAAAATGTCTAATGATTTGATAGTCTACCTGTCCTCCCCCCTTAACAAAATGTCTAATGATTTGATAGTCTACCTGTCCTCCCCCCTTAACAAAATGTCTAATGATTTGATAGTCTACCTGTCCTCCCCCCTTAACAAAATGTCTAATGATTTGATAGTCTACCTGTCCTCCCCCCTTAACAAAATGTCTAATGATTTGATAGTCTACCTGTCCCCCCCCCCCCTTAACAAAATGTCTAATGATTTGATAGCCTACCTGTCCTCCCCCCCCCCCCCCTTAACAAAATGTCTAATGATTTGATAGTCTACCTGTCCTCCCCCCTTAACAAAATGTCTAATGATTTGATAGTCTACCTGTCCTCCCCCCTTAACAAAATGTCTAATGATTTGATAGTCTACCTGTCCTCCCCCCTTAACAAAATGTCTAATGATTTGATAGTCTACCTGTCCCCCCCCCCTTAACAAAATGTCTAATGATTTGATAGTCTACCTGTCCTCCCCCCTTAACAAAATGTCTAATGATTTGATAGTCTACCTGTCCCCCCCCCCTTAACAAAATGTCTAATGATTTGATAGTCTACCTGTCCCCCCCCCCCCCTTAACAAAATGTCTAATAATTTGATAGTCTACCTGTCCCCCCCCCTTAACAAAATGTCTAATGATTTAATAGCCTACCTGCCCCCCCCCCTTAACAAAATGTCTAATGATTTGATAGTCTACCTGTCCCCCCCCCTTAACAAAATGTCTAATGATTTGATAGTCTACCTGTCCTCCCCCCTTAACAAAATGTCTAATGATTTAATAGCCTACCTGCCCCCCCCCCTTAACAAAATGTCTAATGATTTGATAGTCTACCTGTCCCCCCCCCTTAACAAAATGTCTAATGATTTGATAGTCTACCTGTCCTCCCCCCTTAACAAAATGTCTAATGATTTAATAGCCTACCTGTCCCCCCCCCTAACAAAATGTCTAATGATTTGATAGCCTACCTGTCCTCCCCATATGGTACTCTGCCTCTGACGATAATTTGTGAGCCAACGTTCAGACCTCCAGGTATGTGGGTGTAGTCGGGGACACTCTGTACATGTCGACATAGTCATTACATTACATTATATATATATATATATATATATATATATATATATATATATATATATATATATATATATATATGTGTGTGTGTAGGAACTTGTACTTAAATGTTGTCAACATCAAACTAAAAAGGTAGGCTACTCTTTTTCAATTTTCGCACGATCCCAATACTTTCTCCTATCCTCGAAGTAAAAAAACAACAACACGAGCAGACTTTTTAGCCGATAAAATAAATCACGGAAAGTAAATATACCCCCCATCCCCCCACCATTTAGGCTTGAAGACAACACACAATGTGAACAACCTTTTTATTGTCAGATGCCACATGGACTATATACACTTATCAAACAGCCACAATCGTTGAACGCCTACTTATATTGCACGTTTCTCATCGGCTGTATACATAAAATCTTACAAGAAAGACAAGGCTGAAATCTCAGCTATCTTTTTGCATTTGAATAAAGAAAATATTTGTCGCGCAGTATTGTGTTATTTGGGTGTGGGGACGTCGCACGTCTATCGCTACAGGATACCGTTCCGGAGCTGTGCGTTAAACGTGATACGATGCTGTCTTGGTATTTTGTCTGTTTAATAAGACTCCACCATACCACTTTTACTCCGCGAGAATTGATCTCTCGCACCCCCCCCCCCACGTCAGTGCCAGTGGAGTTTGACATATCAACCAAGTGTAAGAAGTGCGTGAGTGAAATCTAACCGAGGGGTGGGGTTAGTTAGGGTGTTTGTGATGTACACATTCAAATTTTTAAAATGGCCCGTTGTTCAGACTGTTCACACCTGATTACTAATCAGATTGGCACGATTCTGTATTACAGGCCTACTTTGTCAACATTCAGTGAGGGGGGGGGGTGTTATCAAGCCATGTACATTGTGTGTCGTGTACAACATTACTGTCTTAGTCATGTGTTCACTTGTTTGTCTCTTCTGATGCTTACAGCTTCTGATAATTCTATGGTTCAGGTTTACGATACGTTTATTTTGTAAACAGAAATCATCAAATAATAGGAGTCCTACGCGTATTGAATTAATCGTTTTTTACCTCATGTTTTTTCTTTAATAACGACATACTTTTTAGTGGCGTATTTACGACCCTCCCCCCTCACTCAGAGCACGCCCACACACAACACGCCCACACACAACACGCCCACACATTACACGCCCTCACACAACACGCCAACACATTACACGCCCACACACAACACGCCCACACACAACACGCCCACACACAACACGCCCACACATTACACGCCCACACATAACACGCCCACACATAACACACCCACCCCTTACACAAATTTTCTCCCTGATTTTCCTCCCTTAATACGCAATTCTAAAAGAAATTATTGAGTTGTTTCCCCTCTGTAAGAGACACAAATATCTTCATAAGCTATGTTATGTTGGATTTTGCCAAAAACATCGCAAATCAGTATTTCCAATTTAATGAACCTTTCAGCGGATGTCGTTTGGACTATTTTCATTTGATTTTGACATAAGTCTTTATAAAATAAATCAAAGCTTAAAATTTTGTCAAAGAATAAATTTAAAAAAAAGCAAAATCATTGTTATACTTTCTTTACCTGACCCCTTTGTAACACAAAAGCCCTAACCTCTCCTAGGGGTGACGTCATACATGGACGACCCCCTAACAAGAAAGCTTAAAACATGCTGTCTGTCTACAGACAAGCGCCCACAGATTCTCCATCAGACGGGTTCAAACAGAGGACAGCCCGCGCTGACCACGGCGATGGCAGCCAGACATGGAATGTCTCAGCTCTAGGCCACTCGAGATCTGCGGGTATTGTCGCATTAAAACACACAAGAAAAAGTGATGGCAACCATTTTTTGATTATTCAAATTAATCGCCCGCTGTTTGTATTGCGAAATATCAAGTTGGTGAAACTTTTTTCAAACTGAGAAGTTCTTGCAAATTAAAATAAAATAAAAAAATCCGTTTACAAAACAGCGTTAAAAAACCCCAATACAGCCTTGACCTTGATCGTCTGTGCTCCAGCTCATAAAGCTTATTAATGCTGACGACACAGTCATTAATGGCCGTGTGAAAATATCATGACCAGCTTTGCGCAACCTAACTAAAGTTGAAAGGTCAAACCCACTAAGCTATTTTAACACGACTGTTAAGTGTAAAGCATGGTCTTGTCATTATTGTCACGATGAACCGGATTTTAATGCCAGGTACTGACAACACACTCCCCCTCCCCCCCCCCTCACTCTCTGCATTCCATCCCATCCTTATATTTTTTTTGTACCATGGCAGCTCTCTAGATCAATTTCTAACTTGTAGACTGTATCTTAAACAAGTTTATAATTATTGATTCGATCCGTACAAAGGTGACCAGACTGACGTGACAAAGACTGACGTGACAAAGACTGACGTGACAAAGACTGACGTGACAAAGACTGACGTGACCAGACAGACAGACGTGACCAGACAGACGGACGTGACAAAGACTGACGTGACCAGACAGACAGACGTGACCAGACAGACGGACGTGACAAAGACTGACATGACCAGACAGACAGACGTGACCAGACAGACGGACGTGACAAAGACTGACGTGACCAGACAGACAGACGTGACCAGACTGACGCGACCAGACAGACGGACGTGACCAGATAGACAGACGTGACCAGACTGACGTGACAAAGACTGACGTGATCTGGCAGACGTGAAATAAAATACATAAATTTCTAATCGTACCATTCGTACCCCATACAAATCCAAACACTTTATTTACAAATCTACTAGATCTACAACTTTATTTAAAGCGTTAATTTGTTAGACACATAATTTTATTAATACTTTTGGAATAGTTATTAATATTATAGTTATTAATCAAGATCTACAATATTCAGAACACAAACCAATCGTTTCTAAACAATTACAACTACATCTGGTCGTACAATTTCGAGGCCAAAATTACAGAAATTGTTTTATTTTACTTTGATAACTCGAATGATACATTTACTTACGAGTTTGGTTTTCCTGTATGCCATTGTTCACAACGTCTGCCTGAAATAAACAAAAGAGCGGTCATTGAGTTGTTTACACTCGCGCAAAACGAGAAAGTGGCCAGATTTTGTTGTGAGTTTGTGTGAACGTGTGAAATGTTTATTTTAGTCAGATGCTACTTAGTCATTAGTGGGTTTTTTTTTTCATGGATAGTAGGCCTAAATAATTATTGATTCGTGTAACAATAATGATCGAGTGAATCATACAATCCTATGGCTACATCTAACATCATTATCATACATCACTATTTTATAGCTATATTACACATCACAATTTTACAACTACATTACACATGCGATTCTTTCAGCAAAACGATTACATTACCATCTAATAACATTATCAGACAACACACTCTTAGTACAATACACACATCAGAATAGTACATCAATGTTGCACATCACAATCTTACAGCAATATAACACAAGCAACACAATCTTACAATATCAAACAAACAAAACACGTTCAAACAACCATATCACACACAACACAATCTTTCAGCAACAGCACACACAAAACAATCTTACAGAAATATCACACACAATACAGTCCTTCATTATGAGCTCACACCGAAAGTTCTTTTCATTAACTTACTTTAGTGTGACTCTCACACGCATGTTGTATGTCCTACACATACACACAGTGTGCCCTACACATACACACAGTGTGTCCTACATATACACACAGTGTGTCCTACATATACACACAGTGTGTCCTACACATACACACAGTGTGTCCTACACATACACACATTTTGTCCTACACATACCAATAGTGTGTCCTACACATACACACATTGTGCCCTACACATACACACAGTGTGTCCTACACATACACACAAAGTGTCCTACACATACACACAGTGTCCTACACATACCAATAGTGTGTCCTACACATACACACATTGTGTCATACACATACATACAGTGTGTCCTACACATACATACAAAGTGTCCTACACATACACACAGTGTCCTACACATACACACAGTGTATCCTACACATACACACAGTGTGTCCTACACATACACAGTGTCCTACACATACACAGTGTCCTACACATACACACATTGTGTCCTACACATACACACAGTGTGTCCTACACATACACACATTGTGTCCTACACATACACACAGTGTGTCCTACACATACACACAAAGTGTCCTACACATACACACAGTGTGTCCTACACATACACACAAAGTGTCCTACACATACATAAAGTGTGTCCTACACATACACACAGTGTGTCCTACACATACACAGTGTGTCCTACACATACACACAGTGTGTCCTACACATACCAATAGTGTGTCCTACACATACACACATTGTGTCATACACATACACACATTGTGTCCTACACATACACACAAAGTGTCCTACACATACACACAAAGTGTCCTACACATACACACAGTGTGTCCTACACATACAGTGTATCCTACACACAAAGTGTCCTACACATACACACAGTGTGTCCTACACATACACACAAAGTATCCTACCCATACACACATTGTGTCATACACATACACACAGTGTGTCCTACACATACACACAAAGTGTCATACACATACACACAGTGTGTCCTACACATACACACAAAGTGTCCTACACATACACACAGTGTGTCCTACACATACACACAAAGTGTCCTACACATACACACAGTGTGTCCTACACATACAGTGAATCCTACACACAAAGTGTCCTACACATACACACAGTGTGTCCTACACATACACACAATGTGTCCTACACCCACCCACTGTGCGACCCCCCCCCCCACACACACAGAAAGTGTGACCCACACCCACACACTGTGTGATTATAACAACTCATCTAGGGAGAACATGTGATGTTTATTCAACTCGTGGTGGGGAAAGAAAATATTCTATTTTTAGCTCTGATGTAAATAGCAGGTTCGGACAATTTGGTTTTAAGGTGACCCAATTGACCTAGTAATGATACTCTGACCCAGAGTTTCTTCTAGGCATCTCTTCGGCCCCGAAAAAAATGCTACGAAGAAAATCTACCGCCCCCCCCCCCCCCCCCCGGAGAAAAAAGTCTGGAAGAAACACTGCTCTGACCCGGGGCAAATGAGGGCAATATTCGAGTCATTGTTTTGTAATGTTTCTTCCACTTAAATAATCGAACGCAACGTCTAATAATTAGCAACTACAGTACAGTTATTTGCTTATATGTAACGATAAACGAATAGCTGAACACCAATAACAAAGGACAACTAGTTTTTTTCTACTGGACACATGGGATTGTGGGTAAAGGAAAATAACCTGTGAAATACCAAACAGGCCCAGAACAGAATTAAATACATCATAAAGCTCTAAAGTAAAAGTCTTTAAACTTTATTACTTTTAACGTTATTTTGTTGAGGTTTTTTTTCTATTTAAAAAAACACCAACAAAACAACAACAACAAGAGAACGTGGCATCAACACAGCCGTGACGAGGAGCGAACAGAAAAATAACGTGCTAGTGAAGGGAAACAACTCTATCATTTCAACCATGTTTTTTAACCGTGAGATTTAACGGTCTTACATGGAGGCGATATATTAAAAAAATATTTTAAGACGTTTATTTGAAATTTCAAAGAGTTTAGTGAATTAGAAATATGGGATACCATAATTTAGTATATTAAGTAGTATTCTAATATACTAGAACATTCTAAGATATTTTAAGACATAATTAGCTGTCATGTCATGTTTGCCTGTCGTCCCTACTGGGACATAGGCCGCTGACAAGAGCTTTCCAGACGTCTCTGTCCAGGGCTAGTCTCTCCAACTGTCCCCAGGTGTATCCCATCTTCTTGGTGTCTTCTTCCAGGTCACGTCTCCAGGTCTTTCTTGGTCTGCCTCTCTTCCTCCTGCCTTGTGGATTCCAGGTGAGGGCCTGTCTTGTTATGCTGGATACAGGCTTCCTGAGTGTGTGGCCAATCCATTTCCATTTTCTCTGGAGGATCTCTACTTCCACTGGCAGTTGATTTGTCCGTTGCCATAGAACATCATTTCTGATGGTTTTAGGCCAGCGAATTCGCAGGATCTTTCTGAGACATGCGTTTATAAATGATTGTATTTTCTTCTTATTTATAGCAGTTATTCTCCATGTCTCGGCTCCATAGAGTAAAACAGGTTTTACTAGTGTGTTGAAGATCCGGATTTTTATTCTAAGGGTTAAATCTCCCGAACCCCAAACATTTTTTAGTTGGTTGAAGACTGCTCTTGCCTTACCCGTCCTTATTTTTATGTCTGCTTCTGTCCCACCCTGCTTATCAACAATACTTCCAAGGTAGGTGAATCTATCCACTTCTTCTAGGGCTTCTTCTGCCAGTGTTATAGGGTTGTTGTTTGATGCATTGACTTTGAGAACTTTACTTTTCCCTCTGTGGATGTTCAGACCCAGGCTTGTAGAAAAATTTGCAACCCTGTTGGTTTTATCCTGCATTTGCTGTTGTGTGTGAGAAAGGAGGGCCAGGTCGTCAGCAAAGTCCAGGTCATCCAGCTGGCTCCACAATGTCCACTGTATACCGTTTCGCGTTTTCTCTGTTGACATCTTCATAACCCAGTCTATGGCCAGTAGGAACAGGAATGGTGAAAGTAGGCAACCCTGCCTTACTCCGGTCCGCACTGGGAAGGCCTCCGAAGTCTGTTGGCCATGCACTACTCTACATTTGAGACCTTCATATGAAGACATAATAATGTTGACTATTTTCTGTGGCACCCCGTAGTGTCTCAACAATTTCCACATTGACTGCCTATCCAGGCTATCAAAGGCCTTCTCATAGTCTATGAAATTAATATAGAGAGATGAGTTCCACTCTTGGGTCTGTTCAATGATGATGCGCAGGGTAGCAATTTGGTCTATGCATGACCTTTCCTTCCTAAAGCCCGCCTGTTGATCTCGAAGCTGGGGATCTATGGCTTCCTTCATTCTGTTTAATAATATTCTGTTGAAGACTTTGCCTGGGATGGACAAAAGTGTTATCCCTCTATAGTTAGAGCATGCACTAAGATCGCCTTTCTTTGGAAGCTTTATGAGTAGTCCCTCCCTCCACTCCTCTGGTATTTGTTCATCTTCCCAGATTTTCTTGAAGAGTGTGTATAGTAGTGTGGTGCTAGTTTCTATATCTGCTGTCAGTGCTTCTGCCGGTATACCATCTATTCCTGGAGCCTTCCAATTTTCCAGCTGCTTTATAGCTCTATGTATCTCTTCTTTTGAAGGTGGGTTGCAGTCTATAGGGAGGTCACTTTCAGCTGGTGGTATGTCTTGCGTGCACTCTGGTGTTGGTCTATTCAGTAGTTCTTCAAAATGTTCTACCCATCTCTTCATCTGTCCTTCCGCATCAGGTATTGTCTTTCCATCTTTGGTTTTCACTGGCCTCTCTGGCTTACTGTACTTACCAGATATCTTCTTAATTGTATTGTACACGTCCCTAATATTACCATGGTACAGTGCTTCTTCCGCTTCTCTTGCCAGCAGTTCCAAATAGCTCCGTTTGTCTTTCCTTATGTGTTTCTTGACATTTTTGTTCGTTTCGGTGTATTCTTCCAGTGCTTTTAATTTCGTAGCCCGTGTGCGGCTGTTGTTTAATGTTGCCTTCTTTCTTTTTCTCTCTTCAATAATTTTCATGGTATCTGCTGATATCCATTCCTTCGCTTGTCTTTTGATAGGGCCTAGCACTTCTTCGCATGTTGATGTTAATATACTTTTAGTTTTTTCCCATGTTTCCTCTATCGTCTCTTCTTCTATTAGTTCTTGTAGTACCTGAAACCTATTATAATTAGCTGACTCGTAGCAAAAACCTGCGATCTGAGAAAAAATGAATTCAATAGACGTAGGCTATTCATCTACACTCTACACCGTTATGCATCCACTGAACATTGTTATGTCATTTACTAAGACCAAATGTTAAACCCCACTTCACTGTGACAGTCGTTCATAGTCAGCAAGGCGTATCAGATAGAGCTATCAGCTGTGAATAGATATCAAAAGTATAATTTTCTGTTGATAACTCGTGTTATTTAAATAGAAACAAAGCCATCACTAGGATGTTAGTTGTCGGGGCGCGGGTTGGTCCAACTATCACCAAGATCTTCCAGCATGTTCTACTTGAAAACACTGAGTACACTTAATCATCTTACACTGAGTTAACTTCCCCTTTCGAGCTGGCGATCCATGTGGCAGGTGAAGTAGAGCACACATGCTTGTGTGACCTCGGCATATGAAGGGATAGTTTGGTCAACAGTATGCCCAGACAATTCACTGGGTGGACTTAAAAACAATTATCTGTATGTAGGCCCGTATATAAATGTCTGCCTCCTACAGCCTCTCGAAAATATAAGTTTACTTTTATTCTTTTCCTTTAGATATTTATTGCACATAGCTTGAGTATAGTATATATTTTTAATTTTAAAACAAAATATATATAAATAAATAGAAATACATTTTAGATACTAAAATAAGAAAATACTGGGCGGTTTTTAAGTATTGTATCAGTTTTAGCAGTTAGTCATCAGACTACACAAGCAAAATACTAACTAAAACGAAACTTAAAAAAAACCCAACTAAAATCGGAGTGGGTTATCGATTTGTTATTACGATATCCAGGAGATTAAAACTGTCAGAAAGATTTGAGCTGATTGATTTCATGAAGATAAAGGGCGGGTTCAAAACTTGGTGACGCGATATGCTGACTCAGCAAGTTTGACACCCATACAGGTTGCTTAGTGGGTTTGGAAGGACAAGCGGACATGTTAAGGACATGTCCTCTCAGCGCATGAAGGACTCCACATATCTTCAAAAACATATTTTGATTATGTCGAATTGTGTTGCTTTTATTGGTTGTAGCAATTAACAAACATTGCAATCGAAATATTTTCACCTTAGCTACGGTGTTCAGTAGCTTTGGATCTAAACAAGAGTGTGATATACACCACACGTGTTTGTGATATATACCAAGCTTGTATGTGATATACACCAAGCTTGTATGTTATATACACCAAGTTTGTACATATACAACATTCCAATCTTACCCCGCTACATACCAGACTAAATTAATGCAAATTATTTTCCGCTTCACTGTGTTTTTTTTCTGGCTCCTGGCCACCTGGACATACTAACCTGTATATCTGGCAACAGATCTCTGAATTCAAATACTTGCCGGTACACGCGATTAAAGGGTGTAAGCCTTAGAGAAACTAACGACTCTCAGTCTCACGTTTTAGCGACTATTATAAAACAAAAATACGCGTTTTAGTAAACAAGAAGAAATAACTCGGCAATAACTGTGACCTGAGGACGAATGTAAATCTCAGCACATTCTACTAGAATTACCGGTCCTGATGTAGATTGTCACGTATGCAGTGGCCTACATATACTGTTATCTAAATACTTTTCCGATGATTAAAGACAACCAAAAATACACTCCCAGTAGCTGAGTGAAATCTCAAGGTACGTAGGTGGACAGGTCTTTAACCCTAGGAATTTTTTTTCCGAACGTATCTACGTGGAGATAGTAGATACAGAATCAAAATCTATAGATATAATTCTCTTCTTGGAGACGCTAGAAAACAAGCTGTAAGCGCGCTCCCTAACACTCCACCAGGGTGGGGGTAGTATCGTCCTTAACGACCTTCTGATAGTGTTTTAAAGCAAATATTTTCAGTGGCAGCATTAGTACTGTCGAATTCACAAATTATGAATTACTGAAAAGTAGAAAAAAAAAAACAACTAAATAGCGGCGTATGATATGCCGCGGGTCGGCTCGTAGTTATTAAAGTAAATCATAATTAGAATTACAAAAAAATAAATGGCTTCACACAAGATTTGTCTTTTTGCTATTAGATGAATGTGGAATATAAGCTATACGTGTATGTGGAATATAAGCTATACGTGTATGTGAAATATAAGCTATACGTGTATGTGGAATATAAGCTATACATGTATGTGAAATATAAGCTATACGTGTGTGTGGAATATAAGCTATACGTGTGTGTGGAATATAACTTATAAGCTATGTGGAATCTAAAATACGGTGTAGGTGTAGAGAAAGACGAGACACCAGGGCTAAGTGAACCAGCCATGACGTCACTGAGGTAGAAATGGGCTCGACTGTTTTGTCTGACTGCCAGGAAACTGCGGGGATGCAACATTGTGTACCTGGCCAGGATGTCACGTGACAAGATGGCAGCTGGTCTGATAACAAATGTATTTGGGGCAGTCTGACCTCGCTTAAGAGGAGGCGTGCCGCGATTGGGTTGATAAACCAATAAGTTGACAACACGATCGGTTAATTAAAACACCCACACAACAACATAAACTTATTAGTTGACAACACAATCGGTTAATTAAAACACACACACACACAACACATGAGCTAAATAGTTGAAAACACAATCGGTTAATTAAAACACACAAGACATAAGCTAATTAGTTGACAACACGATCGGTTAATTAAAACACACACGACTTAAACTAATTAGTTAACAACACAATCGGTTAATTAAAACACACAAGATATAAACTAATTAGTTGACAACACAATCGGTTAGTTAAAACACCCACACACAAGATATAAACTAATTAGTTGACAACACGATCGGTTAATTAAAACACCCACACAAAACACCTATGACAACAACATCCGTTGATTAAAATAAATCACCCAGGGAGGAAAGGGTGGGGGGGGGGGGGTCCTACAAAAATCGTCTTTGGAGGATTGGGCGAGGGGTTCGGGTCCATGCGAAGGACCACGTGTCGTCTGTATTTAACGGTTTTTTTTAGAAAGGCAATATTTAGAATTGCATGCGTGTGAATGTTTACATTTAAGAAATATTATTTGTGTGTTAAATACACCCACCTCCCCGACGCTATTCTTGAAATAAAGGTTTTTATGAACTCACGGGATTCTCCAATTATAGATGTTATAAAAAACATTTTTTTAAAAAATTGGCGTCTTAAATTGAAATCACCCCCCCCCCCCCCCCCCCATCGTGGTTTGTCGGTTTTTGTCATGTTTTAAAAGAGAGAGAAGATATTTTTTTTTAAGTCGTGTTAATTGGTACACATTAATTTTACCTGAGCAAAATAATGTCTTCACCTTTTTTAATGTATGGACACATGCTCATTTTTATTGGATACTTCATATTAACTTAATTGTACATGTTAAATAGTCTAAACGTGCAATAAAAAACACATTTTTCTAATATTTTCTTATTACACGTCGTAGCTAGTTGACACATATTTTTGTTGCCTTTTAAAACTTTGCAAAATATTTAAAATACAGACCTATAATATGAGACTTAAGATTGGCAGCTGCAGAATATCATAGACAACACATCCGCTCATTCTTATTTAACTCACTACAACACATTAACACATACGCTATATCTTGTCAGAACTTAAGACAACGCACATCTACACACGAATTATATCTTGTCAGAACTCAAGATAACACATCTACACACAAATAAATAATTGTATTGTCAGAACTAAAAAGACAACACGCATCTACACACATGCATTATATCTTGTCAGAACTCAAGACAACACACATCTACACACGAATTATATCTTGTCAGCACAACTACACATCTACCAGTACTCACCTTCCACTGCCTATAGACTGCGACAGTTGTAACGGCAGCTCCAGTTAAATAAGTCGCCGGGTTGAAAACTTAGCCCTGTTAACTGAAAGACTATTGGTTCGGTAGGCGAGCCTAGCTGCGATAAGTTATCTAGATTCTGATAATACAGACGACATTCCCTGTCCAGGAAAACAATGGCAAAGTTTCAAAAATAAAAGAATTTGCCAGATTGCAAGGTGTGTGCTCAGGCGGTTGTAAATATAGAAACAGGGGATTCCCAAAAGTAATAGCACAGTGAGAATTGTATTCTGAGTGAGCTGCTGAGGGTTGATGCTGTGTGTTCATGTAGTACTCACAGTGAAATAATGACTAAAATAAACTTCATTGTCAGTTCATACTATGATGCTTAGAATGGTTGTTACGGTCAACCCGCAGTCGTATGTTTGGTATCAACCTTCTGATGTTTACAACAGTTGTCATGGCAACCAGAGAGAAACACTAGAGTTAACCTAGGTCAGAGGTGTTAAGTAGTCTTGAGTTTGATAAATTAAGGCCGGGGATTTTCTTTGAACTTGCCGATAAAAACTGAAAGCCAGTTTTGACAACTAATAACATTTGATAATGTTATCTGAAATAAATAACATGCAGTTTTGATGATAAGTTATTTTTTTCCCTGTAAAAATGCTTTCAAATTATCCAGCTTAATAGAATAATGTGAAATGTATGTTGTATTTATAATGATGATTCTTGAGTCATACGCCTAGACTTACTTTAATAAGGATAAACATCCAAAGGATAGGCCTATATTAACATGCTCGATATAGAAATTCCTGGACTGTTGTATCGGCTGTGTGTCCTACAGTAGGGCGTGTGAGATTAAGTTCAACAACAACAATAACAACAACCACAACAACAACCACATCTGTCTTGAGTCATAGTGTAGTGGGGGGGGGGGGGGGGGGGCGCTGCAATGTCAAGACCACGTCACCGTCTAATAATCTGTGACCGCACGCGACCCGCGGGCCAGCTGGACGTATAGCCTGTTTGAATACGAACTAGTCGGGACAAGGCGATAAAATACTGAGTTGGTGTACTCGGATATGGCATATGGTCCTCGGCATAAGACTTAGAATCTAGATCTAGTAGAAAAACTTGCATATGGTCGGGTATATTAGCCAGCTATACATAAGCTTTGAGACTTGTGTAAAGATGGTATCTAGGTTTTGTAAACAGTTCAGCACTAGATTCACTCTTCTTTGTGGTGTTTCATGCAACACAGCGGGGTATTAGGACTATAGTGTTGCTATGACAACTGGCCGATAACGAAATGGTTTATTTAAACTATGTCCGGGTTAGGTCTGAGTCATGTTTTAACATTGTTATCAACACGGGATAAACACGACCTACAAAACAACAAGCGATTTTTTGTACATTTGTGTGTAGGGTTAAATACATAGGGCTGAGGTAGACATGATTTAAATGGACATTTATAGTTGAGATAGACTGATGATTTTAAATGACTTATCGAGCTGAGAAAGACTTTTGAATAGACTTATGGAGCTGAGATAGACATGTTTGAATTGACTTTAAAGCTGAGACGCTGAGATAGACTGATGTTTGAATCAGTGTTTCTTCCAGACCTTTTTCTCCGGGGGGGGGGGGCACTTGAAATCTTCGGGGGGGGGGGGGGGGCGGTAAACTTTCTTCGGGGGGGCGGACACTGCTAAAAGTATATATTTTCTATATAAATTATATAAATTTCACTTTGTTCGGGGGGGGGGGGGGGGGCGGTAAAAAATTTTCGGGCGGGGGCTTAGCCCCCCCGAAGAGATGCCTGGAAGAAACTCTGGTTTGAATTGTCTTTAAGGGCTGAGATAGACTGATGTTTGAATGGAATAAAAGCGGCGCAATTAGCACACGAACTGTTCATGAATAAACTGAGCAGTGAAGTATTACCAAAGAGACCCAATAGTCACTAGTTTATGAAACATTTCATGTAGTATACGGCACTATACGGTATAGTGAGGCAGTGTCCAGACTTGATTATAAATAGGACGTTAGAGGGAGCCACTGTGTGCCAACAGAAGGGTTCACTCGACATTCATCCTAAAATGTAGTTTGAAAACATGAATATTGTATCTATCTCCCGTTTTTAGACTTTCCGTGAGTTATAATAAAAATTAATCACTATAATTATATTGTTTTTAAAGAAATCACTGTTTAAAAAGAAAATTGCGCTGGGGTTCGGGAGGGCGAGATGTCGTCTTACTTGTTCTGACAAGAGAGTGGTAAAGTCGTCAAAAAGACGTCATTTATGGACGCCACCCCCCCCCCCCTCTACCCAAGACACGCCTATACGGAAGGTTCAATTTTAACTCATACTTCTATCGTCTTGTGCCTTTTTTTTTTTGCTTTGGAGCTTTGCTATAGAAATGTTTTGATGCCCCCCCCCCCCCCCCCCCACCCGACCCAAAGGTCTCCCCCATGTTTCGCCACTTGTCCCAGGAAGTGAAAACATACTGTCAACAATATCAGGAAGTATAACGTCAACTGAATTTTAAACGCTCTTTGTTCTGAGGTGACTTTTAGAGTTAAAGATTATATTCGACGTTAAATATGATGTACGACGGAAAGTAGCTTGAGTAATTAAATATAATACAAGTTGTTTGAAGTCCTATATAACGTGGGTGTCTGGACAGTCCTATATAACATGGGTGTCTGGACAGTCCTATATAACGTGGGCGTCTGGACAGCCCTATATAACGTGGGTGTCTGGACAGTCCTATATAACGTGGGTGTCTGGACAGTCCTATATAAAGTGGGTGTCTGGACAGTCCTATATAACGTGTGTGTCTGGATAGTCCGATATAAAGTGGGTGTCTAGACAGTCCTATATAACGTGTCTGGACAGTCCTATATAACGTGGGTGTCATGACAGTCCTATATAACGTGGGTGTCTGGACAGTCCTATATAACGTGGGTGTCATGACAGTCCTATATAACGTGAGTGTCTGGACAGTTCTATATAAAGTGGGTGTCTGGACAGTCGTATATAACGTGTGTGTCTGGACAGTCCTATATAACGTGGTTGTGTGGACAACCCTATATAACGTGGGTGTCTGGACAGTCCTATATAACGTGTGTGTCTGAACAGTCTTGTATAACGTGGGTGTCATGACAGTCCTATATAACGTGGGTGTCTGGACAGTCCTATATAACGTGGGTGTCTGGAGAGCCCTATATAAAGTGGGTGTCTGGACAGTCCTATATAACGTGTCTGGACAGTCCTATATAACGTGGGTGTCTGGACAGTCCTATATAACGTGGGTGTCTGGACAACCTTGTATAACGTGGGTGTCTGGACAGTCCTATATAACGTGGGTGTCTGGACAGTCCTATATAACGTGTCTGGACAGTCCTATATAACGTGGGTGTCTGGACAGTCCTATATAACGTGGTTGTGTGGACAGCCTTGTATAACATGGGTGTGTATTGTGGTTGTGTGGACGTGTACACACAGCTCTAAGATGGTTCACGTGACGTGACACACTGTTCCCTCGTGACATCAGCAGATGAACTCTACTTCCCTTGTTCTTTGTGGAACTTGTTTGTTGTCCTCTTGACGACACAATGTTTGAGCGAAGTTACATCTTTCTTTAAAATCATAACAAAAAACCTGACAGTAAAACGGGGAAGTGCATTAAAGGGAAATAATCATTATAAAAGAAAGTTGTAGCAAAGCTACTCAAATGACACGGAATCCGGCTCAGGAGGACGACTCCCATTAGCCAGGCAGGCCTCCGCACGACAAACTCCGACTAACTGGCAATTATTGCGAGCTGTGGGCAGCTCGAAGATGTCGGGTTGAATGCCGCGCTTTGGTCGCTATTTTCCGTGGGTTCCCACCAGACTTGCCTTCCCCATCACCCGACGCAGGACTTCGTCCCACCGCCGTGGTACCCAGCTAGATCGCGGATGGCATTCGAGCAAAGCTACTAAACGCTATGCTACTTTTATAAATAGATTCCACTTGTACCTCGTGATATTGTGAAATAATTCTTTAGCTTTGAGAAAAAGTAGTGTGGAGACATAGTCAACTCATCCCCTCATCCCCTCATTCGAAAGTGAAAATGGATAGGCTGGACATACGCTGAGAATATCGAAAGAAAATATCGCAAAAACTTGAGCTATGGGAAAAAATGGGCAGACCTAGATAAAGAGGAGACTAGAAAAGGAAGCGAGAGTTGTGGAACTATAACATATAGTAGTACATAGGCCTACTACAACACATTTGAGTTAAGTCACAACAAAATCAATCTTCCACCCGACACATTGAGGTGATAATTATATAGCCTTATATATGCTCAGTCCATTACAAGGCCTTAGGTAAAAGGTGCAAATATTGACATATTGGATAACACGTATGCATAATAAACATAATTAAAAAGGCATTTACGCTAATTAAAATTGCAGAAATGATTTTGTATCCATTAGTATTTAGATTCTACTGGGCCAGGTTAGATAATTTTATAATGTCATTAGAGTTTATTTTGATATCTGGATTTTAGGTGACGGCAACAACGACTTGAGCTGAAATAACATTTTAAAATGTGACATCAGCATCATACTAATGCAGATAATTTTAAAACGCTTTATTGTGCTAGTAATTTAATATTTATATAATACAGATACAATCTAATTAAGCTTGCAAACGATGAAATTCATAATCGAAACAGACATAGAGAGTCTACGCTGGCTGTAGTACTTGGGATAACTTGGGTTACTTAGGAATAGAAAACAGTTTGTGAAGTTTTTGGAAATATCCGTAGTACAAATAAGAATTTCCACTGGACTAAAATTATTTCCCCAAAATATTATGGTACATCCGGGTAATTTAAATAATATTGCCTGACGCAAGATGGCGGAAATAGTTGGCAACAACAATACACTTCATCGATATTTATAGAACATTATGCAGATCTATTTAGTTAGTTACGACTTTCCCAGGGGATCAATAGTACGAAATTATAAACTAAAACTAAAATCATATTTTTCCTCTTGCAATTGCGGATTACTTTTATAAAACAACCCTTCAGCAGACAATACTTGAGTGAACAGCTGACGTCTCCTGCAAAGCAACAAATCAACGAACTAAAAGTTTTGAACAAGACTAGAAGCTGCTGCTACTGCAAAATAGATTCTACTTTTAAAAAGTAACCGTTAATATTTAATAATAGATTATGTTTACAAACAGTTATAGATTTACAAACAGTTATTAAAAACATAATTTTATTGAAGCCTATTTTATTAATTTATAATTTCAAAATAATTTGGCTAGGCTACTGAGTCACTACTGACTGTCTAAGACTCTAAGAGTAAGACACAGTCTTACAGCTTAGAAAGTAAATTATAAGAAGTAGGCCTAGATCTCTAGATCTACTAACTAAACTAAATCTAGATCTGAACGTTGAAAGTACATCAAGGTTGTTAATGTTTTGAAAATTCTTAGTGAGTGACCTTTGTATTTGATTTAAGGCCTGTTTAAAAAATTAACCAGTTTCAGATAATAGAAATCTTATTATAAAGGGGTTGTTAGTTTACTCAAGTTTACTGCAAATTACCTAAACATATAAATACACATATATAACCTTCTAATGTCAATGCTAACCCTATCCCTAACCACAGTCCTAGTCCTATCATATGCCTAACCCTAATTTAATTGCTGTCCATAAAATTAGATTAGATTACAATACTACTATTAAATATTAATGGACATCTGTATACCCAGTCATCTAAAAAGGATTTACCATATGTATATCAACACTATTCTATTGCAGCAATAACCTTGTTTACTTCTGGTAAATGAATGGAAAACTTGATTGACATGTTTGGTCCCGACCAGCAAGAGGATGTAACAGAACAGGAGCAAGGCATAGTTCATTGTTATCATGATGAGCCAAGTACGATGGAGCAGTTGCCTTCTAATCTTCCCCCAGAGGTAAACATGTTTGCAATAACTCACAATTTTACAAGAGCTAAAGGTCTTAAAGTTTGACCACGAAGTCTTGAGTTCAGATTCCTGGCTCTGATGGGGACCTGACTCAGGTTAAGGAAAGTAAAGGCAGCTTGACATAGTTTTGAACACACTTTTCCTTCAAATGCTTAGGTCACAGGGTCACTGAAACAGGCAAACTCTACTTCACATGCTTCCATGGACCGCAAGGTTTGAATGGGTACTTTACTAAAGGTCTTATAGCCGCTCTTAAGTTGCAGCTTGGCTGTAAAATCATTTTTTTGGCTTGGCTTTTGTAATTGTAATTTTTCATTAACTAGCCAGCAAAGAATAGAACTGTTCATTCTTTATTTAATTGAGAATTTCACAAACTCAAAAAGCTCATTTAAATTTTCTCAAAGTTTATGTATTACATGACAGAAAGTAATTTTAACAAAATGAAAAATATGCTTAGTACAAATGCTTACCTTTGCCAAGGGCTTGACTTTGCAATATTTGCATCATATTCTTTGTTTAAATTTATTAATCATTAAAGTAAATTATTTAGGTAATATCTTATTTTTATCACTGTATTATCTACTTTAAGAAAAAAAAATCTAGCTACATCTTTTACTCTTTTATATTCTCTTAAAAACGTGGTTGTTTCCCTTGGTTTAATATTTAATTTCATTGTATTGGATATTTATATTTTTTACTCACTCATTATTGATGGTCTGAGGAAAATTGACTTATTTTCTAATTTACATTAAAGATATTTATTAAAAAAAATTCTGTTGCATACAATATTGTCTTGTCTTTACAGGAAGAGGAAGGCAATGTGGAGTACAAGGTAAAATTTTAATGGAATATTTTTTTTAACCCTCTGTATTACTCTCCTTGTCAATATTTCTAAAGAGTTGTACAATATGAAAAAATGGCCATCAATATAATTATAAGTGAATGTAAAATGATTGTTGTAGCTTGCAGTAAATGAAAGCTTATAAAATTCAATCACATATAAAATACTAAGTTTAGCTACTAAATTTTTTATCTTAAGCTTATGAAACCATTTTTTCAGCTAAAGCTTGTAAAACCAACATATTTTTTGTCTAAAACTTGTGAAACCATCATATTTTTCAGCTAAAGCTTGTGAAACCATCAGATTTTAGAATGGAGCACCTAGTGACCCAAATGAAATGGAGATTAGAGGAAGGCCATGGTGAGGCTATCTATGAAATAGGAGTGGAGGACAGTGGGTTCCTTGCAGGCTTGTCTGACAATGAACTCAAGGACTCCCTGGAAACCCTTGAAAAAATGGCTAACAGGTAGTATTTACAAAAAGTCTTTTCACTTTTTTATGCCAAAAATCATTTCAAAATTCACAATTTATATTGCTGGTACAAGGATTTTGATTTGTGTATAATATATATATATATATATATATATATATATATATATATATATATATATATATATATATATATATATATATATATATATATATATATATATATATATATATATATATATATATACACACACACACACACACACATACAAAAGATCATATTATTATTAAGATAAGAATACAGTTAAAAGTTTAGTAATAAAAATTGTGAATACTTTTTTCAACAGACTTGGGGCATCTTTGAAAATTCTCCGTGGTAGAGTAACTGAAGTGGGTGAGAAGAAAAGTGTTTTGGAAGTTTTAGTGCGCAAGGTACCAGATGATCAGCAGGTGAGTAGTTGTCTGGTCTGTTGGAAGGTTGGCTAGACATTTGTTGTGTGGTCTGTTGGCTAGACATTTGTTGTGTGGCCTGTTTGCTAGACATTTGTTGTGTGGTCTGTTGGCTAGACATTTGTTGTGTAGCCTGTTGGCTAGACATTTGTTGTGTGGTCTGTTGGCTAGACATTTGTTGTGTGGTCTGTTGGCTAGACATTTGTTGTGTGGCCTGTTGGCTAGACATTTGTTGTGTGGTCTGTTGGCTAGACATTTGTTGTGTGGCCTGTTGGCTAGACATTTGTTGTGTGGCCTGTTGGCTAGACATTTGTTGTGTGGCCTGTTGGCTAGACATTTGTTGTGGGGTCTGTTGGCTAGACATTTGTTGTGTGGTCTGTTGGCTAGACATTTGTTGTGTGGCCTGTTGGCTAGACATTTGTTGTGTGGTCTGTTGGCTAGACATTTGTTGTGTGGCCTGTTGGCTAGACATTTGTTGTGTGGCCTGTTGGCTAGACATTTGTTGTGTAGCCTGTTGGCTAGACATTTGTTGTGTAGCCTGTTGGCTAGACATTTGTTGTGTGGCCTGTTGGCTAGACATTTGTTGAGTAGTCTTTTGGAAGGTAGATTGGTTAGCTAGACATTTGTTTTGTTGCATGCTATCATCTTAGCTGGAATGTATGAAGTAATTCATGATAGAATGCTTGTGAGAAATGCAGTAATATATTAGTGAAACCCTAGTGACTAACTGGTTTAACATTGTAGTGTTCTGTTAATGTTATTGTAAACAAAGGTATAGTTGCAGAATTATCAAACTTGTCCCATCATTTATAAGTTTCTTTATCTCTCTCCAGTTTATAGACCTAAAGCTTGCTGTACTAGGCAATGTTGATGTTGGTAAAAGTACTTTGCTTGGTGTTCTCACTCAAGGGGAGTTAGACAATGGCCGGGGGAGGGCGAGGTTAAATCTGTTCCGGCACCTTCACGAGATTCAGTCAGGTAGAACTTCAAGTATCAGTTACGAGATTCTAGGATTTGATGGCAATGGGCAGGTAATACCACTACTTAAACTTTTTTCCTTTTTAATATATTTTGAGACAATAAGTGTAGCTGTATATCTTTTTCTCTACGAAAGTTTAAAGTAGCTTTTAAAATATAGAAAAATGTAAAAAAAACAACTTGAAAATCACACAGCAATTTTTTTGGAATTTTAAAATTTATGAAATATATTTAAATATTTTTTGGGAGAAAAGTACTTTTTAATCTTTAACTCCAACATCAATATATTTGTGTCCTCAGGTTGTGAACTACAGCGCATGTAGAAGTGTCGAGGAAATCTGTGAGAAATCAAGCAAACTTATAACTCTGATAGATTTAGCTGGACATCATAAATATCTTAAAACAACTATTTTTGGACTCACAGGAAATTGCCCTGATTTCGCCATGCTTGTAGTCAGTGCAAATACAGGAATAGGTCAGTACTTTGTGAATGGTCTGGGATGCTATTTGTAATGGCATAATGCATGGAAAGATATGATTCACTGCAAATGGTTATTTAGGATATTTTAGTTGCAAGTCAACATTGAACCTTCAATATAATTTTTTATAGTCTAATCTATGATTTCTTTACCTTATTTGTGCTACCCCACAAGAAAGGTTTGTTTATTTTATTTTATGTTATGAGAGTTTTAAAATAGACAACAAGCAATAAAACTGCTATCTTTTAACACATTAAGAAACCATTACTGTACAATTTTCTCCCCAGCTGGTACTACTAAAGAGCATTTAGGTTATGCGCTAGCCTTAGATGTGCCAGTGTTTGTGGTGGTGAATAAAGTTGACGTGTGCCGTCCAGCTATGCTGGAGAAGACGTTGACCCAGCTAGAGGAAATTCTCAAGTCACCAGGGGTCAAGCGTGTACCCATGCGTGTGTGTAACTCAGATGATGCTATAACGGCAGCTAGTAACTTAGAAACTAAAAAGTGAGTTCACCAATATTTACACTTTTCTTTATCTTCTCAGTTTACACTTTCAATGTTTTTCCCTGCATGGTATATGTAATGTTTTATTAACTATTTATTACTTACTTATTAAATAATTTTATGTGCATCAATAAATTAATATGTTCCTTTAGATACCCAAACTATGAGTTAACAATGGTATTTTAAAGTTATTGTGATTGTGTATTAAAGAAGAAATCAGTTCGAAGGAAAAAATTTTAGTCAAATTTAAATAAACGTAGTGCATTAAATTTTAAATAAACTGAAAAAAAAACACTATTAATATATTGTTTTCTTATTTTTTTTAAAGAAAATTTTACCATTGTGAAAGGTAAAAACTTAGAAGTAGAATTTAGTTGAATAATCCAGATTTGATTCTACCCTAAAACTTCCTATTGATTGATGCTTCAGTGTCTAATCACTTGCTTACGCTTGCTGTAGTCTTGTATTTTTTAAACACCCTGCTCTTAAAAAAAGATAGGTAGGAAAATCAGTTAACCATAGATTTGTGATAGATTTTTTACTGTCCTAGTTAACTAATATTTAACTTGGATAAACAATTCAGAATAAAATTTTTTTTTAATTTATCTTAAAGTAAAAAAAATTAAACTCTGACAATATTAGTTATATTATAAATATAAGTATAACAAATAGAAATGTTTAAGTTCTGGATAAAAAAAGGTCAATTTAATAACCTGGCCTGGTGAATTTTTTGACAAAGATGTGAGTGTATCAAATATGTGAGTGAATGCCTAATGTCTACAAGATATGAGTGAATGCCTAATGTCTACAAGATATGAGTGAATGCCTAATGTCTACAAGATATGAGTGAATGCCTAATGTCTACAAGATATGAGTGAATGCATAATGTCTACAAGATGTGAGTGAATGCCTAATGTCTACAAGATATGAGTGAATGCATAATGTCTACAAGATGTGAGTGAATGCATAATGTCTACAAGATGTGAGTGAATGCCTAATGTCTACAAGATGTGAGTGTATCAAATATGTGAGTGAATGCCTAATGTCTACAAGATGTGAGTGAATGCCTAATGTCTACAAGATGTGAGTGTATCAAATATGTGAGTGAATGCCTAATGTCTACAAGATGTGAGTGAATGCCTAATGTCTACAAGATGTGAGTGAATGCATAATGTCTACAAGATGTGAGTGAATGCATAATGTCTACAAGATGTGAGTGAATGCCAAATGTCTACAAGATATGAGTGAATGCATAATGTCTACAAGATGTGAGTGAATGCCTAATGTCTACAAGATGTGAGTGTATCAAATATGTGAGTGAATGCCTAATGTCTACAAGATGTGAGTGAATGCCTAATGTCTACAAGATATGAGTGAATGCCTAATGTCTACAAGATGTGAGTGAATGCATAATGTCTACAAGATGTGAGTGAATGCCAAATGTCTACAAGATATGAGTGAATGCCTAATGTCTACAAGATGTGAGTGTATCAAATATGTGAGTGAATGCCTAATGTCTACAAGATATGAGTGAATGCCTAATGTCTACAAGATGTGAGTGAATGCATAATGTCTACAGGATGTGGTGAATGCCAAATGTCTACAAGATGTGAGTGAATGCCTAATGTCTACAAGATATGAGTGAATGCCTAATGTCTACAAGATATGAGTGAATGCCAAATGTCTACAAGATGTGAGTGAATGCCTAATGTCTACAAGATATGAGTGAATGCCAAATGTCTACAAGATGTGAGTGAATGCCTAATGTCTACAGGATGTGGTGAATGCCTAATGTCTACAAGATATGAGTGAATGCCAAATGTCTACAAGATGTGAGTGTATCAAATATGTGAGTGAATGCCTAATGTCTACAAGATATGAGTGAATGCCTAATGTCTACAAGATGTGAGTGAATGCATAATGTCTACAGGATGTGGTGAATGCCAAATGTCTACAAGATATGAGTGAATGCCTAATGTCTACAAGATATGAGTGAATGCCAAATGTCTACAAGATATGAGTGAATGCCTAATGTCTACAAGATGTGAGTGAATGCCTAATGTCTACAGGATGTGGTGAATGCCTAATGTCTACAAGATGTGAGTGAATGCCTAATGTCTACAAGATATGAGTGAATGCCTAATGTCTACAAGATGTGAGTGAATGCATAATGTCTACAAGATGTGAGTGAATGCATAATGTCTACAGGATGTGGTGAATGCCAAATGTCTACAAGATGTGAGTGAATGCATAATGTCTACAAGATGTGAGTGAATGCCAAATGTCTACAAGATATGAGTGAATGCATAATGTCTACAAGATGTGAGTGAATGCCTAATGTCTACAAGATATGAGTGAATGCATAATGTCTACAAGATGTGAGTGAATGCATAATGTCTACAGGATGTGGTGAATGCCAAATGTCTACAAGATGTGAGTGAATGCCTAATGTCTACAAGATGTGAGTGTATCAAATATGTGAGTGAATGCCTAATGTCTACAAGATGTGAGTGAATGCATAATGTCTACAAGATGTGAGTGAATGCCTGATGTCTACAAGATATGAGTGAATGCCAAATGTCTACAAGATGTGAGTGAATGCCAAATGTCTACAAGATGTGAGTGAATGCATAATGTCTACAAGATGTGAGTGAATGCCTGATGTCTACAAGATGTGGTGAATGCCTAATGTCTACAAGATATGAGTGAATGCCTAATGTCTACAAGATGTGAGTGTATCAAATATGTGAGTGAATGCCTAATGTCTACAAGATATGAGTGAATGCCTAATGTCTACAAGATGTGAGTGAATGCATAATGTCTACAGGATGTGGTGAATGCCAAATGTCTACAAGATATGAGTGAATGCCTAATGTCTACAAGATATGAGTGAATGCCAAATGTCTACAAGATATGAGTGAATGCCTAATGTCTACAAGATGTGAGTGAATGCCTAATGTCTACAGGATGTGGTGAATGCCTAATGTCTACAAGATGTGAGTGAATGCCTAATGTCTACAAGATATGAGTGAATGCCTAATGTCTACAAGATGTGAGTGAATGCATAATGTCTACAAGATGTGAGTGAATGCATAATGTCTACAGGATGTGGTGAATGCCAAATGTCTACAAGATGTGAGTGAATGCATAATGTCTACAAGATGTGAGTGAATGCCAAATGTCTACAAGATATGAGTGAATGCATAATGTCTACAAGATGTGAGTGAATGCCAAATGTCTACAAGATATGAGTGAATGCATAATGTCTACAAGATGTGAGTGAATGCCTAATGTCTACAAGATATGAGTGAATGCATAATGTCTACAAGATGTGAGTGAATGCATAATGTCTACAGGATGTGGTGAATGCCAAATGTCTACAAGATGTGAGTGAATGCCTAATGTCTACAAGATGTGAGTGTATCAAATATGTGAGTGAATGCCTAATGTCTACAAGATGTGAGTGAATGAATAATGTCTACAAGATGTGAGTGAATGCCTGATGTCTACAAGATATGAGTGAATGCCAAATGTCTACAAGATGTGAGTGAATGCCAAATGTCTACAAGATGTGAGTGAATGCATAATGTCTACAGGATGTGGTGAATGCCAAATGTCTACAAGATGTGAGTGAATGCCTAATGTCTACAAGATGTGAGTGAATGCATAATGTCTACAAGATGTGAGTGAATGCCTGATGTCTACAAGATATGAGTGAATGCCAAATGTCTACAAGATGTGAGTGAATGCATAATGTCTACAGGATGTGGTGAATGCCAAATGTCTACAAGATGTGAGTGAATGCCTAATGTCTACAAGATGTGAGTGTATCAAATATGTGAGTGAATGCCAAATGTCTACAGGATGTGGTGAATGCCAAATGTCTACAAGATGTGAGTGAATGCCAAATGTCTACAAGATATGAGTGCCTAATGTGTACCCATTGTTTTTCAGGGTAACTCCAATTTTCATGGTGTCCTGTGTGACAGGGAAAAACCTGGACCTCTTGAAACAATTTTTGAACATCCTGCCACCAGGCACACCACACAGTGAGAGGGAGAGACTAGCGCAAGACATGACAGAGTTTCAGATAGACGAGTTGTACTCAGTACCTGACGTGGGAACTGTAGTGGGTGGCATCATTCACAGGTTGGTTCATCAGCTTTTTTCTTTAGGGCAGCTATATACAACACTGGTCTCCCTTCTTGTATGTTAGTCTCCCTGCAACTGTCTACAATTTTACCATCACAGAAAGTAGACCTAACCTTTTTATTAAACCCTATCACTAAACCTATATTATTGTAGATAATGGTAGAAGACAAAATGATTTTATGTTTTTTTATCCTTTAAAGCTGAGTTTTTTCTGTTGTGGTTTTAGAGGGTCAATCCGTGAGGGTGACCGCCTGATGCTAGGACCCACTGATGAGGGAAGTTATAAAGAGGTTATGGTCAAGACTGTCCACAGAAACCGGTTGCCCTGCCGGCTCATACAGGCGGGTCAAGCTGCTTGTGTAGCACTGGCTGACGTTGAAAGAGAAGAATTAAGAAAGGTAACTCTTATTCATAATTTGCTTTTGAAAATGACAGAGGAGAAAACTTTATTGTATAAAATATATATATCACTTTACCTTAAAAAGTGGTAACTTATATGAAATATGCTATCAACTAAATATAAATATCATATATTTTGCCTGTGTACTAAAATGCCAATTTAAAGGAGATGTTTTATAATAACTTTGATAAATCAATGTTTGCAATACATTTCAGGGCATGGTACTTCTCAGTCCAGAATCTCCATTGAATTGTTGCAAAGAATTTGAAGCTGATATCTATGTTCTGTTTCACAACAAAAGCATCACCTTAAATTTCCAGACAACAATCCACATTGGCACAGTCTGCCAGACAGGATACATCACTAAAATAGACCGGGTAATTGCCAGTTTCACAGCTGTACTCAATTATGTACTCACAGTATAGCATACATTCACCTGTATTGACTTTTAGTGTATTTTTCTATGTTAGGTTAACATTTATTTATATCTTGGCGATTTACAGGAACATATAAAAACCAATGAAAAAGCAAGAGTGACCTTCACCTTTAGATTTAAACCAGAGCATATTCGTGTAGGAGCCAGACTGCTCTTCAGAGATGGGAGATCTAAAGGAATGGGTGAGGTAACAAAAGTTATACCCCTTGAGAAGGATGTCAATCGATGAGTGGCCCCACTTCATAGCCCAGCTTAGCACTAGGAAAAGGAATATTCCTGTAGTTTTCTACACAGTTCTTTCTATTCAATCTGCTTTTTTTGTATTAGCTACAAATTAGAATGCATGTGTGTTTGCCTACTAGATCACATATTTGAAACCGGTGTTCTGTCATTATCTCTGTGTGTTGTACACTTTACTGATACTGCCATACAGGGATTCTGACAAATTATATTCATGCCTTTATTGAAAAGTACTGTTAACAAAATAAAACATGACATCAAATGAACAAGTCACCTTCATGTGGCAGTATAAACATTACTATTGTAAAGAAAACAATTTGCTGATGTTAACCTATCAAGACACTTAGGTTAAATGATTGTTAATTACTTACATGCAAAACTGAATTCTTTTTTTACCATAAGCACTTGAAATTTGGCTAGTCAGATGTGTGTGGTATAACTAATGGTGGCACTCCATTTAAAGCATTGAAAACACTTTTTTCTCTTTCCCTATATTTTCTATACATAACTCTTAAAGTGTAAATTAAAGAGCTAAGAAAAGTGTTTTTTTGGCTGACTGAAAATGGAGTGTCACTGTTCAGCTTAGTGGTGACCTGAGAATCTCGCTCTTGGACTCATTCAAATAGGGCCACAGTTTAGGGCAGTTAACCTAGAAACTCTAGTGCTACCTGCTATTCCTGGGAGCTTTAAAGTCTGGAACAGTTTAACTCAGAGGAGCTTTCACACTTGCCATACAAGAGTTAATTTAAGTCCTGTGAAATTCTTCTTACATAGCTCGCACTTCTTATTTATTTTAACTACAGTATCTGGAAAAAGGGATGCAGTTTTAAGACCAATAAGTATTCTGTATAAAATAAAAAAAGACTTCAAGCGTTAACTAAATCTTATAATAAAGACCTCTGAGGTAAACTGTTCTATGTTTAAAAAAAAAACAAAAAAAAAACATACAATGCTCCATATTGCCATTCTAAACAAAGTCAAATTTTCTGTCTCCAAAAAATAATTTGACTGTACTCACAAGAATTAAATAAGATAATACCCATGAAGCAAGCTTTATTTATTATTTCTGTTCCAAGTTTTTGTTACTTTTAATTTTGTTTCTTTGATGAGCTTGTTGAATTCATGTTTTTTGTTATTTTAAAAATAGATTTGAGTGTTCCAATGAGATAAAGTTGTAGCTGTTATTTACCAGTGTGGTCCCCGTCCCCCACCCCCTATAAATATGCTTGAGATTTTAACATGTTTTCAGTGTTAATCAAAAGGTCATATCTGGACATATCTGTTTATTTGGTTTGGTTTGCTATGCATGCTTCAAATTATGCATTTTATTTTTTTAAACTAGACCACATTGACAAACTAATTATTTAATTAGTAAGTCTTGCTAGTGTTGAAACAAATTTTTATTTTCTAAATATGACTTAGATATTTTTATAGTAAATTTTTAATACAATCAAGTTACTTATTAACCAAAGTGCACATTTCCTGTGTGTTTCGATATTGTTGCTTTGATTTAAACTCCCCATAAATAAAGTTGATGTGCACTGTTTGCCAACAATGAATGCAAAAATTATTAATATTTTTAGCCTGTTACTATTTATTATCCAATTTATTTATTTTAAGTTGTTTGATAGATATTTTTGTAAATAATTTCTTTTAACTTGCATTATCAACAATAGGATTTTACCAAAAAATTATAATATTAGTATCTCTATGAGATTGTTTTGTTGAATTCACTTACTACTTTGAACAGTAGTACTCTAAAATAGTTGTAGTTTTCAGCTATTATAACCATTTTCTGGTTGCTGTATTTATGGAAGCTCTTTTGCTTTGTAAGATCAGCTTAAAATCATTTTAGTGTATGTACATTGAATTTATTTTTCTGTACATAGTGTTACAAAAATTGAAAATAATGTGGTTTTTTTTTTTTTTTTAAAAACCACATTTTAAGTTATTTTCTTTGGCTTGAATAAAAGAAACTTAAAAGCATTTTGTTTTCCTTTAAATTTGTATTACTTAAAAAGTTATGTTTTAGCCCTTTGTTGAACTGTAAGGTCACCCTTGAATTTCATTAAGTCGTTCACACATGTGTAAAGGTTTTTCTTGAACTCTTATTTTATTTTTTTATAGGATATGATCACTTTTTTAACAAGATGAATTTGGCCAATATATTTAGAAAAAAATGTTGCGTATCTATTTTTCTATGTTTTATTGTTTTGCTTTTCTTTAAAAAAAAGATATATAGGCAGTTAAAAACAAAGAACGCAAGAATAAAAAATAAAATTTATTTTACATTAAAAAAATCAGCAGTAATAAATTCAGCTGTAAAGGGTGGACGGACATTTGAACTGCAGTAAAATTCGTATTGGAATGTTAATTTGTCAGACAAAATATTGACAAAATGAGTCACTACATAGAGCTCTGCTTAAATCTGCTCAAGTTTTACAGACACAACAAAACGAGACCCTAAAAATATTGAACAAGATAATGTAATAACAAAACTTGATGGCCCAGAAGTCCAAGCACTAAAGCAAACCACTGGTCCCCATTGTGCAAGTACAAGACCACAAATACTGCACCTATCTTTGTACACAATTCTCTCCTCAATAAGAAAAATATACAGCAATAAAAAAATGCTTTGTATTTACATTTGATATTTACATGATCACAGCACCAATTCACTTCAGAATATTTGGCAAAATAATGAAGACTCCATATGATATAGAAAACATACTGTGATATTCAAAAGATAATGACAACCTTTACTGTAATGGAAAATCATTTTTATTTACTTTACAATAAGTGAGAAAAGAAATTCAAAATTTTGCCATGAGTTTAGCAAGGAAGTAGATATAGATATCACTAACAAAAAAAAATTCTTGATAACTGAACTTAAAATATTTGTCAAGCTTGAGGCCATTCTTGTCAACTATAAACTTTCTTACACATCCAGTACATAGTTTTCTTTGTAAAATAAGAAAATAATAGGTGCACTAAGACAAGCAAGTTAACAAAGAAGCAATAAATTAACTCAAAAATTACCTTAAACAAAGCTTAACGTTTAGTCTGTCAAAGACTTTGTCGCTAGATGTAATTTGTTTCATTAACGGTTTTTATTCTTTTCCAATATTTGAATACTGAAGCAAAACTATAGTTTCCCTAACAAAGGTGCATCCTAGCAGATAATTAGCAAGAAAAAAATTATCTAAAAATATTATTAGCAATAAATTTCAGGTTTTTGGCAAAAGTTTTAACAGGCTTAACTTTTAATTCAATGTAATGCTATTTTATTAAAGATAATGACAACAAAGCAATTTCAATAAAATGGCTATGGCACTGCATTTGTAATGCAAATATGTCACTTGTTTTGTGTAAACCAAAAGTTGTACACTTAGTTTCTAAGAATCTTATTTGCAAATTTTAAAAAATGCAATATGGCAGACATGTAAAACATACTCCTTATTCTTAATTTGGCATCTTTTTTATCAAAATGGCAGCACCAAAGTGGATTGAAATGAACTTCCTTCTTGTACCTGGCACATTTTTGTCATAAAATCAGCAGACTGGGAGGCATGCAGGAGAGTTCTAGTGTCACCTCTGATTGGAATTGACTGTCAAGACAAAAGAAAGCACAGCATCATATCACACTCTTAAAACTATTAACAAAGATGATCTATATATATAATTCTCTTCTTGGAGACCCTAGAAAACAAGCTGTAAGCATGCCTTGCAGTCCCCTCTCTTCTTCACTAGACATAAATCAACCACCCCCACCCCCACATGGTCTGGTGAGCTGTGGTTCACGCTAAATGTTTGCAATCGTACAGCCGGGTTTAGTGACACCTATTAAGGGCAGTTTGAAACTATTTTAAACTTAGGGGAGGTAATTAAGAGGAGGGGGAGGGGGGGGGGTAGGGTATGGGTTGGGGGAAATGAGGGGGGTGGGTATCATCCTTAACGACCAACTGATAGTATTTTAAAGCAAATATTTTCAGTGGCAGTTCTGGTACTGTCGAATTCACAAATTATGAATTACTGAAAAGTAGAAAATAAAACAACTAAATAGCGGCGTATGATACGCCGTGGGTCGGCTCGTCTATTATAAATCACTTAAATAAGTTTATTTTATATATTAAAAAATTATTTAAATAGTAATAAACTTTAAAATATTTCTATATAGTTTAAGAATTTGAACACTTGAATTAGACCAGTAACACATAATTACATTAATTAGATGACAATTTACCCGGACCAGTAAATTAGATCTTTAATCTGTATCTAATAAACTCTGAGCTAACAAAACTTACTTTTCTGTAGAATGGTCTGTCTAGCTTTGACAAAGGCTTGAATGTCAGCATCCACCTTGCTGTCCCCTGTCAATGTGAAAGCTCCAATAGTAGAACCAGATGATGATTTCCTAATGCAGAGAGAGAAATATTTTATTACAGAATAATCAGGGTCTGTACACTCATCACATACTGTTTTAAACATTTGAGACAAATATTTTAGATTGTAACTCATTACATACTGTTTCAAACATTATATATGTCTTCTTTTGTAGTCATCTTATAAACTATTTCTTAAAGGGAGAAAGATTTTAATGTGTCACAATAACAAACCTAAATAAATCACAAATGGTGATGTGTGCTCACCTTGATGAGCTAGAGTTAGTTAAGCTCTGGCTTTAGATCTGTGCTTACCTTGATGAGCTCGAGTTACTATTAAGCTCCAGCTCTGACCCGGTAGAAAACAAGTTCCTGGATAAAGGTCTCTGAGATGTTGGGGCTGTTTGGTTTGTTGAGACAGGGGGAGTAACTGGTGGCGTCTTCCAGGCAGACATGACCTTACGACCTCCTGTTGATGGCGGAAGTTTGTCTGGTACAGCCTGTTGGATTGGAACCAAAGTTCATATCTCATTTCAATATTTTATTACAGCACAGTCTTCTAGCACTGGGTCAGTCACATGGGTCAGTTAATCAACACCAACATGTGACCTAAAGAATGGTTCAGCAATTAAATGTTGAAACCAAGGCCCTAATGACCTGCTGTTGGTTTATTTAATGTCACTGACCTGAATGTCACTGACCTGCTGTTGATTGTGTAATGTCACTGACCAGCTGTTGATTGTGTAATGTCACTGACCTGCTGTTGATTGTGTAATGTCACTGACCTGCTGTTGATTGTGTAATGTCACTGACCTGCTGTTGATTGTGTAATGTCACTGACCTGCTGTTGATTGTGTAATGTCACTGACCTGCTGTTGATTGTGTTATGTCACTGACCTGTTGATTGTGTAATGTCACTGACCTGCTGTTGATTGTGTAATGTCACTGACCTGCTGTTGATTGTGTAATGTCACTGACCAGCTGTTGATTGTGTAATGTCACTGACCTGCTGTTGATTGTGTAATGTCACTGACCTGCTGTTGATTGTGTAATGTCACTGACCTGCTGTTGATTGTGTAATGTCACTGACCTGCTGTTGATTGTGTAATGTCACTGACCTGCTGTTGATTGTGTAATGTCACTGACCTGCTGTTGATTGTGTAATGTCACTGACCTATTGATTGTGTAATGTCACTGACCTGCTGTTGATTGTGTAATGTCACTGACCTGCTGTTGATTGTGTAATGTCACTGACCTGCTGTTGATTGTGTAATGTCACTGACCTGTTGTTGATTGTGTAATGTCACTGACCTGCTGTTGATTGTGTAATGTCACTGACCTGCTGTTGATTGTGTAATGTCACTGACCTGTTGATTGTGTAATGTCACTGACCTGTTGATTGTGTAATGTCACTGACCTGTTGTTGATTGTGTAATGTCACTGACCTGTTGATTGTATAATGTCACTGACCTGCTGTTGATTGTGTAATGTCACTGACCAGCTGTTGATTGTGTAATGTCACTGACCTGCTGTTGATTGTGTAATGTCACTGACCTGTTGTTGATTGTGTAATGTCACTGACCTGTTGTTGATTGTGTAATGTCACTGACCTGTTGATTGTGTAATGTCACTGACCTGTTGTTGATTGTGTAATGTCACTGACCTGTTGATTGTGTAATGTCACTGACCTGCTGTTGATTGTGTAATGTCACTGACCTGCTGTTGATTGTGTAATGTCACTGACCTGTTGATTGTGTAATGTCACTGACCTGCTGTTGATTGTGTAATGTCACTGACCTGTTGATTGTGTAATGTCACTGACCTGTTGATTGTGTAATGTCACTGACCTGCTGTTGATTGTGTAATGTCACTGACCTGTTGTTGATTGTGTAATGTCACTGACCTGTTGATTGTATAATGTCACTGACCTGCTGTTGATTGTGTAATGTCACTGACCAGCTGTTGATTGTGTAATGTCACTGACCTGCTGTTGATTGTGTAATGTCACTGACCTGTTGTTGATTGTGTAATGTCACTGACCTGTTGATTGTATAATGTCACTGACCTGCTGTTGATTGTGTAATGTCACTGACCAGCTGTTGATTGTGTAATGTCACTGACCTGCTGTTGATTGTGTAATGTCACTGACCTGCTGTTGATTGTGTAATGTCACTGACCTGTTGTTGATTGTGTAATGTCACTGACCTATTGATTGTGTAATGTCACTGACCTGTTGTTGATTGTGTAATGTCACTGACCTGTTGATTGTGTAATGTCACTGACCTGTTGTTGATTGTGTAATGTCACTGACCTGTTGATTGTGTAATGTCACTGACCTGCTGTTGATTGTGTAATGTCACTGACCTATTGATTGTGTAATGTCACTGACCTGCTGTTGATTGTGTAATGTCACTGACCTGCTGTTGATTGTGTTATGTCACTGACCTGTTGATTGTGTAATGTCACTGACCTGTTGATTGTGTAATGTCACTGACCTGCTGTTGATTGTGTAATGTCACTGACCTGTTGTTGATTGTGTAATGTCACTGACCTGTTGATTGTATAATGTCACTGACCTGCTGTTGATTGTATAATGTCACTGACCTGCTGTTGATTGTGTAATGTCACTGACCTGTTGTTGATTGTGTAATGTCACTGACCTGTTGATTGTATAATGTCACTGACCTGCTGTTGATTGTATAATGTCACTGACCTGCTGTTGATTGTATAATGTCACTGACCTGCTGTTGATTGTGTAATGTCACTGACCTGCTGTTGATTGTGTAATGTCACTGACCTGCTGTTGATTGTGTAATGTCACTGACCTGTTGATTGTGTAATGTCACTGACCTGCTGTTGATTGTGTAATGTTTGTTCTGCCCACCACAGCTCAAACTCCTTCATCAATTTGACCTTTGACTTCTCTAAAAAGTGCTGAAGATGCTCAATCTCTGTCTTCATGCTTCGCAGAGAAGTGAATGTACTTTTATAGCTGTTGATAAAAAAATACTAAAAATAAATGAACTTTACTAAATTCAGTTAATCCGAATCTAATCTTATTAAAACGGCTCCAATTGAATATTCTATAGGTATATGATGCATACATATGCACATAAAATATTTCCTCTAAATATTTCAACAGATATAAAAAGTATTTCCTCTAATTAAATATTTCAACAGCAATGTGAAGCATAAAAACCTACACATTCTTCTCCCCTTCCATTTGTATTTTGATTTCTTTCTCCATCTCACTTTCTTCTTCTGTGGCTACACTCCCTGTATGGAAGACAAAATGACTCAAGGGTGACCACTCCGGAAATAATAAATTTATTCTTTTTTTTTGTTAATATAAATGCACCAAACAGCTAGAAGATGGTCAAGCAACTATCGAGACAGAAAATGGCTGATACTATAATTAGCTTGCAGGTTGTAACTAAATACCCTTCATTATTTGCACTTAACACAAGTTCTTTATTATACCAGTGAAATAAATAAATCAGAAAAAAATATTAAGCTAAGCCTTAGGGGAGATAACTTAAAATCAAACCAACCTTCCATGTTTGCATGCATTCTGTACTGGGCCAGTGAGTTTTTTAAATGATCTGAAATATATAGGGCAATTAATTGAAAAAACAATGACGAAATCATAAATGTTAGCTAAACTCAAAAAACATTCTCCAATTTTTTAAAGTTCTCAATGATTTTGATTAGTATTTTAGCTTTCAGAAACGAATAGCAACCAAACTCAAACAATTTTACTAACTCATTTTCTGCTTAGATCTGTTGAGTTTCTCCCCCAGGGCCTTGGCTTCCACATAGCGTTGTTTCAACAGCTGTTTGTTGCTGTCAATTTTGTCCCTTTCGCTGTAGTCTCTCATGAAAATGTCAAACGCTTCTTGTCTTCCAAGAGACATGTTACCTACTAAAAACGTCAATTTAATAAAATACACTGAGATTAGATTTAAACAAAAAAATAGCATTTATCTATACTTGTATTTATCAATACATGTCATTATAAACTAGCAATAACATTATGGAAATTTATTTTATATTTTAAAAATAATTTCTTAAAACTTGCAATAAATGTCTATAATAATAAAGTTTGAAAAATGAAACAATATATGAATTAAGATTACTGATCTCACTCATTTAAAAAATATCTTTGGCTTTATGAAATTATGTGTTAGAATTAAATATAAAATTTTTAACTTACATATTTTAGTTTTAAGTTTGTCATCTTTTTCCTGTGTAAGGGATGAATGTCTTTGTACATCATATGTTTTCTGACGACTCAGTTTTAAACTATTTTCCTCATCACTAGTATGACTGGTTATCTCCCTCTTGTCATGATTTCCATTTGTGCTCCTATGGTTGACACTGTATGGTGAGGACAGAGTTGTTGGCCTTACATCTTTGACTTGACCATCAGCTGCCCTTTGCCTTTCTTTCTTCAGCATTCCAACAAGAATATCTTTAAAATTGTAAGGGCAAATATTTGTAGGTTAATGACTTTTATTTTTGAATCTATCTGTTTAGTAAGTCACCCTTTATTATGGCGCAGAAGATAGCAGAAACAAAGCATAGTGTAGTCAGGTAGACCAATAGAACTGCAGGAGATGATCAGTCACGTGAGACAGTCAGATGACCACTGAAGTGTGGGTCGGCAGTTAGAGATAGGTAGCACTAAGGGATAGATGTAGAAAGCTGAAATGTAGTGTTAGGGTTCATCATGGGTATGTGTAGGGAGAAGTCAAGTGTTAGTTGTAGTTAGATAGTGTTAGTAGACAATCATGTGTTAGAGCATAGTTATGGTAGGAGTCGATTTGATGTATAAATAAAGAACTGTGTTATATTGAATTGGACTTATTTGTATTGATTCCACAAACTGTATCAGGCATATATAAGAAGAGGCAATCCCCGTAGAAAGCTACAGTATATTCATGATGTAACACTACATATATATAACTTTCACCAAATCCACCATCAAACCCTTCTACTTTGAAAGAAAAAGTTTTAAGAGGTTCAAATAAAGACAACTGAAGACGTGTAAAGGATACTGATTTCATTGTCCCGCTGTTCTATCAATTCTTTTAACTTGGTTGTCTCAGCATCCCTGTATGGCCCTACATCTGGTTGGGTTTCCTCCCTTGTTAATGGAGGATAAGGGGACTGAACCACAGCTTTAGGTTTCTCTAGAAAGTATCTCTGATGAAAAGTTAGATAATCCATTAGGAAGTTTGTTTCTATTTGGATCATGGATAAGGTTAATTTATATATTTATAGCTTAAGGTTTGTAACAACAACAACAAAAAAAAAACACATTTTAATCTTCTAGTGTTACCTTTAGGATTCTAAAACACTTGTGTATTTTTCTTAGGTCATGTCCAACTGAAAGAATACATTCAGGGTCTGGGTCTTCCAAGTAGGTTTTAACCGCATATTCACATCTGTGTGGAAAGTATAGGCAATAACATGTATTGCTCAGTGGGGAGATAAATATTGTTATAATGAAACCAAATATGGCTTTCAGTCAAGGCAGTACTTAACTTTTCTTATTATATGCCCCTTGTAATGTATAAGACATAAAGATTAAGACACCTGTATATACCCTCCTATGTAAAGATTAAGACACCTGTCTATACCCTCCTATGTAAAGATTAAGACACCTGTCAACATGTAAAGATTAAGACACCTGTCTATATCCTCCTGTGTAAAGATTAAGACACCTGTCTATATCCTCCTGTGTAAAGATTAAGACACCTGTCTATATGTAAAGATTAAGACACCTGTCTATATGTAAAGATTAAGACACCTGTCTACATGTAAAGATTAAGACACCTGTCTATACCCTCCTATGTAAAGATTAAGACACCTGTCTACATGTAAAGATTAAAACACCTGTCTATATGTAAAGATTAAGACACCTGACTATATGTAAAGATTAAGACACCTGTCCATATCCTCCTGTGTCAGCTCCTCTGACAGCTGTACGCCAGTGGCCAGGGCTAGCTGGTCACGCAACTCAGCATTTTCTCTCTTCAGTTTGGCTATCAGCAGGTGAGGGTCAAGCTCCTCATTGAGGGTCACATCATTTCTTATCATAGCCACCCTCTGAGCAAAGCGACATGTAGAAATTGACTCCTGAAAGGGTTGATTAGTGTTATGAAAATAAGTTATAAAATAAAATTATACAACAAATATGCACTATTTTTTTTCCTATAGATTAATTTTAGGCTGAATGACATAGCTTTCTAAGGTGCTCCCTACTAACAATAATACTTGATAATTTTTAAAATGCTTCTTACTTATATCAATAATACTTGATAATTTTTAAAATGCTTCTTACTTATATCAATAATACTTGATAATTTTTAAAATGCTTCTTACTTACATCAATGATACTTGATAATTTTTAAAGTGCTTCCTACTTACATCAATAATACTTGATAATTTTTAAAGTGCTTCCTACTTACATCAATATTACTTTTCTCTAAGGAGCAAGTGGCTATCATTGTAGTCATACAGTTTCCCCCTAGACTGTCCCTCAATACAGATGTCATCATGGAGTTACGATATGGAACATGTTGACGATTTTTCTCAGACAGGGCTATTATTACCTGAATAATTAAGTATACAAAATTACTGTTCAAATTGTTTTGAAAAACAAACAATTTTAATACAAATTTTCTTAGCAATGAAATGGATTAAAGACTTATTTCTGAAATTCTAGAAAATTTATAGTTATATAAGCTTAACAACTTTTGGCATATAATATACCTGCTCCAAGTAGTGGAGTGACAAATTAATGTATTTGGCCTCAGTCAGTAATGTCCCATTCACTCCTGTCTTAGATACTCTCTCTGACCTGAAAATAAGATTATCATATTTTAAACATATGGCATACTCCACATTCAAATTGACTTTGTTCAAACGTAGATATTTTCTCATATATATTTTTAAATTATGATATTCAATCTACCTAACAGAAGTGAGAGTACATTTTTAAAGTATTAATAAAGCCAAAAGTTAAAAATTTATTTAGAGATGAGATTCACATAATTTTCAACTAAAATACTAAATCAAATAGAGTTAACAGTTTGAGAAAGTTAAAACCTAAAAACTAAGAAGGAATATGTTAAAGTTTTATTTCTAATAAGGCAAGAGCTTGATAAAATATTACCCAGCCAAGTCGACTAAATGAAGCTTTGAGCGACATATAGTAGCTGATCCTTCTTCTTTACATGTTAAATGAACAGTAAAAATGCAGTGAGATCGAGATGACGCTTGATTCATCGGGGTCTGAATAAAAGGAAGTTAACATTTTTAGAATGCCTCTGTTGAAATATAGGCCTTTAACATACAACAGGGAGGGATAATATTTTTACCTTAATAAATGTCAAAAACAACTTCTATTAATAAGATAATATTTTTTTTAAATAGTTATAGAAATCAACGGAATAGTTTGTAAGCATTTCAATTACTAAGCTAGAAGATATACACTACATATCTAATGTGATCTGACATACCTCGGCAATCATTCTGTTGGTGTCGCCCATAAATAAAAGATTTAACGCATCCTCCTCTGTAGCAGCCTGATGTACTGTTAAATTCTTCAAGTGGATGTTTTGGTCTGAGTCTTCTAGCAGAGTTACTTTCCTTCATGATTTTTATATTCATTAATTTTACAAGTATGCGATATAAAGCTGTATTAATAGTATTATGATTATCTAACAAATATAGGCCAGTAAGCAATCAGTGCACAGTGAGGTGAGAAGTTAAAACTTCACACAACAAAGCTTTGAGTGAACACACAGTGGAACCTAAATGTCTCCTTAAATTTAATCCATACATTCAAAATAGGCCAAATGAAAAAAATTAACTTCTAGTCCTGCATTTGCTTCTTACTTAAGGTTTGCGAGAGAGAATACTATTTTAATAACAGAACTTAATTATGTTAATTTTTAGCCAATAAAAGCTAAATGTTACTCACTGTAAATCTTCCAGTTTTGTGGCTTCATGTTTAGGGTCAAGAAGGTCATATCCATTATCATTGTAAATTTCAAGATAAGAAATGTGAACGGTGAATGTTTTTTCTGGGTGCTACATGCGTGAGAGTGAAAAGTGACAACATGAGCATGTAATTCAAATTAAATTTAGCACAAGGAAATTCAGAGTGAAGTAACAAGAATTTGTAGAAATATTCTGCTCAAGTAACTAACATCTCAAGGAAAAAAACTCATCCCAGTAGCCATATCAAACATTTTCAGCTGTTGTAAAAGTTAATAAAACAAATATATACACACATGCTGATGTAAAAAATTTAATTCATCAACAAATTTTAAAATGTAAGTTCATGTTTTTTTTTTCAAGAGAACTAGGCCATTCTTGTATAAATTAAAATTAATACCTTGAAGTAAAATTGATGTAAACTAATCTAGTTGCTATAAATGAAGATGAGACAGACTCACCTTTTCAATAGTATCAAAGATATAAGACAGCGAGCGTGGGATAATGCCTCTATCAATAAAACGTTCCGCACCACCTGTGATAGTGAAAGTTTTGCCACTTCCTGTCTGAAGTAGGACAAAAATTTTAAAAACATTCATATTTCCTGTAGGTTTGACTTTAAAGATAATATACATGTTGATATTTTGTGGCAAATATGTCCTTACTATGAAAAAAATGAGCACCATTTTACCTGGCCATAAGCAAATATTGTTCCATTATAGCCCTGGACTGCACTGAATAAATAAATTAAACAGATAACATATAAGTATGTAATGGTAAAATAAATATTTGTTTTTGTCTATCTTATTGATTCTAAAATTTTAAGCCTAGATTGATTTAGAACAACTAAACAACTTAATGGCAAATACGTGAGTTATATATGAACATAAATGGATATTACTACATCAACTAACAAATACAATGCAACACCAAAGAGAAATGATGTATAAACATACATACTTATCAATGACAGGCTGTGCAACATGAAGAAATACTTCATCTTGTGTTGACTTCTGGTCAAAAACTTTGCTAAATCTACCAAAACAAAACACCATAAAAATGAATGTGATTTCAATGTAAAGTTTAATAATTTGTTGAATCCAATTAGAAAATAAATAAGACTATTAAACAGAGCAAAACTTTATATCCTTTACCCCTATAAAGAAAAAAAAGATTCAAATTTGGACATAGAGATCTAATACTTATGCTTCAAACTAATTTTCAAATGAAGGTTCATTCCATTAACAACAAATTGCAAATATGGCCAATTACAAGGTAACACTGTAATGACTGTTCCTTACAGGGACACTATCAGCTATGAAAAATAATTGAGTAAATGTCATGTAAAGTACAGTAAAATCTCTAGTAGGCTGGTGTTGATAAAAACATTCCATACTGTTCTTAATGTTCTTTAACATAATCAAATGGCTATAAACCATAACTGTAATGCAAAGCCTGAAAAAAAATGTTCATAAAAATAATATGAACAGTAAAAATTGTGCGACGTTACCTAAATCTGTAGTTTTCTTTTTTGTTGTTAACAAATCCAGATGCTAGTTCTTTTGGAACAACCACTTGCAGTGAACATTGACCATCTTCCTCTGTTTCAACATTGTACACCTACAAGAAAAATAAAAGTATATAATATTCAGTAAACAGAAGCCATTCAATTATGTTAATGCAAACCAAGATACACAGGAAAACTTTTTTTTTTAAAATCTGCATAGATCAGATTGTATTATTATCAAGAAGTTACAAAAGTGGAACACTCTACCCAATAACAACTTGTGAAAGACACAGTGTGGATAGAGGAAATTTGAGAAAACTCTACATCTTGATACCTGGTTGACATATAGCAAGTGTCATAGGTAGATATATAAGGCTTTTAAGGATAGAAGAATAAGCAAAGGCAACCTTCAACATTAACAAAAAATAAATTAAATGTGTAGCCTGTGTTCAGCATATTTTAACTATTTTCTTATAGAGATTGTTGTAGACATGCAAATGATGCACTTCTCCTACATCTTAGGTTAGTCATAGTATGAAAGAAAAAAGAAAGATGAAGGCAGTCGAAGTGATTGAATACAAGAAAAATGGTTAAGTTAAGAGAGAGATTCTAGCTCAGATAGCTTAGGCTTATTTAATAAATAAATATTTATATTATTATGTGAAGTCCCAGTGTACCCTCTCATCTCTCGGTTCGGTAATCTATTGTTTTAGGTATGTAAAATCGCCCGCGACTAGTAATGTGAAAAACAGGTGACTCCTTAAATTTTAATAATTATTTCACATTTATGTTTTGAAAAATACAACAATGTTTCCTTGTTTGATTTATGTACCTGTTTTTAAACAATTGAATTAAAAAATTTCAGTAATAAAGGAAGACTAGCAATGTTTCCAACAGATGCAACCATGCTCATTTATTATAGCAGCCATCTTGTTTAAGTTTTTTTTTTGTAAACTATAGCGCGAGATTCAAGGGAAGCAACGCTATTTTACAAATGGCTGCTGTTTATAAAGCAAATCTTCTCGCAAACACTGCTGTTTAAAGTTAATTTCTGGCCTATATTGATATATTTAGCCATTGATTTTGGTTTATTATTCATTTATCTATAATATTTGACACAAATATATCACAATATACGTACCTTAAACAATAGATTACCTTCAGATTCTTGTCTTAGTGTTAAACAGTTAAACTGTTAAATTGTTAATCAATAGTATAATAGGCCTAGCTAAGGGGTCATCCATAAATGACGTCACGCTTTTTTTTTTACGATTTTTACCTCCCCCCTCCCTTCACACTTCATCACAAAAAGCCAGACCCCCCCCCCTAAAATGACGTCACACCTCAGCCTACAACCCCCCCCCCCCCCTCAAAATTGCAGTTGAATTATTTTTTAAACATCGATATTTTTCTAAAATTTTGTCTGAACTCTGTCAAAATAGAGTATTTTAATCAATTCCTGTTACAATTTATTAAAACTGTTTTCTAAAATGCGAAATAACGTCTAAAATTCGTTTTCTAACATTGCTTTTTTATAATGCAAAAGTGTGACGTTGCGCCATCTGACCCCCCTCCCCCTCATCACACACCGGCACAAAATTACTGACCCCCTCCCCCCCTACGAGTGTGACGTCATTTATGGACGACCCCTAATATAAATTTAGGCAGATTCTAGCCGGAATAAGATACGCATGCGATACGCATGCGCAATGGAGAGAAACTACGACTTGCCTTAGCGGCGATGTTTTCGATGGTACTGCGCATGCGTGTGTTTATAACCGCAGAACCCTAACGCCTAACACCAACCCTAATCCTATCCTTAACCCTATCCCTAATCCTATCCCTAATCCTATCCCTAACCCTAATCCTATCCCTAACCCTATCCCTAATCCTACCCCTAACCCTCATTCTAGCCCTAACCCTAGCCATAGGTCAGTGCGCATGCGCAGAACTATCTTTTGCCGACTAAGTGGAGACGTTGGGGAGAAAACTCTTCCGAGTAGACACTTTGTAAATTTTAACAGAAGTAGATCTATCAAGAGTAGTGAGTATTTTCTATTTGATTTTCCTTTAGTAGTTAGATATTTTAAATATTTTATTAGAATTAAAAAGGTTAGGCCTACTTTTCTTTTTTTTTTTTTGAATGTTTTGGCGTCCTTGCCAACACACTTACCCCAGTTTTATTTGTTTTCGTTGGCTTCACGCGAGCGAATATCTGTATTGTTTGTTTAACCATTATTTTATTTATATACAAAGTAGATCATATTTTGATAAAAATAGTCATATTATACATTCAATGTTTAGCTTTGCAGAGAGATTCAATTTCATTACGCTGATTGTTTACATCGCATTCCACCATGATGCTTATTTTAGTAGTAATGGTCTAAATGACAACGCGGCCAACTATTGGTCGAAAATATTTCCATTACAAACGCTAATGTTGGTCGATAAAAATGAGAGCTTAGCACATGAGGACGAGTCGCAGCAGACGAGGGGTTTTCCTTGGTAAAGCGCTGTAACGAATGAGAGTTACCATCAATGTCCAATGAGCGTTGCTGGATAGTAAAACGCTAATCTGTAACAGTAAATGTAGGAAAACACCTGGATATGTTTTTGTGAATATTACCTGGTGAGTACATGATAATCAATCTTTATCAGTTTAAAATATTTATGTTTATTTAGAAAAATGCCGGTTGCGTGTTGGAATTGAACATCATCTCTTCAGTTATTGATTTTTCCCCATGGTTCCACTGACGCGAGCTGCTCAACCACTGGTTTGTGTGACATTTGTGATACCGGTTGATTCTTTTGAAGAAAATCGGATAGGGGAAAATATATGAAGTACACGCAATTACCAGGAAACGTAGAAGCCTTTTAACTAAATTATTGGATGCGCTAAACCATAAAACTCTTAGTGGTTTTACTTATTAGTCGCTTAATTAATCAAGCTAATGATTTAAATAGGCACAGCTTGTATACAGACATGTGCCAGTATGTAACGTTTATAAATCTAGGACTGTGTTTGTTTTTACACTCGTGCCCTGCGTTTGTATTAGTGAAAAATTTTGAAAGCATCGCGACACGAGCGGCGGGAGGGGAATGTTTTGTAAAAAGCCGCACGCTTTTACACATCCTTGTTAATTCAACGAGATTTTATTGACCGAGACAATCAAAGCATACACGCAACAACCCCCTCACGAACGCACCCCCCCCCCCCACACACACTCCTCCCTTCCAAAAATAAGCCGTCAATGTCGACTGCGCCTAAACTGTCACTTGCGGCATCGCGAAACGTGTCATCCCTTCAATAAGTTACCTGGTCACATAGGTACAGAAACCAGTAGCCAAATGCGCTGATATTATATATAAATGTATATATATATATATATATATATATATATATATATATATATATATATATATATATATATATATATATATATATATATGTGTGTGTGTGTGTGTTTGTGTAAATAGGCGCAGTGGCATCGCTAGGTCGGGTGTCTTACGGTGCGGCAGCTCCTGGTGTCACACCCCCCCCCCCCCTTATTTTTTGGCCCGGTAAAGTTCGCAGTTGGTGTCACCATTCCCCCCCCCCCCCCACCCTTCCCCTCGGTAAAAGCTTTAAAGTGTTATCATTTAATACTAATGATGTGTATCTATAGTCCGTAGTTAATACTGTTGGGTGTAGCATTGTTTTCTCTATAGTTTGCATGTTTACGCCATGGTGTTAGAGCCACCAACCCCCCCACCCCCCCCCCCCCCCCTCCACCTTCCTTGTCCCGATCGTCCTTAAAATGCTTTTTAGCTCTAATTAACCATTTATTGAAGTGGCAAAAACATATGTATTCTATTTATTTTGCAATTTGTTTTTTTTTGTCATCCCCCTGAATGGTGTCACCCGGTGCAGTCCGCACCCCCCGCCTCGCGATGCCTCTGAATGGGCGTGATCTTTGTGTCCCCTCATAAAATAATCAGCTGTAGCTTATGCAAAGAGAGATCCATAGTGTACTCAGAACACTCCAATACTCGCGATGGTCAATGTCTTGTATCTCTTGATATACAGGATATGTAAACAAAACAAGCTAACATGATACCTAATCACTTACTAACATCACTGCTCGAGTGGGGCGAGGGGTGGTATTAAACACCACATGTCCCCCTCTTGGATACGGATCGCTTAATGCGTGACGTCAACCTATTTTAACCACTTATTATCCCCCTCTCCCTATCTTCGCCGTTATCGGCACACGTCGTCACAAAAAGCCTCTGACCCTGTGCAGAATATTTTAAAAATTTCTTTGATCATATCTACACTTACGACCACCATGATGTAGGTATACCTGTGTCTCTTATCTGTCATGTTGTCTTAGAAAAATGTTTGAATGGTATTTTCCCCATCAAAACCAACTATAACATTCTATAACCTGTTCCTATAGACCAGGGGTCTCCAAACTACGGCCCGCGGGCCGGATGCGGCCCGCGAAGTCCTCTCATCTGGCCCGCGGAGATCTTTTCGTCCAAGGAAAAATCGTTTGTTAATGATGGTTGAGGAACTTTGTCCAGAAAAATCAAAGACATGCCTGGAAGAAACTGGCCCCCGAACTGAAATTTGATAGTTAATGCGGCCCTCGGACTGAAAAGTTTGGAGACCCCTGCTATAGACGATGTTTTCACTGAAAGAGATTTTTTTAAAAATCGAATGCAACGCTTTCCTATTTAACAATTATAAAAATCTATAATGCAAAGAGGGTCAGTTATTCATTACAAGGCTAGATGGCCACGGAACCACAAGTTTCAGACAGCCGAACTGGTTTATTATTTAAGTGAATATGATTCAACTTCAACATCTGTCTTTCGGTTATTCCCATATGTTGATATTACTCACAACAAAGAGAATACAACCTTGTACAACCATACATCCAGTGTTTCTTTCAGACTTTTTTTTCTCCAGGGGGAGAGGCGGGCTAGCTTTTCCGGGGGGGGGGGGGGACACTTGAAATTTTCGGGGTGGGGGGAGGGAGGCGGAGACTGGTAAAAGTATATATTTTCTAAATAAATTCTATTTCATTCGGGGGGGGGGGGGGGGGGGGGGGGGGGGGGGGGAGGAGGGGCGGTAGACTAAGTGATGCCCTGAAAAAACTCTGCATACATCAGTGGTTGAAGGATGAAACGTCACCAGGCACATTCTTAAATTAATGAATTGACTAGAGTTAATTACAATCAAGAACAAGGGCAGATAACACGGGGATATCAGCTGTGTACTTGTGACACAGAGACGGACGCTATATGACACACTCAAGTGTGTCTGGTTTACATATGTGTGTATAGGCATACACGTGTGTCTGGCCTCATGTATAGTAATCAATAACAGCAAAGTATTGCGTGTACAATAGTGGGCTGGGCCGCCGGCACGCTGTGATGAATCCCGGTTGGCCGCCATAAACGGTACTGGAGTATAATTAGACAATCAAAGTCAAATAATGAAATCTTTTTAATTTTTCACTGATCGCTGGAACACTCCGGTCTACCATGTTTGTAGTGTCGTTAGTTTGTTTTTACACTTTCATGCGATTTGTGTCAACATGTTAAGTATGTGATGTGTCACCCATCTGTTGTTTAGCAATCTTTACGTCATATTACACTGCTCTATAGCGTCACCTCGTCTAGTCGGAGCTTGTTTCATTATTTACAAACAGTAAAACAGTCAAGTAAAGCTATATGGAAGCGAAATTCTAACTTATTAATGTTAACATTTCTCACTTTTAATTAATTACCGTTTAATGTAACCATGTTATTGTAAGAAAACTAATAACAAAAGCTGCTAAAAGCTTACGGATTTTAAAAAAATCGATGTTTTATCTGGAGTTCATCTCTGTCCTCGGGCCATCTTACAAGCTCGGCGGAGCGAATTAGAAATTCATTACTTTTCAGGCCTGCAGTATTTGTTCAAAGGGATGTGTTAGCAACTTGTTGCATGACACACTCCCGCGTGTAGACTTAGTTTAGAGACGTTATAAGTGTTTTAATACACCGCCTCCATCACATTTCCATGTATTTTATTACTACACTTCTAACTTCTTTTATTTATTTAGAAAGTAGGGCTTATTAATTTAAACAACAACAATCAAATACTGTAATACTTCCACGCTCTGTAAATCTTAGTGGGGGGGGGGGGGGGACGGAAGGGGGAATAAATCGGCCTTGGGTCAGTTTTGCCGGATCAGCCTCTAATTTATAAAGTAATGTTACTGGTGCGGTCTACGCAGTGGCGTAGCGAGGTCGGGTGTCACCCGGTGCGGCACTTAATGGTGTCACCCCCCAGAGGCGTTGTGACCCTTCCAGGGGACAAACTTTCAAACTTTCGATTTGCACTCCCCCCTCCCCTCAAACTTTCGATTTGCACCCCCCCCTCAAGTTTTTCTCTATATATTTTGCTATTTTTTGCCTTGGTGTCACCCCCCTAAATGGTGTCACCCGGTGCGGTCCGCACCCCCCCCCCCCCCCCTCGCTAGGCCACTGGGTCTACGACCACATGATGTTTCATATGGGCTGATATAAAGAAGTGACCCCGTGTCCAGTTTTCACTTCTTGGTCGAGCACATGGAGGACGATCTTGTTTTTTCCCCTTATTCTATTAGCGAGACGTGGATTTCAACCATCTAAGGCGCAGGCAGTTTCCCCAAAAACGGATGGAAAACCTGCCTAAAAACTGAAATATAGAATAGATGCATAATACACGGAGAGGGGGTTGGACCCGCACTCCCTCCCAAGAAGAAATTCTGCCTACGTCACTGGTTCTGAGCAATGTGAATCTTTGCTTACTTTTTTAAAACAATTTTTAAAAAGAGAACTGAAAATGATATAGAGATTTGTGACTCCTCTGAATACTTTTTAAATAACAGTTTTGGAACTCCAAAAATTACTTTTAATATAATGGGGAGATTTTTAACTTCTCTAAATACTTCAACATAATGTAAAGATTTGTAACTTCTCAAAATACTTTTGCCGTCTGCCCAAACTTCAGCATGGGAGGCTAGAATCCCCCCCCCCCCCACCCCATTACGGTACCCATTGTAAATCAAGGCAAATGTAAATGTACGCCCCTCCCCCAATTAAAATGTGCTGCCACTTGGCTTATCTTATCGCCTGTCAACATCTGTTACAAGCATCTATTATACCGTTCAGCTCGTGTAGTACGGCAGTTAACCATTGTCATCTACCATTGAGATATGTTGGCATATGTTACACTTAAATGCGATATCTATGCACCTACTCACAGATGGGGAGTAGACAGAGTGCATTACGGTTGGGACATTTATTTGGGGGCTGTGGTGAACGACTTGGCACCGCCTAAAGAGGCCGTCGCTTATCTTTTCCCGCTGGCGGTAAATGGAAACGAGAACAATGCAGTCGTATATCTTGGCTCATTTAGTCTGACGTAAAGGAAAAAAAGCCGTTTCTTGCCTTATTAAGCAAATGTATGTCAGAAAAAAAACTTTGTTTCGTTTTGTTTTCCTGAGATTAATTAATTTTGGAGGTTTGCGTGTAGGTTGACATTGATTTACAGGCCGTTGTTCGTGCTTTCTGCGTTACGGTTGTTCTGTACTCAGGAAGAAGGACATTAGTTTAAAGTTCTCTCTGGATGAGTTTCTTTCAGGCATCTCCCCCCCCCCTCTCCCCCCATCACGCCCACCGCCCCCCCCCCCGGACGATATTTTTAGTGCACCCCGCCATAGATCTTTTAAATTGACACCCTTTCTCCCTCTGGAGAAAAATAACTGAAAGAAACTGATCTTTGCATTTTTACATCTACGACCCCTACTCACTTATAGTTTGGACGCCATCTTACTGCACTTACGTCAGCCTTAAATGTAGATACTAGAAGCCGTCCGTTATTCTATTGACCGTGTCAGACGATAGCTTTTGGTGTTAATGTCGTGTTACAATTTTTGTTTTATTCAAATCACTCTAGGCTGGTTCTGCCAGTCCGTGTTTATTGAATAGAAGTGGCGCCGTACAGATACAATCTCACAAAGCTCCTGATAATTTAAAACAATTTCTTTCTTTCACGACTACCAGTTTCTTTCAGGCAACTCTTCGGGTTCCCCGAAGCACATCAGCCGCCCCCCTCCCCCTCTCCCATGGAAGAAATAGAATGTATATAAAAAAATATATACTTCAACCAGTTCAACCAGTGTGCGCCCCCCCCCCCCTCCCGAAACCTTCAAGTGCTCCCCCCCCCCGGAAAATATGTTTGAAAGAAACACTGACGACCACTGCTAGAAGTTTTTAACTTCAGAAATTCTCGGTTCCCTAGTTTGTAACAGCTTGTTAATAAACAACTAAAAAAAATAATTTCAACCCTTGCTTTAAAAAAGATTGTGTTTGCGCAGACCAGTTGAGTGATTATCTCATTAATATTTAAATCACCATCCATCGTGTCGAATTCCAGTTAAATCGACCCAATTACCCTAATTAATCTACCTGTAATCGTAAAGCTTAAAGGCCCTTTAATACTTTAAATCTACCAGCGATATTTGTCTTTGTGTTTGGCGGGTAAACCATTGAACAGACGCCACGAAAAGGGCAACTTACGTCATCAGCGATCTAAATATAACTCACGCGCACCACTTATCATCTTGAGAATGGTGGGGCGTTTCCCTGATGGTCTTTCGTGTTTCCACAAGGCGTCCATAAGTGGGGGCCGCAGACCATGTACTAGTTGCACGAAAAGATTACTAATATCTGGCGTTAATACTCACCTTTTTAAGAATTAATTACTATTTTTTTTTTTTAATTTGGAAACATAACCAATACATTATGAAGCTTAATTAAAGAGCGGTAAAGAAGAAGAAAATACGTGTATAATTTAATTATTTGTGTTTTAAATCCAATTTTCTTGTTGTGACATCCGCCATTTTCGAGAAAAGTAAAAGCCGTATCAATGATGATCCCCCGCGCGGGAAACGCCAAGCAGATTCTGTCTGAGCGATCAGATTTCTTGTTGCAACTAGGCATCGCTGTGTCACTGATGTTGGTGCACTCCCACGCCGCATGGCGCCACAACAAACTCACAGCAGGCCAAGAAAAAAAAAGGTTGCCGACACAGCAAGCCATTATCAGGCCAGTCAATAGGAAAGAAAACTCTCCGGGGCTGCTAGACACACGTCATGCTCTCCTTCACACGAACATTGAGGCTCTGTGGTCCGTGGCTCAACTCCTGCCTAGCTTCTGTCTAGTCTACTTTCTTCATGGGGGTAGGTTCACGTTTTCTACAGACAAAATCAGCAGCACTGAATTTTAAAATTTTTTTTTTACTCAAAGCTGGCTACAAATACACGGTGATTAGTTCCAACACTCTCCCTCAATTAGTCACCATTTGTTTGACTGTATCACTTGTCTGCGGTAAAATACGGTGCTATGTGGTTTCCTTAACGTACTCAGATGTCGTGTTTATCTCGGCGCTGTTTCCTTATCACTTATTATCTTGTCTGTGTACATTGATGACTTCTGTCACTGGAGTAAAAAAAAAAAATAGTGCACCGCTGCATGACATGGTCATAGAGGCCTACCTTCTGTAAACATAAATATCGCAACGCCTTGATAAAAAGGCCTACTTTTCTCTGACTGTATAAAAACAGTTAGCCTATTTAAATGTTTTAACTGGGTCTACAGAGGCAAACCTTAATGGCAAAAACAATTTGCATCTTACACTGAATTTTTTTTACATGTTGCACTTCATTTTTTAATTAAAAAAATGTTCAGCTAGCTCGTGATGGGGGGTGGGGGTCTGTGAAATTTTATTTACATAAGTAAACGGTAAACGTAAGTGACTCATTCTTACATAAAGTGGTGAAAACTAGCGGCTTGTGTTACCCACAGAGCTGGATGTTTACACCCACTGGGGCCAGGGGCGGTTAGAGAAACACGGGATATGCCATAGCTAACGTTCAAATCTGGGGGGGGGGGGGGGGGGGGGTAGGGGGGGGGCAGAAAAATGGTCAAATTAGTTGGTTATATCCTGCCCTAATGAACCCCTAGTACTGAGATGGATGAGTGCTTACACGGGCAAGTGTTTGCTACGACCTGTCTCACATGTACTGGTCGCCACACAACGTACGCCCCAGGACAACCGCTTTAAAAACTCGTCAAACATGCATGCGGATGTAATGATGCTGTCAAAACATTTTAGACAGCGCACAGTTTGTAATGGAAAGGGGGGGGGGGGCGCTTCAGGCTTATCTGCTTCCTCCGTTCATGAATTATATGGATGGCGTGAGTTAGAAATATGACACAACTAATTTAACTCATTATTGTTACGGTGTGTATGTGTGATAGGCTCTAAGATGACTGTTATTAACACAAACTGCATTTGCTATTCAATATGTTATCGTTTATAAAACGACAGAAATAATTTTAAATACTACGCTTGGACTGATTCCTCTATCTATAACATACTTGGACTTGATTAGTTTTATTACTACAGGGAAGTCAGTCAGAGCGTTAACCGAGTACTTAACTGCACTTAAAGCGGCCAGTTAACCAAGTGGTGGAGCAAATAACGAGCACCATAACGAGGGCATATGTACTCTAGTGGTCTGGGATTCTAGCACCTAATGACGTTGTTACAATATGTTATAGCTGTCTGATAAGTGAGTTTATCCTTGGACATTGTCGCTAACGTCATTTATATTTTATACTACACGGGTATGCGATAGTTAAATTCCCAAACTGTAGTGAGTTGTGTTCCGCTAATTTCTCGTCTTTAAATTTAGACCATGGTCTAATTGGTTTTATACGGCTAGGGATATATATATATATATATATATATATATATATATATATATATATATATATGTTAGTTAGCATCGCTTACTTTCAAGTTGTCCATACATTCGATAAAGAATTGCTGATAGTTCTCAGAGTGACAGGCATAGAGTTCCCCCATCATGTGAAATTCACAGTTTCACATCATACTGACCCAGCTCGGAAGCTTACATTTTATTCTTAAAATTTACTTACAGAGAGTTTAGATCAAACTTTTATATCGTTCACATATTACTCATGTCAGTGTATCAAACTATTGTGATGCAACACTACTCAGATAAAACAACGCAACAAGTCGTGTTTCTTAGTGCTTTAATTTTAAACCCTTTTTCCTCTAAAAGAGCAGTTTGAGATGTTTACCATTGTATTTCCAGCCCCTAGTGAACAATGCCAGCCCGCCAAGGCCTATGCTGGTGTCTTGGGGGGAGTCCCCGGCCCCCAGAGATCAAACATGGCCTGGCTATCGCCGCCCCTGTACAGTCCATTACGCTCGATATCCCAATGCCAACAGATGAGCACGAGCTGAACACCAAGTTTGAGGAGCTAGTTGTAAGTTTTAGCTTCCTGTATTTTCTAGTGATCTCCCTTTATATAGCATACAAAAAGTATTCATTGCAAAATTTTTCATGCCATAGCTTTGTTACGTAACTCAAAAAAAATTGAACTAAAGTGTGAGAACGAATATTAGTGTTTTCAATATTTAATATCACATTTTAAAATAGAAAAATTACATTTTCCTTATTTCTTCAAAGAAGACTATTTTCCATCTAAATATTAAAGACTTAAAAATGAAACTAAAAATTCTAAATGAAATTTGTATCCATATTATGTTGTTGTTTCTTGAGATATGAAACACTAATGTGATTGTGTTTTTCTAAAGGCTGAACTGGGGCTAGACAAAGCTCACCGAGATGCCCTCTACAGCTTGCCCGCGGAGAAGAAGTGGCAGATATACTGCAGCAAAAAGATGGTGAGTTCAATTAATTAGATTTAATTGCTGTAGCCGCCGGCCTCACGCCACTCATTAACTGCTGCTGTACATTAGCTGAACCGACTGGTATTCTCGGGTGGGATTGTAGAACTAAAGACGACAGACGTATTCTTATGCATTGGTTCTGGATTGTGTCCACTAGTTTTCAGTCAATTAAAGATCTAGCCGTGTATTGTAGTCTCTAACCCCGTGTTTAAAAACAACGTATAAAAACGAACTGTCTATTTGCACGGCATGTGCATGCAGTGAGGCCGCTCTAAAGTAAACAAAAAGCAGGTGACTACAATAGCCGCTGAGACAGAAACTGTTGGATTTTTGTTAAACCCTATTGTTGTCTAGTTTATCCATGTAAAACCAAATTGTCTGGGTTTTTAAAGTTAACTTTACACTTATATTTTCTTTACTATGTCAAAAAACTTTTACAAACATAAACTACAAAGATTTATAAAGTCAGTTTTAGCAAAACTTGGCTACGCCATCTTAATAGGCCTACACATAAAGCGAATAGAAGAGGGGATTTTTGTTTACATTAGCTCCATGGCTCAGATTTAATCCTACCATTTCCTTGGTCCACGGCACATATTCTTCTCGTAGTTTTCTCCCTATTTACCTTAAACTTAGTTTTTTAGCGACAAAGCTAAATGTCCGACCAGTATGACGTTGAAGGCAAACGTTTACTTTAACCAGTCCAAATTTGCTCCCCAATTTGAGGACTTCACTTCAGAAGAGTGGCAGGACTCCATGTTTGTAGAATGTTGCCAATCGCCCTCTTGTGCTGGGCAAGTAAAGTATTCCATTCAGTCACACACAAACAGGGTCAAGCATAATTTGTTTACGAAATAGGCCGATAAAACGTTATTTAGGATATACGAATATATCCCGTTGTGGTAATATACAAATTAATAACAGATATTTTGACCAGTGGCGTAGCGAGGTCGAGTGCACCCGGTGCGGCACTTAATGGTGTCACCTCCCAGAGGCGTAGCGACCCTTCCCGGGGACAAACTTTCAATTTTCGATTTGCACCCCCCTCAAACTTTCGATTCGCACCCCCCCCCCCCTCAAACTTTCAATTTGCACCCCCCTCAACCTTTCGATTTGCACCCCCCCCCCCCCTCTCAAACTTTCGATTTGCAGCTCTTAATGGACTATTTCACACACGAATTAATCACTTAAATAAGTGGAATTATCATTTTTCTCTATATATTTTGCTATTTTTCGCCTTTGTGTCACCCCCCCCCCCCTAAATGGTGTCACCCCGAACCCCCCCCCCCCCTCGCTACGCCTCTGATTTTGACGTTTTTACTTAGAAATTGTCACATTCCGTATTTTCTAATACATAATATGAATTTTAAAATTGGCCTTAAACATAGTAGGCCATAGTTATTAATATAAGTACTATAAATCTCCTAGTACTGTACTGAAGAGGCCTAGATAGAAACAAATTAACATTACGTTAAGACTAAAGAATTTGAAACATTTCCGACGAACTATCAAATAACATATTTAATTGCACAAATATTTAAGGAAACATTAACTTGATATCTTGTCTTAGAGGGCTTTTACATTGTCACGTGGTCTAGCAGAGGGCGGCAACACCAGACTTTGGCCTCCATTGGGTCTTTCTGACACGCAAACACTATGTTGATGTTCACAGTGGGGGGAAACGGATGTTGTGGTCGAAAAATACCATCTGGTTGAGCATTTAGTATTAATATTGTAACAACGTGGAAAACACAATCACAATAATACGGTTAAAGTTAAAGTAAACTGACTTGCGTGGGATAGCAGCAATTATTGTTTTACAGGCACGAAGGGAACTAACTGATCTCGAGGGTTAACTGTCCGCTGTTTCTCTCGTTGGCTAACTGGTTGTCTGCCGTTTCTCTCATTAGCTAACTGCTTGTCTGCTGTTTCTCTCATTAGCTAACTGCCTGTCTGCCGTTTCTTTAGTTGGTTAACTGCTTGTCTGCTGTTTCTTTAGTTGGTTAACTACTTGTCTGCTGTTTCTCTCATTAGCTAACTGCCTGTCTGCCATTTCTTTAGTTGGTTAACTACTTGTCTGCTGTTTCTTTAGTTGGTTAACTACTTGTCTGCTGTTTCTCTCATTAGCTAACTGCTTGTCTGCTGTTTCTCTCATTAGCTAACTGCCTGTCTGCTGTTTCTTTAGTTAGCTAACTGCTTGTCTGCTGTTTCTTTAGTTAGCTAACTGCATGTCTGCTGTTTCTTTAGTTGGCTAACTGCTTATCTGCTGTTTCTTTAGTTAGCTAACTGCATGTCTCCTGTTTCTTTAGTTGGCTAACTGCTTATCTGCTGTTTCTTTAGTTGGCTAACTGCATGTCTCCTGTTTCTCTCGTTGGCTAACTGCTTGTCTGCTGTTTCTTTAGTTGGCTAACTGCTTGTCTACTGTTTCTCTCATTGGCTAACTGCCTGTCTGCTGTTTCTCTCATTGGCTAACTGCTTGTCTGCTGTTTCTTTAGTTGGCTAACTGCTTGTCTACTGTTTCTCTCATTAGCTAACTGCCTGTCTACTGTTTCTCTCATTGGCTAACTGCCTGTCTGCTGTTTCTCTCATTGGCTAACTGCTTGTCTACTGTGTCTTTAGTTGGTTAACTGCTTGTCTGATGTTTTTCTCATTGGCTAACTGTCTGCCGTTTCTAATATAGTTAAGCTCCCACGCAGCAGACCAAACCACATGGATCGGATCGATTGTTTCCTATCTTCGATTTGTCAGCACGGCCGTTGCTAAAAATACCCTGGCACTGTTGATAAGATCGTAACGTGAATGCCTGTGGCGGTGCACGTGTGTAGTGGACTGCCGGACACACGCTCACGTTACCTGTCTATCCTGGGGTAGACCCGCTGAATCACGTGACGCCACACGTGATAGATCACGTGATAGATCACAACCGGGGAAAGTTAAACAAAGAATACCTCGCTGATCAGCTTAAAGGTGGCGGGAAGATAAAAAAATTAAAAGCCACAGGTAAATCCAGGTATTGAGAACGAACGTTAGGGTGGGTGTGGCCCAGCCGCACAACAAACAAAGATGTTAAGCTGATTATGTTAAGGTTACGTGATGGTGAGGTACGCTGAGGTAGGACGTGGCTTGAATCAAACAACTGGGTCGAAGGGGGGGGGGGTGAAAGAGCAGACTTCTAATCTCGCATAACAACTGTGACGTCAGAGGAAGATCAGTAAAATATGACATTCCATCGGTTGCAGGTTGACGACAAATTAGTGACCTACTTACATGTGCAGCACGCCATCAATCACTTGTACCAAACTTTGGGATTTTCCCTGACCTAGCTTGGGAGATATTAATGCGCTCGTTATGTGCTCGGGATTTAATCCTTGCTCACAGAAGAAATCGTTGTTTCAGATATTTATATAGGGTCTATAGGGGTATTCATTTCATTATCTCTTAACCTAGTTCAATGGCTATGTTAAAGATAGGATAAACAAACAAAGCCCATCGCAGAATGGGTGCATTCATCATAATATATAGGATATATATATATATATATATATATATATATATATATATATATATATATATATATATATATATATATATATATATATATATATATATATATGTATATATATGTATATATATATATATATGTATATATATGTATATATATATATATTATATATATATATGGTATATATATATATATATTTATATATATATATATATATATATATATATATATATATATATATATATATATATAATTATGTATATATATATGTATAATATATATATATATATATATAGTATATATATATATATATATATATGTATATATATATATATGTATATATATATATATATATATATATATATATATATATATATATATATGTATATATATAATATATATATATGTATATATATATATGTATATCTATATATATATATATATATATATATATATATATATATATATATATAGTATATATATATATATACTATATATATATATATATATATATGTGTGTGTATATATATATATATATATATATAATATATTATATATATATATATATATATATATATACTATATATATACTATGATGAATGTGTTTGTGTGTGTCTGTCTATCTGTGTTTGTGCCTGTATACGTGAATTTATAATATCCAAAATACGTCAGAGGTAATCCGAATCATTAAAGGTAGATAACTGTGAACTGTCAGCTGAGATTTGAATTAGACAAGGGCAGCAGTGTAGCTTAAGAAAAAAAGAAGTGGGCGGGGTTTGTTTAGTTTGTCCCCCACACGTTGTTTGCTCGTTTTAAACATATGATGTGTGATATGATTACATTTTCATGTTCTTGTCGACTGGTTCAAGTAAATTTGATGTCGTGGGGGTTCGTTTCTTCAGTCGTCTGCAGAACATTTTAAAACCAGAGTCTGCTTCATTAGGCTTTGTGCGTGCAAGCTGAGAGAGTTAAAGCTAGAAATGTGCATTACAAGAAAATTAACTTTTTCTCTTATAATCTTGACTTTAAACGATCTAAATCTAGTGCCTAGTATAACTGTTTGGTGTAAATTTAGCAAGGAAAAAATTTGAAAGTTTTTCTCACGTCGTTCAGTTTTGTGGTCTTTAAAATATTATCTAAGTCGGTGAGCCAAGATAAGATTAAGTAAACATTAGAATATACATGCTTGGTGGACGTAATTCAGACTTGTTCTTGTGTAGTAAACATTAGAATATGCATGGTAGTAAACATTTTGTCGTGTGCTAACGGTCAACCTTTTCGCCCATTTGTTAAAATATTTTAACAGGCGTTTTGATAATAGTGTCTAAAATCTGGGTTAATATAAATTGCGTACTGATTCTAAATTTCGATTAAGCACATATACGTGACGCTGTTTTTCATACCCCCTCCTCCAAATCCAAACCCACACAGCATATCTTCACAAGTCTAAAATATGCCCCCCCCCCTTTACACTTAACCCGAAGACCAAATG